AATAACTAATACTTAACTTTATAAAGGATTAATTAAAATATAATATTTACTTAAAATAACTTTAATATAAAATCCCTTTTTCTTAATAATATAATATTATATATATTAAGGCTAAGTATAGCTAATTAGGCTTTTATTACTATTTTTCCTTTTCCTTTTTAAGTTTTTTTTAAGGACTTATACTTAAATAGCTTACTAAATTAGCAGGTGCTTTTAAGATTAAGCTACTATAGCTTTAGTAAAGTTAATTCTGCCTTAAATTTAAATACTAATTTTTTAAAGTTAAAGTTGCCTTTTTTATCTCTTTTTATAATTTAAGCCAGTCTAGTGCTTTTTTTAAGTTTACTTAATAAAGGCTATTATTTAAAAGTTTAAGATTTAGTATTATATTTATTTATATTATTTTTTATAATAACTAGTCTTTTTTATATCTTTTTTTTTTAAAGGCTGGCTTTATTTTAATAGCTAATATAGCTATTTTTAATATTTTTAAAAGGTTTATTATAGTATCCTTTTTTAAAATCTTTTATAAATACTAGGCTATAGCTTTTAATAATAAGACAGCCTCCTTCTTTATACTTATTTAAGCTAAATATATATTTACTAGTACTTTTTTAAATTCTTATAAGTAGTATAATATAACTAGGCAGGAGGCTATAATTAGGCCTATAGCAGGCTTTTACTAAGTTTAACCTTAATTCTTAATAGCTAAAGCGTCTGTTTTATTATATTTTTTAAAATATATAAAAGCAGTATATATATTAATTATAGTTCTTTTTAAGCTAGGCGCAGACTTTTTAAGGTTATAATAGGTTATAGATTTAAGGTATACCTTTTTTTATACTTATAATTATTAATTTAAAGGGGTAAAGTAATAGCTAAAATAGTGCCCTGCTTATTTATATATAAAATAAACTAGCTTACCTAATAGTATAAAAAGTTATTTATTAATATATATATTCTTAGAATTTATATAAGGCAGAAGGTCTTATAATATATTTTATTTAAAAGATAACTTAAGGTATATATATTTAAAGCTTCTCTTAGCCTAAAGTATCTCCTTAAAGTATATAAGAGGCTTTATATATAAGGCCTTAGGCTAGTTTATTAAAATAAGACTAGGTTACTTATATAACTAACTGCTATAGTATTAATTATTACCTTAGCTATAATATTTAGTAAGAGTTAGTAATAAAGGTAGTAGTAATTTTAATATTAAAGTTAAAGGCTATATTAGGTTTTAAGTTAGCTATTATAAAGTTTATTAAAAGCTATAGTAAAATAAGATTAAAAAGCCTAGGGTAAGGCTTATAAAATAGCTTACTACTCCTTAAAGAATAATAAATAGCATTGCTAGATTAAAGCTAAATTCCTTTATTAGGATATAATTAGGGTCTTTTTTAAATCTTTTTTAAATAATATGCTTATAGGCTTTTATATAAGCCTTTTTAAATTAAGCTTTTTTTAAGTCTTTTTATATATAAATAATAGCTTTAGTAGTATTAATTATTATAATAAAAGCTTTTATATTTTTAGTAAATATAGCTAACTAATTAACTACTTCCTTTTATAAGGTCTTATTTTTTAGGCTTATAACTATTTATTTAATAAAGTCCTTTAAGTAATAGTCTTCTGCCTAGGTTAGTAAAGGGCCTATTAAAAGATAATCCTTACCTTTAGCCTTATAAAGGGCTATATAGGCCTTAATTAAATATATTTTTAAGGACTTATTTAGCTTTTATTTTAGTAAATTATTAGATTTTATATTAAAGTTAGGCATATATATAAAAGTAGGAAATTAGTCTTTTAGTATATTATAAAATATATTTAGGTTTTTTATAATAGCTGTTTTATTTAAGGCCTTATTACTAATTTTTTATAAGAAATTAGTAAAATTTATAAATTTTACTATTAGGCTAATAAGGTTTATATTAATATATTTAATTATATAACTAAAAGGGATAGGATTTTTATTATTTAAAGATACTTTTAGGTAATTTAGCTAGTAAAAGATAAAGTAGGATTTATTAAATAAAGTTACTGCTATAGTATATATATACTTTATAGTATTTTTTATATTACTTATATTATTTTAATTATTATCCTTTTCTAGCTTTAAGTAGTATTTTATTTTAGGCTTTAATAAGTCTAAAGGGTTTTATATATTAAACTATATATTAAAATTAAGTTCTAGGTCTTAGTTTATAAAAAAGTAAGTAAAAGAACTAGAATTTTTAATTTTTAACCTATTTTATAATAATTATATAATTTCTTTTAGTAGGTTTATATTTATAATAAAGGCAGATATAAATTTAACTACTAGATTTAAGGCTATAATAATTTATAATTTTATTTTTTAATAAGTAAGGGCCTAACTTTTTAAGCCTAGTTTAAGGGATAAGGGTAATTATTATAGTTAGCCTAGCTTAATTAGACTTTTAAGACCTTATAATCTTAATAATAATTTAAAAGGGTCTTTTTATAATAATATATATAATATAGCTTTTATACTAAAAGTATTACCTTTATAAGTTTTAATAAAATAAATAGGTTTTAAAAGGAATAGGATAATAAGTAAATTTAATAAGTTATATAGGCTAATATACTAGGAGAATATAAGTAATATTTAGCTTTAACTAGCTATATAGCTATACTCTTTATTACTTATAAAATACAGATATATTATAAATAAATTATCCTAAATATAATAAAACACTATTAACCCCTGTCTTAATTACTATAATAAAAATGCAGAGGTCTTTAATAAAAAAGAGGTCTTAATAAAATAAAATTAATTAATTAACTAGCTAGTAAGTGTATATATAGAAGTAAGAGACTAGATCTTTATGGCCTTTATATAGCTTTTTATTAACCTTCCTTATAGTTATATAACCGACCTCTCTAGAAGGGGCTCTTAGCCTACTGTTCCTGCCGTCCCCTTCAGCCATTTAGAAAGCGCGCTCGGCACTGCACTGGTCTGCTGCTTCCTCGAGTGTTACGGTGCCTTCCATCTTGGGGAGCCTCTACAGTACGTACCGCTGCGGCTTTCGCTTCTCGCAATCGCAACCATCTGTGCCTTTTGCTCTCCCACCTCCAGATGCATCACGGCCGACGTCAAATGCGCAGTCGATCAGCTCCCGCTTCGGTGACATCACCGGATCACTGGTGGGTGCATTGAATTGCGGCTATACGAAAATCCTGCCTGCTAATCTCTCAGAGAGCGATCGGCTGCAGATCAACTCCGTCAAGAGCTGGAGAAACCGAGCCATGCCAACCTCAAATCCTGCAGACCTTCGCCATACGAGGAGTCGCCGAAGCCGTGAGATGGCGACGCATCACGGTTGCACCTTGCCTGTCTGATGTGCAAACTGCTCTGCCTGATCAACCGCCCGATGGCAGCTTGACGGCTTTGAAGGTGCATTCGGGCACACATTAAGCGTTAGCAAACTGTGTGGCTACAGCCTAAAGCCGTAGGTGGTCTGCTCTCCCTGCTCCCTTGCTCGGTATTATCTCCGTCGTCGAAGCTCCGGCCTAATAATAACACCTGTGTCGTTAGCTGGCATAAGTGATACCACTTCACTGCCTGTACTCGTACATACGGAGCACGCATGCGACCTGGTCCCCATTGTTGCGGCACGTCCGTTGTCGCTCGTCTTGCCACAGCCCAACACCATCCCTGGGTCCATGACTCCAGCAAGTCGATAGATTTCTTCACACGAGTCCGAGCTGGACTGTGCGTCCATTGGGTCCTGGAGCTAGCATCGGCGCTTTCCCGTCGGTTAGCGGAGCGATCCACCGCTTCGACTGGTTCGGACAAGGTCGGAGTGTTGTGACTGAATGGGACAAGTGAGCCGCGGAGCAAGGGCCCGACTCTGTTCCCTTGCCCGGTCATGGTCCGAGCTGTTGGTGATGAAGCTCGAATGCTACGCTGGCTTCGACGTGATGCTGCCCCGTGAGTGCTTGGTGGTGTTGGCTTACTATATGGAGATTGGGCGTTAACCGTCCTCGAAAGCCGCACCAGCGATAGCGTCCATGGGTTTGATTCTGGCGGGCGGGAGGATCTTCCTGCACGTTGCTGATCAACGCACCCAGCCCCTAAACTGTTCTGGAAGTCTACCCCGGCACTAGCTCACCAGGGGCCTTATCCATTCGTCATGGAGGCAGATCTTCTGGAACCGGCTCATATCCTGCCTCTCCCGCCTCTTGCAAGTTTTGTACGCCGTTGCTTCGTCAGCGTCGTACCTTCGGCCTCCTGCTGTATCATCGACGACGATCCCTCCGTGCAGCCTAGCCAACTTGCCGATGCTACTGTACAACTTATCAGCCATTGGCAGATCGAGCGGAGTGATGCTTCAAGCCTAAACTTTGATGATGGCGATCAGCCCGCGTGCTCAAGACCTGAGAGCTCTGCGGGTGCCTCCACAGGCCGAGGCAAATCGATGTACAGGGCAAGTCGGCCATGTCTCGCCACGTCCACGTTCTGGCCTCTTCAGCCTCAGCCATGACTGTACGAGTACTGTACAGCGTTGTGTGTCGACTTGGCAGTATGGTAGCACCACTTTCAAGAATCGGACATCGTCATCGACAGCGGGAGCCGGCCGCTTTCATCGGCCACTGTTTCACACCGTTGTCGGTAGAGTGAGGGCTCCCTTTTACAACAACCGCAGCACTTGTTGAGCCAACTCCGTGTGCCAAATTTGCGGAGTCGGTGCGGAGCAAGGAGCCTACGGAGTGCCTCAGGTACGACGGCGGCTACAAGAAACCGTTCAACATGCTCTCGGCCAAATAACATCACAAGCGTCTGATAATCCACGAATGGGCGAAGGGTGCTAATTTGCAGAGCAAATGACGGTCTCAAGGGATGCAGTCCGTATCAAGCATGGGCCGCCAGCCTTCCATCGTCCATGACGCATGATTGAATTTACCCGTGATGATCACAGCGAAATCTAGTTGGTACATATCCGTCGTTGGTACAGTACAGTAGTTGGCCCATGTCTCTGGAGGTATGTATGTATGTGTTGTGAGGTATGAAGCAGGATGCTATGAATATACGTGCTGACAAAGAATACTGGATAGGCTCGTCCCTGCGGTCTCTCCTACCTGCTCCCGGCCGGTCCAGTGTGTTTGTAGGGAGGGGGCTGTCCCGGAGTCGAGTGGTCTGTTTCCTCACTACGACAACATCGAGCCTCACTTCTCCGGCGCCCCGGGGGGAGGCAGGATCCTGACCTTCCAGAACATCTTGACAGCTCATTTCAGCGGCTCAAATATGGATGTGCTCCACGCAAACGGAGACACCTGCCCTAACAGATTGCAATTACCCGTAATATGTCATGACCGTGAGGGCTCACCCCCTGTCAAGGGTACAACGTTTAGGAAATAGGATCGACGAAAATTTTTGAAAGCCCTGCTGACGAGGAAACTGCATGGATTTTCTCTTCAGGGAGGGGGATGGCCGTCGACCCCATCAAGACAGCAGTGAACGTGCTAGGAGTGTTCAAAGGCCCGCGCTGTTTGGAGATGATGGCTTAGCTGGCGATCGAACAACGGCAGTTTGACAAGGTGGTGCTCCTCCGCACAACGACGCAGTCGACTAGGTATTGCGCCGATACACCCAACATGCAGTGCTCGTACAAGCACTCATTCTGCCAGCTGCGCGTTCCGTAGTCGGTATTGGTGAGATCGCTGTCAGGTTGCAAGAGCAAGAGACAACAACAGTTAAACCGAAAGTCGTGGCTTTTTGCCGTTTTGCAGTCGACCTTACAAGTCCGAGCAAGGGACAGCAACCTAGTTATGACGACGCACGTAGCATCAGCCCTCTGAAAACACAGGGTGTTACTTGCTACATACGGCGTGGGAGAAGCAGGAGGACTCGCTCAGAACGGCAAACGGCGACCAGAGAGTGCCCAAGCGCGGGCAACACTCCGCTGAGAACATGAAGGAAGAGACAAACTAAAACCCCTGCCCCGAGAGTGCTCCTTGACTGGGCAGATCATGACACACCTTGCTGCTCATGCTGGCAGAGCAGGGGTCTCAGCCAAGTGGCGCTTGCATCGACCAGGTCTGGCTGGGAGAATCACGCAACCCGAGGACAATCTACTGGCTGCTCCCTGGGCCTCTGCTAGCACGACGATCATTAATTAGCCTGTACTCTGTCCCCCCCATGGCGGCGAGGCGCACTCCAGACACTCGAGACTGGACGCCACGCCACGAGGTGATGACCGCCCGCTCTGCAAAACCACGATTTGTGGCATTGATTAACTGTTTGCTAGCGCTTGGAGATGGAAGGCCTAGAACGGAGCTAGCCCTGGCTGCAGCTCGAGATAACGCCGGCGCCAGCACGAGTTCCCACGACGAGAGTTTGCCGAAGTCGATGGCGGACCGCCACCGCGCGAGTTGAGGTGTTCACCGAAGGAGCGGAGGATCCCGTCGCAACTCGGGGCTGGATCGCTTGTTCAAGTGGAATACGTGATGGAGAGAGGGAAGGCGGTCGAAGCCTGGAGTCGAGAGATGCTGCCTCGACCCGGGATGATATTTGACTGGACACGCACAAAGCACGACATTGTAAAAGCATCACAGCCATTCTCTGGGTCTGCAGACCGTCTTTTACTCTTCACCTTTGGCGGCCAAACGGATCGAGATTGTTGGTCGCTGTGACGCCCCGATGACGACTTGGATCGCGTTAGAAAAACGACGGAGCGACGCCGCCAGCTCAGGTCCTGCTTCACTCTCGCGTGTCACCCTTAACGCATCCGCGGGCATTACTCATCAGCTTGGCAAAGTCCAGTAGACGGAGCGCCGTGATCCACGGTTCCGCGAGTCGTAGATCGTCTCAAGTTGTGCCAGGTATCTCCAAAGAAGGGGGGATTTCCGACGCGGGGCGGCTTCTCGGGGCGCTTCAAACGCTTCCCCTTTGCTTTTTTTTTTTGGTCTACGGGCAACAGGCGAATAGAAAGGCTACGGCGTGTTACCACTATTGCTCGTACTCCTGCTGCTTCGAGGCAAGCAAACTGCATGCTAACGAGCTACTAGCAGTGTGCTGCAATGCGAGGCAGTCCTTTGGCTGGGGATGCGGCCGCCGCCGTTGATGCGTCTTACAAAGACCGACCACTCGCATTGAAACAAAGCTCTTTGATACACCCCCTTTGCAAGCCCGCAGCACAAAGCCTGCGGCAAAGCCAACGCCGGGGCATCAACATCATGACTGGAAGGGACACGGCCGTTCGGGATCGCTCGGCAGTGTATTACTTGGGTATTAGTATGACACAAGCACAAGCACAAGCACAAGCACGCGTCCGTTGCGGATGCGATGCTGAAGCTGGGAGAGAAAAAGGAAGAAATTGGCGTCTGGGACCAGGGACGCTTGGCGCTCGTCGCTCACGAAATCACAAGAGCACAGCACAAGTGCTCTCCGTCGCGGCCCACCTTTGCCAACGGCCTTGACCACACAATGATCCCTGATGACAATCCCTGGAGCTCCGTCCAGCCACCACCATGCAATACCACCCACGCCTACGATCTCTATCCGCGGTCCCGGTCAAGGAGAGCGACCAAAATAGGCCCCCACCTTGGACACGCCTCGTGTTGTGCCACCACACCCCTCTGCTGGTGAGGCTAACGGCACTCCCTGGACCTGGGTCCGTTTCCTCCCTGGGAGCAGGAACAAGTGCTGGGGAGGCCCCAATCCCGAAAGCCTAGAGGTGCCCTGCAAGTCGATGTCATCTCTATCCACCCCCTTCTTCTTAGTGGCTTGGACGCCCGTTTCCACCCCAGTTGTTTAAGCCCTCCCCCCTGGTATGGTTAGATGGGCCGAGCTTCCCAGACTTTTTCCTGGGAATGATGGCTTTGGCTTCTTCTGACCCAGACCAGGGGGGGGGGAGGGGTGTTGCACTCCTAATATCTGCGATGTTCAAAGGCCGGGGGGTTCACTTCCTAGCCTGTCGTGTGGGATACTTAATGTCTACGGAAGACAGATCTGATATGCCGCTCCACACCCCAAACCGCTGGTCTCGTTCCCATAGCGGCTCAAGCTACTTACTTATATACCATCTCCAGTCCCCCCCCCTTCTCGTTTCTCCTCTGGATCGAAAGCTTCGACGACGGACGATTTGGTACATCTCTGCTTGCTAATCAACGCCAACAAAACCCCACTGTCGAAGTAGTCAAACAACCCTCGACTCTGGGCTTCACCTCACGAAACATTATATACGGCAAATTCGACGTCTGCGCCCGGCTCTCTCGAGGCTGCCTCACATACCCTTCTTGACTCCTCCCCCTCCCGCCTCAACCAACCAACCAACCAACCCAACCACATAATGGCGTTGGTTTCTTCCTTCACATCTCCTCCGTACGGAACGCAGTATTCTGGATATTACCGGCCTCCTCCGTCGCCGCCCATGGACGAGCCAAAGTGCTCCCTGCCCTCCATCTCCAACCTGTTGGGCCTTGCCGATGCAGGCTCACTGGCGAGCGAAGCAGCCTTCAAGTCTCAACACAACTCTCCCCGACCCTATGCCATCAAGGCCGAGAGCCGCCCGTCTTCTCGACACAGGGCGCTGCCGCCCACACCGCCCATGTCCACAGATGCGTCGTTTGACCTTCGCCGCTCTCCGTCCAGCAAACCCAGCAGCATCCCGCACGCTGCTCCCAGCCACTACTATGAGACCACCCCCCCTGTAGAGGCCCATGATGCTCACCGTCATCGGATGGCTCCCTCTCGGCCTACTGTCTCAACCTCGGCCGCCCAGCAGCTGCCTGCCATGTCATCTGCCCCGTCTCCTGCCAGCAACTACTACCCCGTGCAGAGTCTACCTCCGCCGCCGCCTCCTCCTCAGGTGCCTGGTCTTCACTATCAACGTCCGCTGCCCCAGTCCTTCCCGCCGCCGCCTCCTAGCCCTCTGAGCGTAACACCCTCCGGCGGCTACGTCTGGCAGCATCACCACTACCTCAACCCGTCCAACGGGATCCCCTTCCCGCCCACCCAAGACCGATACATTTGCCAGACCTGTAATAAGGCCTTCAGCCGGCCCAGCAGCCTGCGCATCCACAGCCATTCGCACACTGGCGAGAAGCCCTTCAAGTGCCCTCACACTGGCTGCGGCAAGGCCTTTAGCGTCCGGAGCAACATGAAGCGCCACGAGCGAGGCTGCCATGGCTTTGACGTCGGCAAGGGACCTATTCTCCTTGCATAAACGTCTCATACGCTGGGTCTTTCTTATTCTTTATTTCTTCTTTTGCACGGTCTATCAAGGGAAAACGGATGAAGAGCATCCGCACATTCATAAAAGAGCTGGGAATTAGAAGGCACAAGATGCCGACGGGTCGCAACGGGCGAAATCCGAGCCTCAGGAGGGCTTGTTCATTTCATCCTTGTCTTTTCCTTATTACATTTTTTTTTCTCTTGTCGTTTCTTGTCTACTTGGGTCCGCATGGCGCCGGGGAGGAAAGCGTCCTGTTTCTTTTCTGACTTGTTTCGTAACAAGTCTCGGGACGTGTTCATGAAATGGGTTATCGTCGGTCCTACTACTACCACTACTGCTTTCTGCCCCTAAGAGCAGCGCCATGAAGCTGCACTGGGGGGAAAAAACCAAGTCTGTATCATTGTCTATGGGACAATCTTTGCGTGCTGGAAGGAAAGCTCTTGGAAACAATCCAAATTGCAGAGCAGTGCATCAGTATGGCGTTTGAATTCTAGTTTTTCTTGCGTTGATTTCTCTTGAGCAAAAGGACATCAGGGAAATCTTTGGGAGGGCGGCTATTGAGCGCGGAAAAATCTAAATAGCTATGTACTTTGTCCGTGTGGTGTATATAGATGCAAATCGAATCTCGCGCGAGACAAATCAATATCATCTTAACCATGACCTCTTTTGTGCCTTTTTATTTTCTCGATTTTTTTTTCCTTCTCTAAATACAAATAGGTGTCTGGTGATCTACAGGTAGTAAGTATACTATACTAGTATGAAGATTTGGTGAACTGAAGTTGATTGCTTCCTTTGGCCTTTGGGCATCCTCCTTTCTCTGTACAACCACCCACCGACTTGTCTCACATTTTCTCCGCGGCGAGACACACACAAACGAAAAAAAAAAAAACGGGCGGGCGATTGATTTCTTTTACTAGGTAAGTATTACTTCTTTGTGCTTCCTTCGAAACATTCTTCCGTAACGGTCTTGTGTGTCCCCAGAGAGCGATCCCATCTCATGCCCCCACACCTAGCACAGACGCAAGATCTGCCTCTACTCTGTCTCTCTTTTTTTTCTTTCTTTTTTTTGTGCCTTGTACCTAGTAAGGGGATAATAGTAGTAGTATTGGGTATGTGCGTCTGTGTATATCCGACGTTTTTATTTCCGTAGGATTTGCTGGCGGATTTCGTTCGTGGTCAAAAGTTGCTGTTAGTAGTTTTTATTTTAATCTTTTGACACTAGTAAGACACGAGCTGCGTCCGTTTTTCTCTCCAAGGCATTAATGATTTCCATGGTAGGAAGTAGGAGAATGCGTTGAAGAGGTACAGTATGTAGAGTAGTAGTACGGCTATCGGCTTCTACGCGAAAAAAAGGACGTCCCCCGTCCGTCTCACGCCCATCCTCTTGTTTCTCCCCCCCTCTTGAAGCTTTGAAGAAAGGAACCCGAGGGGGGGGGGGGGGGTTTCCTTGGTGGTGCTGTTTCTCGGTTCCCCATGTCGATCCTCCTCCTCATCAATCTTCGCTATCCCTTCTTCTTCTATACAAGTGGTACGATTGTGTAATGATACTAACGAAAAGGGAAGAAGAAAAAAAAATGATCTGTAATACAAAAGAAGAGGAAAAGCAACGATGATGCAGGAATCCCAGCGGGAAATCCTCCCGGTTGGCTCGTGCGCTGGAGAAAGTAAAAGAAGAAGACGGCACTTTGAAACGTAGCGGGTGTGTGTGTGTGTGTGCCGAGGACGGTAAAACGGCTGTTTTGAGGGGGAGAGGGGGGGAAGTTTTGCCTTTGTTGGACGGAGTATTTTAGTACTATCGTCGAGTTTGTGGGCGATGGAGGCTTGCAGCGTGTGAATAATATAGTACGACCTAATACCTAAACTTCATACCTATCCTTAACCCCCTCTTGTATGGTGAGGTGGGTGGTGTCAAAAAGATATCTACGTGTAGGGAATAGTATTGCTGCTTCTACTGCTTCGTAAGGAAAGTCCTAGAATAAGTGATTCTATTTGGAGGATCTGCCTCGTTGCTTTTGATCTTGCTTGACGGAGTGAGATCAGGTGAGAGTGTAATACCGGAGTTTCTAGGTATAATTCTGCGGCGGCATATAGGAGCTTTGTCTCAAAGGACAGCCGATTGCTGAACCCGCAGCAGCGCAAAGCTATCATGGAAAGTACGGTGTATGAGCATGGGGCATGAGGGAGATACACTCATTAGATTAATAACGCCCCAATGCTCCTGATGTTGGGCGGTTGCGAGGCGCGTCCTGGGAAAGTAATAGAGAGCCGACACCACAATGAGAGCCAAACGCCGAGAGCCGCCACGGACGAATCCAAACAAGAAGGCCATGCCTGTTAGGCCATGACAAATTATCGGCATCATCACACACCCCATTCATCAGCTAATATGTTTGCGTTTTGCCCTGGTTTGCGATCCTTCTGCGGTTGAGCGTTCTAAAAGGCAATGTCAGAAAGCTTAATCTCTTGTTCTCGCAGGGCCGAGTCCTATTTCCCCGTGCCTGGTTATCTTTAGATCCTGTGATTCGTAAGGCTCGCTCATCCCAAGATGGTCGTGTTCGTTTGGGTTGGAAGGAATTGTAGGGGAGGGTGGCCAGTTAATTTCGTGATAGTGCCAACAGGACGCATCCATACAGACAACGATGCCAAGCAGGACGGACGGACAGGGCCCGAGATAGCAGCAGATTGTCCGGACGAGAAGCGTAAAGTGACAGCCACAGAGGGCGCGCGCGCGGCGGGGGCGGCCGCTGGCGTTGGCGATGGGGGGAGGGGGATGGACGTAGGATCTGTGGTTATGGAAGTGGGAGTCAAAGTGGCCAATTGCCTGAACATGCAATGTACGTCTGCACAGACTTGCTTTTCCCCAAGGTCTTCTGCGAGAAGGGGAGAAGAGAAGAGGCGAAGCTAGGCCGCCTTTCCAAACGAGGAAATATCCGCGCGGGCGCGGCTGGGGAAGAGACGAGAGACAGCAGCTTGCTGCAGCGGCAGTAGTATGTATGTACACGTACAGTAGCAGCAGCAGTAGTAGCAGCAGCGCAGCAGCAGTCGGCATGAGAACATTTGCATGGGTGTGATTGCTCGGACCTGGAGCGTCCAGGATGTCTCTTAGACGCCCCTTGCTCTTGCAGGGCAGGTCCCAGAGATTCAGGCTCCCCGATTGTTCGTAAACCGCTGATCTGCATATCCGGACGGGGGGTTTCTTGGGGTTTCCGGCTTGTTCAAGGGCGACATTGAACAGGTACTGGAGGGGGTGCGTGCAAAGAGAGACCTACGGCATCTCGCCTGCCTGAACTCCTTGTCGTGGCGGCGTTTTGGGCCGGGATTGGGAGGCAAGAGACGGAGATGAACCGTCGCGGAAGAGGTCATCGTGAGAGTCACCAGAATATAGCCTCGAAGCACGAGCATCCGCCTGTACGAGTAATAGTCTGTCCGAAAGGTCAATCAGTCAGTACAAGGCGGTCGTGCACTTTGGCTCGTGTGTCCAGGGGGTGACTTGCAGCCCAAACCAGACGATGATTTTAGCACAGTCTTACCCAATGCATTACTAAGGATACCTGGCCACCACCTCCATCAGCTGGCGTTCCAAGCTGCATGCCCGCGGCTGCGGACTAGCCATGGGCTACGGAGCATTACCCCGTTCGTCTCGCACGGAACCGCTGGACTTCTCGTACGAGGCACAAGCTTAGCGGCATCGAGCTTGCCTTGGATCCAGGCAGAGGCGCTGGGCTGAAAGATAAACCCCAAGCGAGCTCTCCAAGGGGAGAGAAGAGATGAGACAGAGAGCGCATAAGACAGCCGCGGAAGAGGAGCCGCCGTGTTCAAATCGAGGCAGTATGCCCGCGTTTGAGCAAACCGTCACAGGCGGCAGCATGCGAGCTGATTGCACCTAGTTGAAGACGGCCCTTGTCCCTTTTCGTCGACCGGTACTCAACTCTGTTGCTATGTATCAGCGCCTATCAGCTTACTCCTTGTGCAAGTTGATGATTCGGAGTAGCCAGCGGCAGTGACAGAATCAATGCTACCTTGGGTGGCTGTCGAGATGAACTGGCGCTGAGCTGACAGACGGACTAGGCCTGCTCAAGAAGGGAACTAAGTCGACGTGGTGCTCCATGTATATTCAGACGGGCTTAATGGAGTGCTATCACCGACTTGCTGTTAGTCGTCGGTAGCATCAAAGCTGCTGATGGTTCACCTGTAACCATGGGTAGCATCGAATGGTTGTTGGTGTGATGCACCTCTGCGGACATATATCCGCTCTGCTGCTGGCGGTGGCTTTGAACTGCATCGTGCATTATCAGGCGGGCACCCAAAGTCCTCGATCGATCATCGAGGGCCATAGGACAAAAGGAAAACAAGGCGCCGGCGGTGGATCATGTCCGGCTCAGATAGCCTGGCGGGCTACGTGTGCGGGACAAGTTCTCCGTATACTACTAGTATCCAGGTAAGCACATAAAGTTCTAGATCCGTCGATGAGATGCAAGGAGGCGTCCTCTGCTTTGACGGATTTCGCGGATCAGGCAACATTAGCAGGGCTACTCAGCACTCTATCAGAGGACGACGCCCAGCTCGAGCACTGCCAACTACCTAGAGACGCAGGAAAGAGACAACAGCAAAAAGCAAAAACAGGCACGCGGCAAGGGAGGAGGGGGTGTTGTTCTCGAGACGACTCCAGTTTTGATGTGCGACACGGATGGGCGCTACGCCCTAGATCGACAGAGTGCATGCGTTGGCGCCAGAGGAGGTCTCGGGATTGCTCAAGAGGCCTGGGCTAATGAGAACGAGATGGATGGATGGATGGATGGATGGACGTTGGATGTAAACGCAACGCCAGGAGCAGGCTATCGATGCGGGACTAAGGCAAGCGTCACTTCAGCCGTACGCACAAGGGGGCGAATCACAGCCTAGTGGCGGCGGGATAATCTGGGTTAATTGGCTGGAATAGAAGACCGTGAGAAGGGATACCGCAAGAATCAGGCCACATCGGACGAATCAACAGGCTGGCAAGGTCTCGAATCTCTTGACGAGTCGCGGTGTTGTTGGAAACCACTGTCTGGATGGCCACACACAGGTACGAAGTAGGTAAGAAACGAAGACGACCTACTGACCTGTACACATACATGTACGAAGCATGTGCGAAGTCCGCAGCATGCGACATGCAATAATGCCACCGCTGGCAATTACTGGCATCGGGTGCCCGGTGTTAAGGCCCTTCCACTTGGCGTTGGGCGTTCGTTCCGCTATTACCCTTTTGCTGCGGGTGCTGGTGATGATGCTGCAACCGACTCTGGCGTCTCGTAACCGCTGTTGAGGGAGCAAAAGAGCTAGAAAAAGCAAGCTGTCTCGCTCTTGGGGCTCCTATTGCTGCTTGTTGTTTTGGCGACTCTATGACGAGGACGAGTCTGGCTCTTAGAACTGCTCCTGGGTTGCATCTGCCGAGTGGCTCCCCCTGTCGCCTGGTCCTTGTAATCGATGAATCAGTTTCTCATCTCATCTCTCTCTCTCTCTCTCTCTCTTTCACACACACACTTAGACCTGTTGTTCCATGTGTCTTGCGTGTTCCGTAATCCCACTGACCTTACGGAATACGACTAATACGCAACGCCTTGTAGCTTCCCAAGAACTCCTCGTAGTGCAAGGACCTACTACCAAGGGCCGCGCAAACCAGCATCATTCAGCTGCGCCCTCCTGGCAACTTGCTCCGAGCCGAACGACTTGGGGGACCGCGCCGGCGCAAAGGCCTGGCCGCGCATCCGGAACCGGCGGAACTTCTAGAAGTTCGTCATTGTCCATGAATCAAGGCCGCGCCAGTCACGAGGAGGCGTTGACTCGAGGCACCGCTTGCGCAGCTGTCTGGCGATGGCGTCTGAGTTGTCAGGGAGCGCGGAGACGGTGCTTGCCTGGGCCATGTCTCGCACGTGGTGCCAACGAGATTGCTGGGACAGCTTTAGGTTTAGATGAGCCTGCTGGCGCGTACCGTCAGGCTGGTAGCGCCATGGGACGCTGGGACGAGGGGCCGAGCTTAGATCCCAGACATGTCATTTCACACCGTGCTTCCGGCATGGCTTGGGCTAGACTCACGGCAGCATGTTTTCGCGTAGGAACCGCTTGATTTCGCGTCCCGCTCAGCTCTCAGCTCTCAAGACAAGAACCCGGCAGTGGTGTTCGGGAACCAAAGGGCGTGTGCCTTGATCTCTCCACGGATTTACGCCGCGAATTCGTACTAGCTCCATGCCTCGAGACGGAGCGTGATCCGGAGCCAGAGGGCCAACCACCTGAGACAAGTGTATTCGAGGCCTGCATTGTGCGGCTGAACCATTGGCTCGGAACCCGGAAGCCGTTGAGAAAACCACCGCATCTCCAGACGCTTGCATGTCAGTGTCAGCTATCTGCAGTGTAGTCATGGGAATTTCTCCTTCGGCGGCAGAAGGCAACTCACGTCCTTGAGAATGGATAGAGTTGACAGGACGGAAAAGAAAAGTAGAGAGGGGGAGAGTCATGACGACCCAGCAGATAATGTGCTTAGAGTTAAAAAGAAGCAAAAGCATTTTCAAGAACCTAAAGCGTAGTGTTCTGTCGGCACATACTGCTCAGGTTTTTTCACCTGTTGAAGCCCAGGAGCTTGGAACGAGCACCCCCTCGACTCCAGCCCTGAAATGACAGCCCCCGCCTTGAAGGCATCGCGTTGCACCTGATTCACCGGGTAAATCACCAGATTCACACGCGCTGCTTCCCACTCGCCGTGACCTCAATACCCTTAGTCAGCGGTGAAAGGGCCACCGAATCGTCGATGGCCGCGTGATTTATGTACCTGCCAGTCTTCGAAACGAAATACGAAGCGCCGAATCATGTACAGCCGTCGTCATCGATTCTCTCGAAATGGTGATTCCAGCTGCAAAACAGACAACTAGCAAGGGGCCTGGCGAGGGGAAAAGCGTCTGACAGCGCGCTTGGTGTCTTCTCTGCGGCCGCTCGTCTGTTCATCTGGCTCGCGCTCTGACTTTGTTAGCCGGAGATCTTTCTTTGTTGTCGACTCATCACCTCCCAGTCTTTCTAGAGGTACGAAGACCCATGCAGCCCTAAACCAGAGCTCCACCAGGTGCCGAACTTGCACTCAGCGCTCCGTGCCACACACCCCTTTCCAGCCATGAAAGCCGAGTTGGTTAGGCACGCCAATGTTCAAGTAAAAGCGGACTTGCCCCGGTGCTGACGGTGCTCGTTCGGCGGGCCGCGCGAATCCTCGTGGCATTCTTCTCCAGTTTTACCAAGTTTCCATTACTACTCGTACTGTATTTGGCGGTCGACTTCGTCTGGAGGCACTCTAGCACCCAGCTGCGGGCTCAGTCCTGCTATTGACACTAATAACACCTGCTCGGGAATCTTGCGACATGAGTTGCGAACCGTGGATACTAGTAGTCAGTAGAGTTCTCGCTGGGAGATGCGGAGTTGAAATTTGACTTGCCGCCCGGACTCCGTAGACGAACACATCAATCCCGTCGGAGGGGAGCTCCGGTAACAATGTTACTCGTTATTTCTCTGCATCTCAGCTTGTCGAGCTGCTGGGCCATACTTTTTCCAAGCGATGAGCGGGTGTATATCCGTTTCATTCTCCCGGCTCGCTTGAGTGATGTCGGTAGGATAAATGACCTTGCTGCCAGGTCAGATTGAAAGCTCATTGATTCCATTTGCCGTGGCTGCAAGAGGGGGTATCCTGGCGAACCATAAGTGTTGTTTCTGCTTGGTTTCAAACGAGCTGTTCGGAGGCCTGTTTCTGTGTCTATCAGTTCTCATCAAGAGTGATCAAGACATGATTAGGCAGTCAGGATTGTGATCGATCTGAACACCACCAAGACAAGTCCAATTGTCCGTATTACCAATGTCATAATAACTCGTACTTAAGGTGCTACCTTAAATAACCCATGCACCCTGGTCTAATATAACCTATACTCTACTTTTCTAAATTTTTTACTATATTAAAAAACCTTATATAACCTATACTTTCTGTAATTTAATTAGCTAAAATTTTTAAAAAGTAAAGCATAGGTTATATTAGCTTTTATGCTAAAGTTAAATACCTTTTTAATATAATACTAAAGCTAGAATAAATATATCCTTTATAAGATCCTATAGGTTTATTATAAATATATTATAAATGCATTTATAATAGATTTATCTTAAGCTCCTGCTAGTCCTCTTTTTAATAATAATAAGTTTAAAATTTTACTTAATATTTAGCTTTTAAGGCTTTTTATTATAGTAATAATAAGAAGAAGCTATTATATAAGTAAAATGCATTTACTATTTATTAATAATAAATTACTAATATATTATATAAGAATCCTAGTAACCTAATAGCTTTTTAAAGCCACCTAGTAGGATAAAGGCGCTAAACTATATTTTACTATTATTTAATCTAGTCTAGTTTAATTACTATAATTAATAAATTAATGCTATTATAATAAATAAGATTATATACTTAATATATATACCTAAGTGGCTAATTATATTAAAATTAGGTATAGCTTATTTAATATTCTTAAATTAGCTTACTAAAGCTTAATAATAACAGCCTTAAGATAATATAAATATAATATATTAGTAATGCATTTATAATAAATTATTAATATATTATAAATTTAGTACTATCTTAATATAAAAAAACCTAATTATAAAAGCATATTATAGCTTTTAAACTTAATCTTAGTAATATATTATAAATTCTATTATATAAGCATAAAGGTCTGCTAATATCTTAACCCTTTATTATATAACTTTTACTATTTAAAGGTTATAAAAAAGTATTAGGTAACTTAGTAAAAGCATTAGGTAAAGCTATCTTAACTAAGTTATTAATAGGAAGTACTTAGGTATATAAATATATTAGTAATAGCTATATAATAAATTAGTAATAGCTTACTAATATATTATATATTTATAGCTAGTTATATATAATTCTAGCTAATTATAATAAAAAGAAGGCTTATAAGTATAGTTAGAATATATAGGATAATACCTGCTAATTATAAATTATTTATTTTATAAAGAATATAAGTAGTTTTATTATAATACATTATAAATAGTTTATTAATAAATTACAGTTTATTACTATTATAAAGAATATATTTATATAATATATTAATTATATAAATGCCTTATACTATTATAAAATGCTTATTAAGCTAAAATACTAGCTATATATACCTATTATATAAAAGCTTTTTATAAGTGGCTTATAAATTAATAATAACCTTTTAATATTAAAAATATATACTATAATTAATTATAATACTTAGTAAAGGAAGATATGCAGTAAGTTTATATAATATATATATAATATATTAATAACTTATTACTAATATATTATTAATAATAATATATATCCTATTTAAAAAAGGTAATATTAAATAACTTAAGTATAATATTATTTACTACTTTTTTATTTTTTATAATTAGAATAAGCTCTCCTTTACTATATCTTTTTATAATACTTATATATATCCTCTACTACTATTATTAAAAGTGCCTTAATATCTTATTACTTAGCTATAGCAGATAATTAATTTAAATAATATAAATTATATTATACTAAGTAAGTTATTAGTAATTTATTACTAATGCATTACCTATATATTACTAATGCATTCTTTTTAAGTAACTAGAAGCGGTTTTAAGGCATTTAGTGCCTATTATAATAGTATAGTAAAAAGATATTAGCTAACCTTTATCTAAGCCTTATTATAAATAATTAGCTTATAGCTATACTTAAATATTATTAGGAGATATACTAGCTATTTAGGTTTAGTAGGCTAGGCGCTTAGTATAAGTATTTAAGGATAGAGAAGGATTTAAATTATATAAGTTATATATAACTTATTATAAATATATTATTAATATATTACCTTAATATATTTAGCTATTTTATAATAATAGTAAAAATATGCTTATTATACTTTTTTATAAAAAGTAAATAAAGCTTTTTAAGTATATTAAGACCTTTTAGGTTAATATAAACTTTAAGCACTTAGTAAACTAGGAGAAGGAAGTTATATAGTCTTATTATAGTAAAAAGAGCTAGCAAGGTATATTAACTATAATATATTATAAAGAGGTTATTAATATATTACTATTAGTCCTTTTTATTTTATATATTATTATAATTAGAGAGTTATATAAAGGCTATTACTTTATATATAAGACTATTTTTAACTTTATTATTATTAAATATTACTTTATATTAAAGTAGTACTATATTTATTAAAAGGGAATATATAGTATTACTTTTAATTAAAATATAGTAAATATTATTAATATATAATACTTTATAAATTTATTATAAATGCCTTATTAATATATTACTTTTTATAATAAGGTTTAATAACTATTTTTATAATATTAATCCTTTATATAACTAGGAATAGTATATAAAGTATAGTATTTAACTCTACTATATTTATTTTAAATATAGGCTAGGTATAATTCTATTATTATTATATTTTAAATATATTACTAATATATTAATTTCTCCTTAAAGACTATAATATATAAGATTAATAATAAAGAGAGGGGTATTAGCTTATTTTTTTATACTATAAAAGGCTTGCTAAAGTATATAACTGCTTATAATATATATAGCTTTTTTTAAAGTAAATTAAGGCAGGTTAGTACTTTTTATTAAAATGTATTAGTAATATATTAGTAATACTTTACTAATTTCTTATAGCTTACTTAAAACTTAAGAGATAGGTTAATAATAAGGCTTAAGTTATTATTATAAGCAGGCTATGCTTTACCCTTTTTAATATAATTAAAGAATAATAAAATACTTATAAAAGTTATACTAATTATATAAAGGTCCTTTATAAGGCTTTTTATAATATAAATAGCTATTATATAATATTAGTAATAATAATTTAAAAGTAAGTTTATATAGCCTCTTACCTATTTTAGTAATACCTTTATAATATATTACTAATATATTACTATAAGAATGCATAATAGGATTTTAGTAAGCTTTATATAAGTAAGATTATAACCTCTTATAATATTTATATATTATATTATAATATATCCTTATAAGGCTAATTTAAAAATGCTAATTAATAAAAGTATATATATTTATAATATATTTATAATAGGTTAGTAATATATTATTAATATATTATAGGCTAGTAATATATATAAAAGCATTTTATTATATTAAAGTAAGAAGAGATTATAACTACACTTTTAATAAGTATTAATAAGCTTAAGTTCTTATCCTTATTATTATTAGCTATTCTTACCTGCTTATAGTTAACCTTATTAAGTATGCTAAATATAAGGAGAAGGTAATATATTATATGCCTATTATAAATATATTATAACTAAAGCTAATAATTATATAATTATTTAGCCTTATAAAAGGAGGATCCTAACTTATAACTTTAATAAAATATTCTAGCACTAAAGGTTTAAAAGCTAGAGTATTAAATAGCCTTTAAAGTAATAAAATAAGGTAATAATTTATAAAGCAGTTATAATATATAAATAATATATTAAGTATATAGTACTTATAAAAACCTTATAGTTCTTTATAATATATTTATAATATATTCTTAATATATATATTTATACTTTTAATATAAATATTATATATATAAGGTAATAGTTTATAATATATACTAAATATATTACTTATATATTATAGTCTTATAAATATCTTTTACTATTATATATAGTCCTTATATAAATATATAGACTTTTAATATAATAATACATTTAAAAAGTATTAAAAAAGCATTTACTAAATTAGTATTAGCTTTATAAGATATAACTTTAATACTAGACTGTAATGCATTTATAATTTATTAATAATAAATTACTTTTTTATAACCTTCTTTTTATTTTTTTTTATCTTCTTACTTTCCTTATTATTAAATATATTAATTAGGATATTTTAAGCTAGCTGCTAAAAGTACTTTTAAATAGCGTAAATGCATATTATAAACTTAGGCAGATATATTAAAGTAATATATTAGTATTTAATTTATAATATATTACTAATTTATTAGCCTTATTTACTTACTACTATTTAGCTAGCCTTAATAGTATTTACACTTAGCCTTAATACTAAGGCTAGTATCCTTTTTTATAGCATAATAGTTTACTTAAGAAATAAATGTATTAGTAATAAAATATAATATATTAGTAATATATTAGTAAAAAATACCTTACCTTAAATGCAGCCTTTACTACTGCTTTTATAAAAAGGGAGGTTTAAATTATTAATATTAAAGCTTAAGCATTATAAAATATTATAGCTAGGTAGTGCTTTTATAAGTATTATAAGTAAGGGTATAAGACCCTTATTATTATTAAGGGCCTTTATTATATTATAGTAATACTTTATAATATATTAGTAATATATTTTAAATATATTAGTAAAAGGTTAGTAATACCTATAGCATTTAATACTTTTTAATTACTAGCAGTCCCTTTTTATACCTCCTTAAAGGTGCTATAGTAGCTATAAATAATATAGTTCTTAAGGTTTAAAGTATATAAAAAAGGTTAATTTTAAGTAATATATTAGTAATATAATACTAATGCATTACTAATGCATATAGGTTATAAGTAGTGCCTTATATTAAGATAGAGGTTCTTACTACTTATAAGTATATAATAGAACACTTTTTTAAATAAGAGGATAATCTTACTAGTCTTTTAAAGTGCAGATATATTAGCTTTTTATAATGCATTATAAATATATTATAAATGCATTAATAAATTTTACCTTATATTTAAATAGCGCTAGTCCTTTTTAATATATGCTGCTAGCCTTATTACTATTAGCTAGTTATTTAGCCTTATAGTAAATATAAGTATTATACTGCTTTAGTATAATTAATATATATAGTATAGTAATATATATAAAATAGGTTAGGAATATATTAAAAATATATTAAAATATTATAATGCTATAGAAGTTATTAGCACTAGAGGTTATATATTAAAGAAAGAAGGGATAAATAGTTAATATATTAGAGAGGTATTTAACTTTAGTATAAAAGCTAATATAACCTATACTTTACTTTTTAAAAATTTTAGCTAATTAAATTATAGAAAGTATAGGTTATATAAGGTTTTTTAATATAGTAAAAAATTTAGAAAAGTGGAGTATAGGTTATATTAGACTAGGGTGTATAGGTTATCTGAGGTAGCACCTCCTTATACTTAACACTCTGTAACGCTAGTTTGCTGCGACTAGCAACCCCCTTGTTGGCACATTTAAGCCCAGTCCCGGCGCTTTGTCCGGGCTAGAGCCGTAGTTGATGGAGCATGAAGAGGTTGCCGGCGGCTTCCGATTTCGCACGGCCGGTCGGGGCGGTACTTGGAGCGGCGCTACAGAGGCGGCTGCGGAGCATGTACCTAAATCTGCCTTAGCACGACCCAGACTCGTATCGTGTTCGATGTTTAGGCGGTGTTGAGGTGAAGTGAGGAGAGGTGCGGTCGAACCATTCAGCTGGGAGCGGTAAATGGACGCACTAGTCAAGCGACGCAGAAGAAGTCTGCAGACAGCGCCTGTGCGTCGGTTTGTGAGAGCTGCGTCGCTGCCCGCAGCCTTGGAACCTGTGGCCTGGACAGTTTGGACGTTTGGTCAATCTGAGGGGTGGTGATGGATGAGTGCCGAATCCTTGGACTACCTACCACCTTGATGCCTGAGGTGTGAAGTTGGTTCCTTCCCTCCCTTCAACATCACGAAGCAGAAACGCCGAATCGTGGTATCGATAACGAGTGCCTCAGGCCGCACAACCCACAACCCACAACATACAACCTACAACCTAGACTACAACCTGCAACCTGCATCTGCAGCCTTTCTTCACGAGCTCACCTCGGCTATCACGGGCGAAAATGAGTTTCATTTGCCTCCAAGAACAGATGCCATCTTCTGCCCAGATTCCGTCGGTGTTACGTATCGCGCATCTCGCCCGCGCGCCCCAGACGGTGCCTCTTATCCGTCCAGCTGCTACGCATCTACCTGCTTTGCTTCTACAGGATAATACAGATTACACGCTGCAAGCCTGTATCACAACTTGATGCCGACAACCTGTATCCAGGCGATTCAACGCTTCTCTATCTGTTGCGAAATCCCGTCCACTATCCGAGGTATGCGCCACATGGTTTCGATCTATCTCGGGAGTGCATCGTTGCGTGTACAGTACTTGCCTGACTCTGCGTTTTGTTTTGTACAAAGGATCGCATGAGGTCGTGTTTCGAATATGGGGCACGGAAAGCAGTGGCCGTTGCTGCTCATTGCTGGCACCGCTCGGCCGATGAAATAGAGGCTTGACGGCTCGGCTGGCTTTGATTGCAGGCTCAAGCACGCGGCGGTTGTACATACACCAGACAGGGATTTTCCGGACTTCGCTCGGAGATGGATGCTACAGCTGTTGATCACCACGGCTCCATCAAGCTCACATCTTTCTCGCCACACTGACCCGCCTCCCCTGGCTGGATTTCCGGTTCTTCTTGGGTGAAATATTCCTCTCATCCCCACTGGCGGCCAGGCATTAATGAGTGAGCGGGGAACAAGTCGTTTATACGGAGCTGGACCCTTCAGACAGCATGGCCAGCGAAGAAGATGTGAAAGAGACCAAGCATCCCTACACCGACGTCAAGCTACGCCCTGGCGGAACTCGTTGTGGTCAATCCCTGTTCGGCACGGTTTCCCCGTCCCCGTCGTCTCTATCCCCTGTCTCCGACGCTTCACTCTGCACACCCCAGGCTTCAAGTCTGCACCCCCATCAACATCCTGTCAACCTCGGCGCTCCGTCTACACGTACGAAGCATGACTTGACTCAGCAGAGTGAGAAATGAATCAGACACGTCAAGACATGTTGATGCTGTAGCATTGGCGTGTTTATATCCGCACAGTCTGGCTCTTCCTCTTCCATCACCGCTCATGCAGGCTCGTGCTTCAAGGACAGCTTCCGGAGGATCGTGAGGGCTAAACTTGGTAGGTAGAAACGGGTAAAAGGGACTATTTCACAACAAGTGGACTTTCTGCCCCAGCCAACACTGCGCTAAAACCCATGCCTCGGCGATCACAACCAAGCTATTGGGAAGAATTCGATTGGTCAGAGCTGGGAAGACCACGGATCCCCGAGGCGGGTCCCGAATGGTCAAAGACACGCGTGTGTCAAGGATAAGGCCTCTTTCACGCAAAGGCGAGACCCGCCGCCGTCAGTGAGGACCGCAGCCCTGGTCTGTTTCTCCATGATCATCATCGACCCCCCCCCCCCCCTTGCTGTCTCTACTCCTTGCCGCCTTTTCTGTCTTTTTCTGTTCGCTGTCTACACCCCTCACCCTGACCATTTGCCTTCCAACGACCGTATCACAAGGTGGATATTCTTTCTTATGATACTCGTACAAAGTTGTCAAAGAAAATTCCGCTCGAATCTATGGGCCCCGGCCAGGTCCTTGAAGAAGATCACGACTGCCAAGACGTCCTATCTTTTGTCATGTTTACGGCCCGTCCGAACGAGAGGACATCCAGCTTCGTTCACAGGTGCCGGCTGAAAAGGAGAGGACCCCTCTGCTAAGCGACTGGCGGCGCAATACTTCCTTCATGTCCAGAAAAGCTGACCCTTGCACCCAAGCATCAGCATACTTCGCTCTCGTCGGTCTCGCGGACAGAGCCAGCCGGAATACCTAACGGCCTAGCTCGCCGTTGAAGAAAAAGAAAGCCGCAAGCTTGCATGATGTACAGTGTCATGGATGTGCCCCGGCAGATCCAGCTAGCTGAGGCCAGCTTGAAGAAAGTCCTTTAACTGCCACCAAGTGGGGAGAAAGCCTGTCCAGCACAGTACCAAGTACTATGAGAAGCGCAGGGCTGGAGAAAACGGTCGGGACAGGCTACCCAAAAGGGAATGAGACCCTTCTGTGGACGAACGGATCTCCTCGACGTGGTCCGTTTACCATGCTGATAGGGGGCTTCGGCTATCTGCCATGGTATGCGCCATTCACTGGAGGATACTGGTAGTAGTATGCGTGTTGAGTCTTGCTTGCGGAGGGCCTCAGTTTACAACCAGAAAGACGGCGTTGCAGAGTTGTTCGGGCAGAGAATACCAATGTGTTCACAGCTTCCCAAGCACGCTGCAGCCATGGAAAGTCCAACACCGCTGGGGACGACACTGGCTCAGGCCGCACATACATCTTGCGACTACTTCTGTCAAAGACATGACTCGGATTCGACGAAATCGACACGCGGAAGATGGACCAGTGCACAATTGAGATGGACATCGTTCTTTGTGTTGCGGTGAATGTGTCGCCATGGTCAAAGAGGGTATTACGAAGGGGTCTTGGAGCCCTTTGCAGCCCAACATGACATGCGTGAGGATATTTCCCGATATATCCTTTCTCCCTTTTAGAACGCCAACCACTTGTCAGAAAGTAGCAGCGGCGCATCCCATGCAGCAGTAGCAGCAACAACAGCAACAGCAGCAGCAGCAGCAGTGGTTGCTACTCGTACGAGTATGTGTGGCACTCCATCACATGAAGCTGCGGCTAGATGCCATCCGCGCATGTGACAATGCGACACTGAAGGGATAGCGACGCCTGGAATGAGTGCATGACTCCTCTGCATGGCTTGGCAGCCGAGTAGCCGATGAGCTGGTCTCTGACAACGAAGTCGTCGTTGGTTGTGTGCGCATTCGCTTGTTGGAGGCTGTCGAGAGATGCGTTTCGTGAGACGCCGTCACTGTAGTATTCCGGCATCACCCTTGCGACGAGATATTACCCTAGGGCCATCCTACAAGACGAGTCGCCTCTGTTGAAAGCTTGATATTCAACCTTTTTGGCGAGAGCATGGAACGGGAGATATGCCTGACGCTTGATGCTGTCTTAACGCCGAAGTCTGCTGAGTTGTCTCCAGATCAGGCATTGACGTTTGCTCCTTTGGACATGCTTCGGTCCCCCCTTTTGAAGCGAGGCCTGGCAGCACTTGAGGGTTCGCCCTACTGGTCACACCAAGGATCGATACGCGTGTGATTCTTCACACACCAATAGTACTGACAAGAGTTGAAGAAAGGTTGTGTCTCCACTGCTGTTCATCCGGGCGTTGTACTACAGGCTGATCGAGCCGTGGCCTAAGATCAGAGCTTATTATTTTCTTATCTGTCTTCCCCCAAGATACAGCATGCATGATACGAGTCGTCGCAAATCCTTTCAGAGCGCGGTGATTCCATCCCTGCTGTCAGATCTAGGCCAAGACGCGGTCCCGGGAGCTGCTAACGGGGTCTGCGTCCAGGTTGTGGCGAGATGCCCGCTCTAGGGGGTTCGACCGATGCCTCTCTCACTGCCAACCCAGCGTGAGAGACAATCTAGAAGCTGAGTGAGTGTATTTCAATGTGTGCCAACAAAGACTCTTAGTATGTCTATCCAATGATGCCTCACATCTCTACACAAAGTGGTCAGAGAGTAATAATGTACGACGCCTTGACGGACAAAGGGAAGATGTGTACGATTACTCAGGACTGCGAAGTCATACAACGTTGCAATCCTTATGCCACCTTCTCCCCTCGCCAATGGCACAGTTCAAACCCCAACCAACCAACTGATAACCAGCAATCACGCAACCGCGACTTCATACACTGAAGCCGGACCCCGTGATATCCGGTCTCGCCTACGAAGATGGATCCTCTTTGCCCACTTCCACGCCTCAGCACCAACAACGAACACGACAACGGCAACGAAGACGACCCCCCATTCCCAGTCAATCCCGGCGTGCATGAAGACGACGGTATTCAGCCGCGGGATGTACAGCGTCGGAAACACAACGAAGAAGACAATGGTAATGGCGAGGAAGAGGAAGCGGTTCCCCCACAGATGGTTCCCCCACGCGCGGACCCCCCCGCCGCGCCCGTCGAAGAAGGACCGGCGGAAGTCGATGAGCTCCCAGGAGAAGAGCAAGAAGATCCACGTCATGGCCGTGTAGGCCGTGGCGCGGGCGCGAAAGACGACGTGGCACGGCGGCGAGTAGGCGTTGTTGCAGTTGGAGCCCAGGTTGCCGTCGCCGAAGGCGAAGACGACGGTGGTGAAGGAGCCGAGGACGCAGCCAGCCATGAGGATGCCGTAGATGACCATGTCGAGCATGAATTCGGGGGTGAAGATGCCGTAGCGGAGCTGTAAGACGAACGAACGAATCATTAGTATGACTGCAACTGTGATAGTAGACTATCAACCGTAGAGGGGGAAAATAAGGGGGGGCTTACATCCTGAGGAGGACGATTCAGGATATCTGGGACAGCCGTCTCAAAGCCAAGTCCCGTCTCGCTAAAGGCACCTGTACCAAGAAGCATCCAAATGATCTCAACAGGCGTCAACAGAAACACCGAGACGTTTGCGCCATCCTTGAACGCCAGGCCGGTAAGCAGAGAGATGACGAAGCCGATGTTGGCTGCCAGCACATGGAGGATGAATTTCTGGATATTGTCAAAGATCCGGCGGCCTTCTTCAATGGCATTCAGTATCGAGGTGAAGTTGTCATCGGTGAGGATGATGTCGGATGACTCCTTAGCGACGTCTGAGCCCGACCCCATGGCGATGCCAATGTCTGCTCGCTTGAGGCTGGGACTGTCGTTGACGCCATCGCCGGTCATGGCTACGAAGCGGCTTCGTCTATGAAGCGCCTCGATCATCCGGACTTTTGTACTCGGAGCACATCTGGCGACTACCAGGGGCAGCTGTGGAAGAGCGTCAATCTGCTCATCGCTCATGGCATCAAATTCTTGCGCCGTCATCATCATGGTATGCGCGACGTCCGCGGGCAGCATGCGCATCTTATCTGGCGGAGGGAGTATACACACGTCCGCGGCAATGGCGCGTGCAGTCTGCGGATGGTCTCCCGTGAGCATGTGGACGACGATGCCTGCGCGCTGACACGCGAGGACGCTGTGCTTGGACTCGGGACGGGGAGGGTCGTAGATGCCGATGAGGCCGTGGAAGACGAGCTGGCGCTCGAAGCGGTCTCTGCTGGGGGAGACTCCGTCTGTGAAGTCTGAGGCTGAGACGGGTTTGTGGATGATGTTGTGGGCGAGTGCGAGGACACGGAGGCCTTGGCTTGCAAGTGCTTCCATGTTGTCGAGGATGATAGCTTTCATGGTGTTGTCCAGGGGCTTGATTTCGTCTTTCGAGGCGAAGCTGTCGCATGTCTCTATGACACGTTCAACCGCACCCTTTATGATGAAGACGACGTCAGTCAGACTTTGATCTGTAAGTGCTCCTGGAGTATAAGTACCTTTGTGAAAATGTGTGTTTCCTGTGTAGTTGTGTCTAGGAAAAGAGACGACATCTTCTTGACCTCTGAGTCAAACGGAAACTCCCCAACATGACTCCATCTCGCCCTCGGTCCCTGCGACAACTGCACGCGATTGCATCCGAAACGGGATGCGAACACTTCTATCGCAATCTCAGTCGGTGCCCCACGAGCTTTCCACTGATCAGGTTGTGTCGGATCACTCTTGTCTTGCTCGAGAGTTGCAAGGTTGGCGAGGGAAGCAATGTTGAGATATTCCTGTAAGAAGGGTCTCTTGGAAACCTCATCCAGCGGCGTAATTTCCTCTTCCGACGTCTCCTTTTCGAGGTCTCTCGCGTCTCGGGGATGGAAGGGACTGAAAGAGACGCGACCGACGGTTGGGTTGTACACGTCGCTTGTTGATTCGACGGAGTAAGTGCCGTGTCCTGGGAGCCATGCTTTGCGTGCAATCATACGGCCTTGGGTGATTGTACCCGTCTTATCAGAGCAAATGTCTACATCAACGGTTAGTTTCTAGCAGAGGCTGCACAACCGACATGTGTCGTCAACAAGTCTCATCACTTACTCGTCACTCCGCCAAGGGCCTCCAAACTTGAAAGGTTACGGACAATGACATGTCTCTCCAGCATCTTCTTCGTGCCAGCCGCCATGGTCACCGTCAACACCAGCAACAGCGAGACGGGAATTGTGCCCACGGCCGTCGTGACAGCATACAAGATGACATCTCTATGGGTATCAAACTTGTTGGCTCCCAAGACGATGATCGCGCAAACGACCGCAAAGGCAAGCAGCCACAAGAACAACTGCGCCAATTTCTTCTGAAGCGGCGTGCCAACTGTAAGGCCAAGGAATTTGCCCATCCAGCGCATTGCGGCTCTCGACCAAATCTTGGTCTTCGATTCTGGCTGAGCAGCGGCCTGGGGGTCAGACCCCTTGTTCATTGATTCACCTCCTTGTAAGGCGCTGGCGATGAGTCCGATTTCCGTATACATTCCCGTTGCAAATACCACGCCTCGACCACTCCCCTTGGTGATCGTCGTCGAGCTATACACGACATTGAGACGATCCCCTGGACCAGTATACTGATCGAATACAGCCTTGGCATTCTTTAGGACAGGCACAGACTCGCCCGTGAGAAGCGCCTCGTCAGCCTCCAGATTTATGGCATGAATCAACCTTATATCCGCAGGCACCGAATCGCCAGTCGCCAGATCGACGATATCGCCCGGAACCACGTCTGACGTCTGAATGCTTATGGTTCTGCCATCTCGAAAGACGTTGCATGTGGGGGATCCCAGGTTGCGCAGCGAGTCAATGGTCCGTTCGGCCTGCAAAGTCTGGAAGAAGCCGATGAAGATGTTCAAGACGATGATGCCGCCCAAGATGCCGCCCTCTATCCAGGCATGGATGCCAAAGCTGGCGGCTAGTGCCATTAACAGCACCTATACGATATCATCAGCATATTACGCTTTCAATTTCTTTGCTGAGAAAGACGACCGTTATTGAGGCGGGTCTACTTTGTTTGGCCTTACCAGAGTCATTGCGTTGAAAATCTGCTCGATGAATATCTTCAGGGGCTGAACGCCCTTTTGCCTCTCGAATTCATTTGGCCCCAGTTCCTTGAGGCGTCTCGCGGCCTCCTCTGCGCTGAGACCACTCGCTGGGTTGGCCTGGAGTTCTGAGATGACCTGTTCGGCCGTCAAACTGTGTGCTGGCCGAGACATGGGCTTGTTGGCCTGTCCAGAGACGTGAGTCTTGCTCGAGGAGGCGGCGGCAGACGGAGATGCCCTCATGATGAATGACGGCGTCGTGGCAGCCTATGACAACGCATATCGAAGCCGGCGTGACGAAGGAAGTCTGGAGGAAGCTTGAGGAGGCTTCAAGGCATGTTGTGGGTTTCTTTGTATGAGCAATATTCGTGGCTCACCACAGATGTGCGCTGCGCCCAATGTCGGGGGGCAATGCCGTGCTACTCAAAGTATCGTCGCGTCTCAATCATGAAGCTTCACCACGAACGAGTGTGACGCGAGAGGTCTGGGTAGAGGGCGATTTCTCCGCGATCAACCAAGTTCCCTAGCTCGACCAGGTACTATGAACCCTTATCAAGCGAAAAAGATAGACAACCATGAAGGTAATGAGAGAGAGAGAAACAGGTTTGCAAAGCTCTGGCAGGTTCATGATGCATCGTAGTCGTGGTAACCAAGTCCCCGAGCGTCAGTCACATCGTGGGCGCTAAAACCGAAGAGGCAGCCAAGCCTCAGTTGTGCTGGGGAATGCAAAATAGAGGGGTTGCTCTTCTCTGCGAACTTTGGTAGAGAATCGAAAAGACCAACAGAAGACGATCAATCTCCCCGGAGTGGCAATCTAGCACTGAGGAGAAGAGGGCACACTAAGTTAGTGACTCGTGGCGTTATGGCGACCTCAACTTGATGAGATCTGAAAGATGACAAGGAAACATAGCAGCTTACAATCACTGCTGCTCACTAGGTCCTTGATGAAGCGTCACTAAAGAGAGAGCGTCGTGAGAATGTGAATCACTGTCTCGGTCCAGGAGCTGCCAATTTCACATCGATGTTCCATGCCCTCCAGGAAGGACTTTGAAACTGGACGCTCCATGAATGAATCGAATAAAAGCAGTGATGCTGTAAGTGTTGTGATCACCAAAAACTACCCCGACAAGTAGCAGACGATGCAAAAGTGAAGCACGGCTTCTCTGATTACTGCTGCGCGACCCCAACTCATACCGACACTATGTGAATTGAGACACTTGATCAAAGCTGAGGATTGGCTGCTACCGAGCGGTCAACGTGCCTTATCTCTGTTTATATCGAACCTGATTGAGCGTCATGACTACACGTCATCTCATCTTCGAAGCAGCCGTCTTCTCAAAATCAATGTAAAACACTGCTCAACAAGAGAGAATATTGCCTACATAAACCGCGACTTTCTCCCCTACTCTGTCTTGACAAGGACCGACCAACAAGACCTAACCGGGAGAGCAATGCTCCCGCACATTGCTCCATATCCATCAACATGGTGAAGGTACCAGATGCCCACCACCTACAGCAGTCGCCATGAGGGGACTTGTGGCACGGTGCAAAAAGGCAGACTTCTAGCCCTTCTGTAAATGTTCTCGTCTGGACATGATGCTCATTTCATACCTCACAACAAAGACAGAGCAGCACAGAATGCGCTATCGGAAAGGCATCGGCGTTCTGGCTCACCTGCTTCTCTACAACACCATATAGCAAGCCAACGCCAAATCGTCTCCATATCCGCATCCTCTTCTTGCCGCCATCATGCCTCCGCAACATAGCTCCCAAGTATTCTCATAGCAGGCCATGCGAAGCATAGAAACCGCACGCCATGCTGACCGTCTTCTCCGACTTGGTCTCAGCCCTTGACAAGCACCCTAGCCCATCATCACTCATACCGTATGGGACACCATCAAAACGACACAAACGCAATCATGGGCTGGCAACCAACTCCTTTCTTCGAGCCGCATAGCACCACTTTCTGGGAGACTCAGATCCCGCGGCCCGCACGGACTTGCCAACGGCTTCTATGCAGACCATGGATCGCCTCGACGCAGCAACATGCCCTCACAATCCACGAGGAGGAGCGTCCCGCGACCAACGCCACTCGAATGGTACCCTTTCCTAAACAAATTATACACAACCTCTTCTCGCGAACAATACGATCCGCGGCAAAAAAGAACCCCCATCTTACAACATCGTGGCTGTTCTAGATGCCAGCCTCATACAACGTACTTTCATCTCTAGCCCACACAAGGAGCTCCTACAGCTATTTTGACACAGACGGATCTTTTCCTTCAAACTCGACAAGCTATACAAGTTTATTGACGCCCACTTGCTCGAAGATCGATGCCTGGGCACTCTATCGACAGCGGTTGAGTCTTGGTGGACGCATTTAGTCCGCAGCACGCTCCGAAAATGCCCTCGATCGTTTATTGAAGCGATGTTTGCGCATGCGAGCGTGGCCTGCATGCCGACTTGATGGTCAGGGGAAGAAGCGTGTGAGCATACTCTCATCATTCATAGTGCGTGTTCGGGCGCAAGTTTTCAGACAGACAGTTACAGTATTAGTGAAGAAGTCAAGTCAATTACCATGAGAGAAACATATATCGAACTGTTCAAGATCATCATGACAGGTTATTTGTTAACAATATACTCGATGCGAGAACAGTACCTCCTTGTGATCATCATTTTTGTTCAATTTCCCATCACGCCATACCGTTAGGTTCCGTAATCCATAGCCCATGGTCATCCAACCTTTTCCCGTTGTCCAATCCCGACATAGGCCTCCTTTCCAACTCCTGGTATATTCAAATTGTATGAGCCCACCCATATATCCGTTGCACAAGTCATAGCCTTCCGTAACTTCCTTTTCCGATCTCCATTTCCGACGTTCACCTAGCATTCTGATCTGACTCCCCTCTATTTGCTTCGACGTCGTCTGATCATCTTCATATTTTTCCAAGTCAATGCGTAAAACTCCCTCACCCTTTTCGCAGATCTTTTACGAGGCGCCTTTGCAGGCACACTCGGCTCAATTTGTGGTGGAGGAGCAGCAGCAGCAGCAAGAGTATCTGTCTTTGTACAGCTTGACGCTGAGGCTGGAATCTGCGGTTCAATAGTGGTATTGTTTGAGACCGATCCTGCTGTTTTCGACCACGTGGTGGTATTTGGTGTAGTCGAGCTCATGGTGTCAGACAGCACGTTTTCGTCCACATCAAAAGGCTCATCGGGTGCTGCAGTGACGCACACAACTGGAACCTGGTTGGTCGTCTGCGGTGCACTGCTGGCATGTGGAGGGAATGCCTTGTCGTGTAATGAAAGCAAGCGTCTCGGCCGAAGGCTCAGTCTGAAGCTGTGGCCAAAGATGACTGCTCCCCTCACCTCCAGCTCAAATGGCCTTGAGGATGATGTGTCCTGTGACTTCTTCTTAGAAAGCATTTGGACACGACCATCATTCTTCCCACGCCTATCAGAGCCTGTGCACTCACAGGGCTCAAAGACAGGCTTTCGGGCTGGCCAATAGACTTCGTTCATCAGCTGCAAGGGATGGGAGTTCTTGTTGCCGCGGATCCTGAGTAACTTCTCCAGAACCTCGACACACACTGCCATGAGGTTTCGACCCGGAGGAAGCCTTACCACGAACCCGCATTTGTCGCACGACCTTGTTGGGTTGTTCGCCCCTGGCTTGATGAGCTCTCCGAACCCTTTTCCAAAGAGGGTTATTGCAGGAAGATGCGACACGATGTTTGCCCACCCATCGCCATACTTTAGGAACGGTAGCTTCAGCCTGTGGAGGCGCAGGTCGCGAAGGGTAGCCACATCCATGAAGTCGAATCCTTCCAGGACATGGACGGGCATGCCCCATGAGGTACTCTGGTTGTTTGCTGCCCTATGCTCTTGATCAACGATTTTCTCCACAAGGAGCCCTATGCGTTGTATCCTCGTGTTTAAGCTGAAGTATCCAGGATCCCTTCGCTCAGCTTCGGCGTCTACAGTTCCAGCATCCAACAGGACTTCAGCCGCATTTTCCCTTAGCAGAGCTAACTCGTTGAGTTTCCTGATCTGATCCATGTAATAGCCGTTGGGCTTTTCCCTGTGATCTTCCGATAGCGAGGCTCTGACGAGGTGAAGGTAAGCTCTGGAGCCATCGGTAAGCCAGCAACGCTTATCATCGACATCGAACAGCAGGAAATGCTGCTGCCCGATGTGTCGAACGAGGGCTCCGTAATGATTGTCGGTAAGGCCAGAGATGAAGCGTTCCCTGTTTCCTCTTTCGAAATCCGAACTGAACTTGAGAAAGCTGCCAACGCCAATGCTGGTCGTAACAGGCCCCCGGGAAACGTCCTTTCCAGCCAGCGGTAGGCCGGACCATCCGATATTGTAGTTTGCCCCAGGGGCTCCTGCAATGCATCCATGTTAGAGAATATTTCTGGTCGTCTTTTGATCCGGTGCGACTTACCTATGTCATTCTGCGCCTCCGAACACCATCCCAGGATGTGGCGAAACTTTGGGAGAATTCGAGGAGCAATAGAGATCCCCTTCGATACTCGATCATCTCTGTATGGCAGCCTTTTTCCAGCTTCAGAGACGATCAAGTGCCAAGAGATGACGTTGTCTTGCGCCTTTGTGGGGATCAGCATTGATGAGAAGCCCTTGATCACCGTCTTTCCCCCCCACGTTGTCATGAACTGGCACTCTGAAAGAGTTGCCATCATATCAAAGGGCAATTCCAATCCGGCCTCAACCAAGGAGTCTTTTCTTGGCTTGATCGGGTAGCCAGTCACAACAACTGGGTTGTTGAATAGGCGATACCAGCATTGGCCGTTGGCACTGGGTAGGTTGTCCTTCAAGTGTTCTATTTCGGTGTTGACTCTGCAGACGAAGGTGTTGTCGAAACCGTCCTCGTTCACATGCGCATTGAAGCCGCTAATCTCCGGGTGGCAGAACGAAATCACGCCCTTCGGGTGAAAGGAGCTGAGAGTTGTGGCAAGCCATCCAAGTTGGCTGCCAATATCCGCGATTGAACGAGCTGTTCCAACTGTCTCAACGTGCATCGTCTTCTCGCCAATAGAGACTCTGATCTCCGTCCCGACGTCTTCGACAATGCCTATGTGATTGTCAGTCCGTCTAAGAGTTGCATAGGATCAGCCGCACGCATCGTTGACCTACAATTAGAAGAGTTTTTGAACGGCTTGGACGCATTATATCCATAAGCCTTGTATGCCCGTAAGGCGACCTGGATAGCTTCTACCAGGCTGCATTTGATCGTTGGCCAGGTCTGACACACGTATTGCCTGATAGTCAGCGCTTGGGCGTTGGTGCTGGAGCCCGTCAACGTAATTGCTCTCGGGAGGGCCTCATCGGCATCGATTGCATATCCCTGATCCTCCATGTATGCGAAGATGTCGCATGCAACATTGAAAGTCAGCTTCGAGGGTTTTGAGAGATGCCTCTTGCTAATCTTCTGGTCTTTAGATAGGCCTTTTAGAATGTCGCTGGATATCTTCTCCATGGTATATAGACCACTTGAAGATGGACTGAGCTCTCTCTTGAGTTCTTCAACGACCCACTGGAAGGCCGGGCCGGCCGTAATCGCTTCCCGGTACTGCGAAAAGCCTTGAGGCGAGTTCATGTCGCTATCAGCATCGACAGCGGGATTGAGTCTCTCCTCAGGGACTGATGAGTTGCCTTTCTGAGATGCCCTACTCCATATCAGCCTAATTCTTTCCGTTGTCGACATGAGATCCGTGTCCGAGAGCGAATGTGCGGTTGGGTCTTGCTCGGTCTCGTAGAAAGCGGCCAGTGATTGTGCTATTATTCTGCGTCACTCGTGTTAGGCAATCTCGAACAACAGGCAAATGGAATGTATTGGGAGTCATCAAGAACTTACAGCCGATGCTTGTATACAAAGTACCGAATGTCTTGGTCAACTTGAGCCTGCGACTCCTGGCCCTTTTGCAGGGCAAACGCTGACAGCAATTCAGGCAGCAAACCCACTGCAGATGATACATTGTCGTCTGTGAGTAAGGGCCGAATCCGCTGATAGAGATGGCGAGTCAACTCCCAGATATAGTCTCGAGCGCGGTTTGCGTCGACAGAGCTTTGCTCTGAGCAGACTGTTTGGGCCTCAGCCATGTCTCCAGCATCCCGGGCAAGGGACGCTTTCATTTCCGGCTGGACATTTTGCGATTGGCGTGCCCAGTTGGCTGGGCATGCGGTTGGCTCATCTCCAGGCATTGACGCATATGCAGAATCCCTCTGCTCAGTCGGAGCAGCTTTGCCTTCCGAAACTTTGGCAGTGGTAGCCAAAAGCGCATCAAACATTCGAGCATAAAGCCTGAAGGCCATCCGCTTGGCATATGTCGAAGTCCTTCGAGACCATTTTGGAACAGGAAACCAGGGGTCGGATTCGTTCGCCACGGTATAGTCGCGATCGATAGCATCAAGCGGACTCTTCAAATCGTGTGAGGCTGCAGAGGAGTCTGTTGAAGATTCAGGGCCTGGTAATTTGCCCGCCTCGGGCTCGACATTGATGCCGCCGCAAGACTCATTGTCCTCCAGATGAGACAAATTTGGCAGGGCCGCGTCTGCCAGTTCGGTAGAGCTGACACCGCGCTCAATATCAATCTCCTCGAACTGGCACCCTGTATGCATCAGATTGGCATCCGAAGACGCAGGCTTCTGGGACCTCTCCCTCCGCCTCTCGGTTTGCCGTTCCATTTTCAGGGGTCGCTGGATGAGATGGTGGTCTACTTGTCGGAGTGTCGGCTCAGAGTCGCCACGAGGTTTTTTGTCGCACGAAGGTGCCCGCAAAGTTGCGAATGACACTGGAAACGAAGCTGCAGAGGTTCAGCGGCCGGTGGTCTTGGTATCGCTATCGCGTGGAGGAGACAGGCGGCGGGATTGTTGCGAGGTAGCTGCAGGCCGCAACTCAGCAAGGCCCGACGGCCATGAGCAGATCATCAAGCCATACGACGCATTCGAAGAGCGATGGGTCGATGAAGTTAGATGGAATGATTGGGAGCGATTGATGAAAGATGGAGAAGAGGATAGATCACGAATAGGAAGGAGAAGATAGATAGATAATCTAAAGGCAAGGGAAGAGGACCGCCAGCCAGGTACCATCCAGTAGGGACTCAGCCACTTGAAACACAGCCATTTTCGCCAAGGATTCGACTCTCATTGGTTGGATGCACGTTAGATTGCGAAATTAAGGCTGTTCGAGCGTCGCCCTTCACAGCATGTGGTTCCACGAGAGCTTAGCAAACATGAACCGAGGTTGCTGCTGACAGATCTTATCGATCTGATAATAACGAACAGCCTTCGATTCTGCTTCCGCGCCACAAGATCGACATCTAGCTCGAGCTTAACTTAGTGCAACAGCCATCAGACGAACTGTTCCATAGTTTGCGTGTCGATTCCTGCACTTCTCTCCCTGTCTTATATCAGTTCGTGGTATGACGTAATACCTAAGAGCCCCGCCATCGCGTCTCTTGTCAATGATAAGATGAGAACTACTACTACTACTACGATCTTGGACTTGCTCTGGAGATTGTGTCGAATATACCTAGGTAGGAAGATATCATCTGACCTCCAGCTAGTAATAATTTCTCCAAGGCACAAACAAGTCCACCTCGGCTCGTGAGGTATTGCCAATACGGGGGGGAAATGAGAGATTCGCATTGGCTGCTCCCTTGCAGCTCCCTAGTGAGTGAATCAGCCGTTCGTTGGGCATCAATCTGCGAATGCTGCCCGAGCTCTCACACCAATTGCAGTTTCCTACACGATAATACTACCAAGTAACAATCATCAAGGGCATATGTTCATGTTAGAAGTTCCTCTGATATGGAAAAGGCCGACAACTTTCCCTTGACAACTATCACAAATGTCAAAGCCTAGACGAGGGCCATCATGACTCTCTTAGCAGGTAGTTTGATGTCATCTAAAAACACAGATGCTTAGAACTACGTCACTCACGATGCTTTGTGTTGAACACTGCACAATTTGGAAGAAAGGTCAGGGCCAATTGGGAGCCGACTACGTGGCTAGCTATGTACTTCCCAGATGACTATCACATGGCACCATTATATCCTGCTTCAAAAAAACGCACTGCTTTGCGAATTGCTTCCAGCTGTTCAAGCGTCCACAAATTGCCCCTTTCATTGAGGATTGGCTGTCAGTGCTTGAAAAAGGGTGAAAAGTCACAGCAAATACAAATGACGGGACCGTCTCTGATACGAAAATGAGCGAAAGTTATGTAGGCGAGTCCAAGTCAAGGGCTCGCTGTGTCTTAGCAGACTCTGATGACCACTGTCAGAAAGCAATTTCTTGCTGTTCAACATGACTCATTGACAGCCCCTGAGGTTTTGAAGTTGGAATTCATGTGTTAATGCCTTTCTTTGTTCCTGGTTCGAGCTGTGTAAACAGACATGAGCCAGCCTGAAACGGAAGTCAAATCGCAAATACAGATGATATTTTAACATGTAGCTCTCGTTTCGATTTCCATAAGGAGTGTCAGAAAGCTGATATGTCGCGATAAGTGAACAAACTCTACACAGAGTGTGTACGGTCACTCAGGTTTATCCCAGCATCAGTTGTGCAAGGCTTATAAGCACCGGAATACATATCTCTAATTAAATGCACATTGTGAGCTCTTCCAAGACTTCCAAGTATGATTATTCAGAGAGCTCCTCTGTTAAGAGACCCAACCCCTCCGTACCCTGCCCGTGGACGTCAGAAATCATCTATTCTATCTGAAACACGAGAACTCTCCGAGGGTTGGCTTTATTGGTTACTAGTAGTCCACAATGCATTTTGTTGGTACCCTGCAACTCTGTTGCGCCTTCAAGCCTTTTGAAGGAACGAAACCTCATCCTCTCGGGCTTCAAAGAGTAATATCGCAGTATGGCTGCCCAAGCGTCACTCCGCGCATCTGCATCTCAGCCCACTTGAAGCTCACTTAGTTTAAGAAAGCCATGGAATCTAAGTCCATGATCCAATTAAGGAGAGAATGTCAAAGCAATTGCCGGGGCTCCCTTTCAAAGAGACTCCTTCCTAGATTCTTCGCGGAGCTTCTCATCGCGGTGCTTCTCCGTGAAATGCCGTCATCCTGCAGATCTGCCAACGAAGACATGCACCTCAACCCCATTGCCCCTGCATCAACATACACACTGCCCAGTCTTGGCGTTGCCTTCGGAGAACACCACAGTACTCCGGTCTAGTTTCCTAAAATTTGAAGCCCCTTACTCCATAATGCTGGCGCTACTGTGTGTCATGGTAGAGGAGGGGATGGTTAGGCCTCGATTCGAGGCCGTTTTGGAGTAAGAGATGCCCGCTAGTCCTCGGTACAGTCTCGGTCAGGCCTTGGTCGAATTTCTGTCGGACGAAGGGTGATAAATCATCAAGAGGCAATATGATCACCTGAAGCTTGCATGAACGAGTTCTATTTGATAGGACGGATTGATTGACTGAAATTGGTCGACGGTCGAGACTAAAAAGGGGCTTTAAGGCCTACTCACCTATAGGCTCGATACCCAGCTGCATATGAGTACCCGACCATCGGAAAGGATCGATCACCGAACGAAATGTGTTGTTCAGCCACACCCCTCTCCTGCAATTCAATTGCCTTGTCGGATAGGGAACGATAAGTTCGCCCTGCGCAGGAGGCTTGGTCGCCTTTCCAATGTTTTCCATGAATCATCATATCATGTTGTCTCCCTCAAATGTTGGGTAAGAGCCACGTGTATCATATTTGTACAGGTACGAAGAATGGAGATTACGGTAGGATCATCAAGAGGTTGGCTGATTGGTAGGAGTTGCCGCTGATAGTGGCTGGGTATCATCAAAAGTCATTGGTTAGCTAGACAGGGGGCTGGAAAGCTCATAATGCACCATGAGATTTGATGTACCTCATGTACTTCGTATTGCTATCTAACCAATTCGCCCTCAATAGCTACTGTTTAGATACGGGAATATCGACTGAATCTCATAGGTTGCAAATACAAAGCATTTAAAAAGGAAAATACCTTACACATAAGGAGAGTATTGAGCGGCTATGTCCAAACACCAGACTAACCAATTGCTAGCCAGATTGAAACCGACGAACATGACATTGGCTACGCAATGAGTATGCAGGAAGTAATAAAACCGTTTGACTCTAGGAATTGGTGGCGTATGGGCTGTACACTCACGCTCTGAAATATAGGTTTTTGTCTCTATACAAATTTTCTGTCCAGAGGAGCTGGCTTCTGCTTTGTTAAACTGTGTCTCATGCTGTGAGCCATCTTGCTTTACAAATACATCTGTCATTATTCTGGTCATCTAATGGTAATTTTAGTGTAATCCTTTGGGTTTCCAAATGTACAAACCTCTTTGGAACGAAGTCCTTTCGTGTGATATATCGCCTCTTCTAAGGCCGAAACTTTGCTTTTCCCAGTTGCCTTTTCCAAATCCTCACTTTCGCTCACACCATACTAGATCAACATGAGTCTGAGAGCACTGATATAGTACTGCATGTATTTAGGGAGCGACTCGGTAGAATCGTAACAAGTCCAAGTTTATCAACAGTTGAGTCTGTCTGGAAAGGAACAAGTCCTTAAGTACCTGAATTCAGAAAAGAGGAGTAGTAAGATATGTGCCATAGACGCTTAAGTTCTACAGAAGCAGCTGTAGGTGTTAAACTTCAAGCATTTTATTTGCTGGTCTCCGGGAAATCTTTTACTGCATGTCTTTCACTCTGTTTATGAAATCCCTACGTCTCAACAAAAACTGCTAATATAATGTCAACTCCATAGAGCATACGGAAAAATTGTATATTTCCAGGGGCTTGATCACATATCTTTTTTCTTGATGACCGTAAGCGGGATGATACAGGAAACTACATACTATGAGAGCTTGGCCTCATCCTCGAGACAACTCTGCTGTTTCGCGTCATCTTCATACCTCACGAAGATCAAATCTGAAGCATGATAACTGCTTCAAGCCTCTAAAAGGGCCATTCGACCGTACGGAGCACATGGTGAGTCGTTAGAAGCTTACTTGCGTGCACGTGCTTACGTGTAGTGTGACGGTCAGGTCTACGCCCCTTCTCCGTCTCACCCCTGTTCTTCACCGCTATTACGATCGAGTGGTATTTCCTCATGATCTGCCTCAAGGATTCGGTCACCTAGTCTCTGTTGCCTCGTTCTAGCTGTAGGCAACCGTTCAACTAAGCCCAATAAAGGTACCGATACGCGATTGACACTGCAAAACGCCTTTATTCCCCAGCTCACCACCTGAAGTACAGTCACTATCGGCTACCTCCCCAGCATACCTTATGCAGAGGATGGTTGAGTATGAGCGGAATTCCGTGAAATGATGTCATGTCTTGGATGCCTACTTTCCAGTGGTATGGTACTTTGAGCAATGCAGAAGCTCCTGACAAGCTCTTATGCTCGGTAGGCTACACAACGGATAGTTTCAGGGGTACAGCGAAGCCTTATTGAGAAGGTACATATCGCTTGTCTATACTCTCCTTGTATCATGTGTTACCTAGATAGGAGAAGAAGGCTCGGTCATATGCTATCAGCGTGCCGACTGGACCGCTCGCGGGACCTATTCTATACGAGTAGTATGACCTGTCACGGGCCACGAGCCGTCCCTCATTGGTTGCATGATCCACCAGCTACGATGACTTGCAGCAAAGACTGGTCCCATGATTGCTCTTATACAGCTTTGGTGGTTATCGATAGGCTTCCAAGAAGGCAAAGTCCTACTCTTTGGAGTATTGTGGATGATCGGACCCCGAGATCTAAGCCACAAGTTGACGTCTGCCGTTGGTCCGCCGAAGATCCTTGGCGAACGCGAACCCCTTACGGAGGAGATGCAGGCGGCCCGTTCTGGCGCAAGGCAACCACCAGAGTTACCGACATGGGCAGAAGAATGCTTACACATTGGCAAATTGAGCAAATTTTTTTTTCCCAGTTCTGGCCATTACTCGCGCAGACTTCGGATGCTCGGGACAAGTCGTCGGAAGAAAAACTTTCGCGCTCATGTATGATACGAGCCTCCAGGTAGCTCCACGAGACTTTAGTGGAGTAAAACTTGACGGCTGACTCTGTGTGAGTGCATATCAGTTTCGCGGTTGGTGATACTGGTATGCATTACAGTCTGCGGAAGGTGAGGCCTTCATGATGAGGCTGAAGCCACGGCATCTGAGTGGTAGCCTTGTGTTTGTGTCTCTACTTCAGGCTGAACTGTGATATCGAGCCGTTCTAGATGTTTGTAACTCGGAGATGAAGAAGCCTTATGACGTTGAGGTGCTCATCTTGACAAAGTCTGATAGGTCCAGAATGTCTTATTAACCAGTCCGTTTGCGCAACATGCAACGTGTGTTATACGTTATGTACAGCTGCCTGATTGCATGTGATTTAGCTAGTAAAGAGCTGGATTCTAGTTCGGTGTGAATCTGGGGATTCCAAGTCATAGCTCCATCCGCTAGCAGCAGAAAGCGCTCTCTTCAGCCGCTTAGGCGTCGGCTCAAGGCATAGACTAGTCGATTATAGACAAGACACAATCAGGCGAATTTGCTAGTAGAACCAATTATCACGACTTCAAGGCATTGCACAGAGTCCAAGCAGTTGCCTAGTATCACCGGCGGAGCCGCGGAGTACCGCTTCAAAATCCGCAGGCAGGCATAAGGCGTCCCGAGGAGGTCTTTCTGTCTCATTCTCAGCTTGATCCTCCTACGCCATGTTTCGGCCATCAGGGTGTTACGGTAGGACAGCTGATAGCGGCTCATACGGCTGTCTACATACCTCCCGTGGTGTGTGACATGAGAGGATAGCCGCAGGCACAGTCATATCGACAAACTCGCCTCACGAGGGAAGGAAACAAAAGCCTTGTACAAGAGCAAAATTGCACGTCTCTCGGTGGGGGGAGACAACGAACATTCCAGATGTCTCACAGAAGAATAGAACGTAGATAGTTACTGCGTTGACGACTGGATACCAAGCATTGCCAGTTTGATGTTGTGTAACAATGGGTTCAAGAGCTTAGCATTTTAGCGAGTGAGAATGCGAGAGAAAATAAGGCAACCGCATTAGCGCGCTTGTTTAGGGTAAGCCTTATGTCACATCCCAACAAGGTATATGTCGGAGAAGCTAATGCTCCCAGCGGTTCCGAAGGCAACAAATCCCTAAGCTCCAAACTTACCAATATATTCTTCAAGAAACGTTTTCCCATTTTCCAATTCTATATTTGGATACTCTGGAGGATGAGCAGGATCGACAGTGAAGATCCATGAACTTGTAGTCTCAAAATTGGCCGCCTTACAACCACTGCATACCTATACATCCTATGAGATACACATGTCGCATCTACACCAGGCATCATTCATCCAACGGCTGTGATGTTGGTTCGACCTCAAACAACGCAAATAACACATCAAGACCAACGCTCGCAGGGAATTGACAACCATGGTCTCTTGCGGATCTGCATGTCATGTCACATCTAGAGTACTCGTACCTTATGCAACACGCCTAATATGGCGAATGCTCGTCACCGAAAGTTTGAGGTATGGACTTACAACACTCGTTACATCAACCCACGGCAAGGCTGTGTCCCATAGTCCCGGATGACTTGGGCAAAAGTCATCCAGAAAGCCCAAGAAAACCCCACGTGTGGTTGACAAATTCTACTTCAGGCGTCTCCCGCATATTGATGTGCACCATACCGACATATCAATTGCGCCCGCGGTTTTGATAAGCCGCGAGGCTGCACTCTATCCTCCTGATATGTGGCATACACGCGCTTTCCGACGCACTTCTTACCCCTCGTTCAGGCATTCCTCCCGCGTACGCATGCCCCTCCATAACATTGAGAGCCTTCAAATCACGTCACAAAGGACCGATCATTGTGCGTCTTCCCCTCACTGTTTTGTGCTTTGATCGGCCCTTCGCTGTGAAAGAGGCAACCTCCTCATGAATCGCAGCCAGCAAGAGTGGCAGAGAGTGTCACAAGTGATTTTGCCTAAAGGAAGATGACGGTTGCCTTGTACGGTATAATGCATATCTCGTATCTCGTGAAACCCCTTCCGACAACTCTTCATAAAACGATAGGGTAAGCGGGGAAGTTAGAAAAAAGGCATCAGCCTTGAGTTTCAAAGGGCTGCAAGGCTATTTCTCTAATTTGTCCACCTGTAATCATGGAGGGGTAAGGCTGACTGTCAATGCGTGCATCCTTCATGTCGCATGACGGACACTCTTTATTGTAAGAGCACTTTTGTACGGCGAATCCCATCGGAGCAGCCTTTTGTCGGAACGTACTAGTCACATACCTTAGGTACTAAGATCCTACCTAGATATCAGGTAGACTCCAGCTTTACCAGGGTAGACTCCAACCACGACGCCTCAACAGACCCCAATAGTGAATGCAATACAACCCCACAAAATTGATAAGCCAGTTCTCGACCAAGGTTCTTCAACAATTCGAAGGCTTCCGTAGCTCAGTTGGTTAGAGCTTCGTACTAATACTTTCAAGCCTTGCGCTAAAAAGCATTGGTAATGCGAAGGTCGCAGGTTCAAGCCCTGCCGGGAGCAAAAACATCCCAGTTGCCATCGAGTTGTTATTTTTTTGTCTCTTTTGATCCCTTTTCTTTTTGCCCCTGATCAACTCCAAAAGTAAGACAGCAGAATTGCGATTCAACTGTCAGATTTATCTTTTGTCTATACGTCTGCGTTGAGCTTACCAGTGTTCCAACGACGACTGATACTCCACTTGTGTTCTTCTAGAAGAGTTCGAAAACGATGGATCCATAGTGAACGTGCTGCCCACGTGCTCTCCTCGCCATGCATCAACCACGTGCCAAATATGCCGGTACCTCGTGGGAGGAATAGATACTTAGTATCTACTCCCGCATAGACACGGGACCGCCGCTGCTTTGCATATGCCAGGAATACAGCTTGAGCTGAAAAGGTACGTACCCTCTACGAGCCGCACTCGGTCGACAGAGTGCTGTGTGGTATGGTATGATAGACGGGAATAGTTCCAGGTACGGCGCATCTAGCTGTGTTTGAAGCAGCTCAATACCAGCAGAATGATGTATCATGAGCATAATTAGCTTTAGTCGGCTCACCAAGTCTGGCAGAAACGAAATAGGTGCCTTAGTATGTTCAGGGCAAGTTCAACAGGAGCAGTCGCGGTACCGGCCGCGGTGCCGGAGAAGGCTCCGTAGAACCATGTCAGCAGGGTCACACATTACACCCAGCGTGTCTGTCACTGATAGAACTTTCCATCGCAAGGAAAGCTGCAGAGTTGAGCCAAAAGTTGATTGTTCACGACTGCCAATCGCTGTTGTGATGCCTACTGAATTCTGTTAAACAAACACCTAGACCTCCAAACCTCACATTTTCAAACTTCAGATTCCCCTAGGCAAACCCCCAATACATCATCAGACTCCAATAGACCCTTAAAAAATCCGGAACCTGAGAGATATTCCCATCCAGCACATCATTTACCCCCCCCCCTTAAATCACCCTCTACAGGCCCTCCAAAGCCCTCGCTTGAATACCAGCATCCGCCATCCCCGTTCACTAACCCATCCACATACTGCCTAGACGAGCTCCCTTGATCCCCCAACACCTCACCACCCCAAACCACACACTCCCCGCCCCAGTCTCGCCCCTCACACACCATACGTGCTTCAGCGCCGGCCCCGGACTCCACCCGTTCGTCACAGCAATACTGCTGCCCCCAATAGGCACTGCCGCAGCCGATTGTGATATCCCTGACCGGGTGCTGGAATCCGATTCGATCGTCAACTCCTTGTGAAAGTCTCCGTCGTGCATCGGTTAGCCCCAACCGCATACACGGTACTCGGCACCATGATAGCAAAAAGAAGGATAGATATGACTAGTCGTAAGCAACAATCGATCGTCACATCTCCCCGACATTCCCCAGAAAATGTAACGTTCAGATCCAGGGGCTGGGCTGCCAAGCGGAGCCGGGGCTGTATAACTTGATATCATGTATTTTTAGAAACTCTAAAACAATGCTCTAATTGCACCAGACAAAGGGAACCAAACGAGTGTACTGGAAAGGCAAGAAAGAAAGAAAGCAAGAAAAAAATGGACCAAGAAAGCATTTTCCCCAAGTCACTTATGCACCTGTGCTCCAGGCGCCCCTCGCTCTAAATTCAAACATCCATCAAACGCCCATGTATGCAAACCTACAATATGCTGTATGCGGGGAATGATGGAGTCTCTAATGTGACTGACGCGGAGAACCCAGCTTCTCCGACTCGGCACCCAGGCTGACAATCTCCCGGGCGCCATCGGCGGACGATTTGGATGTAGACTCCACGTCATACTCGGCGGGCACGTCGAACGTTGCACTCTCCTCCTTCCAAATGATCCATTTGCCCTGTGAAGCAATTTGTCGTCCAATCCACAGAATTCTCTCCTTTCTGACGTCCACCATCGAAGCCTGTTCAAAGTACTTCTCGTCCTCTTCAACAGCCTCGCCCGCGAACCACTTGAGTGGAAAATACTCTTCCGTGTAAATCAGGCCTCGCATGGCATAATCTTCCGGAAGTGGTCGGTAGTGATCCTGGTTCTCTGCTCCGGGAAACACCTCGCTGTCCATGCGAGGCTCAAACTTGCACGACCTTTTCAGATAGTTAAGCATCTTTGAGATGAGCTTCCAGGGATATTTTTGCTCGATATGCTTCATCGCAGAGGGGAACTTTGATAGATGATGTATAAATACCATCTGCGTGTGAATAAAGGGCAATATATTCATATCCCCCCACCGCTCAATAACGATCTGGAGCGTTTGCACAGCCAGCGAGAGGGATTGATGAAAAGTTGTTGTCGGGACGGCTTCCAGCGGAGCAGTTTCACTAGCAACATCCATTTCATCCGATCGCTTAGGGACAATGGCGCTCTTCAAGACATTGGAGTCACTTCCGAAGCCAAGGAGGGAGCAGGAAATAGAGATGCCCATGTAATAGCTGCAGAGAAAAATGTCAACAAGAGCGAGCAAACCAAATCAGGAGCCAAATTAACTCACCCGGCTTCAAGCCAAGCCTTGGTCATACGGGCAATATGCCCATCTAGAAGGCTCAAAAATTGCCTGCAGGAAGTTCCCAAAAGGTCCTTTTCTTTACCACAGAAGAAGATTGCGAGTATGCGCACAAAGGCGAGGTCGACCGGCTCCAACCGGGGAGGCCCTGAGCTCAACACCGGGTCAAACAAGGTCATGACGCTCTCCCTGGCGCTCAGAAACGGTATCGGGACGCACAGCGACTTGGTATAGTAATAAGTCTGCTGGAGCGCATTGGGGCGAGCGAGAATAGCGAGGTGGTGATACAGGCGGCCCGTGGTGGGCAGCTTGTCCGAGGCTTTGGAGTACCAGTATCGAGAAACGGCCGTCCAAGTTTCGCGGTCTCTGATATCGTCGTCTTCGATAGCCATGCGATATCTGCCCAGATCTCCAAGGCATTCAATCCACGTGTCTTCAAACGCCGGCACTGTCTCGTAAAGAAGCGCCATCATGCTGTAGGCGATGTAGATGAAGGTGAGCATGTGTTCGAGGGACAGAGGCAACCTATGTCTGAGGAGCTCGAGAAATGAGTGGATTCCATGGCGCCACATGCGCGCAGGCATGGCATACTTGGAGGCCAGCCGTCGCAGCGCTGGACTGGCAGACGGATGCTGACTCGCCAGGAAGAAGTCGTGATGCTCGTGAAGCAGAGTGCGATGAAGAGCAATCAAAGCCTGCCACTGCTCGTTGTTCAGCTGCTGCGGCGAGTCCTTGTTCGCTGACTGGGCGTTGTCGACTTCGATGCATTTGCTTTCCACCATGACAAGCCCGGCATAGATGCCCTTTACCTCGGCGACGAGCTGCTCCTGGGAAATGGGCCTGGTCTCAGGCTGGCGAATCATCTGTGTTACGGACGGATCCTCTTCCCAGGCATCTTCTGTGTCCGGCTGTGCCGACGGGCCCGGCTCAGGATCAGGCTGCTCCATTTCATGCTGGGCAGCTCTCCCGCGTGGCTGCCTAGATCGTGGGCCTGACCGCTGACCCGACCCCTGGGGCGCGGCTTGAGCAGGTCTTGGGAGACCACCGGTGACTGGGCTCCAGAGCTGCCGAGTGCTCGAGCCTTTGGTACCGCGGTCAAACTCTTTGGCGCTGTCGACCTGCTGCCTTGCACGCCCACGCCTGTTAGGTGTAGCAGAAGGCGGGGGAGGACTACTACTCGGAGAACAAATCTTCTTACTACGAGATTCAGTATCAGAGCCCTCTTTGTTGTTCGACTGCAGCCGACCAGCATTAAGCGGATCGTCTGGACTGTCGAGAGCGGCCGTCCCTCCCGATCTCTTCCTTGACCGTTTGGCTTGGTCATTATCTGTTGCAGATGTAGGCTGGCTTCTGGTCGGGTGTTAGAAGGGGTGACATGGTCCTATGCACTCGGACGTCATTGGAAGGGAGTGGACTTACTGCGTCTTGGCAGAGCCAAGCTTCATTTTCTGGAACTCTTCCAGAATAGCCTTCTCCTCGGTGGGATGCTTCGCCGGGCTGTCCTGAACGTGGTTCTTGAAGCCGTCGAGTGTTGGTGGCTTGACGTCCTTTTGGCAGATGGGGCAGCTGAACTGCCGCGAGTTGCGGAGATAGTTGACGAAGATCTTTGAGATGTCTGGTGGCTGGACGGAAGACATGGTGCACAGCGAGGAGATGTATGTACTACTCCGTATTCTGTATCGTGCTTGTAAGAGTTGCAGAAGTTGGGGGCTAGTCGGTGCCAGGACTTGGATGGTAGGGCTGAGTTTGAGTGGATTTCGAGGTGAGACAAACGCTTCAGCAGGCTTCAGCAGCCAGTCAAGGCGCGCAGAACCGAATCGGGACTAAGGATGCATCAGCCGTTAGCTGAGGGCATTCGAGAGATGCAGCGAGTGCGGTGATTCGTCCAGCCTCCGGATGCTGGAGATGCCCGCCGACGGCTTCACATGGGGATGTCAATACGAGCACGAGAATTTTGAGCGTAGTGAGGCATTCGCATGTAACCAGGTGATGTCGGGTCGGCATAACCTTGGAAGGCACCCCAGGCCGCCCCCCACCTTCCAGGGCCCCCTGGGGGTCGCTGTAGCATGCAGGTGCAGGGGACGCAGCGCTAGTACTGACGCGGGGCGGGGCTTCTTGCCTTGCAGCAGTGATTTTCAACCCACAATTTTGGACGCGAACCAGTTGCCTTTCTGTTGAGCCTCAATTTTTCGACAGGTACACCTACCGTAATTGGTTTGGATGCGGCAGAACTACCAAGGTGCACACAGCGATATCTTGTCGAGTGTCGCTCGTTAGGATGTAGGTTCAATGTCTTTTGTTTGAGCAAAGGTGCAAATTGCAGAGACAGTGGTGATGCCGACGAGAGTCTGAACTCGTTGTTCAGGGAAAATAATATAGTATGAACCGTAGTAAAAGTCAATCGCAAAGGAAAATGTTCGTCGGCATTCCTCTTGTGGCAATTGCAAGTGATGGAGAAGCAAGAGGACGAGATGGGAGGGGAAGTGTGCAGTCTTATACCCTTTTGAGGCCGTCCGCGGACCATCAGCCAGCCGCGTCCAAGACTCACAGCGACGGGAAGTTTGTGTCGTCAAGACCATGACCAAAAACGACATGGAGGTCTTCCAGGTTCTTTGATGTACCGAATGCGCACTACCTAAGGTACCTAGGGAGGTAGGTACCTAACACATTAGGTAGTTCTCGTTACACCCCTGCCTTAAAGGTACACTGTCCTAGGTATCTTGGAATGAAATCATTCTGCTGCAAATAGGTTAGTAATTGCATGAGGGTACCATGGCCATTTCGAGCAGTCTTTGAGCTTCAAGCCTCGGGTGCCGGGGTCAAAGCTTTCCTATGATACCTTCTGAATTGACGCTAGATCAACATGTACCGGATTGCATGGACTTCGTTACCCATCTCTCGTCCATCTGCTTATCTACAGAGCATTCAGCTTTTCCTTGTCAAGCCCATTGTAGTCATTGCTGGTCATTTTACTTCATACCCAAAATGCGCATAAAACACACTCGGGCTTCAATTTCTTGGGTACTGGAACCTTATACCTATGTAGTAAGGTAGTTTATTCAATTCTACCTAAAGTAGGTAGGCATCAATACACCCACCATCCCTCGAGGAGGCTCGAAATCACTTTCACACCACACCATATGGCCTTCGGTTACAAACTGCATCCTTGAAGGCCGCCTTGCCGCGTCCACCTGGAGGCTCTATCACCTCGTCCGTCTTGCAATACCTGGGACCTCCCAGGTTCGTCTCGTTCTAAGATATTACAGTTTTCCCAATTGCATTTCTTCTGACAAAGATCACGACTTGTTCCTCTAGCCAAGCAAACTACAACGACTGGCCAAGGGTGAGCAAACACGGAATCAACGCCTCGCTGTCGTCCTCTCGTATCTCGCTTTGTTCAGTCAATTATATTTACACTCCTACCCGCTCTTCTCTCCCGGCGAGAAATTTGTTTGGCAAACATTCAAGATAAGAAGTCTATGGCCTTCTAACTGGCAAACTCCAACACCAGGCAGCGATGCGGCTGCGTGTCTACCGACGAATCGCGAAACACAATCCCCTCGCACACCAGACATTCAGCTCTGGAAAGAGATCAGAAGGCTTCCGAAATCCGCCTTGAATCTCTGTTCTTGCAGCAGGCGCCATGTCACAGTCGACTTCAGCCTCGCAACATAGGTGCTACGCTACCTGATTCACATTCAGGCACACCGGGAAATCGCTGGTGGTACTTCATTCGCCATGGCGTACAGGCAACGCGACGCCTTCTCGTATGTGGTTTTACGTGAATGGATGCACTGTAGCGGGGGGGGGATGCCTTTTCTCTCGTTGTTGCGAAGATTCCTATCTAGTATGAGGCTGGTGATAGAATTCTGAGGGAGGCATAGATGATGCGCTGTCACGGAAGGGTGACGGCAGGGAGACGGCAGAGGGCGCGTGACGACATCATTGACGCGGCAGCTCATCTCAGACGTTCTGACACGGGCATCACTTGTCTCACAATGCATTGGTCGGTGATGATGGTCTCAGATGCCTTGGCTACCCTCAAAGAAAGGCAATCCTCGCAGCCTGAAGTCGCCGAGACTTCAAGCTTGTTTGCCATGTCACGGGATGTCGACAAACTGTCATTGCGCAGAATCTAAAAGGAGCGCAGCCTTTGGGTCTATGAAGCTCTAAGTGGTTGGTTCGGCGACAAATCAAGAAGGTAGAATCAGGCATCCGTGTTCGATTTCGATGGCGTTGGTACCCGGCTGGACTTTCGGATTCCTTGTTCCTTGACCTTATTTTATATTCGTAAGTCCCAACTCGACAGAGGCGTCTTCAGCTGTTGGGCTGCATTTTCATGCCCAGTGGCCCTCCTCAGGAGCGAGCTAACCAGTGTTCCGTTTAGTATAACTTGGCCCGACCTGCCCAAGGCAGAAGTTGCTTTATAATTCCATCATCAGGCATTACAGTGCGTCAGATATGATATTGGATAACGGTGGACTCTTGAGCATTCACATCAAAAGTGCATTCACGGAGGCAAAGAGCTGACGAAGCTTAATTTCGCCCCTATCTTCACTGCAGCTATGTTGGCCTATTACGAACGCAACATAGCCTGGGGCGAAATGCTCGGGGTGGCCGTGATTCAATCAAAGATTCTAGAGATTTCTTTGCATCAAAGTCGTGGCAATCAACAAGACCAGTGAATTCTCCCTTAAGGACACATGTAAGGGCTGAGACCAATGAATGAGATGCAAGTGTTCCTGCTCCGCCATTAACTGACACGTATGGATATCCAGTCGGCACCTACATGATGAGCTGATTTGTATATATGCTGATTTGTATATATGTACATGGGACTGTGGCATCGTAATACACTTCGTAATCATGATTTTACGCAAGAGATCTTGCCACAACCTGTAAGATATGTATCATAATTGGTAGGGTCGGGGGTACTGCATATGTATGGTTTTATATAGAATGCTTGCTGTTCTTGATATGCATGGCTATTGGAAACGGGCTCTACCTTTGTCCATGAAGTCACATATTACGCAAAGGCCAAGTCATCCTTTAGATGGATGTTCAATCGATAAGGATGCAATTTGAAGGTTCTGGTCCATACATACCTACCTATCTTATGCATGTAAGATTAGAAACCGAGCTGTCAAAGATGTCGATTCAAGTCACGCTCGGCACTGGCATGTAAGGTACTAGATGTATATACGTCACCTATGTCGTTTAGAATCAAGATTATGCTCGATGATACCAAATATATAGTTAACGTGTGTTTTGTGATTGAGACTCGACGACTTTCTATATAAATCAACGAACAACACGACATCAGAACGACATCAGAGTAAGCCGACATGCATATGAGACGTCAGCACCGTATGTACAGACCAATAGCATCTATTATGATTACTACCTATTGGTGGACATGCGCCAATAACCCATCTATACTATTGCCGCAGCTATAAAGGCGAATCCAGACCGCAGAGCAATCCCGAGTTCTTACCCTTGTTTTGCCCATATTTTTATGCGTCTCTACACGACAAAGTAACATCAATGCCGACGTAAATTCCATTGAGATGTATGCCTACAGTTAGTGGTCTATCGAAGTTCTCCTGTTACAGATCAGCGTTGCCTTTTTCTTTTGATTCGCTGGGCACTCCGTGATGATCGACAGTAACAAAAGGCAATGCTCAACCAGTCCAGCAACCAGTCCAATCAGTATGGTCCAATTTCAGGTTACCAAGCCCGATATTGCCACGGCCATAAATAGCCCGCGGACGTCTTTTCTCAATTCATAACTCAAGGCCGCCGCAGTAAATCAATCCTTTAGTAGTAGTCTCGTATTTACATACAGCCTTGGAAGAGGCAAAGCTCTGAACAATTGATCAACCTAGGCAGGGCTGTGAAATGCTTCTTGGCAGCAGATCGTGCCACTCGCCGCCTTGCTGGCTCCTTCATCATACAATCGCCACAGTCTCCCCAGAATCACGCCGGCGCCTGCTGATATTCAAGGCGTCCACGGCAATATCGCCATCCCAATGTTATGATAGGTATTGGTGCCTGCCAGATCTCATGTTTTTCAACCTTGCCCTGATGGTGGCGAGACGTGGCCATATGCAAGCAAGGGTATCGCCCTGTACTCGGTGAACAAACAATGTGAGTGGCGTACATACCTTGTGTGTAGTAACGCACCTAACAATCAATAAGCGTATACTATCGAACCTTTGATCGTGATGAACAGCCATTGAAATTAGAGAATCCCACTTCTAAGCAGAATACTTATCGTAAGGCAACCAATATCCATCCGTGCCTGCTCAGTGTTACGATAGCACGACTCAGGGGAGGGCAGATGTTCCAGGCTGGGTACTACTCTACTACGTACGTATGTCACCGTTGAAACCACCAGATGAAAGGCCTTGCGAAATAGAGTTGACACGACTCACGATCAGGCAGCTCACACATATGCCTGGCCAATGGCTGAATGAACATGTGAGGAGGCAAAAGGCAGACGAAGAGGCGTTTCTCAACAAAATCCTGGACGGTTTAGAGGCGAACATCACAGGGAAAGGCGGAAGAACTTCCAAGGAGAGGAGCATTAGCTCCTGGCACCCTTGTACAGCACAAAAGGGTGTTGGCTGTACAAGAAGCAACTCAGACTTATGAAAGGCAATAGGAAGACAAAAGGAAGAGCTGAAGCTGGGATTTGAAGGATTCTTAACCTTCAACTACAACATATTGAGAAGAAGTCAGCTCGGGAGCAGCCATTGGAGCAAAAGGTTGACCCTTTATTCGAGACCGTCCCAATGCAATCCTACAATTTCATCACCGTGCTATATGATTCGATCACACATGTGATCAGAAATGTTCAGCGCCTGAAAGGCTGAAGGGGACTTCATATTTGGGGTCCAAGCAGGGGAGAAAGCCATAACATCGTGCATAACTCGATCCCCCCTGCTTCCCGTTTGGATAACAATCTCCCTGCGTTGTCAAGCCCACGTTGTGAAGTCCACGTTGTCTCGTGACTCCTGCAGGGAAAATGTTCGGTGAATGGTACTGGGTTGCGAATGAGATCCTTTGCCTTCATCTTGGCTGTGCGCTTCTGGGATATTGCGAGCTGAACCTCTTGTTACTTGGACCCCCTTGGTACGTGTACGAGTATATGAGGCTTGGTCACAAGTCAGTAGCCCTTCGGCTTCGGCTTTCGCTTCCGCTTCCGCTGAAGCGCTTCGAATAGACTGGTGGCACATTTGTCTGATACACCAGCTTCACCGATTGGCGTTCAGTCTTTCTATGCTTGTCATCAGAGACAGCTATGAGTCCTGCCTTGACCAGCGGGGCCTCAAAGAGGGGGTGATTCTCCAACAACGGCATTCACACCGCTCCGGCCCAACTGACATTCTTTGGTCTGAGTACTCCGTTACCCGCCCTCGTACACGATGCCTTTTCTGCCTCGTGTCCAGAATTCTTCCACGTGTATCTTTCCTTTCCCTACATGGCGTCCATTCAAGGGGGGTCCCCACGCATACTGCAGCAAGGATCCAGGAACTCCACTCAGCAGCTTAGGATCCATCTTACAGCTGAGTACTCGTACAAGAACAATCTCTATCTATAGATCGGTGAGGAATCCGTGCTAATTTTGCCCAATGGCACGATTGACAAAGCTCCATCTCCATGCTTCGTGCGAAAAAAACAGCGTACGGAGCATACAATCTACCTACCAGCCAAGGATTGAGGCGCCAAGCAGGATAAAGACAACATGAGAAGCGTACTAGCACTGCATGATACCTACGTAGTGAGACTAGAGCCCATTGGACCTGGGACAAGTGGCCTGCTGACCTGGCTGCCTTTTCTTCATGGTAGCGGCCGGCCTCTCAACTGTAGGTGGCCGTTCCGAACGACGCTTCTGTTGCCCTTCCGTACTCGTTCATGATGGTCACCGTGCAGAAGAAGACTCATGTATGTTCCGAGAAAGTCCAGAATCGAGTCATTTCGGTGTCTACGCGGCGACAACAATCTTGGATATGCATCGTCATGGATCTCATACAGTACTATCCAACATTCTATCTACGGAACCACTCATACTTTTCGGCCTCCTTCATTCGCTCCTCGACCCGCTGAATAGTCTCCGCGTCATAAAGGCTTTCCACGGGCTTGCCTGCCTTGAAGACTTCCTTCTCGTGCCTCGTAGCCTCTTCCTTCGTCATACACACCAGGTCTCGCAGGCGGATCGTGGAACACTTTTGCTCGTCCTTTCCCTCGCCAATCACCGTCATGCTCGACGTCTCCGGCTTCTTCCACCTGATGAGCACAAGCCTTGTGGGAATTCCGCTCAGGATGCTGCGACCGTTGTACAGCTCCTCGGTAAGAAATGCCACATCCCCCAACGTCAATGGCGTCTTGAGACCGGTAGTATCCGGCACAAACAGCCTTGCGAGCTTCTCCTCGGACCCTTGGACGTAGGTGAGAATACCTTCGTACATCTTCTCTCGCGCCTTGCCCGGGACGTACGAGATAGGATAGCCCGTAATTCTGAGAATGACGTGGTTGGCAGCCGTGAGTCCAAATATGGCAGGCATTGTCCCCAGAACAGGAAGAATCCGCACGCGAAAGTTGGCCATGACTCCGAGATCACCGACAGATCCCTTCTGGAACTCTTCCTCGGGAAGTGGCAGCAGCTCGGCTTTTCCCTCTCCGGATTGCTCAGTAGAGTAAACGACGGGGATGCCGCTGGTAATACCCAGGAGCTTTAGTCGTCGTCTCGTCGCACGTGACAGCCCGTCATCTTTACTCGTTCCAATGTCGCCAATGACAATCTTTGTCGGATCTCCTTTGCATCCTGCGCCCATACAGCTGATCACAGGCAGCTTGTTGTCGTAGCAGTACTTTAGCAGGGCAACCTTTGTGTCAATGTTGTCAATGGCATCAATGATAAAGTCCGGCTTGCGGCCACCCTCTATCCAAGGCGCCAGCATCGCCTCAGCAACGTGCTCGTCAAATTTCTCCTGTCGAAGGTCGAACTTGATCCAGGGCGCGATGGCAATGAGTCGTCGGTGGAGGCATTGAACCTTGGGAGTGCCAACGTCGGCCAGAGTAGCGACGGCATGTCGGTTGAGGGAGCTCAGAGTGACTTGATCAAAGTCAATGAGACGAATCTTCGAGACTCCTGACCGAGCCAGAGCGGCAGTGCAATGTGAACCGACGCCTCCGCAACCCACGACTATGACGAAAGAATCTCGCAGCTTCTGTAGGCCCTCGGGAGTAAGAAAGACCTGGTTGCGGGCGAGTTGCTCCAGGATGAGTTCCTCGTCAAAGTCGCCGGCTTGCGCACGCCTAGCAAGGGCAATGTTTCGAGCATCTTCAGGGTCCAGGCCGGACTCTGATGAAGCTCCAAAGCTGTTCAACTGCGGTACTGATGAGCAATGAGTGATTATATAGTGTCAAGGGCTCAACTTACCCTTCCAGAACGGCCATTGTCGTTTGAAAGTGACGGTATTGAGCTCTTTAGTTCTGATAGACGCTCCTCCCGCTCCAGAGCCTGGTAGCCAAAGATGAGTCCAGCTACGGCAGCCCCAGAAGCAGCCGCTGTGGCCAGCAGCTGGATCCGGGGATTTGAAATGGTGTCTGTTAAGAATGAAGGCATGATGGTCACATCATGTACTTGGAAAGCATCCAAGTTCTCTTGTCTCTAAAGAATTCGGAATAATTTGATAGGCTCATGTGCACCCAGCAATTGGCCCACTAGAAAGTTTTATCTTGATGAGTCAGCCAGGCTCAGCCCACCTTGGCCGGTGAGGTCAGACAAAACACCAAGAGCTGAATATCGCAAACCTCGAAAAGCTGCAGCATCAATTTCTCCGCCATTTACTCCTCTCCGACATAACTTCGTCTCTGCCATTCACTTTTCACTTGACTCTGCCTTTTCTTTATCTTTGCAGTTTCTCTGTTTCTGCCATTGACTTGTGCAGTATCAGTCCGGGACTTCGGTTCCTCCAGCTCAGCGCTGCCATGGCCCCCAGATTGATCACCCGGAGGCTTGTTGTTCATCCTGCAGGCGCTCGTCCTCGATGTCTGAGGCGCTTCGCTATACAATCTCGCCTCACCACAACGACCAACCGCTCTCGACCGATACTCCCCTTCCTCTTCGTACCCAGATCCAGTCCAAACTCAGTACGGCGCTACACTTCCGAGCGAAAGCGATGGTGGAAACATGAGGCGAAGCTGGTGGTGCGCTACACGCTGACGCTCTGGGGAGTCGTCGTCTGCGTCTTGACCATCTTCTTCGCCTTCAACGAAGAGGCTCTCGAACGAGAATTCCCGACGCCCCACGAATGGCACTACCTGACAAGAAAGTTCCTCCGAGACGCCAACAACTTTAAAGACCCCAAGAACGGCCAGATCAACTGGGCGCGAGCACTGGAGCTCTCGCGCGGCGTTGTCATCAGGCTGGAAGACCCCGCGATTGATGGACAGGACGTGGTGAAGCTCTCAGACGTGGTTGACCCCCAGCTGGAGGTGCCGGGCGAGTTCATTGCATGCGACATCTCGGCCAAGTCAGAGGAGTGGCGCAGGGGCTACTTCGAGGCCATCATGCTGGCCGCCAAGGCTGCCGAGCACGTCGACGGCTGGCTGCGAGACACGACACGGAATATCGTCACCCCTCCGGAGTTCGTCATTGGCCCCTCGAACCCTCATCCGACTCCGATCCCACCCGGAAACCCGTCCGCTCCGCGCGAGGAGGACTGCGAAACCGCATATCCGTCCGCCGACAATTGGTACACTAAGATCCTGGCGACCAAGGGCTTGACCTCGCGCCAAAAGGTGCAGGCATGTCTGGAGTTCGCCAGCTTTATGGAATTTAAGAACAATTCCGAAGCCGCCGAATCCCTCTATAAGCTAGCCCTAGCAGAGGCAACCTCCAGCCTGGACCCCAAGAAGCTTCCCTACGACCCAAGGACCTTTGTGCTTAAGGAGCGCGCCGAACCTCCCTCCCTAAACCTCCTCGACGCCCTCACAGCCACGGCCAACCACATAGCCCGCAAGGGCGACGTCGCCTCCGCTCTCCCCATCTACCTCTCTATCCTCAAAGCCCGGCGCTCCCTCTCCGACGATCCTCCCCGCGCAGCCGCCCCCAAACGCAAGACCGAATCCTTCACCGGACAAATCCTTAAGTTCTTCGCCCCGCCAGAATACCCCCCTCCTCCTCCGGACGGCACCCAGCCCCCCTGGCGAAGCCCTTCCGAGCGCTGCCAGGAAGCCGCCCTGAACCTCTACATTGGCGAAATCCTCTACGCGACGGGCTCCAAGGACGATGGCCTAGCATGGACGAGAGACGGCGTGGATCTGGCAGAGGAGCAGCTCCGAAGCCCAAAACTCAGCCAAGACACCACCCGCGAGGCAAAGACGACGTGCAGGAATTGCTTGTCCACGGGGCTGGGCAACTGGTCCATCATGGTCTCGAGACTGGCAAAGGAGGAGAAGGAGAAGAAGGCGTCTGGCTCTCCGTCATCCATGTTCTCTTTCTGGAGCGGATCGTCGCAGGACTCTGAGAGTCGCTGGGAGGCAGAGGAGGTGGTGATTCAGGAGCGTGTGAAGCGGACGCGGGAGTTGTTGGAGGACGTGCAGGCGCCAAAGCCGGGCATTGTGTCGTTTTTCAAGGTATAGTCGTGTTCAGTCATTACCTGTCACCACAACTCGCCATCATACCTTATGGCTCCAAAGTTGGGCACTTATTTACCACCATGTATCAAATTGTGCTGTCCGATAAAGGACTCGCCAATTCTCATTGTACTATAATAGCTGGCTAGTGGAAATGGCGAATGATTGCTTTCCATATCACCTCATGATCATGTCCGAGATGCTGCCGACTTCAACGCACATCTGCACGTAGAGAAATGCCAACAGATAACCATCCTCATACTCATCACCACTAGACATCCGATTCCGACTCCGAGTCTGTATCAGGCGCCACGCCAGTCTCCACAAACTTCTTCCAGCGCTTCGCCTGCTTCAGCTCCTGCTTCAACTCCAATGGATCAGCCTTGGATATCATAGGCTTTTCTTCCTCAGGCACTTCGTTCCAGTCCTGTTCAGTCAGCGCAGGTCGCAGGCAGTCAGCCACCGCAATGACGGGGTTCTCGTAGCCCGGGTTCATAGCGACATCCTGGAGGTGCGAGAGGATGTGAGATCGCGCCTGTATGAGAATCGTTTCGACGTGAGACGGCTCGGACGAAGATATGCATGGAAAGCCCATGGGAAGAATGCTGAGCTCCGGATTTCCCTCGGGAGGCGCCAGAGGGATTCCAGCGGGCTCAGAGCAGAGAAGATAGCCACGAGCTCTCTGCAAAGAACTGGGTCAGCTGGATGATACATTTGTTGGGCAAGGTCTCGACGGCTTTCATACCTTGGCCAGAAAGTCCTTGAACTGTGCGTTTGTCAATCCATCTACCTCAAACACCGGGCCCAACAGGATCAGAGAACCAAGTCTCTCGCCCCAAGCATCCCACGCCTCCTTGCCATCGAGAAACCTTTCCACAATCTCGCACGTCTCTCCAATAGCCACAACATCCACCACCGCCTTCTCACCCGCCATAGAGCCAAGCACCTCGTCAAAAATATATCTGACATGCTCCCTCGGGTTCTCATTGCCAGGGACCCTGTTCAAAGACGGCACTTCTCGAATCCCCTTGTGCACCAAGCTAGGCAGCGGCAAAGCCGCGCTCGCAGAAACGGTAATGGCCCTCTTCCCTTCAGGCCACCAGTACGTCTGGCCCGTATTCGCCAGGACAATGCCTGGCGGCGATGCATCGTCGGGAGAGGAGGAGCGCTGCGATGCGACGAGGGCGCGGACGACCGAGACCATGCTTCCCTCGTTGATGCCTCCAGGGCCATTTGCCACGCGGCCGGCAACAAGGCCAAGATCCTGCGTGGGTTCGCCGAAGATGACGACGATGCGGGTTTTCGCTTCGAGGTTTGGGGTGATGAAGATGGGTATGTGAGGTTCTGTGGCGGGCGTTCCCTGGGGGAGACGGACTTTCTGCATTCCTTCTTTTTCTAGGCGTTCGTGGACAATATATTCTAGAGCATCTAGAGATTACACACTGTCAGAGTTATGCCACTAGAGGGCCTCATCATCGCAATCTGGGTGTTGATGTCGAAGTGACTCACGGTTGAAGGCGAAGCGCTGGCGAGCGCAAATCCTCGGGTTGCGATTTATGTAGAACTTGAAGTAGTTATCCGGCTCCTTGATGGAGCGAATCTCATCATCTTCATTGACAAAGTATCTATCCCAAGCTAATTGTTAGGAACGCAAAACGAAAGGGCAAAGTCTTCAATGTTGGGGCAAAGCGAGGATAAGGAAGACGACGAACCCGAGGCCTTTGAAATCCGAGGGAAAAGTGACGTCCTCGGGGAGGCCCGACCACAGACGACGGAACATGACTGCAGTGTCTCTGTGCCTCTATATCTCCTTGATGGAGTACCAGATTGCGAGGGAGGCAAGAGGATGTTCGTTGCTTTTCTTGCTCAAGGCGCCTGTAGAGATGGAGAGGAGAGAATCAAAGTTAGGGTTCGAGTCAAATCTTATGCGCAAAGGAAGAGAGAAGTAGCGAAAGGGTAGACGATGGTTTATGCCTGAGGAATACTAGAATCCTCATGTGCCTTGCGAGCGAGGTGCCTAGAGACGTTGAGAGACAGATAGGAGCCTTTTCTCGTGTGTTGGATGCAAAGAGCCGTGTGCCAGCTGTGAGCAGCCGTCGACGAAGAGCAGGCACGCCGATTGCCTTGTCAGTGCCAGTGCAGCTCTGACCGCAAAACCTGAACCTTCACTGCCACTCAAGGCATGTGACGGGAGAAGAGAGGTGAAGCAAACATGCACCAGCCGCTCCTTGATTCCCTTGAAGGCCTCGCAGTACACAAACAGACCATCTGCCAGATTATAGGCGGTTTCAGGCATCAAGCAAGCAAAGGCGAAAAAATACTCAGATGCTCTCAGATGCCATACGGTACATGGGGCAGATGATACGAAGACACTACAAGCACTAGGTAGGTACGGACAGACTTCTCTATTGATACTCATCCATGTAAGAATTCTCTCGAGAAAGTCCAAAGATCTGCAAAAGCCTACCGATCTGGCTCTCAGGTATGCATTGTATCAGAACCAGCCATTACGACCTCTCAGGCAGATACCTCTCGAGGACACACTACGTCCCTACTCACATCTATGCTGCGAGAAACTGTCATTAACATGTCTTCTTTCCATCGTCCAGCCAGATAACGCCAGACCATCCGTATAAATTAACCGTTTCCAAGTAAACACCAAAACAAGTCAGGCCGTACACGCACGCAATGTCGGCCTGCCAACTCCATATCAGGTCAAGAAAAATCAGCGGCTTCGGAAGGGAAAGCTGAAGCGACTTGCGCTGCCGCGATCCATCCGACTTGCGAGAGCTTCCTCCATGGCGGACCGCGTAACTGATGCATCTGTTTCGGCAAGCATATGAGCAAGGTGTGCAAGAATGTTTAGATACAGGGGCATACCATCCAGGTCACTAAAGCTGCTGCTGATGCTAGGCGTGCCCTCGCTGTTGTCCCGCGAGCTTCGAGTGTCCGTTGCGCGACGAGAAGGGGACGATGGGTCTACATTATGGCTCTCTCGTGGTTTGACCGGCCGCAACGGCATAGCAGGGGAGCTCGCCGATGAATCGGAGGTCTGTGAGTGGTGAGATTCTTTCGCGAATGGCCTTGGATTGCGCCGCGGCGGGGCGCGGCTGTCTGTGCTCCTCAGCTTTAACGTGGATGACAGATCCGGCGACGATGGTCCAGCAGACGGTGCATTATACGGCCTAAAGGCAGGCTCCGATTCGTCATCCTCATCCCCGGGGTAGGCGTAAGAGTCCTGAGGCGGCTGATACCGTGGTGGTCGGCGGATGATGCGGGATTGCACCGCTAGTGATTCGTCATCGGACGAGGACGACGAGCTCGACTCGGCTGGGCCAGGCGAATTGGCCCGGTTGGCTTCGGCAACAGGCGGTTCGGGAGATTTGGGAGACGGCGAAGGAATGGGCAGCGACGACAGCCGCGTCCGCGCAGCCTGGTCAAGCGCTCGCAGGCTGGGCCGGGTGCCTATCCTAGGGGAGGCGCCGCCGCCGTCCCTCATGACTGTCGTGGTGGCCGAGGTGTTGCGGGACATGGCCGGGCGCATCGGCGAGTTGATGGCAGGCCCAGCGGTGCCGCTCTCGTTTCGCAGCGTGGACACATCGCGGCGGATCGACAAGGCTGACGGCGTCCTCAGATGGCCTGCGTCGGACCCGGGAACGGGCGATTGTGTGGCAGAGCCTTTGGCAGCGGCCGTGGCTTTTCGGACTTGGGCGAGGAAGTGTGACTGATGTCGCTCGTTCAGGTAGGCCACCTGCTGCACCAGGAAATCGACGGGGACTTCGAACCGGTCGGCGCTGGAGGGTGGTCAGTCGGCAGTTCTTCAGGAGATGGATCGATACGACATGTGAGAGTTGGCGGCGCATACACTAGGTTCCCTGAGCATCTGTTAGCGGAATCAACTCGGGCTTCTCAACGCATGCTGCAAACGGGGCCGCATCATACAGTCAATCTCCTTGTGCCCGGAGAGGATCTTCCACAGAGCTTCGTCTTTGGCGACGTCCCAACTGACCTGGGCGGGCGTGTTAGCAGGTGTCGCGATGTTGTCACTGCTGCAGATGGAGCTATGTATGCGGCAGACATGGATGGAGTAGAGAGGCGTACGGGAGGTGGATCGACGAATCCCCGACGCGGGATGGGAACCCTGATGAAGACTGTGTACTGAGGCTCTGCCATTATGCGTGAGATTGAAGGAATAGAGAACAAAGGGAAGAAAGCAGGACAGAGACGGATGATGAAGGAGATGACGAAGAGTGAAGCTCTGGATGGCTACAACAGAGCACAGAGGTCGGTATGACTGGCCCGAGATGCCGTAAATGTTCCCCAGCCAAGGTTACCTTGCCGATACGTACTAGCGCCTAGCGGCTCAGCGTGCAGGCGACGCTGCATTAGCGCTGTAGGAACCACCTGGCGGGACCTGCTGGGCGTCGCCGCCAGGGGCTTTTTACTGGGCGAGGCGCTCTGGCCGGTGCGCTGGGAGGGGCGTGACACGGCAACCTGCAGCATCTTGGCTGGCAGGCTGTGATTGCACGGCAGCCTCAAGTGGTTGTTGATGCCTGTTTGTGCTGGTCTCCAGCGATGGCCACTTCTGACAGATTGTAGCATATCCTATGTGGTCAATATTTCTTGTGTATATGGAGATATATGGAGTTGTCGCATGTGAAATAGAATGACCGGAATAGACGCCTTGAGTCTCTTCAGGTGCCGTCAATGATGATGTAATGGCGCAATGGTATGAGCTGGTGTTGCTCAGAAGATGAAGCAACCACGTCAAATCTCCAAGCCCCAGTCGAGCAGCAGCGCCGTGGAACTCGAGTGCGCGGCATCTACAGACACGGCTTGATGAATGGAGTACAGATGACTGATTCTACCAGAGAGGTAGGACAGCCAGCATGGCACCTTGATGCTTACCTGTCTAGGTGCCCTTAAAAGAAGTCCGGGTCTGATATTGATTGATATCACTTCAGGGTTGTCACATATGATCGATGGCATAAGGTTCGATAGTGGCAAGCCATTTAATATCGCGGTGCTGCAAGTCGTATCCGGAAGCGGCACACCAACCAGAGACGCTACAGTAGTAGTCTAATTACATCGTCAAAAGGTCCAAATCCTCAAACCCTTTGGGTTGCCTGTTGATATATAGGTAGGTAAGCATGTAGGGAAGTTTGACGTTCACATGGGTAGTACCTCTAGACACACAAAGTAAGGTACTCAGCTGTCACAGACACAAGCTTGATGCTAGACAATCCACTTGCCCCAGCTCAATGTAACCTCGAGTGACAAACAAGGCCAAACTCCATGCTGGCATACCTACTCAACACGCCCCCTTACACTCACATCCCAGCCTCAGCACAAGTATAGGTATACATACTTCTTCTACCCACTCAGCCAAACAGCCATCAGCCAATTACTTATACCTACATTATTCTACAGCACATCAGCAGCATCAACCAGTCCCCTCGTCCGCCTCCATCGCCTCGCCTCGCCTCGCCCGCATTTGGTCTAGGGTATCCAGACCGTCCAAACTTGTCCGCCCCTCGGCGGGGTCGAATCCCGACCTCTGTCCGTCAAGCCAAGTCTCACCTCTCCGACTACCTACCTTATTAGCTGGCAAGCTACCACCTTACGCAACAAACGGATATAGCTGGACACTTGCTCACGTTGCACCGACGTCTCCCGAAGCAATTCCCTACCTACGTTAATACCCTCCACGTCCTTCTCGACCGATCAATCCGCGATAAGACCCGGCGCCTTATCTGGGGTCTTGTAAGTACGGCGTCTGCCTGATCCCGCCTGCTGCTGCTTGTCGCGGACAGTCGCAAAGGCCTCAACGCCCTCGATGGCCATCACATGTAATACTTACATATAGAACTGCAGAGTTGGCCGTTATCTGTCCTCGACTGGCGACGAAACGCAATCGTAATCCTCGAGCTCGGCGGGGGAGTTGCGGATCTATCGACTTTCTCTCTCACACAGCCCAACACACACGAACACGAATCCCCAACCGCAGCCATGGTCGTCTCGGAGCTGACGGCGTCCGCCGCCGCCATGAAGTCCTCGCCGCCCGCGGAGAGAGGCGAGAGCAGCAGCAACAGCATAGAAGCAAAGCTGCAGCCTCTCCAAAACTGCGCCAAGCAGGGCACCTCGCCATTCGTCAAGGCCTACGCCGACAGCCTCGTGGCGTGGCAACTGCTGGACGACCAAGCTGTCGAGAGGGCTCGAAGGGAGAACAAGCTCATCTTTCTGCACATTGGGTTCAGGGCGTGTCACTGTGAGTCTGCCCCCGCAATCTGCTGGATCCCACTGACGCATCCCCAGTCACTCGCCTCATGGCTCTCGAGTCCTTTATGAATCCCGACTGCGCCGCCGTCCTGAACCACTCCTTCGTCCCCATCATCGTCGACCGCGAAGTCCGCCCCGACATCGACACCATCTACATGAACTACGTCCAGGCCGTGAGCAACTCGGGAGGATGGCCGCTTAACCTCTTCCTCACGCCCGAGCTGGAGCCCGTGTTTGGCGGCACGTACTGGCCCGGCCCCAGCGTGGCCAGAAGGACGGAGGACCACGGCGATGAGCCCTTGGACTTCCTCGTCATCCTGAAAAAAGTGCGCAACATCTGGAAGGATCAGCAGGCCAGATGCCGCAAGGAGGCAACCGAGGTCATAGGCCAACTGCGTGAATTTGCGGCCGAAGGCACGCTGGGGAAACGAAGCATCACGGCTCCACAGCAGCAGCAGATCGCTCCGGCCGGATGGGCTGCTCCGGTGTCCAACCAGCCTGCGGCCAAGGTGGGCGACAGCAGCGCCGTGTCCAGCGAGCTGGATCTCGACCAGCTTGAGGAGGCCTATACGCATATTGCGGGCACCTTTGACCCCGTGTATGGCGGGTTTGGACTGGCGCCCAAGTTCCTGACGCCGCCCAAGCTGGCCTTTCTGCTGAACCTTGTCAACTTCCCCTCTCCCGTTCAGGATGTCGTGGGCGAGGCCGAGTGTAAGCATGCGCTGGACATGGCCCTGGATACCCTGCGCAAGATTCGCGACGGCGCACTGCACGATCACATCGGGGCCACTGGTTTTGCTAGGTGCTCAGTGACCCCTGATTGGAGCATACCCAACTTTGAAAAGATGGTGACCGACAACGCATCACTCTTACAGCTATACCTCGAGGCGTGGAGAAAGAGTGGTGGCAAGGAGGACAGTGAATTCTACGATGTGGTCGTCGAGCTTGCCGAGTATCTTACTTCTCCGCCCATTGCCTTGCCGAACGGTGGCTTTGCCTCCTCTGAAGCTGCCGACTCCTCCGCGAAGAAGGGCGACAGTGAGAAGAGAGAGGGAGCGTACTATCTCTGGACGCGGCGCGAATTTGCATCTGTGGTGAATGCTGATGACGGACATATCAGCCCCATTGTGGAGGCATACTGGGACGTGCAGGAAGACGGAAACGTGGACGAGAATCATGACCCGAACGACGACTTCATCAACCAAAACATCCTGAGGATACGGAAAACGCCCGAAGAACTGAGCAAGCAGTTCAATGTCCCCGTCGCCACGGTGAAGAAGAACATCGAGATTGCTAGAACCGCGCTCAAGAAGAGGCGAGAGAAGGAGCGGCCGCACCCGGATGTAGATGACAAGATCGTCACCGGTTGGAACGGCTTGGTGGTATCGGCCCTGGCGCGGACGTCAACGGCTTTGAAGGAGCTCAGCCCGGAGAAGAGCCAAAAGTACCTGAACAAAGCCAAGGAATGTGTCGCGTTTATCAAGGAAAAGCTGTGGGATGAGAAGAACAAGATCCTGTACCGGATATGGTGCGAGGGGCGACACACTGAAGGCTTTGCGGACGACTATGCGTATCTGATCCATGGTCTTTTGGATCTCTTTGATGTTACCGGCGACGAGAGCTACGTTGAGTTCGCCGACAACCTGCAGAGTAAGTGTCTCACTTTGTCGTTCGGTTTCTTGATGCCACAAACTGATCAGAATCTGTTTCCTTAGAAACTCAAATATCGCTCTTTTACGACCCCGCCGGAGCCTTCTACTCAACAACAGAAAATTCTCCCCACACAATCCTCCGTCTCAAAGACGGCATGGACACGTCCCTACCTTCCACCAACGGCGTTTCCGTCTCCAACCTCTTCCGACTGGGCGAGCTGCTGGAAGACGAGAGATTCACCGGCTACGCGCGGGAGACGATCAACGCCTTTGAAGCCGAGATGCTGCAGCACCCGTGGCTCTTCCCCGGCCTGCTGGGCGGCGTCGTCGTGGCTAGGCTGGGATTGGGACTGGAGAAGAAGGCTTTGGACGTTCGGTACAGGACAACACGGCAGAAGGCGGTTTGAAATTCCCCCCCCTCCCCTCTTTGACCAGTGGTTTCTTTGGCTTATGATTCGGTAACGGATTTGGATTTTGGGGTTGGGGGGAGTTGAATCGTTTTGACGACTGTGGTGCTATTTTCTTGACCCTTTACTGCATTGGATTCCTTGGCCGCCTTGGATCTGGTTGTTTGCTCTTTGGATGGGAGGGGTATGGGCACGAAAAAATTCCAACTCTCAAATCTTACCTTGGTACTTATATATAGACAACCAAACACCTGCAATCGTACTTCCTATCAACGGAAAAAGGAGTTGTCTTTTTGGGTAGTCATTATCCTTCCTTCATCAAGGGTATCTATTTTCTACAAAGTGCATAGAACGTTGCCCTCCTCCCGCCAACAAGCAAACTCCCCGCACCGGGGGAAACCCCCCTTTTTATTCCCTTTCCCTCCCCCGCTCCCATCCCTTGACCAAAAGATAAAACCCTTCTTCCTGCACTCTGATAAATCATAACATAAGCTATACTCAGCTATGCGTACTTTCTCCTTCTTTCGTCTCCAGATGCTTTGCTCGCTCATGGGAGGGGATAAAAAAAAAAGACTGCTTAGCTGCTTGCTGTAGTAATCAGAAAGACGAATGATCCATCACCAAGCCCACACACACGCCACCAAACATCCCAACTAACCACCACACATCGAACCTCCTACGGAATCGAAAATAACGTCCTCTCAGCGTCCATCGCCCGCGCCCGCCGTCCTGTTCATCAGCCCTGAAAAAAAATCATGCAGCTGCTCGTTGTCAAAGTCCTTGGCCATGTTGCTGACTGCGGCCTCTGGCTCCGTCGAGGGAACATCGGCTGCGATGTGTGCATTGCGGTCCTGTGCAGAAAGGAAGAAATGGTTAGGCTCAGAACCTTTGGATTTCATAAAAGGCAGGGGATAGTCGTTTACCTTAAGGCGTTGCAGCATATCGTCAGCGTCAACCTGAATGCCGCCCATGTTGAACTGCACCGGACCAATATGCTCATTCACAGTCTTCTCGTCACTGTGATCCACCCTCCGTGCCGCCCCAGAAGCCGAGCCATCCGCCGTCTTCTCCGGCACCTTTGACTTGTACGCCTCCAGAATCTTGAGCTGTCGCTCCAGGAACTCCTGCGTGTCTTCGCTTTCCACGGCCACTTCCGTCCCCTCGTTCATGGCGCTCTCTACAAGGGCGAGTCCTCCGCTGTTTGGATTCTTGCACCAGTCCTCATAGAGGGCAATGGCGCTCTCAACCTGAGGAGGCTGGCCCGGGCCATTCTCATCGTCGTCTTCGGGATCGGGCAGCGCTATGCTTGGAGGAGGGGCGCCCAGAGGAATCTTGATGTCTTCGGCCCAGTACTGAGACACCTTTTCCGTGTCGAATGAGCCGCCCAGAACCCTAATCTTGCCCCATGAGTCCCAGTTCGGGGGAACAACAATCTTGTCTCGATCGATGACATTGTGTTTCAGGGGTTGGCGCTTCAAAAGAGACGTGATGCCAAGAGTCGAATGAATGAGGATCGGAAGTTGAGACGTCGTGCCTTGTGATGTGTATATGAGAGAGGCGCCGTCTAGGTTCATGGTCAGTCAGCAACTTCGAGCTGATGAAGGAAGTGGCGGAATAACTCACGTCTTAGAAGGACTGTCCGTAGGTTCTGAAGCACTCCGTCAAAGTCCGGCTCTTTCCACCCTTTGTTCTTCTCTAGGAAGTCGATCTTTTGCGACTAAAGTTTTTGTCCGTTAGCAAAGTGGAAGGGCGCAGGAAGCAGGGCCGTGGATTGAAGCTCACATTCTGGCACACAACACACAATGGTAGCCCAAGAGGCTCAGTCCACTCGCCGGGACCCAGCGGAAGGGAGCCATTGCTATCGCCGTTGGCAACAGTCGCAGAGGGCGTGCCGTCGAGGTTGACCGACGAGCCTCCTCTTCCCCTTTCCTTCCATGCGTTCATGACATCTTCCATCTCGGTCTGCACTTCCCTGCTCAAGTGCTCCAGAACCTCTTGAAACACCTGCAACCAGGTCCAGATCTGCCGCAGCCACAGGTGAGGGTGCGACCAGTCCAGCAGTATTACCAGCGCAGTATGCGGTATTGTCTCGGGCGTAAGCAATGGGGCGATGAGGGAAGCGAATTCGCCCGAGGGCTGGGAAAGGAGGTAGAGAGAAACTCGAGCAAGCGTGTCTATGAAGCCATCAGTCACCAGCGCCACGTCTACGACGACCCATCGATTCGCGGGGAAGGGTTAGCTAACCGTCTTGATCCGCGTCGAGAACATCGTAATACGTGTAGCCCAGGGCATAATTGTTCGCAATCGGCGGGATCTTTTGCCGGTCAAAGTTGCGCCTCGGTTCGGAGCCGGCCAGCGATTCCAGAAACTCCCGTTGCGATTCCGGAGTGCCTCCTGAAGGGAAACTCGGTCAGTGAATTCCGCCCTAAGCTGGAGGGTTGATCCCCTATACGCAAGGGAAGCGCCCGCTCGTACCCAAGACCAAGAGGTTCTTCTCCGGTAATCTCTTGCCGCTGGCGACTGACTCTAGCATTGACGTCCACAGATTCCGCTTGGGCTCGCCATTCTGACTGTCGCCGTCCCTCGATGTCATGGTATATGTTGATATCCTGTTGGCCATGGCTGCGGTTCTCCGCACCGCCGAGGTGACAGCGTCGCTAAGCCAAGAATGCGAGTAGTGAAGAAGGCAAGCGGTTGCAGAGTCGGCGCATATGCGTATTCGCACGCGTTATTGTGGGCGTCAGAGTTGCTGCAGGGAGCAAAGGCTCGCGTTGAAAGTCGCAGTATGTAGTAGCTGTTCGTTCCTGAGGCAAGGTGGGATGAGAAGGTCTAGGGACCTTGGTGGAGCATCGTGCTCAATATGCCATGGAACAATGATGCAAGCCGGGCGAGAAACAAGAAGCTGCGCCAGCAACTGGGAATCACCAACTGTTGCTCGTCAAGCTGCAGCTCAAAGGTCAGAGTCGTAAAGCCTGTGCCTTGGAGGGTCGGGGAGGTCCAGATAGCTGCTGCAGCAGCATTTCCTTCATCAGGACGGATTCGAACAAGGGTCGCCCGCTTTGGGGAGGGCCGGAGCCCAGATAACCCGGGACAGCAAGACAGCGCTAACGACAGCCTAACGGCAGCGGTCGTCAGGCGCTATGGGGGGAAGCTCCAGGCGGGCTCTTTAGTGGGCAGCTGGTCACTGAATCCTGCAGCCTTGTTTTGAGTCGACATCATCGCAATCGAAGCGTGCACAGAGCTCAGCCTTGCATTACCTTTGACATTGATTACTGAAGTCGGCACGAGCGGGGGACTCTGACAGAGCTCATTCAGGCACGGCAGAAGATGAATCAGATACGCGCCATCCAGGCGCTCAACAAGAAGGAGATTGAAAACGGAATGTGAGCACAGCAATGGCACCCTTTGTTCTCTCCAGCGGAAGCATCAGAATGGCAAAAGCTGACTGTATCGCAGTTCCCCAGACGCGTCCTGGCATGTCGACTACCGCGATACAGCCTTCATCTACTTTGGCGGCCTCCCCTACGATCTCTCCGAAGGCGACATCATCACGATATTCTCCCAATACGGCGAACCCGTGTTCCTCAAACTCGTCCGCGACAAGGAGACGGGCAAGTCAAAGGGCTTCGGCTGGCTAAAATACGAAGACCAGAGGAGCACCGACCTCGCAGTGGACAATCTAGGCGGCACCGAGATTGGCGGGCGACTGCTTCGGGTAGACCATGCGCGGTACCAGGCGCGAGACGACGAGGACCAGGAGCAGTTCAAGGTTGGCTGGGAAGACATCCAGCGCAGGGAGGGCAAGGCCGTGTCCGACGACGAGGACGATGAAAGCGACAAGCAGGAGGTGCAGAGACCACTTCTGCCCGAGGAGAGGGAGTTGGCGCTCTTGATGCGAGACCACGACGATGACGACCCGATGAAGGACTTTTTGATTGAAGAGAAGAAGAAAGAGGTGGAGGAAGCTCGGAGAAGAGCGGACAGGAAAGACAAATCGGATAGTCACAGGCATCATAGGCATCACAGGTCAAGGCGGGACAGGGACAAGGACGATGACCGACACGAAAGATCACGGCGGGAAGAGAGGTCGAGGGAGAGGGAAAAGCGAATCGAGGGCGAATCGAGAAGACATCGGCACAGGGACGATTCTAGAGATCGCAACAGACGGCATAGAGATAGGTCTCGCGAAGACTCGCAAGACCGTGAAAGACGGCGGGAGAAGAGATCCGACCGCGATGACAGGTCTCGCAGGAAAGACGATGACCGTGAGAGACACAGAAGGCGACGAGAAGATGAAGACGACGACGACCGCAGGAAGAGATCGCACCGCAAGAGCAGAAGCCGGTCTCCTCGGCGTCAAGATTAGCAGACTATCCAGAGCCCCTTGAAGTATCAATACCCAAAATGAAATCAAATCGTTTCCCACACTCGACTAAGCAATTAATAAGTCCGCCCTGAACAAACGCCGTACTTCCTCCCGCTGCATCTAAATGGACCATCTTTCCTGTATTCCTGTGTAGTAGTAGTCCGCATGATTCTTCCCTTACGAAGTTCCCAGATATCGCTTCCAGCCCTCGCGAACGCAGTGTCGCTTTCCGTCGTCGCCTGCCATGATCGTAAATTTCTCCCACTTTGCCTGTTGGCCTGCACCGACAACCACGAGGCTGTCCTCGCTGATCCACCCAATGATGCCCTTGGGAGGCCTCGTGGTACCCAGGGCGGTGGCTTCGGAAAAGGGTATGCCACCCAAGGTGGACTCGTTGCCGGCGTCAAAGGGCGCCGAGGCGAAAGAATAGACGTCGGAGAAGACTCGCGGCATATAAGGGAGTCTGCTCAGGATGCCCCATTTGCCCGGGTCTGCCTCCTGGGCTTGACCGCTGTGCTGAGAGCTGCGAGCGCCACCCGCTCCCTTACTGGGCTGAGGGACGTCAAAAATGTGTAGCGTCGCCTTGTCGGAGGTGCAGGCCAGCAACGAGCCAGACGGTGAGAAGGCGAGGGAGAATATGGTTGCCGGATCAATGCCCCTGCGGAGCTCTGCCAATCTGGCACAATTGCTGGTTGAATAAACGCGGATGAGGGTCCCCGTCTCGCTGGCACTCGCCAGCAGCTCTCCGTCGGCACTGAGTTGAATGGCCCTGAGGGCGGATGAGTGAGCCGGGATGATACTGACGTTACCGGTGCCGAGGTCGACAATCTGGATCTGTCCAGTCGTGCGGCCCGGGAAAGCAAGCTTCTTCTCCGAGAGACTGCACAGGCCGAGGAGGTTGTCGGCTGTTTCGTAGTTGTGAAGCAGCTCGGGAGGTTTGGCAAAGGTGTAGACGCGCACGCTGTTTTGAAGGACGATGGCGATGTGCTCTCTACTCAGCTGAGCGCCGCGAATGGCGCTGACGGCTGTGATTTCCAACGCAACTTTTCCCTTGAGATCGTCCCAGATGATGGCCTACACGCACGTCGCGTCAGATACCGGCTTCTCGTATACCCTGTATCAAAGTGAGCGCTTACCTTGTTGATGGCAAACTTGGGAGATCTACCGCCGCCGGCCAGAGCAAGGTAGTTTGATGTGCCCATCATTTGGACGAGGCCGATGCCAGCGTTGAAGTCTTGTCAAACTGTTAGCTATTCTAGATGTCACTCAAGCATATGTAGGTAGCCACGAAGCCACCAACCTCTTGAGCCCTTGAGCTGGCATGATTTGGTTTGAAAGACTATGTGATGGTCAGCTGTCTGTTGAGAGCATCATCTGGCAAGTTCTCATGGCCTTACCGCATATTCCTGATTCCAAGCCCACGGAAAAGCAGCTCGCATCTTTATTGAAGGCCACAAAGAGAACCGCCGTGGGCGACGACGACTCTATCGGAAGCCGTACATTCATGGCGGCGAGGCGGCCTCACGCCGAGAGCAGCGGAGATGCTTTGAGATGAGGTCAGAGACAACGGTGATCAGATGACTCGTTGGGTGGGATCTCAGGCTTCACCCGAGGCACTCGGTAGAGAGAATCGAACTCGTTGCCGGCCTCGTACGAGCATGCGTCTGCGCTGAGAGTATCGCTGAGGCACCTTGGGCTGTTGTTCTGTTGTTGATAACGGCGATGTTCGGTAATCTTGAGCGGAACTGCGACTGGGTCCCGTCAGCCGGCAGATTCGTATGGATGGCTAATAATAGCCTGCAGCGATGATGGGGGTGCCTGCTGCACTTCGTACCTGAGGCGGGAAAACAGCGAGGTGAGCAACAATGAATGCCAGCCCGTGTCTTCTATATACCAGATAGGTAGCCGATGGTCCAAGGGCGATGAACAAGGCGGACATGGAAGCGATGCTGATGAGCGCGCTTCCGAGGGATGATGCACAGGGCCGGGCGGGTCTTGTAGGCTGGTCCTCGGCGCTTTAATGCGGAGGCGACAGCTGTTGCGGGATGCTGAGAGTCAAGTTCCAGGCTGCCGGAAGCTTAGAGCGCGGGCAGTTGAAGTCCCCTAGGGATCAGCCGGCTGGAGGTGGCACAGCGCTAGAAGCGAGTCCGTTCCAGGCTGCCCCTTTCGACGTCTGGAGGCTTGACTCTGGCACCTGACATTCATACACACAGCTGCCGAGACATGGCCCATCTTGAATATGACGTACGGTGTTTATAGGCGAGGTAGCCAGAATCATGGCTTTCCTACCCATTACGACTCGACATAACCAAACTCCCATGTTCACTCAAGTTTGTTGCATGGTATGACGAAGTGGACAGCTACTGTACGAGCTCGTATTACCAGTGATGCTTCGACGTAAAAGATGGATACTCCTCCAGCTCGGTTCTGAAGAGCTCAATCAAGATACCTTAGGTATTAGCTCATGTAGAGAGTAAGATGCAAATCTTTGGGCAACAGGTGTTCTCCATACATACCTAGTGTCCATATCAATTGTCGGCCTCTTCGTTAAGCTTAGTACCTAGCTAGATATGTACCACAAAGACGAGTTGGGTCATGCTGCTTGTGCTTCATCGTGCAACGACTAGGAGGTACCTAAACTGTCGAGATGCTGGCAAACGATGCGCAGTGATACAACTTACAACCTGCTGTGTCTCCCGGTGAATTTCCGAAGACGCCTGTAATACCTACTAGCTGTACGACGGAGCTTTCCAAATCGCGATGGAAAAAAAGGCCACCCCATCCATGCATCCATTCATTCGACAGGCACGGAGGAAATAAAGTACGGGGATCTGCCACCGTTGCGACTGAGACGCTCGCACGGAGATTGGCGCAAACGCGCTATTGGGGTATACTTGAAATCTCTAGTGCTCAACGGCAGACAAAAAGTCACCTCTGCTAGTGGCACACCTGCACTTCCGGGTTAGCGCCGTTCTGGCAGCAGCGTCGCACCAGGCCCCAGCGCCAATGGACACTGTCCACTGGCAGCATAGGGGCTTGAGGGGAGCTACAGCCGGGGGACGTGGCAGGGGCGGTCTGGCTGTTCTAGGCCTAGGCCGGGCGTTGGTGGCCCCTGAGGGAACGCCGCAAGAGCAGGTGAAATTGCACCCAGACGCCAGAACAACGCCTTCTTCCCCTTTAGCACTTCTCCTGGTCCTCCAGCTCTTGTCACCACCACCGCGCCAATTCTCCCCGTTTCCTCCTGCAAGAGCTTCGACTCGGCCGACCCTTTGCCTCTCGTTCTCTCGCTCCAGCTTCTGCACCCGCCTCCTCGCCGCTCTAGGCCCTTCTCCGCCACACGTCGCCTTCCATGATGTCCTCCGTATGTCTCCTCCTCCGTTGGCCGCAGATCTGGGGGGAAAGCGTGTCAGCTCGCGAATGACGACGCACGACCGCCCGAAACGTGGCAGTTGCTGATGCCTTTTGGGCCATTGCCACGCCCCGTGGCGTCCAGACGCGGGCCTGAAAGAGCAAGAGCCGAACCAGAAAGAAGACGCAGCTAACTGTTCTCGACGTCGCAGAAGGTTATCCGCAGGAAGAAGAATGTCAAGAAAGGCATTCAGTTCTGCCTGATGGTGTGTGGTGCTTCTGGAACTGGTATGGCCACTATTTTCCCTCCATTCGCGACGCACGGCGAGGCAGAACCCCCTAGACTCACAGCATCGCTACAGGCCGAACCACCTTCGTCAACACGCTCTGCGGCAAGTCTGTCCTCGAGCATAAGGAAGCCGACGATGCTACCAACGCGCACATTGAGGAGGGCGTCAAGATCAAGCCTCTTACGGTTGGTACGTGATATTGCATCCAGAACAACCCCCCAATCTTCTGCTGGACAGCTGCTCACCGCGCCACTAGAGCTTGAGCTCGACGAGGAAGGCACTCGAATCTCGCTGACCATCGTCGACACCCCCGGATTTGGCGACCAGATTGACAACGAGGCCAGGTTAGCCCCGCACTCATTGCCCTTTTGTCTATGCTGCGTCGCATGCTAAACCGTCGCGTACAGCTTCTCAGAAATTGTTGGCTACCTCGAGAGACAATATGACGACATTCTGGCCGAGGAGTCTCGTATCAAGCGTAACCCTCGCTTCAGGGACAACCGTGTCCACGCCATGCTCTACTTCATCACCCCTACCGGTCACGGGTAAGGAAGCGCTCTCCTGCTGCCAACCTGGCTTTTCCCTTTTGTACTGACGCGCCTCCTCTAGCCTCCGAGAGCTCGATATCGAACTGATGAAGCGCCTTGCGCCCCGTGTCAACGTTATCCCCGTCATTGGCCGCGCCGACACCCTGACCCCTCAGGAGCTGGCAGAGTCAAAGAAGCTTGTCATGGAGGACATTGAGCACTACCGAATCCCCGTGTACAACTTCCCCTACGACATCGAGGAGGATGACGAGGATACCGTTGAGGAAAACGCCGAGCTCAGAGGACTCATGCCCTTTGCCATTGTTGGTTCGGAGGATGTTGTCGACATTGGTGGTCGCCAGGTCCGAGCCCGCCAGTACCCGTGGGGTGTTGTCGAAGTCGAGAACCCTCGCCACTCAGACTTCCTGGCCATTCGATCAGCCCTCCTCCACAGCCACCTGGCTGACCTGAAAGAGATCACTCACGATTTCTTGTATGAGAACTACCGTACCGAGAAACTGTCTAAGAGTGTGGATGGCGGTGCCTCTGGGTATGTATACCACTCCCAATCCCCTGTGGTGACGGTAAACTGATGTGTAAAGTCTTGATAGCTCCATGAACCCCGAGGATCTGGCCTCCCAGTCAGTTCGTCTCAAGGAGGAACAGCTCCGACGCGAGGAGGAGAAGCTTCGCGAGATCGAGCTCAAGGTGCAGCGCGAGATCAACGAGAAGCGACAGGAGCTGCTGGCGCGCGAGTCCCAGCTCCGCGAGATAGAGGCCCGCATGCAGCGCGAGACCACGGCCCAGCCATCTCCCGCGCTGGACGCCAGCCTCAACGGCGAGGAGTAGACTGTCCCCAATCATGCATCATGGCTTTCTTCGGCATTATAAAAGTAAATTGCGACGTTGGTCTATTTATCGCTGCCGGCGTTGGGTTTTACCTCTCGTACAAACTGAAGAGCAAAGACATCAGAACATTCCCCCGGCCGCTACAGAATCGAGTTTGATTTTTCTTTTTCTCCTTTTACTTTTCACTTATTCTATCGCGACCTACGACGAGCCGCGAAGCGGTACCGAGGTGGAAGATGCGCGGCTGAGTTCTGAAGGGGGCGAGTTTCATGGTGAAACATATGGAGAGGGTGGAATTTCGTTGGAACGCAACGTATACCCGACGAAGAGAGATGCCTCAAGTGGGCAAAGGTGGGAAAGCGTGCGGCTGTTTAGCATAATAATATGCGAGGCGAGAGAGTGGATAGCGTGCCTCGGCACTCTTACCGGAGGAGCCGAGAGGCTGTCATTGCTCGCGATGCTTCCTCTGGCAAGGTATCCTGTTTGCTAGCCGCATCAATAGCCATCTGTTGTCAATTGGTCGCCCTGTTTTCTATTTTTTTCGTCGTTTTTTATCTTTTCTAGCTACTGTAGTGGACTTCTAATGCAGATATCAAATACATTCACAACCTTGATCACGCGTGGCCGTCTGACGGTTAAAGAGGCAAAGAAACGGAATGTTCCTTGGATTAAGTGGATATGAGCTGGTCAATTCCCATTCCACGCTCCAGCGCAGACTACTTAGTACCTTACTTGTAACAGGGAAACAAAGAATAAACAATTAATGCACAACAGCAACAATACACAATAACACGCGGGCTGCCTATCCGTGTCTACCCGCTGTATCCCATTATCCTACAAAACTGCTGAAGAAGGAAGAAAGAAAGAAATAAGAAAACGAAGGGGAAGAGCCCATGGTGACAATCTTGGAGCTCTTGGCTTTCACGAACGAGAGAGGGCGCCGCTGCCAGCGGTGCATCGTGGCCCCATTTGACCCCCCTTTAGTTGTTATTCTGGTTGTTGAGGATACGCAAAATGGCAAGGAAGAGGTTGATGATGTCCAGGTACAAGCTGATGGCGGCAGCAATCTCCTCCTCGACGTGGTGGTGGCGCAGGACGAGCTGGGTGTCGACGAGGATATATCCACTAAAGATGAGCGCCGTGAGGCCGCCGTAGATGAGGTCGGCCGTGGAGCTGTAGGGGAAGAACATGGACATGAAGCCGAAGATGACGAGGCCCCAGAGGGCGCCGAAGAGGTAGGGCATCCATGAGGTGAAGTCGTACTTTGTCTGGCAGGCGAAGAGGGTGAGGAAGACGAAGATGCCGGCGGTGAGGACGGTGGCGTTGAGGACGATGGAGGTCTGGTAGAAGGAGACGATGACGGAGATGGAGTAGGCCTCTGTGAGGGTGAAGAGGCCGAGGAAGAGGAGGTTTGTGGGATACGATTTGCGCTTCCAGTAGGTGAGGCCCATGAAGATCATGGCGCCAAAGAGCTGTTTAAAAGGAGATCATGCCATGGTTAGCTGAAACGGTTTTCCTTTGTTTGCAAACTGTGTGCGTATGTAGGTAGGTTCGCGACAAAGGGAGTTGGGTGAGAGTGGGTGAGTTGACATACAGATGCCCAAACGAGGCCGGGGTGGCTCTGGATCCACGACTTGTACGCATCGCTGAAGAAGCTGATGGAGCTCAGGGCGGCGGTCGCAACGAGCTGGACGGTGAGGATGCTGTAGACCTTGCGGACGAACTGGTTGCGGATGTCGACGGTGGCTTCGGCGACAGAGCCTCCAAACTGTTTTGTGTTGAAAGTGACGTCAGCAAATACAGAGCTGCTTCCTATCATGAGAGCGAGATGTTCAAGAGCGCGAAGCTGCTCATCTCGAGATGGGAGCGGTGGTATTGGGGAATCTACCGACCTTGAAGTCGTCGGGGATGTTGTCGTCGCTGCTGCGCGGCTCAGCAAACAGGCCAGGATCGTGGTGCGACGAGGACGCTGCGGTGCCGTAGGCGGGCGGTGCTTGCGTGTAGTCGTCGTCGGGTTCCTGCTGGGGGGCGGGCTGGTATTTCGCCGTGGACGCCATGGTTGCTTGTGTCCTCTCTCTTGTTGTCGCGCGCTGTCTCTGGTTGTCGCGATGTAGATGAAAAGGCTGGGATTCTCACAAGGAGAGGGCTGTTGTGGTTGGAGTACGAATGCGATCGACTGAGGTGAGAGGAAAGAGGTGAAGATTGACAGGAAAGGCGATCACTGTGGCGGAAGAATGATGTAGACGATATATTACTGGGTCAGGAGGGGGGACGGCGTGGCTGGTGGGCGGGGCGAATATGAGTGATGCTCTTTGCTGAAGAGTGGCCGAAATGAAGGTGTGGCTGTGCAACGGTGCGTGATTGGTGGGAAGGAAAGCTCAAGCTTTGGGGTTCTATCAAGCTGCCACTTCTCGAAGCATCCAAAGCTGCTTGTCCGGAGTACATGCGCAGGGTGCAGTCCGATTGAAAGCTGCACGAACATGCGATATGACATGATGGGCGCATCACAAGACTCTACAATCAATAACTAATCGTTGACCTGTGGAGCTGAAGCTCCGAAGCAAATAAGAGTCGGCAGTTTATTCCCGCGCCTTCTACATACGGGCATCTTGTCGCAGCAGTAAGTGAAGCTGATGGAGCTCCTTATTGTATATAAAGTAGCATCAAGACGTGCCGAGGTAGGTAGTCAAACTATTGCAGATACACTAGACTGCTCCCTACCTTACCTACCCAAGGAGAGTAACTTTGAGGAGAGCTGGAGGAGAAGCCACAGAAAGAAGAAGAGAGAACAGTTTCTGCCTTGCCAAGCTTGGCTTGACTCGAATAGTCGGGGCCTAGAACTTTTTGGAGCGACAGAAATGGCTGCGCAAGGTGCGGCGATGAGTAGTATTATTATACGCGTGATTGATTCTGTTTGCAACCCCCCTGCAGCTTCTTTTTTTGACAGCTGGGGTAGGTCGAAGAAGAATGATCAGGTGGTAAGGTTACATGGCTCTTTGACGGTTGACTGATGCCATCGACTGATACGCAATTGTAGCAGATGTGTATTGTCTCTTTGTCCGAGCAGATAGATGTTGTCATTCATACTACATTCGCTATCATTATAATGATTAGGCCACTGTTTCTCATCTTGAAGCGCGTGATAGGAATTATGTCGAAGAAGCACGACTTTGAGGTAGATGTAGGGTCCACTACTGCTGATGACGCCACGGTTGACACACCCCACTCGATCTGGGTTGCTGGGCTGAGATTAGGTTTCTACATAGTCAAGTACCTACAAAATGTCCAGAGTCGTTTGCTCTGTGTAGACGGTATGATGAACAAACGTCTACTAAATGATACACAAGGAGATCAGGGGGGTTAGATAGGACGAGCACGACGTGTCGCAGTCTTGGCTTTGATGGAACATAGGTAAACCCAGAAAGCATCTCCCTGGATGTCCTTGGAATAGCCTAGATATCTACCAGGCTGAAATCGATTGATCTGTTGTCAGTCCCGTCTGTCTTACAGAGAATCGGGTATATCGTTCCATTTGCTCATGAGAGTGCGTCTGCAGCCAAATGTTCCAGAAGCTCAAGACTCAGCAGCGTTGTGAGAGCCTCAGTCAAGCCGATTTATCGTCGTTGACTCGTTTCATCGCCTTCACAGATACGACTCCAAAGAACAAAGTGCAGCTATAACATTACCTATTGTGCTACCGTTCTGGCATCTTGGGCTCGGCTTAGGCCAACAGCAAACAAGGATCCGTCGTCGCCCGGATCCTGCAGCCTATACCCGGCCCACGTGTCTTGTTGGCCAGAGCGACACACATTGGATGTCGCGCAAGTAATATTATCCGACAATGCTGTGACACCCACGTATCTCTTTGGAAGGCACAGTCTTTGGAGTGGCGACACAAGCACGCAGCACACGGAGCTAAGATTTGCTCGAATTGATACTATCACCAGTCGGCCAAGTTATAGAATCACCAACTCCGTTTTCCCCTTTTGACACTGTCCAAAAGAGGGGAGTTTCAGAGCGGAATTGCAGCAGCTCCCATTGGTGCCCACCCGCGTAGCCGCGCCAGGTTGAGGTTAATCTCGGGAGCCAATCAGGCGCGGGGGTCTCAGGCATTCGCTTTTGTTGAGTCCAGGGGCCTTTTGGGGCCCAAGCGAGCGCCTCAGCACGCCGTTGCAGGCTGCTAGACCGCTAGCGGGTAGCGCAAGGTGCCCTGTGGCGGATTGGTGCTAGCGGGGCGAGGTGATGGATGCGCGTCGACGCACACTGTCAGGACTCCCAGCTGGGGAGATGCAGCTTGCACTGGGAAGAAGCGTTGTTTGAATTGGATGGCACAGGGCGGCTCCTCACCGCCTGCGAGCGAGCAGAGAATAACGATGTTGGATTGAGTACTTTGCGATGAAGTGGATGTACATGCATGCTCCGTCGGTAACATGTGGTATTGTTGTATTAATTGTGCCAGAGTGTGAGACTGAAGAAGCCGTCGTTTGTGCCAGGTCTTGAGACGGCAGAGGATACGGTAATAGTCCAAGTAGCACCATCATGGGCTGCTATTACATTTCTAGTAGGTACTTTACATATATGTAGGTAGGTAGATAGGTATCTCCCCAGGGGTCCAAAGACACCTGAAATTTGACCAATTTCTGGTCGATATGCGCGGGGGACAGCAGCGCAGGCTCAGGTGCTGACTGCTCATATTCCGTAGACGCTGCTGCCGCATGCACATACATACGTACGGATACTACTACAGCCAATATTGATGCGTTGTGACGGTGGGCTCCCAAGCATCTCAGGCATCTTGTATCTATGTATGTACTACATGTAGGGCCATCATGCATCATGTAATACTACTACTACCCCTTCCAATTGGTGTGCGGGTTGCGGTGCCGGCAAACAGCAAGACAGGCTGGCGCAGTACAGACTACCTCTCGGCCATGGCTGTTCATGTCTGTTGCGGCCGTAGACGGTACCTCTGTACGAGCTGCTGCGGTTTAGCACGCCGCCTGAGTCGCATGTTCGAGTCGAGCAGCAGCATCTGAAGCGCTGATCCCTCTGATCTGGACCCTCCACCGCCTATCTGTCCTTTTTTCCCGCCTGCGCTCCATGTCTTTACCCTTTCTTCTCCCTCTCCCGTCCCCGGTCCCGGTCCTTGTGTCTGCTTGCCGAGCGTCCATTGCGGTCTTTAAACGCTCCTCTCTCCCCTCCCCAGCCTAAAAAAGGCCTCCAGAGTGGGCTTCCATCGCATCTGCAAGCAATTGACCAGGGAAGCTTGGCAGAGCCCTACTATTTTCTTCCTCTTTTTTGTCCCCCCTCCCCTCTGTTCGAGCTCCTATTTTTTTTTTTCTCGATAGGAGCTAATCAACAGCTTGGGGGCGCCACTCCGCAGTTTGGCGCAAAAGGTGTGAGAACCAAGACAGATTTTAGGGAAAATTGACACGGACAAGAGGTCGAGCAAGACAGAAAAAGCGCCCAATCACCGGCGATAGTGAGACATCCCACCACCCCCCACCACACCCTCTGGCTGCGACTTCTGCCAATTACTAGCAATTCTGACTACCTACCTTACCTTTACCTTACCTCCAGCTAGCAGCACCAGGGTACTATCACTGCTGGGCGCTGCTACTGATTCTTTCCACCTCCTTTGTTGCTGGACGCTGGCAACTCTGGGCTCTCCTGCGCAGACTCGCTCCCTCTGACATTCCCGTCCTTGCGCAGTCCTGAGTGCTCGCTCACCCCATCGCCCGCCTCTTTGTCCCCGCGCCTCTCGACACCATGGGCGACTCGCACGGCCTGGCGAGCGAAAGGAAGGCCATCGGCTCCTCCATGGCTCCCCAGAGCTCCAGCAGACCGGCCAACGGCGCGCCAAACGGGTCGCTGTATCTCCAGGCCTCTGGCAGCAATGGCAACGTCGTGCTCGTGCGTCGGCTGAGGCGCAAGGACGAAGGGCTGTGGAAACCCCTCGCTCGTTGGTTCGTCGAGAACCAGGTCGGTACGTTGGCTGCGCATCTCCCTTGTTTTCTGTTCTGTTCAATGTCTTGGGGCCCCCTCCTGTCGACGAAGCTGCGCGGCTCGCTTGTGCTTTGCAGAGTACTTGCCCGTCGCGATATGTGCAAGATGCGACAGAGACGCCCCTCGAGCAATCGCATCATGGGACAATCGCTGACTTGTCGGGGACGGTTGTCACCGGAATTAGGCTTGTCTCTCAACCTGCTCGCTCTTCTCTTCCTGTCCCACGCATGCATCCCCAAAGCCAGGGAGTACACGACCAAGTTCTTCCATCTGTCCTACTATAACGGCAAGACGGGCAAATATGCCACCGGATTCGACGATGCCTACTTGATTGCCTTTTTCATCGTCCTCTTCACGGGGCTCCGAGCCGGTACGATGGAGTATATTCTGGCGCCGGTGGGCCGCCTCAATGGAATCAGCAAGCGAAAGGACGTGACGCGGTTCAGCGAGCAAGCCTGGCTTCTGGTCTACTACGCCGTCTTCTGGCCTACGGGAGTGGTACGTGGCTTCTTGAAACAAGACGCGGCAATCCAGGGGACGCGAAAAATTGACTGATCTCTCTAGTATCTGTACTACAACTCGCCCGCGTACTTGAACCTGAGGGAGCTGTGGACGGACTGGCCGAACCGGGAGATGGGTGGCTTAATGAAGTGGTACATGCTTGCCCAGTGGGCGTTTTGGCTGCAGCAGATTGTGGTCATCAACATTGAGGACCGTCGAAAGGACCACTGGCAGATGTTCAGCCACCATCTCATCACGACGGCGCTGATTTCCTCGTGCTACTGCTACCACCACACCCGAGTCGGCATGTTTATCCTGGTGATTATGGATGTGGTGGACCTGTTTCTTCCGGTAAGTTTTTTTTTCTTTTTTTTCCTCCCCGAGACAGCTGAAATTGCACCCGATGCTCTGGTGGCAGTGAGGTGGCTGACCGACTTTGCAGCTTGCCAAATGTCTCAAGTACTGCGGCTTCTCCACGCTGTGCGACGTGACCTTTGGCCTCTTCATGGTGACCTGGTTCATCGCGCGTCACGTCTTCTACCTGGCCGTCTGCTGGTCCATCTACGCCCACACCCCCGAGATCATGCCCAACGGATGCTTCGCCGGACCGAATTCGTCGCTGCAGGGCCCCTTTGAAGCCCCCTCGGGCTTCACGTACCTGATTGAGCCCTTCTTCAACTCGACGGGTCGCGTGTGCTACAACGAGACGGTCAAGTGGGCTTTCCTCACGCCCCTCCTCCTGCTGCAGGGCATTACGATTTTCTGGTTCTGCATGATCGTCCGCGTTGCCATCAAGGTTCTCCGCGGAGACGGCGCAGAGGATACCCGAAGCGATGACGAGGGTGAGGAGGGAGAGGACGAGGAGGAGCTCATCTACGAAGAGGTGCAGCCGCTGGAGCAGGAGGTGGGCGTGGAAGAGCTGGACCTCAAGAGCTGGGAGCGACGCAACGGGCTTAAGAAGCAGGCTTCCGCCAGTGGTGTCAGTCTCCCGGGACACAGCGATCGCAAGGAGCTCCTCGGCCGCATCGGCTGCGAGAAGCAGGTGGAATAAGATACCAAGGCATGGAACACAAGTAAAGGAAAGTCAAGAAAAAAAAAGGAGGACTATGGGCCAGACGGATGGAAGGGGGGTGCTTCACATTTGTTTTGTCTTCTTTTCATGTCGGGACAATTGGCGTTATGGAGATTTATGAGATGTCCTTTGTGACCCCCCCTTATTTTTTTCTCACCATGATATATAGGCAAAAGGGGGGAAAGGCATCTTCTTCTGCCTTGTTGAAAACAAAAACCTTGTTTGAAGTACGGGGTATACTGTTTCTTATTTTTTATTTTTTTTCTTTTTCGCCCGACTGCAAAAGGACGGCGGCAAACCGAGGGAAAAGGGAGCTCCAGGTTGGGGCAAAGCGGAACGAAGCCAGAAAGATTGTTTGTTCGTTTGCTTGATTGATTGATTGATACCATACCATATGCTGCGACACACACACAACCCCCCAAAAAAAGGCTGACACGAGGAGGGCACAAAGAGTGTGATGATGGCTGGGGGAAGCTCTATAGAACTCGATAGATTTGAGTTTGTCTGATTTAAACGCGGGATCATCATGACTTTCTTTCCTTTTCTATCCTTATCTTTCTTTCCTCCTCGTTCTTCTGAGATGCTGTGTTTCTTTTTTTCTCGTTTGTGAGATACCCATTGTCTTATACTATCGTGATGGACTCATCTTTGTTAAACTTCAGCTTTGTTGTCTGACGCGGCATTATAGATCATCATTGTTACTGATTGTCTGATGAAAACGCCGTTTGTCGACTACATCATTCAAGCCATAGATGCACTGCATTCACAGTCAAGAAAACACTCTGCAGACAAAAGATAGATGGCAGTCATGCTGTTGGTCGGTTATATAGAATCAATATCCTTGTTATATCCCACATCCCACACTGATGCACCCTACACACCATCCGGACTGCGTAAGGATAAGCTCAGTGGCAGCATCCATCCCAAACCAATGCCAATGTAACCAAAACCCCAAAAGAAACAATTGACAACGCAAGACCAAGTATACCAAAACAAAGAAACATCTCAGTAAATGCATAAAATAACTTGCTCCGCGTTCATGGTGGTAAGGTGTCAGCACTTGTTGGTGCTTCATTATCTGTGTCTTATTTCTTATAGTCGTTTTTCTTTTCCCCTCATTCGCCCCCTTATCGTCCTCATCTGATATGCGCAACTCATAACCCTTCTGCAAGCTGCTTCTTAGCCATCTCCTGCAACTTGAATTTCTGAATCTTGCCGCTCGCCGTCTTGGGATAGTCGTCTACCCAAAAGATGTACTTTGGAACCAGGTGGCTCGACAGCTTTGTCCGCACCCAGTTGCGCACCCTCTCCTTGGTCAACCGCTTCGCCGCCTCGTCGCCCTCACTCTCGGAATCGCCCGTCGTCCAGCCCGCCCGCGGAATGATAAAGGCAGCGACGGCCTCGCCCAGCCTGTCGTCGGGGACGCCGGCAACGGACACCTCCTGGACGCCGGGCAGCTGGAAGAGGCAGTTCTCGACCTCGAGCGGGTGGATGTTCTCGCCGCCGCGGATAATGAGATCCTTGATGCGCCCCGTGATCTGGACGAAGCCGTTGGCGTCCATCTGGGCCTCGTCGCCCGAGTAAAGCCATGTGCGGCCGTCGGCCTCGTGGCGCCGGACCTGGGCGGTGCGCTCCGGGTCGCCATAGTAGCCCTTCATGACAAGGTAGCCTGAGGCGGCCAGCTCGCCGCGCTCGCCGATAGGCACGATGCGCGAGGGGTCGCAGGGGTCGACAATCTTGACCGTCGTGTGCGGCATGGGCGTGCCCACGGAGGCGGTGCGCTGGGCAAAGGGATCCGACGGCCGGGTCATGCAGCTGACGGGCGCCGTCTCCGTCATGCCGTAGCAGATGACCAGGTCCTCCAGGCCGAGGCGGGCAAAGATGGTACGCATCAGGGCCTCGGGCACGCTGCTGCCGGCGACGATGCCCTTGCGCAGGTGCTGCGGCACGGGCAGGCCGCCGGCGTCGAGGGCCTCAAAGACGGAGACGAGCATGGTGCTGACGCCGTAGAGCCCCGTTGCTTCGTGCTCGGAGGCCATGCGGATGGTGGCGACGGGGTCGAAGGCCGGCGACGGGAAGAGGATGGCGGCGCCGGTCGTGGCCGTTGCCATGTAGCCCAGCACGGAGCCGAAGCAGTGGAAGAGCGGCGGCGGGACGACGATGCGGTCCGAGGGCGCGAGGCCCATGCGGTCGGCGATGAAGGCACCGTTGTTGAGAATGGACGTGTGCGACAGCTGCGCCGCCTTGGGCATCGACGTCGTGCCGGACGTGAACTGGATGTTGATGGTGTCTGACGGATCTAGTGGTGCGTCGGGGACGACAGCGCGGTCTGAACCCTGGAGGAGGTCATTGTAAGGGCTCAGGGCCGGCAGGTCCTCGAGCGGGAAGTCGACGCCTGGGTGGTTCGCGCGGTTGTCCAGCACGACGACGCGGCGCAGCGTGGGTACAGCCTCGCTCTGGATAGCGCTGCGGTGGAGGTCACCGACGACGGTCTCAAGCAGCGCGCGGTTGCTGCGGCCCTTGCCCGGGCGATAGGCGAGGTCGGTGACGGCGCCGATGATGAGGACCTCTGCGCCGAGGTGGGCGAGCGCGGCCTGGACCTGGTGGGCGTTGAAGCTGGGGTTGAGCGGAACGAGGACGGCGCCGAGCTTGAAGAGGGCGTAGGTCAGGGCGGCGAACTCGGCGCCATTGCCGAGGGACACGGCGACGCGGTCGCCCTTGCGGACGCCGAGGGAGGCAAGGGACGAGGCGAGCCGGTTGGAGACGAGGTCGAGGCCGTGGTAGGTCAGGGATGACTCGCGGGCCGAGGGGGTTGGCGCGCGGGCGATGACGGCGGGACGGTCGCCGTGGAGGGAGACGACGGAGGCGAAGTGGTCGGGGATGGTGCCTGTGAAGAGGGCGGGCTGAAGAAGCGTTAGCCGTGTGTTGATGCTTTGTGGTGAGGTGAGTCGTGATGGGATGGGAAATGAGTGAGCGGGCGAGCTGTGTAAGTCTCCGTCTCCCGCTCTCTCTCTCTCCTCGCCTGTCCATCACTTTTTGCCCTTTTTTCCTCTCTCTTGATTCCCTTCAAAACTCACCTCTGTCGGCCCTGTCCGTATACTCAGGCCCTCGGTCCCCGATGCCCTCGGCTGCCACTTCTGGTGATGCAGGAAGCCCTCGTCAACGGGGACTCTGGCTGTTGCTGTTGCTGCTGCCGCGGCGCCCATGGCTCTCCGTGCGGCGACTCGCACTGCAGGCCTTGTACGGCCTAGCGGCCTTGTGCACGCCCGGGTGTACATTGTGGTGGTCGTTGACCGAAAACGAAGCAAGCAAGAACAGAATCGCTACAAGACAGAAGAGGAGGAGGAGGAGGAAGAAGAAGAAGAGGAAGAAGAAAAATGGATGAAAATGGAGCTTTGATGAGGTGTATGGGGAGAGAGGAATAAGGAGGTTGAGCCACGTTTGACTCAAGTCCAGAGGGCCATCCACTTTGCGGTTGTGCTCCAGCTGCAAGGGAGGGCGTGAGTCGTCGTCGTCGTCGTCGTCGATGTGGTGCGAGGTGTGCTGTGCTGAGAGATTCGGAGCAAGGGAGGACAAGCAGTAAAAATAAAGAGAGAAGAGGGAGAGAGAGAGAGAGAGAGAGAGAGAAAGAGAGGCGAGAAGTGATGATGCCACTTGCTTCTGTTTCTCTCTTTCCCTTTTTCTATTGCCCCGAACCAACCAATCCAGATCGATCCTTGTCCAAGGCAAGAGCAAGCAACAAGGACCAAGACAAGATTACATCAACACTCACACAGACACGCACACAGACACACAGGCTGCGCACATCACCTGCCCTCACCTTCAGCTCTTTATATATACATCTTCCCCCTCCCCCATCTAGTTACTATGTAGCACGATGACACTACAGATCCAGCTACTAGTAATAGCATCATCTATAGTAGAACCAACACAAAAGGCCCCCCCTCTCTCCTCCTAGCCTCCTTCCCCAGTCTGTCCCTGTGGTTCCCTTTCCCCAGATAGAAAGAAACCAAAAGATAATGCCGAAAGGCTGGCGGAAGCGGACAAAGGAGCTTTCGGCTTCTCCATGGCCGCTCATTGTCCCAACTTTGTATCCCCACACACTAAGACCTCGGACCGTCGTGCTTCACATAGTAGTCCCTTGGCTTTTCGACCTGTTCCACTTGCCAAAAAATCAGCCTACCAGGTACTACCTAGTTGCTAGTAGGTAGTAGCAAGGACCGACAAAGAGCCACACGTTGGTTTGTCGTCCAATTGCAACTGCTCGTAGTTTCTCAGCTCCTCCGTCTGAAGCATGTACAGTACGATACTACAGACATGAATAGGTAGAGTGCCCAGAGCGCATTCCACGCCCAGTGATTGAGCTGTTTCGCTTCCACCCGACCCTTTTCTCAAGCCACTTTGCGGCGTCCCATCCCATCACAAAGCAGCTGTCTGCATCCAAACCATTCCAGTCCCTTCACCTGTTCTCTTTTCCCCACTCGCTGCCACACCCCAAAAGTTACATACAAAAAGAGGTACCTATGAATGAGGTCAGCAGAATCAAGCCATTTCCCCCCTCCTCCCTCCCTCCCAAATACCTTAAGATTCGTATTTCCCCCAAAAGGAAAATTCTGGAGAAATTTTGCCGGCCTACTACCTGGGTAGCTAGCCAGTAGCCCGTCTCCGATCCGTGTTGTTGTTATTTGTCCTGCTACTACTATTCAAAATATTATGCTCCTCTACAGGAAAGAAAAAGGCCCCCGCCGGACCCGGTGGACAAAAAGAGGCCTGTGGAAAGCGGGACAGGAAAGCGGTCCGGGTTTCGGGCTGCAAGGGGCGGCGGACAAGGTGCTGCCCATGATAGTACGCAGTATTATTACTATCGGTACGATTTTTTTTTTTTTTTTTTTTTTTTTTTTTTTTTTTTTTTTTTTTTTTTTTGCTGTCCGTCTCTTTTGACTCTGTTGTATCAAGAAAGATGTAGTGCAGTGTATGAATCCGTAATTACACCAAGCTGAGCGGGCCGTGATCTGGCTTGGCAGCATCGGATATCACTGGATGATAACCGACGCTTCGCGTAGGTGTATCCAGACATGGCTCCAAGGCTTTGTCGTGGTGAGAGGAGGCGAGGCTGCGCTGCAACTGGAATCGTGACGGAGGGCAAGTCGTCCGTCCGCCGTCCGCTATCCGCCTCCCGCCCGGCCAAATGTCCCATCGCATTCCATGCCTTGAGCCGTCCGCCACGCCAGCCTTTCCGTCTGCCGAATGTATGCGCCTGTCGGCATTATTATCCAACAATTGCAAATCAGATGGTACTATCCTATCCTATCCTATCCTGTCCTGTCCTGTCCGGTCCTGTCCTGTCCAATCGAATCCAGATCAGATCCACACCACGGACTGCACTCAATACTACTACCTACCTAGTAGTAGTAGTACATAGTAGTATCTCTTCAAGCAAGAAAACCCCCTTGTTCATCGTCCGAGGTCTATCACTAGTAATATGTCGATTATAACGAGGCTCTTTCCCGGCTATCGATACAAGCAGTCTTTACCTTCATTCGCGGCTGTTTTGTGCAATCAAAAGTGTCCTTGGTTTTTCCTTGTCTTGTAAACTGACCTCGGCTTTTACGTTACGTGAGCCTACAGTGGGAGCCCCAACGGCTATATCATTAGGCATGTACCATGGAATTGCTTCGATGCCGATCGATTGGTGACGCCGACAAATGGTCAGTCGACCATACGAAACAACAAGACTCCGTCCGGCAATCTAATCCTCCCCGTCCTCCCGCGTACGACAGGAAATGCAAAAGAAGAAAGAAAAAGAAAAAGAAAACATACAGAATGGTCTAAAACTTTGTCCCGATGCTGATGAATGCTTACACAGGAGAGAATAAAAGAAAGAAAAAAAAAAAACATCCGCTTCCGTCCCTTGCCGCTATTACCGAATCAAAGGTATAGATAGCCGTGACGCCCGTTTCCATACGCGAAGCGCATCAGAAGAAATACGGGATAAGAATGCTGTTCCCAGGGAAATAAGGCGCAGCGATGTGGAATCCCAGCCCACCGCCGTCCGCTTGAAAGAAGGAGAAGAAACGGGTTGGGTGAGAAAGAATATACAGATGCAGGGGAGGAGTCGAGTGGAACGTCTCCTGACTGCGGTCATGACGTCTCCTTGACTCGGTCATAAGATTATTGTAGGTTTTTCGTTTTTTCGAGGCATTTCTTGATTCGCGTTTTCGTCTTTGTTTTTTCTTTTCCTAATCGTCTGTTCCTTGGGTTCTGATTCACTGCTCTTTCGGAGCCTCTCCTTGGCCTTCACCCAGCTCCTGGACAATCTCGCCAATGTGTCGTTCGCTTTCGGGCTTCCATGTGCCTTGAGACAATTCGGTTAGCATTCATTCATTGTTTCCCTTGCGCGTCTCTGCATTTGCCGCTTACCCTCAAAGTCATGCTTCACAAACGCCATTGGATCGTCATAATCCTTGGCTCCCATCTGGCCAACGCCGGGCGAAAAGCTCGTAATGGGCAGCACCACCACGTCGCCAACGCGCTTGCTCGTCTCCATGCCCGTAAAGTTGCGGTAGTCAATCCTGCCCTTGCTGTTCTCCATGTCAAAGTAGCGCTCGTCGTTGAAGTAGTCCATGATGGTGTCGGTCCACACGGCGGGCCCTGTGAGGTCGACCACGCGGTTGCCCTGAAAGGCCGACAGCTTGCCGCTCTTCTTCATCTCCAGCGTCTGGTTGGTGATGCGGCTGATGATGTCGCGCAGCACCGGGTGGCCCGGCTTGCTCTGGATGGTCCACTGGCAGAACTGGATGCGGCGGCTGTACCAGTCGGCCCAGTCGGGTCGGTCCGGGTCGGCCTCGATGCCAATCACCAAGCCGACCGTCTCCTTGGGGATCTGCGGCGGGATCCATTCCAGCGCGCTCCTGATGGCGTACGTGTCAATGTCCGAGTAGATGCCGCCGCGCGCGTAGAGGATCAGGTAGCGGAACAGGTCGGCCTTGAGCACCGGCAGCGGCAGCGCGTGGTACGCCTCCAGCACCTCGGGGATGCTCCCGTACAGCAGCTGCAGCAGCGTGTCGGCCACGGAGTCGGTGATGACCTCGTGGATGAAGCCCGGGTGCTCAATCGACCACGACGCCTCCTGCTCGCGGAACTCGAAATCGCCCTCGCTCGGCGTCTTCCTCCACGTCTGCCAGATGTAGGCGGGGAACTTGGACTCGATGTCGTACTCGTACGCGTAGGCGAGCTTGTCGTACGTTGACATGCCCGACATGTCAATCATGGGCTTTTGCGGAGGCGGCGGAGGAGCCGCGCGCTGCTGGGCATTGGCCGCGGACAAGGCTTCTGCTTCGGCATCCTTGGGTTCGGACGTCGAGGCCGATTCGGAGTTGTGCGATCGTGAAATGAGGAAGAAGACTGTCAGGATGAACGCCGCCGCAATGAGGGCGCGGCGTGGATTCAACATGCTGGGCTCCTTGTCTGCCTCTTTCTGCTTGTCCCGTTTCCTCTTGATGTCTTGTTCTTCGTCGTTCCCCTTGCTTCGTAACCCGGAAGAGGTGAATCGGTGTCGAGGATTGTCGATACCGCAGCTGACGAAGATGAGCCGGGGAGGAAGAAAAAGTCAGAATTAAGCTACGGCCAGCTCACAATCACAATGTGACGGCCAAGCAAGATGACGAGATATGAAAATAGAGACCACAGAACGGCCAGCAACCACTAGAAAGAAGGTGGAAGAAAAGAGGCTCCTCGCTTGCTTCCGCCGGGCAGGGGTGGCCTGACAGTGGGTTCGTTCTTCTTCCGTTGCTCTCGTGCTGCCAGCGACTCCGTGTAACCTGTCGTCTTCGTTGTCTACCGCTCGCTTTGTCTCTGAGGCGTTCGGCCGTGGGTAAAAGAGGGCGCTCGGATACGAGGTGGGAGGAGGGTATGGAGACGTCAATGCAAGCAATGGAATTAAAGAGGGGATGACGAAAGGGGGGCAACGAGATGCCGACGTCAGGCGAGTCCTTGTTTGTATAACGATTGACGAGAGGAAAATTGAAGACAGGTCCTCGAATTAGAGAACAGAGAAAGGGTTACGAGAGAAAAGAAGAGGAGAAAGAGGATGAAGGGGGGGGTGTTGCAAAAGGAACAAGTTGAGGGAAGAGGAGAGTGAGAGTGACAGGTTTAGGTTGGACGAAAATGGGTGGATGCATGCGGTGCTTCCATCTGTGTGGCGGCCGTTATCGATCTCTTTCCATGTCACGTCTTTGTTATAGTATTCCAACTTTTTTTTTTCCCTCTCCAACGAGCTAAAAAAAAGAATGCACCAGGAACACAGTTATCTGGAACCTGATCCATAGAACAGGAATAGGGGTGCTCTCAGCTTAGCAGCCTGCAGAGCCAGGGCCGTTTTTGGTGCCTTTTTTTGGCCACTAATCGCGACTAGCAGGTACCGATGCCTGGTACCATCACCGAACCCACTTTGATCTTGAGGCTCCCGGACAGGCCGTACGAGATGATACCTAACTACTACTATGTAATACAAAGACGTTGAAGTTGAAGCATCTTGACATGGTACGGAGCGTTCTTTTGCACTGGGGTGGGAGAATAGATATGCCTTGTGCCGTGATGACTTGCCCCTGACTATAAGAGATATGTACAGCCCCCATCTAATCAAGCCGAGATCTCGTCAGAATAAGCATCAATACCACCTCCCCAGCACGGCAACGAGCTACAACCCGGCACGCACATGCACCTGATCTCGTCCTGGCCAGGGCGCGTACAGTAAAAGCAGCACAACCAAGTTGACGCGAGTTTTTGGCACATGCTGCCTGTGACGTGCCACCCAACGAGGGGGCCTTATAAGGGGGCAAAGACATCATTGCAAGGGACGGGATGCGATTCCTCTGACAAGGCGCACATGAAACGCCAGAGACGACGTAGCGCGAAGATCTTGGAGCATGTGCTGCCAGATCGTCGAGAGGCTTGGCGCTTCAAGTCAGTTACAGAATCACACACAGTAGGATAGTACTTGCATACCTATACAAAGTACAGCGCCTAATTGTTGCGTCTCTTGTCTTGCCATTTGAATCGTCTAGCATGGTTTCCATGCAATCATTACTTGTACCCTCACAAGCCCATCTTCTGCCTTGAATCATATCCCTCTTTTCAGCAACGTGCGTCTTCTCAGCAGAGACTGCTGACAGGCTGCACTAACTGGCCTAACAGCGTGGCGATAACGTCATTTCGGAGCATGAACCCCTACAAAATGCGCCTAGAAGAGATACTAGAAGCAAAGCACACCCCGAAATTCGCGCTATTGTACATACGAGTGATTCGAGGCACCAGATGTTCAGCAGCGCAACGACTTCATTGGCTGCTTGAGACAGATACTGTATTAATGAATAGGTTGGCCTCTTGGCCTGTTTCGCAATCCCCTTTGTCGACGTTTCATCCTCAAGGTGTGCGCTTTTCCCTCTGCATACATAGGACTGTGGCCAGTGGGCGGCATCACGTGAAATTGATCCATGCTGTTTAAAGTTGGAGATTGTCTCGTCAATGCCAAGAGAACCTTATCCAGCATCCGGAAGCGTCTCTTTTCTGCGAGCTTTTGATTTGGTAGGTACCTATCTTTCCAGTCTCCTCGTTATCAGCTCGTATCTGCACCATTTTCTGGCGGATGCAAAGAGACAAGGGCCACCCCTGGTCAATTGCACTTGGTACCTTGGTCTGTCATTTCCGGCGCCTTTTCATTTCCACGGGCCTGTGATAAGGAAAAAGAACACAATGGATATCCGGCGACGGGCTTTCGTAAAAGCAATTACGTGCTCGCCGCATCACCTCGCACAATAACGAGCAAAAAGAGTGGACACGGTTGGGCTTCGAATACGAGTTTTGTCACAGTTGCATTTGTATTACTACTACTTCCAAAGATGCGGCAACTCGCGACACGGAGCCTTTTTCTCTTGGCGAGATGATGCACTTGGTCCATCTCGCGTTGCGTTGCAGCAGGCCAGCGAACCCACTGGATGGGTGTCCGTCTCCCGTGCCTTGTGTGCGCGTGTGGGAGCCGAAGTCCTGAAAGCCCCCCTCTTGTGACAGACAAACAGCGGCAAGGTGCTGCCCGAGGCGGTCCGATCTTGATAACAGAGGGACGTGCATGGATGGGTTGGTAGGTGGTAGGCCATCTGCTTGGCCATGTGCCGGCTGTAACGTAGGGCTGCCGTCGAAAATGATAGATTTCGGCTCGCCTGTCACATTGAAGATGCACAAACAGGGAGTTGGGCGCACTCGAGAGAATATGCCGAGTGCAGCAACTCATCTCACGTCTTTCGTTCTCGATACTGGATACGATGATTCGGGCAATGTCCAGGCGCCTGGGCCATCAAGAATCCTGGTCCTCAGTTACGAAGCTATCGTATGAGAGAAAGCCGCCGGACTGAAACCTTCGTATTGTCGAGATTTGGATCTCGTGTTTTGCCGGACGGGCCGGGAACGAAGCGAAGAGAAGATAGGGCTGGGTTACGTACCATGGTTGGGAAGGGAAAAGGAGCTTGAGCTGGCAGCCTCACGGCCTGGTATGTGAGTTGCGGGCGTATGTAGATGTGGTTGAGGCTGATGATAATGTTGTTGGCTTAGCCACAATGATTTGCCGTTAGGGATGTGGTGTGGTGGCGATGATTGATGACGGCGACTGTTTGGTGGTGGCTGTGGAATGGAGAGGCGGCCAAAGGTGTTGCTGAAGGTGTTGCTGACCTTTAATCTTGTCAGACATACGCGCCTGAACGTCGTCAAAGATACCTATGTGGGCAAGGTGGGATGCGTATTCTCTGCGAAACATCCAGCGTTGATCATGGGTTGCATCGAATTCCACTCCCCGCCCCTCATCAGTTGCAGAACGAATGCATTCCGTACATTCACTGCTTGTTGATCCATTCTCGTCCTCGCTTCTCACCTCTTCTGTCCACTAGCACTCTCAACGAACCTCATCATCCAATGCAGTATGGCTATAGCACATGTACAGGGTTGCAAGTGTTCCGGCTTACAGCATAGGTAGCGACTCGCCTCCAAATTGTCCCATGCCAACACGCATGAAACACCAAAGGTATTGGGCTCGGCGGATTGAGTTCCAGCTTGTCGCCAGAGTGGCGTGACCTTTGGATCGCATCGCAGGCTGCTGGAACACCAGCTGGAACACTTTCTTGAGAGACGCCGCCACAGTGTTGACAGGCCTGGGTTTAAGCCTTGAAATTTGTGTCTCTTTGCTACATGTCAGGTTTCGTGTCAACTCGAAAACAACATTGAACCTGCCATCCACCATTTGCACTAAACATTCTCGTTACAATTGAGGATTCATGTGAGGAAATAAAAGGTTGCCATTGCTTGAGAAGAGACCACCATTCCCTAAAGGAATGTGTCCCGCTTCTACACGAGCTCAAACCAGAGGCACAACATACCTACTCGGTTGTAACAAGGCGTGAAGAGTTCAGCAACAAGACCAACGACCCCTCGCGCTGCTATATAAAGCAGCCGACTTCCGAGACAAGGGCACGATTGGACCGGCCAAGCGACGTCAAACCCCGAAACAGAAATGTCTCATCGTGATGCAGTCTGAGCAGTTGGATATGGCGTGGTCTCTAGGTATCTAATCTACCAGGTACTATGTACATCCTATGATTGGATTTAAACAGGGCTTTGATACAACTGCGGCACTGCATGTGGTTTTGCTTCCAGTTTGGGTTCTGCCCCGCGCTTCTCGGCTCCGCGATGCGGCGCGAAGGGCGGCGAGACGGCGCGGGGGAGAGGAGACAGGGGGCGTTTCCGCGGCGGGGCGGAGGGGATGAGATGGATAGGCGTATTACTAGGTATTATCATCTGCTTGATATCTGCAATCAGACGATATGTGCGTGAGGTTGGAGATCTGGTTGTGGGCTCTAATTATCTTTATCTGTTGTGCCGAGTACGATCCAAGTTGACTTGATAATGAATCAAACGGATGAGTCAAGATTTGAACAATGATTAACAAGCACTTCTTCATCTCATACGGTAATTCCTGTTGCCATCTTGTATCTGTTTTCAACTCACGGTCAAGAATCACATGGCAGTATGAATGATCCTGAAGAGCGTATCTCGTGAACTACCTATTGCTGAGTTGGAGCCGTGTTGGCTTTATTATGCCTACAGGCGTTTTTGGCATTGCTATACCAACCATATCATAGTCTCACTTATTAGACAATCGTATAACGGCCGAGACTCGAGCTCACGAGCATTGCCATTCAAGGTATTCTCCCCTCTAGCAACTCTTCAACCATCACGCTCATCCCATCTCCACGGGTCCGGGATACTGCAACCCCCCAGTCGAAGAATATCTCCGATTCCGAATCCAGTCATCATCTTTTGGTAGATGTTGTTCAAGCAAGTCCAAAACAAGGCAATAACAATCATCGAGTCTAGACTTGCTGAAGACAAGGGATGACATAAACAGGGCTCAGGGGACATCCTCCAGCTCCTGGCGAACCGTTGCTGCAACCTCTTGAGCCTCATGCACATCCAGCGTGGTATCGCCCCGAATAGGCATAGCCAGGCCTATGTGCCGAGGGGAAAAGTCGAGATAGGGTCACGCAGGGTCTACTGGGATGCAGAGAATTGCCCGTAGATGGAAAGGCTCCAGGAATCGGATTTGCCTGGGGCTTCTGTTATCAAAGAGGAGAAGCGGACGTGACGCTAATGCTTGTGAAGATGAGCGCTGTAGATTCGCTGCGATATCGCCACACCAGCGTTCTGGTTGGCTCGATGCCGGCAAAAGAACGCGGGGCAAGTGCTGGAGCTTCTCCAACCTTGGGGGAGCCGCTGCCCCGCCTCGGCCTTGGGCTTGCTGGAGCCCTGCTTCACGATTACCTCTAGCCTACAGCTACCTCACCTTAGTTCATCACCATCATTGACGCCTCCAGCTGTATCCTCGATCAGCATCCTATTACGCGAGGCCAACCGTCCGCGTCTTCTCAGCTTCTACAGCATGGACGCATCCATCCGCAGCCAGTGGACATGCTCCACCTCCTTCTCACGACGCGGGCATCCGCGGCATCCCTGAGGCATCGCTTGGTTTGCTCGTGAGGGCCTGCAGCTACTTAAACAATCGGCAGCCCCCGTCTCTCGACCTCCAACAATCCCGCTGATACATTGGCCTCGGCTTGTCTCACTCACCCTTTTCTTCGATTCGTCATCCAAGCCGGTCAGCTGAGCACTAGGAAACTGCCAAGTCATCTCGGACTGCCGCTTGATATCATCTCGAGAGCCCGAGTAAGCTGGGCTGCTTGACCGTTGCACCATCCCCGCAGATAGCCGCTCTTCGTCTCTCCCCTTCTAAAGCAGTTGGCTACCCTACTTGGTTGCTTCACTCTCCCTTTGAAATCCTCTCCATCCTCAACATCCAACACAATGGCCGTCACCGCAGCACCTCGGCCGCATCCGCTGGCGCCGCTCTCATCAGCCGAGCACATCAAGGCCCGCGATGCCGTTGCCAAGCTCCACGGGCCGTCCGAGTCCATCTTCTTCAGAGCCATCCACGTCCAGGAGCCCAAAAAGGCCGAGCTGCAACCCTTCCTCGAGGCCGAGCACACGGGCAAGCTGACCGACGAGACCAAGCGACCAGACAGAGTGGCCATTGTCGAGCACGATGTCATCCGGGCTGATCGCTCCGAGTACATCAACGCGTTTGTCAACCTGAACACTGGCGAGGTTGCCACTGTGTCTGCCCCAGTGCCTCACCAGCCATATGTCACACCGTGAGTCACTAAACCTCATCGTTCCCGAAAGCAGAACGACCTCTTACACGGCTATAGGGGCGAGTTTGACCTCTTCAACGACGCCTGCATCAACTCGGATCTCTTCAAAGAGGCAATGTCCGAGTTCGTCCTCCCAGAAGGCTTTGAGATCTGCATCGACCCGTGGCCCTATGGTCCCCCAAACGCCGATGAAAAGGACATTCCGCGGTATATGCAGGGATTGGTCTTTGCAAAGGACACCCGCAAGAACAACGAAGACTCGAACCACTACGGCTATCCGATCCCCATCGTTCCCGTGATGGACTGGCATACCAAGAAGCTCATCAGAGTGGAGAGAATCGCAACTGGTGGCATTGACGATGAACTCGAGGCTAAAGTCCGAAGCGATGAGCCGGTCAAGCTATTTGAGAACCACAAGGGCTGCGAGTATGTTCCCGAGCTGCTTGACGTGCCCCTGAGAACGGACCTGAAGCCCATCAACATTATACAGCCCGAGGGCGCCTCTTTTACTATTCAAGAGGATGGTCTGATTGAATGGCAGAAGTGGAGGTTCCGTCTCGGATTCACCCCCCGCGAAGGTGCTGTCTTGCACGACGTCCACTACGACAACCGCTCCGTCATGTATCGCGTCAGCTTCAGCGAGATGACGGTCCCCTACACAGACCCGCGTCCACCCTTCCACCGAAAACAAGCGTTCGACTTTGGTGACGGTGGCATGGGGAGAGCAGCCAACAACCTGGAGCTGGGCTGCGATTGTCTGGGAGCCATCCACTACGTTGACGCGCTCACCACGGAGCCCGACGGGGCGCCCTCACCAGCCAAGGCCGTGGTGTGTCTTCACGAGCAGGACAATGGCATCCTGTGGAAGCACACCAACTTCCGCACGAACCGGGCTGTTGTGACGCGCAACCGCGAGTTCGTGGTTCAGTTCATCGCCACTCTGGCCAACTACGAGTACGTCTTGGCGTACAAGCTGGATCTCGCCGGTTCAATCACTCTCGAGACCCGTGCTACGGGCATTGTCAGCGTCACCAGCATCGACGAAGGCAAGGTCAGTGCCTACGGCAACATCATGACACCCGGCGTGCTGGCCCAGAACCACCAGCACATATTTGCGGTGCGCATCGACCCTGCCATTGACTCGTACAACGACGCCGAGTCCCAGGTCGTGATTGAAGAGTCGCACGGGCAAAAGATTGACCCCAAGACGAACCCGTACGGCAACTTCTACAAGGTCCAGCGTGAAAAGGTTGAGCAGGCGACCTGGATTGACGCCGAGCCGCGCCTCAACCGGCTGCTCAAGCTGGAAAACGCCAACAAAAAGAACCTCATCTCGGGCAAGAACCTCGCCTACAAGCTCGTCGCGCCGGTAACACAGATGCTGCTGGCCGACCCCGAGGGCTTGGCGGCTCAGCGAGCGCAGTTTGCCCAGCACAATGCCTGGGTGACGGGCTACCGGGACGGCGAGCTGTGGGCGGCGGGCGAGTTTACGAACCAGAGCACCAGAGAGGTCGGCGGCGTGGCCGATATGGTCAAGCGAGGAGACTGGTTTACTGATCGAGAGACCAACGGCGATGCGGAGGGTCAGGGCAAGAGGAGCAGCCCCGTGGTTTGGAGTGTCTTTGGATTGACACATAACCCTCGGGTAGAGGACTGGCCCGTCATGTGAGTTGGGCTCGTTTGCTCTTATCGGAGAAGAATATCATGACTAACAACCTACCAGGCCAGTCGAGACTTTCCAGATTCACATCCGCCCTACGGACTTTTTCAACGTCAATCCTGCGATTGACGTTCCCTCCACCAGGAACAACGCCAGTGTCCTTTTGGGAGGATCGTGCTGCACTACCTCGAGCGACAAGAACACGTCGGCGGTGCAGCAGCATCCGGTGACGCACCTCCAGGGGAGCGCTCCGAGCATCGATCCCAAGGCGGTGGGGGCCCATGTTGACGAGAAGCTGAGCAAGAGGCTGAGCAAGACGTTTAACGGATTGTTTACCAAGAAGGAGAGCAAATGAGCGAATTACCTGTAAATGTACACTGCTTGTATTTTATATAGCCATGTCTGTTCTAGTTTTGTTGGATATTCCAGAACAGCCACCATTTCCACCATGTATATCCTGTCCATATTTACCTATACAATACACATACCATACACTCCTGTCTGCTTCCATATCGCCCAATGCGGTCAGTGGTTGATCTTGAGGGAAAAGTCGACGTGCGGAACGCCCTGATGGATCGAGCTCGTCGAGATGATGTCGACATCTGATAAACAGTCAGTCATCCGAGCCACAAAGCCTCAGCAAACACAACGACAACAACCCGGTACTGGGTAAAACTCACCATTGCACACATACGACTCAACATTATCCTCCCTCAAGCCCCCAGAAACCTCCAACAAGAAGTGCTTCTTGCCGGCCCAGCGCTCCTTCAAGCTCCTCGCGGCAACCTTGACGCCATCCCCCGTGAAGTTATCCAGCATGACGACGTCGGCGCCGGCGGCAATGGCCTCGTCGGCCTCTGCCTCGGACTGGACCTCGACCTCGATCTTGACGCTGAAGCCGGCGACGCTCTTGGCGGCGGCGACGGCCTCGGTGATGCTGCCCCTGCTCCAGACGTGGTTATCCTTGAGCATGACCATGGCGCTCAGGTCCATCCTGTGGGCGTCGGCGCCGCCAGCCAGCATGCCGTACTTTTCGACGAGCCTGAAGCCGGGCGTCGTCTTGCGCGTGCCGGCCAAGACGCCCCTGTAGCCTGCCTTGCGCAGCTTGGTGACGAGGTTGTGGCTCTGCGTGGCGACGCCGGAGCATCGCGCGAGGGCGTTGAGCGCGACTCTTTCGCCGAGGAGGATGCCTCTTGCGGGGCCCGTGACGGTCGCGACCTTCATCTTGTTCTTGTCGTCGTTGTTGTCGCGGTGTAGATCTATGGGCGAGCATTCGTCGGCGTGCCATTCGACGGCGCAGCCGCATTGGTGGAAGACTTGGTCGAAGAAGGGGCGGCCGGCGATGATGCCGGGGGATTTGGCCCAGAGGGTGGCGGTGCGCGGGTTGTCGCCGACGACGAAGCCTGCGTAGTCGAAGGAGGGCGTGTCTTCGGCGAGCCACGAGGTTACTTGGCTTTGCCAGCTGGGGGGGAGGAGGTGGGCGAGGGAGGAGGGGGTTGTGGAGGAGGAGGAGGAGGAGGACATTGTGGCTGGTTTTTTGGTATGGGGAGAGGTGAGAAGGGAGAGGGGATGCAAGAGGGGTAGAGAGAGACTGCTGCTGGAGGAGGAAGGGGAGGAGAAGGAGGAGCGATGAGGAGCGATATGGGTTGTTTGGAGGGGGGGTGACGAGGGTCAGGTTGAGGGTTGAGGGTTGAGGGTTGATGATGCGAATCGGAGCGGCTTGGAGCGGATGGCCGGCGGAAGTTGGTGGGGGCGGGGCCGCACTTGTTCAGCTGGAGCTTCTAAGGTATGTAGGTACTATAGCGGCTTTGCTGATACATGTACATACCTACATACACTCGCCTGATGCAGGCAAAGAGTGATGCTGCACAATGTTAAATCATCTGATAAAGACGCTTTTTGGCCTATGCGCTGAACTGTCCTCTACATTTTGTAGGTAGTTTAGTGCTCAAAAGTCGGCATTGTCAACGCCTTATCTCCCATACGGAATGGCATCCTTGAGTCTCCCCCCTCCTCGGGACTCTCCCGCTTCCTCCTCCTCCTCCTCAGGGCCTCCAAATTACACGGCCACAGGCTCTGGCCACTGCTTCCTAGCACAAACTCTCTGTAGAGATGCCGTCAGTTATTCCATCTCGTCATTCGACATTCAGCTTCCTAAAAAAAAAACTCACTGCTTTGCGCTCTCGAAAGTCAGAGTACAACCACCTCCACGCCTCCCTCGCCGAGCAATCCTCCTCCTCCTCCTCCTCACCCTTCTTCACCTCGCATCTAGGCTCCAAGTCGCGGATGTTCATCTCATCCCACGCGGTCAACTTCTTCTTCCACGGCTTCGGCACAGGATAATCCGAGAAATGGACCGTCCTGGCCTCCCGCAGCACCGCCGCCGGATCCCACTCCCCAGCATCATCATCATCAGAGCCGAGATACAAGCCGTGATTCGTCTCGCGAAACTCAGACGAAAGCATCGTGTAAGGCCGGTGAGGGAGCACCATGGCCGTGTCGGCGTACATCTTGTTGAGCAGCTCCATGTCGTATTCGTCGTCGGCAGCGCGCTCGACGCGGCTCTGGATGCGGGCGAATTCGCGCTCGCTCGGCTGGATGACCATGACGTGCGAGGCCAGCAGCGCCATGCGGGACGTCATGTTTGCTTTGTCGAGGAGCCAGTATGCGCGAGGCATGGCGACGGGGCATGGCGGCAGGAGGAAGAGCTCGTCCATGTGCTTCAGAAGGGCGACGTCGGCGTCAATGGCAATGACACGCTCGTAGTGCGTCTGGTTGAAGGCGAGGAGTTTGGTGTAAGAGTCGGACCAAGTATCTGTGTTGTGAGTTCATCTAGCGATTCCAATCTCAACTGCTGACTGGGCCGTATAGAGTGAGAGAGAGAGAGAGAAGAGAAGAGGTTTACCATCTACGGTTTCTCTATGCTGAACCTGAATCGGCTTCAGCTTCACGCCGTACTCGTCGCGCGCCTTGATCAGCAGCTCTGCGTCTTGAAAGCCTCCGTCGTCCCACGTTTCGGGATCCGGGAGCATCTTCTCGGGATACATCAGCACTCTGTCGGCGCGGCTCCCGAGATGGTGCAGTCTCTCCAACAGCATGACCGAGTTGCAGAGGTACAAGCTGTTGGTGACATATTGCGTGTAGGCGAATCGTGACCAATCGGTGCCATCTGTCGGCTTGGAGCTCTGTTTCAGTGCATATGGCGGTTGTTGATGATAATAGAAATCGTCTATTCTGCTGAGAAGGGCGTACACGGTTATGATGACGACGGCCACGACGAGAACGGTGCGGCATCGGCCAGACGCCAAGACAGAGAAGCAGTGCGCTGTCGACTTTTCGAAGCTGACAGTCATGGTGGTGGTCGTCAATTGAGATTGTTGTAGAACGAATTGGAAGACACAAGTTTAAAGCCAAGATCCCAAAAGCTCACTCAACTCCGGATGCCATGAGACATTGGCGTTTACAACATGTGCGCAACTCGACTTGATAACTCGGCTTGACTCCCAGACACGCTGCTCAGGAATGCAGAGCAAGCGGAGGACGGCACAGCTCAAACATTGCACCTGTCAAGCTCCAATCCGCTCGTCATTTTGTGTCAAAACACATGATAACAGCGTCCCCTTGCTTGCGAGTAGGGATCCCTCCTCCCTCCGAGACATTGAGGCGGCCGACTTACACGGCTCAACTGAAGCTTACTCAAACACCGTTGATATGGAGCACATGCTGAATGCTACCAACATGGACACAACCAGCTAAAAGCCACATCCCATAGGCCTCTCTGGTAGCATTTTGATACTCCTTCGGCTTCTCTTCTGGACAACACCTCCGGCGGTATGAAGCATGTGGCCTCGCAGAAGATGGCGATGTATTAGTATTATCAACTTCACGTAAGGTACCTCGTTACTCGTCCCCGGACAATTGATTCCCCCCTCCCTCCCTCATAGCGGGGACATTCCAGATCCTGCCGATCCCGCTCGGCTTCTTCCAGAAAATGCAGCCAAAATCAGTGCACACCATTTCCCCTGATTCTCCTCTCATCTCGTAGCCCAGTTTCAGGGCAAAACTGCTTCAGAATCACTTCTCGCCTTGCTTCGAATTGGGGCTCCGCGAACGATCAATAAGCTTTCGGCTCGTCGCGCCACGCCTGAAGCTCCGGATCCCCACCAGAGCTAGCAGATGACATGCGTCTGTCGGGCTTGAGCCGGCTCCAGCCTGCTCTAGACGGTGACATGCCCTCCCGATCCTCGACTTGACGCGCTGCCTGCCAGCTCACCGATCCGCCTCGCCCAACAGCGCCTGACCTGAGAGAGTCGACCTCAGGCCTCAATTCCCCTTCCACAGAGCAGAGAGCAAAGACGGGCGAGAGATGGAGGAGATGGACGACAAAGAGGCCAGCAAACCGGCCGGCGAGGCGAGGCCCTGCCTCGATGCCCACTACTACGACCTCGGCGACCTCAATCGCCCTGTTTCCACCAGCAACGCCCTCGCCCAGACGTGGTTCAGCCGCGGCCTCGTCTGGTGCTACGGCTTCAACCACGAGGAGGCGGCCAAATGCTTCGAACGGGCCGTCGCCCACGATCCCGCCTGCGCCATGGCCTACTGGGGCCTCGCCTACGCCATGGCCTACTGGGGCCTCGCCTACGCCCTGGGGCCCAACTACAACAAGCCCTGGGACCTGTTTGGCCGGCGCGAGAGGCAGAGCACCGCGGACCGGACGCATCGGGCCGTCGAAAAGGCAAAGGCGTGCTCCGAGGCCGCGACGCCCGTCGAGAGGGCGCTGATCGAGGCCCTCCGCTACCGATACCCGAGGGCGGACGCCCCGACAAAGGCTGATCGCCCCGTGTGGAATCGAGAATACGCGGATGCCATGAGCTCCGTGTCGGCGCAGTTCCCAGACGACCTCGACGTGGCGGCCCTGTACGCCGACGCCATGATGAACCTCACCCCCTGGGCTCTGTGGGACATCAAGACCGGCAGCCCAGCCGCCGACGCCCGCACCCTCGAGATCAAGCAAGTCCTCGAGCACGCCATGGCCCTCCCAGGCGGCACCCGCCATCCGGGCCTCCTCCACCTCTACATCCACCTCATGGAGATGTCCAACCAGCCCGAGGCGGCCATGCCCGCCGCCGACCACCTGCGCGGGCTGGTCCCGGACGCGGGCCACCTGAACCACATGCCGAGCCACATCGACATCCTCGTCGGGGACTACGCCCGCGCCGTCGTGGCCAACTCGGACGCCGTGCGCGCCGACGAAAAGTTCCTCCGCCGCGAGGGGCCCATGAACTTTTACACCCTGTACCGCAGCCACGACTACCACTTCCGCCTCTACTCGGCCATGTTCGCCGGCCAGTCGCGCGTCGCCCTCGAGACGGTCGAGCGCCTCGAGGCGAGCTTCTCCGAGGACCTCCTCCGCGTCGAGACGCCGCCCATGGCGGACTGGCTCGAGGCCTTCCTCGCCATGCGCGTGCACGTGCTCATCCGCTTCGGCCGCTGGAAGGACATCTTGGCCCTCAAGCTCCCCGAGGACCAGGACCTGTACTGCGTCACCACGGCGCTGACATACTACGCAAGGGGCATGGCCCTCGCGGCCCTCGGCCAGGTCGACGACGCCCGCGCCCAGCGCGCCCTCTTCCTCGCCTCCGTGCCCCGCGTCAAGCCCACCAGGACCCTCTTCAACAACAAGTGCATCGACATCCTCTGCGTCGCGGAATCCATGCTCGACGGCGAGATCGAGTACCGCTCCGGCAACTACGCCTCCGCCTTTGCCCACCTCCGCGAGTCCATCGCCCGCTACGACAACCTCCCCTTTGACGAGCCCTGGGGCTGGATGCAGCCCGCGCGGCACGCCTACGGCGCGCTGCTGCTCGAGCAGGGGCGCGTCGAGGATGCGCTGGCCGTGTACAGCGCCGATCTGGGCATCGATGAGTCCCTGCCCAGGGTGCATCGGCATCCGAATAACGTGTGGGCGCTGCATGGCTATCACGAGTGCTTGGTGAAGCTGGGGAGGCTGGAGGAGGCGAGGGCGGTCCAGGGGCCGTTGAAGAGGGCTTTGGAGGTGGCGGATGTGCCCATCTCGTCGTCGTGCTTTTGTAGATTGACGGCCAAGATGTGAGATGCATGACGATTTTTTAAGAATGAAATGTAATGAGTCTCCCTATTGATTCAGTTTAGCCAGAATTTTACGACTACCTAGCGTACAGAGGATTTGTATGTACAAACACGGCATGTCGCACACATCACGATATTGCTTGGGTCCAGGCATCGAGTCAACCTACACGGGCTTCTACAAACCAAAACATCATGAGCATCTACAATCATGAGAGTCTGCGGCTTGCACCGCAGGCTTTCATGGCTACGTTCATATCAGGAGGCCAGCATAATGGGGGGGAGGAGCATACGCATACTGCCATCATCCAGCAGGTGCGAAAATCATTGTCTAGGTAGATAAAGTGTTGCCTCTCGTGAACAGACAACCAATATCAAGGCAACCATGAAAACCCCCCATATCCAGGATAAGAAAGAGGGGGAAAAAAAAAGAAGAAGAAGAAAACCGTGAGTAGGGAAAAGACAATACGCCCAAATCATGCGCCGGCCTGGTCCTGTTCAGTCGTTTTGCTCTTATTCGTCGCATCGTCACCCAATATCCGCGCCTTTTCCTGCGCCAAAAACACCTCCTGCTCCCGCGCGCTCTTGTCCAGATCGAGAAACGTCCAGATGCCCACCGCGCTGACAATCGTCAGGGCGAACAAGAAGTAAAAGGGCGCGCTGTTGTTGCTCCGGTTGGGCGTGGCGTCGATGATGGCGCTGCTGATGAGCGGGCCGATGAAGCTCGACGACTTGCCAATGATGTTGAAGATGGAGAAGAAGAGGAACTCGTGGCCCCGCGGCGTCACGGAGCTGATCATGATCTGCGAGTAGCTGTACCACGGGCACACGAGGAGCCCGTAAAAGGCCTGGTACACCCAGACCTCCCACTCGTTGTGGAAGCCAAACTTGTCGGTCCAGTTGCCAATCATGCCCCAGCCGTCGAGCAGGATGATGGACACCATGACGGCGTTGAACATGGTCTTGGCGCTCAGGTTGAACTTCTTCTGGATCAGCCAAAAGGCGCCAATGCCGACGGCCTGCGCGACTATGCCGACGATGAGGAGGTACGTCAGCGTCAGCGTGTTGTAGCTGACGACTTGGTTCTGCAGCGTGGAAATGACCGTCACTGTCGTGTTGAGCGAGTCGCCGAGGAGGAAGTATCCGGCAAGGAAGATCAAGCTCTGCTTCAATTGACGGATCTGCGTCAGGGCCTCGTACAGCTGCCAAAAGCCAACCGTGATGATGTTGTAGCCAGGAGGAATCTTCATGCCGGGGCGGCTCTTCTCCACGAAGAACCACGGAATGGACAGAGCCAACCAGACAGCAGTGGCAAAAGCAACCAGCACGGAAAGGCCCCAGTTGTTGTTTGCGGCGCTCTCGTCCACCTTGAGGGCAAACATGATGCCGACGATGATGGCCAGAATCACCACTTCTCCCACAGACTGGATGTAAAAGGAGACGTTGCTCAGCCGGCTCCGTTCCATCTCGTCGCGGTGGTCCAGCTCCGTCAGGGTAATATCCCCCGCCTCGTATGCCAATCGGGAGTCCTTGAGCTTCGTGGTGTTGCGAGCTAGAGTCGGAAAGGCGGCGGTCCAGTATGTCAAAGTCAGCTGGTAAGCAATCAGGCCGACAATGTAGAGCGCCGTGCCAATCTTCCACTGTGCGGGATCATGGACGCCCAGCCAGCCAAAGCCAATGCCATAGGCAACGAGGGACCAGACAATGAGGATCCAACGACGCCCCGTCCCAAAGTCGGCGTAGGCACCAATGATGAGAAAGAGGGCGGCCTGTAAGGCAAAGGAGATGCCGTTGGCCAGCAAAACGATGCTGTTCACATCGCGGTACCGGCCGGCAAATAAGAGAAGGCCATCTTCTGGGGCAGCCTGGCTCAGCAGGTTCTGAAAGGCCGTAGGGCCAAAGTTGAAAAGCGACAGACCATTGGCGCCAATGTAATAGGCATACCACGTCCAAATCTCCCACTTTGTCGTCGTTGGGATGTCGCCTTCGTCCAGGGCCGGCATGATGGTCCCTGGAAGCTCAACCTCTACCGCTCTTGACGGCTCAGCGAGTGCCGTCTGCTTGTCATCCTCCCTATCCAGACCAACATTTGCGCCCTCATTGGGGCGCGGTCCCAAGGGCGCTGCAGATGAAGTGACAGACGACATTTCGGGTGACACTGCTCCCAGGACTGGCGAGAGACAATGGGGGAAACGACGATGAACCGACCGCAAATGGCGTTGAGAACGGATAAGAGACGCCTTTTGACTGTTTCCCCCAGTCCTCGAATTTTCCTCTTGCGGACGAGCCAACAAGGGCCCTGAGGGGTTTTAGCTCGTTCGTTCAACATGCCGCGCTCACATTCCCCCCCAACTGCCATTCAGGACCTTTGTGTGAAACTCTCTGGTTGCATTGTGGATGTCCGGGCCCCATACCAGTACGGCTTAGGTGCTGTTTTCCCTGATTATAAGCGTAGCTCAAACATGGCGCCGGTTAAGGCGGATAACTGGCGGACGAGGGCGTTCCTGTCGTACAAACTGCTTTTCAATAGGAGGAGAGCGATATGTTAGCCACACGCATCCTTGCACACCTACGTCACCGTGGGTGAGCAACCCCTGCAAGGCTGGCCCGGGCCCCGTTTTCCAAGTTGGCCGTCCGCGGGAATTACTCCGTCGTGGTGTCTCGAGCGGGCGTGAGAAACATGGCCAGAGGGACGGGAGGAGGTCGAGCGAGATGGCAGCGGAAGGGGGAGCAGGGGAGCAGCAGCGTTTGGCGGGTTATATAGAGTTGACCCAGCAGCATGGCCCTCATCTGGCATCTGGGCGGGAGGGAGGTAGCGCCAGCGAGATCTGAGCAGCGTTAAAGGCTGGAGCGCCATGCCAGAGCAAGCAAGATCAGGGCCAGGAGATGCGGGCCTGAATCTCCAATCTCACCCAACCGGTCCCCGCCACTTCTCCGCCAAACTGGACCCCTTGAGCACAACGGCTCAGAAACGCTGCCGCCTTTTCGGAGAACCAACCAAAGGGAGAAAGGGGAGGCGATCTCACGATCTCCCCGCAAGGGAGCCTCCACGCGGATGATGTGCATCCGATAGCAAGACGCCGCTCTGCCTGCCTGCCTGCCTGCTTGCCCCGACGAAGCCAACTGCTCAGATCCAATGTTGCATCTCACCAGCGCTTCTCCCAGGCAGCCTGCCTCTGAATCGCTCTCTGCTGGCGACCCTTTCCAAGCACCGCCGGCTTCCGCTCGTAACAGACCCTTAGGAATCCACCGAACTGCAGTGGATGCAGCAGGATGGCAACCGGTGTGGGCAGTCGCACCGAACCCTGAACCCGGCCGCATCCTGGTGAGGCGCATTCTGCTGCAAGCGTACGATTCAGACCAACCGGGTGGCAAGTTTGTGCGCATCTGTGGCCTGCGATTGGCTGCCTCGGGCATGTGTGCTCGCTTCTGACCGGGTCCGAGCAGGCCTATGCGAATTCCGGGCTGCAGAGCCGTGAGAAGCTGTCGACTCGTCACTTTTGGGTGGTCGAAAGATATGCTCGCATTCAAGGTGGTTGCACTCTAGACAATTGGTGGCTGCCTGAGGTATCACGCAATCCGATAAGCGTCCATGTAGTATTATCGCGCCTTCCTCCAGTACGTACTATGCCAAGCTTGCCCAGATTGGCACTGGACCCCTAATCTGACTACCCTGGAATCATGGTTGAATTTGCCGAGAGAGACCTCGGCTCAATGGTCTGAACATAAAGAACAGCCAAAGCGAGTGATTTCGGTAAACCTTTGATAGATTAGACAATGAAATCTCTTTTACTTAGTTCAGGATGTCTCCGCTCGTATAGGATCAAATCTCTAAGTCGCTGAAGTCTCATAGAGCTTGAGTGCTTGAACAAGTCATCTCGTTCTGACCTAGATGCTACATTTGACCAGTTTCATATACTTGTACTTTTGAAATGGGAAGGCAAAAGCTGAAAATTACGTAGTCCAAGGAATCTCAGGTTTTTCGAACGTAGATGTTGGTCGTGAGCTCGTGTGATAGCTATACATTATAGGACAACAAATGAGCTTGCGGGTGTGGTAGCCTAATAAAGGTGTGCAGCAATTTGAAGTTGTATTGCACGGTACCTACCTTGGGATTGAGCACAAAGTAAGGTAGAATGTCTCTTTAGAACTTCAAACTGCCGTTTAAAAAGGAAACAGGCAAGGCAGCCGTTTTGCTCAATGCATACTCGACCTACAATCGTACTACAACCTTTGGGCTGATGAACCAGTAATTGGTAGAGAAGAGTCAGTTAACAGCTGGATTTACGCCCCTCAATCACCGTCCATGTGCTTGCAAGGCTGAAATCATGCTCTGGAGTCTCGTTTATCTTCGACGGGACGTCAGGGAACACAGTAATAACCCAGCTTCTTACGGAACAAAACTCCCGAAGCTACTAGTAGAATACCTGGCTGAGATGGATGGGTACATGTACCGAAGCGCAACAGACCATACAGCCGGTTGGGGCCGGCGTTCGATAGACAAATGCCTTTGAGGCTCTTCATCTTCTTCTTTATCGACTTGCACGTTTCTTGACATGTCCACGTGGCTGGTCTGATAGATCATTGCCACCGAGGTGAATATGTAAGGGGCTTGAAGAAGGGTTCATGGCACAGCCAGCATTAGGATAGCGCGTGAGGTACAGTCTATATCCTAGCCTCGTAGCCAAAGCGATTCATTAGACTAGACATTTCTTGATGTAATGTGTGAATTATACCCACGATGTAATGTGTGAATTATACCCACGATACATCAAGGACAAGAATGCTCGAGTGAGCTCTTGATACCCAATGACTGAGGAATGGAATCAACACAGGCAGAGACATAACAAAGCCTGGCACACTCTTTTCTTGTTCGTATAGTCAATGAGGAGACATGAAATCTTACGATCGATCCAGCCTGTCGATATAGTTGGGACGTACAGTTCAATGCGGGCATGTCTCATCTTCGGGCCATTGACAAGGCTTGCTATTGACTAGGTAAAGCCTATACACATGGGAAGTGACGTTTTTGAGTCAGAGTAACTGGAGCCGTATCACAGCGTAACCCTCTCAACGCCCAAATCTACGTGCGTGATGATGCAACCCCACGGCTGTGAAAAGGCATGTTTGCCGAGTGGCGCCAGACTGTTCGCCGGGCCAGCTCCGTTCATCGTTCAACAATCGAGATATCTGACGAGTTGGACAAGACGCAACATTACCGAGCTCGTGGAAGAGACAACCTGAACACCGATTGGCCGTTGTATCCTGCTTCTTGGTTCAACCAGTGCGTTGGTCAAAGGTCATAGTTCCCCGCATATTAGCCTGGTGAATTGGAGAAGTTGAGGCTACCAGCAAGCCACAACATCATCTCCCTCACAACTACAGAGCTCTAGATGCTGAGAAGATACCCCTATCGCCGGTTCAAGCCACATAGCTTGATGGGCGAACATTCCAGAGGGCGCAGTCTAGAAAAAGAGGCTTTTCTGTCTCGAGGCGAATAGAAGTACACGAGTCTGTCATTCAGGAGATGATCCGCGCGAGCATTACAACGTATTAGCCAGCGGCGACTCATCGCATAACCTGCTGACTTTGACTGACGCTTGCTCAAGTGACTGCTGGGCTGGACAAGTATGTCGCTGCCTTCAAGCACTGATGACAAGATCAATGGCTGCAGAATTGTTGCATTTGACTTGTTTTGCAGATCACTTTGCCATGTGGCAAAGACTCGCAGTGAAGAGCATTGGCGGGTCCCCAAAAGTCTGGGGAAACTGGAGCATGGGAAGACCCGTCTCCAGAAGCTTGAAGATTGCCGAACATATTGACCGTTGATCGTTGCGATTGATTGTTGCAACAAGACAAAGAGATATCATGAGCCGTCTGTAAATGGACAATGTTAAAAGATATTACTATAGTACATATGTACTACCTACTGTAAGCTGTGTTCTTATCGTCCGTCATCTTTTGTTTAACCAGAAATGCAGCGCCGATCTGCATGACGTCGAAGCCAAGGCCGGAATTAGCCAAGCGAAAAAAAGAAAAGGATGAGGGAACGATGGCGGAGGAAACACCGGGAGAAAACACCATCCAAAAGCCGGAGCTAGCCTCAGAAGGATGCTCTCAGCGTAAATCATTCATCCTTGTATGTGTGTGGTTTGAACTAAGGTAGGAAGAGAAGCCAATGTGACAAGAAGACGGCAGATGCTGCTCGGTGAAATTACATCACTGGCTTCGCCGGCTTTGGCAACCCCGACAAGAAGGAGGGCAGCAATAATAGCTTCGATTCTGCTTCAACAAAGACCTTGGTACTGTAGTCAATGCCCCGAATTCTCCGTCTGCTGGTCAAGGAGTTGCGGAGAAAACAAAACCGACCCCAGAGAAAAAAGAGAAACAAACAGCCGTTTAGCAGAGAAATGTGACCGTTGTCGACAATGAAGTCATAACCGCCTGATATCGCTCTCCCTGACCCGAAGCTTGCCAAGCTTCCCCAGATCCTTTCCCCGAGCCCCGGTGGAGTCAAAGACACCACCTCGTGGGGATTACACGGCTCCAAACAGGAAGAAACAAAGAGCAGCCAAGGGGGCAGAGATCCGCTTTTCTCCTCCAGGCAACGAGATTTCCAAGCCCAGACCTTCTGTATAAGGTGAAGATGCTCCCCTACAGTACACAATCATGCAGTGAAGCACCGTGCCTCGTGTGTCTGGATACACTCAGATGGGAGCCAATGGTACCCAAAGATGCGCAAGGTTTGGGGTTCTGGGATGTCGTCTCACGAGGGGATCGGCGTGGAATGGAGGGCAAGGCTGACCATTGCAGGAATTGTCCAGGGCTAGGATTGGTGGCTTGACGCCTCCCCGACGTGAAGGATGGAGGGGATGTTATGCAGCATGATATGGGGGAGAGTGGAATTATAACAGTGAGGAGTAGTATCCTCCTGTATCTCGTACATGCAGTGATATAAGTCTGTGGGATGACGCTGTATAAGTGCCCCAAGTCCTGGCCTCCAGCTGTTCAAGCACGATCCCGAGGGTACACCTATTTCTAGGAATAGTTGATGCCGGTGTAGCCAGCTATTCATGATATCAAACTCCAGCTACACACGGTTTTGAGATTTCTGGCCTGAAAACCAGCATATCTCGACGTCCCTGGTCTCTACTCGACATTTTCCCCCCATCACCACGGAGCCAACCACCAACCTCTCTTCATCATGGAGAAATCCAGCAGCTTCGTCTCCCAAGACGGCGCCGAAAACGTCGAACACGCCCGCCGGCACAGCCTCTTTGGCAACACAGACAACCTCGCCGCCGTCTTCGAGAACCCTCTCAAGCAACGCACCAAGGAAGAGCTCCTCAAAGACGTCGACGAGTTCTGCCGCATCCACGAGCTCGGCGACCACCTCGACGACTTCCGCAAGGGGGCCCTGGCCGCCCAGAACCCAGAGTCCATCCACTCGCTCGAGGAGCTGTCTCCCGAGGACAAGGACATCATTGAGCGGGAGCAGACGCACCGCTGGTCGCACCCAAAGATGCTCTACTGGCTCTGCTGCATGTGCTCCATGGCCGCGGCCGTGCAGGGCATGGACGAGACGGTCAACAACGGCGCCCAAGCCTTGTACCTGGCCGATCTCGACATTGCAGGGCCCAACGTCACGCGCTTCTCGCCGTCCATGCAGGATAACATTACCGGTCTCGTCGTCGGCGCGCCGTATCTTTGTTGCGCCATCCTCGGCTGCTGGCTGACGGAGCCCCTGAACAGGGTCTTTGGGCGGAGGGGCACCATCTTCCTCTCGTGCTTCATTGCTGCTGTTGCGTCCATCTGGGAGGGCGTCGCCAATTCCTGGGTGAATCTGTTCCTTGCGCGGTTTGTGCTCGGTCTGGGGATCGGACCCAAGTCGTCGACTGTTCCTGTGTATGCTGCTGAATGTAGCCCTGCACCGATTCGAGGTGCCTTGGTCATGCGTAAGCCTTCATCCCCCCTCTGAAACATGATTTGGTGGAAGCTGACGGGTTTGTACAGAATGGCAGATGTGGACTGCTTTCGGCATCATGCTGGGCAACATCATGGGCGTCGCCTTTGGCCCGTCAACGGGCATCGACCCGTCCCTCGGCTGGCGTCTCATGCTCGGCAGCACCGTCGTCTTGCCCCTGATTGTCTGCGTGCAGGTCTACTTTTGCCCTGAGTCTCCTCGGTAAGCTGTGAATGCATCATCACCCGTACATGACTACATGTACTGACGCTGCTCAGTTGGTATATCCAGCACCACAGGGTAAAGAAGGCGTTTAGATCGTTCCAGCGCCTTCGCTACTCCAACGTCCAGGCGGCTCGTGACACGTATTATACCTATGTCGGAGTTGAGCTCGAGCGCGAAGCGAATAGGGGCAAGAACCTCTTTACTCAATTTGTTGAGCTGTTTACTATTCCGAGGAACCGGCGTGCTACGTGGGCGACATGGATCCTCATGTTCGGGTAAGTGTAGAGTTGTAGAAAGCCATTTGTCACTCTGAGGAACCTTTGCTGATATCAAAACCCTTCAGGCAACAATTCTGTGGAGGTGAGCATGCTAATTCTTCCCCGAACGCTCTTACTGAGTGACATCAAGCTGACCCATACGCAGTCAACATCATCGCCTACTACAGCACAACCATCTTCGTCGACTCCGGCTACTCCACCAACTCGGCCCTCCTCGCCTCCATGGGCACCGGGATCCTCAACTTCGTCTTCGCCATCCCCGCCGTCTTCACCATTGACCGATGGGGCCGCCGCAACCTCTTGCTCTTCACGTTCCCCTTCCTCTGCATCTTTCTGCTGTGGACCGGCATGTCCTTTTTCATCCCCAACGATGACGCCCACACAAAGACGAGAGTCGGCATGGTCACGACAGGCATGTATCTCTTTGAGGTGTTTTACTCCCCCGGCGAAGGGCCGGTGCCATTCACCTACTCGGCCGAGGCGTTCCCCGTGCACGTCCGAGACGTGGGCATGTCGTGGGCTACGGCCACGACTTGGTGCTTCAACTTCATTCTGTCGTTCACTTGGCCGTCCATTTCCAGGGCCTTTACCGTCCAAGGGGCGTTTGGATGGTACGCGGCTTGGTGCGCCGTGCTTTGGTTCCTCATCCTCCTGTTCGTTCCGGAGACCAAGGCTCTTACTCTGGAGGAGCTGGACCAGGTGTTTGGCGTGAGCACTCGCAAGCACATGAGCTACCAGATCAAGAACGCGGCCTGGCATTTCAGAACCTGGGTGCTGCGGCAGAAGTTGGAGCCGTTGCCGCCGTTCTATCGTCGAGCTGAGAAGATTGGCCCAGCCAAGGGTGGAATGTGATGCGGCCTGGTTGCGAGGATTTGCATTACATTCGCTTGACAATGTCAATATATATATCATGTACAGATATGTAGTCATGCCAGTTTGATTTGGAGCTGTATTTTTGAACAACGGCTTTGCTTGATGTCAAGTGCACTTGAGAGAGTGCCGGCGTTGTTTATTGCAAATAGGTAACCTACCCTCAAGACAAAATGGACCAAGTCCACTTACATGCGGGCATTGATAGATTTGATTGTAATCATGAGATCATGATCAAGCCTTTGTCAATCTGGCTTTGGCCTGGCATGGGCCGCGGTGATTCCTTGTAAATACGATGCGAGTGCTAGAGAAAGGGGCAGGTCTGGGATCATTGATGCGACCTGCCGAGTGACTCACCGACCCGGATTCGGGGCTTAGAAGCGGCTGTGCAGCTCCAGACCAAGGGAGATGGAAAACATCAAATATAAAGAGTTTAACAGCCTGAAGAAGTTTTGATCAAAGAGAATTTCATCAAGACTTGTTATCTCATTTTGTACACCGAATGAAAATCGCGTCCGCCAGGCTGGTGTCACGGCTATAGCATCAGACACGGTTACATAGGCAGTCCCGCAAACGCATCCTCTATCACACATCACAATCACATCTTACAGTCCGCAGCCAAAAGAAAATAAACACTACAAATGCCCAGATCAACACAAATTGTGCTCGACGGCTGCACCGGAGAAGGCGGCGGCCAGCTCGTCCGGCTGGGAATCGCCCTGGCAGCGCTCACTTCACAGCCCGTCGAGATCAACAATGTGCGAGGCAACCGGCCGCGCGGTGGAGGTGCGTCTTCCATACACCACTTACATGACTTTTGCCTACCTGTAACCTCAATTGTCAGGCTCTAACAAACCCGGGATCAGGCCTCAAGAACCAGCACGTGGCCGCCATCGAATGGCTCGCCCGAGTCACCGATGCTGATGTCCAGGGCCTCAGCGTCGGCTCCAAATCAGTGACATTCGTCCCCCGACGACCCCCGTCCGAGCTCTTCCAGCGAAACATCTCCATCAGGACCGAATCAGGAGCCTCCAGCACGCTTCTCGTCCTCCAGGCCATGCTGCCGTTCCTGCTCTTTGCGAGTACAGAAACAAGTGACGAGCCCGTGGTGGTGGAACTCTCGGGAGGCACAAACGTCTCCTTCTCGCCGAGTTACGAGTACTTTGACCAGGTGCTGGCGCCGACGCTGGAGGAGCGGTTCGGCGTGCGCATTGAACGGGAGCTCAAGAGCCGGGGATGGTCATTGGGCCCGTTGTCAAGGGGCTCGATTGTGCTGAAAGTGTGGCCGATTGCCAGAGGCGAGAAGCTCAGGTTTATGCCTCCGAAACGGCTCACTTTTCCAGACTCGCTCGCGGTCAAGGGCATTGATGTCAGCATCATCGCGCCGATGCACTCACACGACAAGCTCCAAGAGACGATTGTACAGGACATTGGCGCTCTGTGGCCCGGTGCCGACATCAACCTCAAACTCATCGAAGACTCCTGCAGCGACGCCCGCTGGTCGGTTCTCCTCGTGGCTCACTCTGCAGGCGGCATCCGCTGGGCCAGAGACGTGCTCACGTCGGCGCCCAAGAAGTCCAAGGGCTACGACCGCTTCATTGCGCTCCTCAGCGAGAAGCTGTGCAAGGAGCTGTACGACGAGGTGTCGCTGGGCGGACACGTGGACGAGCATCTGCAGGACCAGCTCATCTGCTTCCAGGCGCTGTGCGAGGGCCACTCTTCGTTTCCTCGGGACGAGAAGGGTGTCGCTGAGGCTGTGGACGGCGGTAACCATACGCTGGGCCCGCTGATTGATGCTATGGGCGAGCTGCATGTTGGAGAGGCCAGGATGAGGAGGGAGAAGACGGGCGAGCCGTTTGGGCATGGGTCGACGCATGCGAAGACGGCGCGGTGGGTGGTGGGCGAGATGGTGCCTGGGTGTGAGTTTTACAACAAGGGGGATGTGGTCAAGGGAGTTGGGTTCTCGGTGGAGTGAGTCGTGGGCGTGTGTGCCTATGTTACCAGAGGACAGACGTTGAAAACCAAAGCAACTCCCAGCTCCTGTCAAGCGAGGGATGTGTATAACGGAGACATTTGACGTTGTCGTGTAAGTGCTTGTACTACTACCTACATGTACCACTGTGGCACCTTGAAAGAGCTGAGATGACGCTCCTTGAGCCTTGAGACTATATGTAAGGTAAGGTATGTTGGGTTGCCAGCAGCATATAACAAACAAACATCAACATCATGACTATTAGATCGTGGTGCTGACGATGAAAAGACGAGAATCAGCCCCCGATTTTTCACTTGAGCCCGATCCTCCTCGCTAGCATCTCCAGATCTGGCTGCATGCATGGGCCAACACTTTTTTCACTCCTTCAGTTCTAGACCCTTCCAGCCATCGAGCACTGTTGCTGTTAATGTCCACAACCTCGTCCTGATTCTTTTTCGCAGTGAACTGTCTTCATGTTGTCATCACCTCATGATTAGAGAGAGAATTGTCTTCATTCGTCATCAGTCCCCTGTGAAGAGCCAGGGCCGGTCATAGGAAAAAAAAAAAAAAAAAAAAAAAGATGCACAAGGTTGTGGTCGGGATTTATCAGCAAGCCCCGGACTTACAAGATGTGACCAAGATAATAAGACAGCAGGACCCGCTGCGGAAGGAGTAGTATAGTGAAGCTACGGCCCTCGGCCAGATTAAATAGGAAAACCCTCGATCCTGAACTAAACAAGAGATAAAGAGCTCGTCATGCCCGTTAAAAGACATCCCAAGAGAAGAATTTGCTCCCTGTGAGACTTGAGTGAGACAGTCTCAGCCTGGTTGCGTGGTTGGACCAGTCCAAGCTGTCTGGTGCCTCTCTCTCTCTCCTACGACTCTCGTTCTCATCCCCTCCTCTACTCACTTTCACCTCGACACCAAAGATTATCAAGTTTGTCAGTGATAATCTTAATCACTCACGTCTCCCGCCATGGAGACGACGATTCCTCCCACTCCAGAGGCAGCCGCCATCACCGCGGCCGTCGCCAGCGCCAACAGAGACGAACACGCAACCACCGTCCGCGAGGCCCTCGAGCGGTATCCCAGTGCCATCTTCTGGGCCATTGCAATGTCCTTTACCATTGGTGAGTCTACCATCTCAATCTCATTCTACACTCCGCCCTCAAAAAGTCCCCTTTCTAACAAACATACGTACATGACAGTCATGGTGGGCTACGACACAATCCTCATGGGCAGCCTCATGGCCTATCCCTCCTTTGTCGAGAAATACGGCAACTACCACCCCGACCTCGGCGCAAAGGTCATCTCGGGCCCCTGGCAGGTCGGCCTCAGCACCGCGGGCTCCTGCGGCGGCGTCCTCGGCATGGTCATCAACGGCTTCGTCACCGAGCGCTTCGGCCACCGCAGGGTCACCATGGTCGCCCTGACCATCATGACCGGCCTCATCTTCATCCCCTTCTTCGCGCCCAGCGTGCGCGTGCTGCTCGCCGGACAGTGCCTCCTGGGCGCCGTCTGGGGCGTCTTCTCCATCATGGGCGCCGTGTACTCGTCCGAGATCTGTCCCCTTGTGCTGAGAGGTTACATGACCTCCTTCATCAACATCTGCTGGGTTATCGGCCAGCTCATCGTGGCCGGCATCCTGCAGGGGCTCGTCAGCAACAACACCAAGTGGGCGTACAAGATCCCCTTTGCCGTGGAGTGGGCGTGGCCCGTCCCGCTCTTCATCCTCGCCTGGCTGGCCCCCGATTCCCCGTGGTGGCTCATCCGCCAGGGCCGCATCGACGACGCAGCGCACTCCCTCAAGCGGCTCTCCCGCGGCCTCACCGACGAGCAGATCCAGCACAAGATCCTCATGATGCACGACACGAACCGGCTGGAGCAGAAGCTCAAGACGGACGTGAGCTACCGGGACTGCCTCGCGGGCGCCAACCTGCGACGCACCGAAATCGCCTGCCTGACGCTTGCCTCCCAGAGCCTGATTGGGCAGCCCCTGGCGTACAACGCGACCTACTTCTTCGTGCAGGCCGGCCTGTCTGCCTCGGACGCCTACAAGATGAACTTTGGCAACATGGCCATCGCCCTCGTGGCCACCTGCGTCTCGTGGGTGCTCATGACGCACCTCGGCCGACGCACGGTGCTGCTCTCCGGATACTCGTTCCTGACGCTGGATCTCCTCCTCATCGGCCTCCTGTCCTTTGCCCCCAACCGTTCCGCTGCGAAATGGGCACAGTCTGCCTTGGCGCTCGTCTGGCTGGCCGTCTATTCTGCGACTGTCGGGCCGCAGACGTGGGCTGTTGCCTCCGAGGTCTCGGCGACGAGGGTGCGGGCCAAGACGCTCTCCATTGCCGGCGTCGTGTACAACATTGTCAACATTGTCGACAACACCATCGAGCCGTACCTCATCAACCCCACGGAAGCGAACCTCAAGGGCAAGACGGCGTTTGTCTGGTTCGGAATCAGCTTCCTGGTGACTGTGTGGGCCGTCTTCCGGGTCCCGGAGACGAGGGGCCGGACGTATGGCGAGATGGACGTGTTGTTTGAGAAGAAGGTTCCTGCGTGGAGGTTTGGGACGGCGGACGTGGAGGACGATGTTACGATTGTCGGGGATGAGGAGGCACTGGGCAAGGTTGATGATGAGAAGAGGGAGATGGAAGCGCAGCAGGCGGTTGCCACGATATCATGAGACATGATTTCACGACTGATGATTGAGATATATTACACAGCGCCACTTATACAACATGCCCGTCCTCAGGCATTCTTTAGTATATACCACCAATTACTCGTCATTCACTCCCTACGGGCCACAATCTACTTGCGAACAAACTCTGCCGTTGAAAAAGACGGATGAATAGGCCCGTCCAAATCCTCAACCATGTCCTTAATCCAAGGAACCCCATAGTCATGCCACAGCTGCCTCTCCGGCCGCATCCACTCGTCCTGGATAATCCCCCGATCCACCGTCCCAAGCACAACATCAACCATGTCCCTAAACTTGAACGGCATGGGATACACCAAATACGCAATATTCGTGCCGCAACGCCCGCAGAACGAGCGGTATATACGCTTATCCACGTCCCAGCCCTCGACCTTGCTATTCGTCGAGCAAAACACCCGCAGCCACGTCCCGGCGGCAGCAGAAGATTCACCACCACCAGACAAGATTCCATGACCGGGTACATACGGCGGTCTCTGCGAGTCCCCGCTCGCATCATGTGGTGCCAGACGAAGACTCTGCATCGCATCTAGACTGTCGTTGCCCTCGCCGTCATGTTGGTCCTCCTTGGGCAGTAACGAGAGGGAAAACATTTCCTGCGGGGTGAGACACCAGGCTGGGAGGATCGAGCCGGTGGCTGCTCGGCAGTCGTTGCAGTGGCAGATGCATACCAGGGGAAGACGAGGAGTTGCCGGGTCCGAGGCTTCTTCTGGGCCGTGGACGAAGTGGATTGGGCGGTGCTCAAAGGAGGGGATGGCGATGCGGTATCGGACGGCGCCGCAGTTGCAGCCGCCGGTGATGGTGAGGGACTCGTGGGGGAGAGGCATGTTGAACGGTGGCCTGGGTGATGAGTTGCTCAAGAGTATTCCGACGTGAGATGACGATTCTTCTCAAGCAATATATATAGACTTACATTCATGTGTATATACATTTACACTTGCAAGGATTTGCCAGCTCAGAGGCGCCATTGCTAGGTCTTACGACTCTGCGCAAAAGGGGGGCTTACGCCCGCAAACTATTCACGTCTTTGGCTAAGTTTATTCCGACAGAGGTTGCATATCGAGGGATATCTGCACTTCGATGTGAAAATCTCGAAAAAGGCGGTTTTTTATCATAGTCTGCCAAGCCAGTCAATGTCATGCGTACATGCAATAACCTGGCTGATGGAGAGAAGCATGGAATAAAGCGTCAGCAACCTGCAGCAGTAAAGCCAGGTGCATAGATCCAAGCAAATGTTGTCAATCGTAATATATCCAATTCCCATGTACAAAATGTCATATATGTACTCCCTATCTCCAGAAATAGTTGTATAAACCCATATTGTCGTCCATATATATATCCCAAAATGCAAGTATGAGCCCGAACAAAGACAACCAAGCCAAACCAACCCTCTCTTCCCAAACCTCCTCGTTCACCACAACCTCCTCTGGTAATAAACGGGCTTATCCGACTGGGCCAACCTCTGAATCTCCTCCTTAATCATCTTGCGGCGCTCCGCCCTCGAGATGGGCGCCTTATTCTTCGACAAAGGATCAGGATTCTCCACCGCCCACGCCTTGTCAGCAACGCTCTGCTGAATCTTCTTCAGCATCGCCAGCTGCTCCTTTGTTGGCTCTCCATCCGGAACGGCAACCTTGTGCTGCTGCTGCTGCTGCTCCTCCTCCTCCTCCTCCTCCTCCTCATCCCCCCGCTGCTGCTTGTGCTCCGACTCCGCCTCTGCCTTGGACTCCGCCTCTGCCGGCGCATCTTCCACCTGAATCTCCGCATCCGAAACATGGCTCTGCGGCGGCACCAGCCCGCGAGCCTCCCTCGACCATCGCTGGGCCTCGGTTTCCACCACAAGCAGCCGGCTCTCCTCAATGTCCGTCAGCGCACCCCTGAATTCCTCGGGTAGATGCGCCTTGGGAGATTCGCGCGGCCGGATAGCGGCGCGCAACTCCCGCAGCGTGCGCTGCTGAATAGCGTAACCGCTTAGAAAAAGAGCACTTGTGCAAAGAAGGACTGTCACACGTATCGAAAAGAAAAAAATTAGATCAAGTTTCATCATCTTTTAACCGATACTTCGCCTGTGTGCTTGGGGGAGCATCGCAGGTAAGGCAGCCTTACTCATAGCGGCCGTGGCCAGCACGGACACTTGACTCGAGGTGAGGAGAACACGACGCATATTCGAGGTGGTTGTAACGGCGGCAAAAAAGAATCACGAGATTAACACAATATTCAAAATCGGTGTAACCAAGATAAGAAGCAAATATGGACATCCCGTACGAGACAACAGCTAGTAGTAGACGATCTGATGCGGGACGGGTTGTGGAAACACGACAGACGGGAACTCACATGACATCAACGCCCGCGATCTGCAAGTTGTTGCGCTCTGCGGCGGTTGACCCGGCAACTATCTTATCGCCTCCCAATCATGCCTTTCAACGCGATTCTTTGTGACCTTCTCACTCCAGCCATCTCGACGTCATCGCTCCCACCTCCGTCCTCTTCCTCCCAATCCCCAACTCAAGTCCACCCCCTTTCGAAAACCTCAAACAATGCCGAAACAAAACCCAGACACCGTCCAAGCCGATGCGCGGCGCTTCCTCGACGAGCGCGGCTCCTCGGCGGCCCTCGCCCCCAACGGCCTCAACCCCGCCACCATTATGGAAAAGGCCGTCAAGGACCGCATCGTCGACTCCTACTTCTACAAGGAGCAATGCTTCGCCCTCAACGAGGCCGACATTGTCGACCGCGTCGTCGAGCACGTCACCTTCATCGGCGGCACCCACGGCGCGTCCCAGAAGCCCAGCCCGTTCCTCTGCCTCGCCTTCAAGCTCCTCGAGCTGGCGCCCAGCGATGCGATCCTACAAGAGTACCTCTCGTACGGCGGGGAGCACTTCAAGTACCTGCGCGCGCTGGCCTGCTTTTACGTGCGGCTGACGAGGCAGGCCAAGGACGTGTACCTGACGCTGGAGCCGTTTCTGGAGGACAGGAGAAAGTTGAGACGGAAGGCGAGGACGGGGACGACGTTGACGTTTGTGGATGAGTTTGTGGATGACTTGCTTACCAAGGATAGGGTGTGCGCGACGAGCTTGTGGAAGATGCCAAAGAGGGAGACGTTGGAGGATTTGGAGATTTTGGAGCCGAGGGTTAGTCCGCTGGGAGACTTGGAGGATTTGTTGGAGGAGGAGGAGGAGGAAGAGAAGGAGGGGAAGGAGAATGGAGACGACCGAGACGAAGCAAACGGCGAGAGGGAAGAGTCTGGCGAGGTTTCGGATAGGGGAGAGATGGAGGTTGATCGAGACGAAGGGCGAAGAAATCGAAGCAGATCGCCTTGAAGCGTCTGCTGCTGAAGTCTTGGAAAAATTCATCGAAGCACTATGGCCAGGCGCCATCTCAGGGTCGTGTTCACTGCTGGGCTACGCAATGTCATCGCCAGCAGTTGGCCGCCCAGGCCTCTATCTGAGAGGCACACCCCTCAAACCGCTGCTACTGGAGACCGTTTGAAACGAGCAGAGGCTTGAAGCTGAGAAGCAAGCACCGTGCCGATTCACGAGCGACGAAGGCCTGAGAGCCTTCTGACAAGGACGGATGAACCTCGTCCGCTCAAGGAAAAGGTTGAGGCCGGGAGCAAATGCAATAGCTCATTGCTATCTAGTGTGGCAAATCCCGCAGATTCACAAGGAATCATCATCCATATAATACAAGCCAAATCTAATAGCCATCTCTTCCCATTCAAGTCCTTTCATGTATTCAATCATGATGCACTCAGTCCATCATCAGCTTCATCACCTTGTCTGCCAACGCCAACAACCTTCTATCGTCCCAATACTGGGCAATCAACTGAATTCCAGCAGGGAACTGGTGGCTCCGGTCGACCTTGACCGGAACACTAACAGCAGGTAGGCCAGCAAGACTGGCCGGAACAGTAAGAACATCATTCATGTACACATCAACACTGCTGCGCTTCTGGATCTCGCTCAGCTTGGGCGGGTACGTCGGCGCAGTCGGCGACAGCAAGAAATCCACCTGCACAGGCCCTTGCTTATCTTCGAGCGCGGTATCGGAAGACATTTCGCTCAGGTCAAACTGCCTAGGTTCGTAGAGCGGATTGTCCAGCTTGAAGACTCTGTCAAAGTCGCGCTGGATGAGCCGGCGTATCCTCTGCGCCTGGATGAAATAGTTATCCATGGCTTCGGAACTGAGGCTATAGGTCCCCAGGAGAATACGGCGCTTGACTTCTGCACCAAAGCCAGCGCCGCGGGTTTCAGAGTAGAGGGTCTCTCCAGCAGCATCTCCTTCAGAGCCGCGAATGCCGTATCGCACTCCGTCGTATTTGGCCAGATTCGAGGATGCCTCGGCCGGGGCGAGGATGTAGTATGCGCAGAGGGCTTCCTTGGTTGAAGGAAGGGATACCGGGACTATGCGAGCGCCTTGCGACTCCAATGCCGAGGCCGTCGCGACCCAAGCATCGCGTATGGAAGGATCCAACTCGGCAATGTTGTATTCGACGGGGATGCCAATGGTAAGCTGGGACAAGTCTGGGAGATTTGGAGAACACGCCTGGGAACAGCGCTGGCGGGTCTCAAGTCGCAAGGAAGTGGGATCGTTGGGGTCGTGTTCCTCATACAGCCCCGTATCAAACACCAGACTCCGGATGGGCTCGACATCTCGCGCAAGCAAGCCAACAGTGTCCAACGAGTTTGCGTACGGCACAACGCCGAACCTCGAGAGCATGCCATAGCTGGGCTTGTACCCAACAATCCCGGTATAAGCGGCCGGCAGCCTGACTGAGCCACCCGTATCGGTGCCGAGCGCAACGTCTGCATCGCCAACCGCAACCGCAACCGCACTGCCTCCAGAGCTGCCTCCCGCGGAGACATCCTCCTCGTCGGTAGCTGCCAAGGGATTGCGGACCGGCCCATGAACGGAGTGGGTAGAGTGCGACCCCATGCCAAACTCATCCATGTTCGTCTTGCCAACGATGGACGCCCCCCGCGAACGGAGCTGGCGAACAATCGTCGCTTCAAAGGGCGAAGCATGTTGGCCTAGGATGCCTGAGGCGCATTGCGTCGGGAATTCCTCAGTGGTGATGTTGTCCTTGACGGCGAGTCGGAAAGGCTTCGCATCGGACCGCAGCTGTGGCGGCGGTGAGACTGGCTGGAGCTTGGCTGTTTGCTTTTGGTCAGTGGAAGTTGAGGCTTTGAACGTCCTACTTGGAAGAACGAACTGCTTGCCACAAAGTGGTTAAAGGTGCTCTGTGACCGCCGTAGAGGCAGCTGGCCAATGGATCGGTTATGGTTCGCATTCCATCGTGTAAAGGTTAGAGCCCTACGGCGAACAAGAGCCGCCGTCATTGTTGGCTTCAAACCATGAAGACGTCGTCAGATGCTGGAGGTGAGTTGAGGCAGAGCTCGAAAAAGTTGAGATAAGTGCGAATCCGTCAAGTGTGTCATATCCATGCTAAAAAGTCGCGGCATCAAATCTCTTAGTGGATTGGCGGGGTCCAAATGCCCGGGAAGCTCCCCGCGTTAGTGCCAGGAACTAACTGTAAATCCCACTATAATTCTCCAACTCAATGCCGTTCTTCCTCGACCTGGACCCGACTTTTTTTTCCCCGGCACATCACCTAAACCTTCACCTTGGCAATAGCACAGCACGCTTATGTTGGATACGTTTGGTTCCCTGCATCTGTTCTGACCCTCGCTCTGGTGAACTGCCAATGACCGTCAAGAACCCATCGAATCTATAGGCGCCATGCCTTCCAAACGAGAGGCCGAGGACACAGGCGGCGATACGCCAGAGCCGCAGACGAAACGCGCAAAGATGAGCAGCTCCAAGACGCGCCAGCACCAGCACTCGGGCATCGACCCGACCTGGGGCCAGAAATACGTCTTCTCCGGCACCGAGACTGCAACGACGATTCCAGAAGGCGAGGAATCAGAGTTTGAAGACGATACCGATGCCATGGCATATCTCTTGTCTGTGAGGTAAGATACCATCTCCTCTGCAGCCTAAGATTGCATCTGCTGAACAAGTTCTCGAGATTTCAGACCGCATTTTACTGATATGGTGAGTACTACAGACAGCAAGCTTATTCCATCCCACATCTCCTGGTCGCACCGCCCGTCCAGATTGGCCCACAGCTCCCTCCCGGCTTCGATAGAGAAGAAGACGAGTCGGAGGAAGAGGGCGAGATGAAGGAGAGCTACCATGCCCCCGACACCTCTAACGCACCTGAATCGAACGGGTTCTATGAGGACGGTGCCTACATAGGCATAACAGAAGGATGGAGAGGCAACGGCAGCGACCAGGATGACGTGCCTGATGAGGAGAACCCTGAAGCCATTCAAAGGGCCGTGGACGAAGCATACTTTGCCTCTATCCTCCACCAATACCACCACCTCCGCAAGATCCTCCACACAGAGCCTCCCGCCAACGCCGCACGCCGGCTCTCACGCTCTCAAGCCACCGAAGCCTTGTCATTTGGACGCTCTACCATCACTTTGTGGTCCCGCCTCCTGAAAACGACCGATCCCCATCCCGTTCAAGTCGCACTCATGTCCAAAGACACCGTCCTGAAGATTCTGCGAGTCATGATGAGCGGCAAGTTCCTGCGCAGCGGATACAGCATTCCCCCGAGGACCAGCCAGTGGCTCTGGGCACTGCTGGCCAGGCTGCCGGCCATGGGGGAGCTTAACCACGCCGAGATTAGCTGGATCCGCGACCTCGGCCGACGCGCAGTGTTGCTCGGGCGAAGTCTGGCGGAAATGGCTGCTCTACGGGAGGAGCTTGCGGATAGTGGTTTCGGGGTCAATGACAATGTCGATGCGAGTAGCAGCGATGAAGAAGTAGTGGCCGAAACCATCGAAGAGGGAGACGAAGAAGGCGATGATGACGGTGACGCCCTTCCAGCGGTCAAGGCCACGGCGACCAAGCCACCAGCTTCCGCACACCGCCGCAGAAACTCGTCTTCGCCGATTCCAGATGATGTTGATGAAGCAACTAAAGCACCTGCTGGAGAAGATGACAATGGCGCCGAAGGCGTCGACGAGGGAGAGGTTACAGAGGCCAAGGAGGGCAGCGAGGATGAGGATGTGGCTATGGATACTGCTTCCGACTCCAGCGCCGACGAGGGTGAGATTCCCGATCAGCCGGACGAGGCCACAGCTCTAGAAGAGGCCAAACACAGACTACTGGCGAGGCTCGCCGAGAGCGAAAACGAACGCCGCAAGGAGGAAGAGCGGAGGGATGCGAGGATGAACATGAGAGCCACGCTCACCATGATCCTCACGGTCGCTGGTGAGTTTTACGGTCAGCGGGACCTGCTCGAATTTCGCGAGCCTTTTGTGGGCATGTAACGGTGTAGACGTTTTGTGTAAGATTTTGTATTGAAGCGACATGTTTGACGGAACAACCTGTCCACTTGAGATGAAACTGGGTACTAGTTACCATAAGGTAGTGGACGCCCCCTCTGGGCCCCCGTAAGCTATGATACAACCCAATAATATGACATTGATTCCAACACCATTCCCCATGATCAAACAAGTATAAAAGGACAAGAAACAAAAACAGGACATCTCCACTACGAGTGTCACAGCAGCTAACTGAGCCGCATCCCGATAGAACGCCACTGCGCCGAAGCTCAAAAGAATCAAAATGCAAAAGCACCACCCCGGTGCCACATATTCCTCCCTCCGTGAAACATCGCTGTCTTAGACACTCATGTCCATTGACTTTTCCGAATCATAAACAAGAAAATTGGCGTCTTCGAAGTCGTCATCCACAACCATATTCTCTTGATCAACAACAGCCTTGAGCGCAGCAGGCTGCTGCTTCTTCATCCGGGAGTGCGGAACGGCAATGGCCCTGTGGTTGCCAGCGACCTCTCCACCATCCCTATCCCAGAAAGAAACGTCTTCATCCTGCTCATCCAGAAACCTCTTTCGAGAAAGCCCGCTCTCGGCAACGCTGTCCGTGCTCTCTTGCGACATGCTGAGTTCGGGAACTTGGTCCAAGGAGGGAACGTCTTCATCATCGTCGTCGTCGTATTCATACCCGTGTTCTGGCTGGGTATCCATCCCACCGACCTTATTAATGCCGCAAAACGGCAACAGTTCCTTGGCCACGGGCCTCCTCGTCGTCGCTGCCGCCGCAGAGGACGTCTTTGCACCAGCGGACTTGCCGTCGTTCCACACGAGGATGTTGTTGGAGCTGGTGACGGTCTTGTAGCCTTCGGGGACGGACTTGCGCACGCGCATGCCCACGCTGAGGAGGTTCGCCTGGACGTTGGCCGGCAGGACGGGCCGCAGGGCGGGTTCGGGGGTGTTGTTAATGTTGCTGTTGTTGTTGGTGGTGGTGTTGCCGGTGGTGAAGAAGGATGTGATTTGGCGTTGGGCAGGATCGGCTGCTGCGCCGGCGAACTGGCGCTTGTTGCGGGGGGTTGACATGGTGATGGCGGGTAGTGTGTGTGTGTGTCGCAAGATGAGGTCAGGACGAGAGATGAAGCTTGTACTGGTTTTGTTTCCTTGATGGAAGAGGACGTTTTGTTGAGAAGCGCTTTGATGTGGCTCAATGGTGGAAGGTCAATGGATGGGATGGGAGAGTTTTGCGATGGTTTCTGGGTGTTCGAGTGAGGAGAGCTCCTCGTTTCGCCTCCCAAGGCTAAAATTGGCCAATTCCGGCTCAACGAGATAAACAAACTTCCGTTTGCGTCCGAATGAACCAAATGAGTTGCACAAAAAAAGAAAGACGTCAACGTGCAGTGAGGAGTGGAGAGCTTTCTGATTCGCAATGGAAAGGGAGAAAGGGGGACAAGGGGGTTTCTCGGGTCGTGCAGGGAATTGGGAGATGGGGAATTGTGGGAGCAAAAGGAAGAGAAAAGAGGTTGGCCGGATGCTGGGGTAACGAGAAGATTGGGGCTAAGGTTGCCGTTAGTACTAGAGAATATTGGGCGTGGGGCTTGCTTGCTTGCTTGCTTTTTTGAGGCTTGGCTGGGCTTTTTGCAAGAGGCTGAGGCGCGTCATTTGCGCGACGGTTTCGCGTTAAGTGGTTTTTGGGGATGGAGAGATGAGTCAGCCGGATGCGTGATGACTTCAGGATCCAAGTTTGAAGCAGCTTCAGTTCAGTTGGTTACGTAGGCACAGTATGTATGTATGTGCATGTGGCAAGACAAGGGTTGGTGCAGGGGTTCAATCTGTGAATATCTTGTTCTCAGCATTGCTCTGCCTACTTCTGTGGCCTTCTAGAAGCGAATGACTCACGGGAGCAAGGGGAGGTTACACGATGACCCAAGCAAGTACCTGCGAATTGCATCTCTAAGGTATACAGCCATAGCTCATGTGACAGCAGCAAGATACTCACTATGTAGTGACAGACATTTTGCTGAGTCGGCTTGCCTGATCTCGTCGTTTTGAGGTATGGTTGTGCTCGAAGAGATATCGCAGCAAACGCATGATGCGAAACATATGATTTACGCTACGCATACCGTGGGACTGCCTTTCATCTGTCTTGTCATCATTCTCAATGACTGTATCGAGAATCTCGAGCCATTTGAAGGGAAAGATTGCCGTATTGAATGGCCCATACTGTTCAATTACCTGAAGATTGACAAAGTGGTACCAGCACAATGTAGACACCAAGCAGATACTACCTACCCACTACCTCATCGGCAGAGCATCTTTGGGTAATGATTATTCTATGACCTGGCACTAATAGCATGTTTCGAAATTGGGTCACCAAAAGGCCAGCTCAGTCTAAGAAGGGAGCATTTGATGCAGTGATTCTTCGCATAAAAGCAATCTAATCCATTAACCATGTATTTAAATTCCATGCCGACATCCTGTTTCCCCCCCGAGACAAAGACGACGGCCCATTGCAAAGACAATAGGCCTTGAGCAAGTGCCGCCTCGGTTGTTGGAGTTGGCTGTTCGTTCAGCTCGTCGGGCGTGTGTTGGGCAGCAGATGGGCATTTCGGCAGCACATCACGAGAATCACCGTGCGACAAGACGACAATGTTCGTGGAAACCTTTGAATTTCGCAAAAGCACAGTGCTATCCTCCACTACCCACTGCACTCCGGGTATGAAGCGATCCTCAAAGCAGCGGTTCCACGTCCTCGCGCCTAGTCAATCCATGACAGATCCTCCTAGACACTCGTGTCAAGCTTTCTCCAGCCCAAGACCCCATGCAGTGCTTTATTTTTTGTTCCGACCTCAAGACAACGACTCTGTGGTACAGGCGCGTAAACGGAAAACGATAGAAATGATGTGTGCCATGCAAGATATCCGGACCCCCAAACGCCCCTGTGTTGGGTGCTCCATCTTCTATCTGCAAAGAGGTTGATGATCTTCGCAAGGTGTATTTGTCTAGTCCCCCACGTCGATTGTTGCGTTGATTTGCAGATCCGAAAAAAGGATCACCACCATAGAACCATAAGAGTCATGAAAACCCAAGGAAAGAAAACCGCCCAGCAGGCAGTTTACTTTCTCCGGAAAGAGCAGCCCTCGGTGAGTCTGGCCTTACCACCGGTAGGCTGGCACAGAACGGTGGTGCAACCCTGGCAGATGACGACGGTCTGGGCGTGAGAGAAGACGGTGGTGATGGTGAAGCAGCCGGGGCACTTGACATCCATGAAGAAGGATCGGGGCTGGGGAACAAGGGTCTAGACAGATGATCGAAACGTCAGTATCATGGTCAAGGCGTGACTTCTTTCTTTGTTCGTGATGACATCGGGTTCGGTTCGTACCTTAAGCTTGTGCTTCTTGGCCTCAGAAGCGGCTGAAGGGTTGAGAAGGTCGACAGCGAGCACCTGAAGAGAAATTCGTCAGCAATTCTGTTTCTCTCTGCATGTATTGGATCCCCCATTTCCGATTCTGCCATTGATGCTCCTCAATACGGATCGTTCCCCCCAGCTTTGGCCCAGGATGAAAAAATCTTCGATGGCCTCATTGAACGGCCAGTCCTCCTCCTACGCCATCCCGGGCATCCCACGCATCGCATCGATCCATCCTCCCGGGGCAAAAAACGCTGAAATCGTCGCTCACCATTTTGTCTGATTGTGTCGATGAAAATTTGCCGTGGAGTGTCTTGCGAGGGTCGAGTACTTGACGAAATCTGGCGACGGATTTGAAGGCTCGCAAGCTGGAGAGTAGGAGGGAGTTAAGCGAGGAAAAGTTCGGTGCACTGAGGGGGCGACTTCGTTGCTGGCCACTGGAAATTTTCCTCCCGAAGCAGGATAGCGTGATAGGGTTCGCCTGCCCACCGGCACGTGACGCAGATCTGGTTCTGCGTGATTGGCCCGAGCTTGAGCAGCTCCATTGCGCTAGAAACTGCGAGTCCGCGACTGGAGAAATGTGGGGATTTATGCGCCGCTCTGATGTCGAACAAGAGCAATGGGGGGGGCCTGTTTGTGCTCAGCAGGCAGCCAAAAAAAGATGCCAGCTATTTTGTCTGCCTGGAGACCTTGCGTGGCCCCCACGAAGCCAGCTGTCAGGGTCCTCCTGTGATGGAAGCTACTTGTACGTTGGTTCATGCAGCTATCCGCCGTCTTGTCCTCGCTCCGCCAGTCACTTAGCATAGTAGCTCTTTTACACAACGACTCCCAGATCTGCAGACGACGGTAACCATCACCATGGCTGCGCCCTCAGAGCAAAGAATCGCGGTTCCAATCGACGACCCTAACGCAGATACCGAATGGCAAGCTGCCCCGCGATGTTGGCTGATGCGCAATGCCTCTAACCCCTCGATAGGAATGACATTCTGCGCAAGCATGGCGTTATCCCGGAGAAGCCCCCTAGCCCGACTCCCATGATCGAAGAGGCCATCCTTGAGGCCCGAAGACTAGCACACGAAAACCGACTCGAGGGCAAAGACTTGGACGAGCTGGACGAGCTTGAGGACGACGAGGATGATGCGTTTCTAGAGCAGTATCGCCAGAAGCGCATGGCCGAGCTTAGCAATCTGCAAAAGAAGTCCATCCACGGCTCCGTATACCCCATATCCAAGCCAGAATATCAGCGCGAAATCACAGAAGCTTCCAACAACGGCCCCGTCTTTGTCAACCTCACATCGGCTGCGGGGAATGTGGAATCAAGGATCTTGTCTGAGCTTTGGAGGCAAGCTGCCAGGGAGTATGGCGACATCAAGTTCTGCGAGATCCGCGCAAATCAGGCCATTGAGAACTACCCGGACCGCAACTGCCCTACAATCCTGGTCTACAACAAGGGGGATATTGTCAAGCAGATTGTGACGCTCATGACCCTGGGAGGTACCCGAACGAACATGCGACACATTGACGACCTACTAGTCGAGGTTGGCGCGGTGCCTGACTCCGACCTGCGCGTTGTCAAGAGGAGGAGAGCAGCGGAGGATGCCGAAGAAGAGCGACTGGCCGGCAAGAGTATCAAGTCGAGCAACATTGGCAGAGGGCAGGATAACGATGACGATGACGACTGGGATTGAGCGAGAGATATAGTAGTCTGCATCGGTCCAGTTCAACGTCTGCGGCCCACGGTAGCCGCAGCCGTTCTGCTCGGTGTCTCTGCCGGCAGCCCCTTCTGTCCTCGGCTATCCAGCCGCAGACGCGAGGTATGCAGAAGAGCTAAAGAGGGTCGCGAGACGGGCCTTTTGCACCTATGTACACCCGGTAGCTCACGGCAGCCACTACTATCAGAGATTTTTCCTGCTGCTACCGAAGCACAGAGCATATCCGTGGCTTTCTCTTCACGGAGGGCTGAGGCTTGACTTTACGCCTTTCAAATGATTTACAGCGTGGTTGGTTCTTGACCATCGCCTATAACAAGAGTTCTATGCAAGTTCCATGATATAAACGACCCTGGACACTCTCAACAAGGCCGTCTCACTGTATGTACAGGCTGGACCATGGGCATCTGGATCGATCGAGGTCAATGATCACTATGACGATCCAGGCTGATCTTGGCATCATACCCCCTATTATCGCCTCACGCAATCTTCATGGGAAGACTGCCTGACGTAATCCCATGGCGTGGAGATCCGCAACTAATGGATCACGAGTGCGAACCACTAACACGCCTCACTGCTGAAGTAAACAATGGACAAACTCAATTTCTCCAGTCCAGCCGAGGGGAGCTATGGAATAAACGAAGCTCGATATGCTGCATCCAAGTATATCACCACTAAGTACCTAGGTACTAATGAGAACCAGCATCTCTGCAGACGTACCTACTTAATCAACAACTGTCAGAGCCAATATTGCGGCACCGTAAGCGGCACGCGACTACAAGGGGGCCGGCGTGGGGCATCTGCTATGTAATAGCGCTCCCCAGCTGCAAGTTATTTACATGCAAGTCTCCTCTCAACGCGTCGGGCGCGTCTCCATCGCCCTGTCACGTCGTTGGATTCCGTCCTTCCAGGAGCCAGAAGAGGTGAAGGAATAAAAGAGTGAGAGCGCTGGAATTGACATCCCGTTGCGCCCCTTGGATTTGGCTCTTTGGCACGTCTGTGCTCCAGATTGTCGCCGAAAAGATGTCTGAGGAGCCGCCGTCGTCACCGCGCCTCCCTGCCTTCACCTTCCAGTCCCGCAAGCGCAGCCATGTGTCACCGCAGTCACTGAGATTCAATTCCAGCGACCCGGCTATATTCTCCAGCGATGATGATCCGGGGCTCGACAACTATGTCGAGGGGAGGCGGAAGAAGCGCTACGTTGGATCGTGGTTCCAGCAGCAGCTCGACTCGGTGGATTCCAGCCTTGATAATGGAGCTGGAAGGGTTTCAAACGTTCCGGCGAAACGCTCCCTGAAAAGGGATCTGGACAGCGGCATCTTCCTTGGTAGCGACACCACGGATGGTGAGGATTTCATCGAGGGATTGGAAGCCCCGGCCGTGCCAAGGCTGCCTCAGATAGCACCCCGGACGATGCCCCGACTGTCGCAGCCTGAAATAGTGGCTCGACAGAAGATCCAGGATTGCGTCGACAGGGGCAACGAGATGGTTGATCTCTGGGGAGTTGGCCTGGAAGAGCTTTCAGACGACATCGTCAACCGCCTCGGCCAGGTCACGTCCATCCCCGTTGTCGCCAAGGACGTGGCCTTTGCGCCGCCGCCGCCCAACTTGCAGGTGTTCCTGGCCCTGAACAAACTGTCGCGACTGCCCGGCTCTCTTTGCGACATTACAAACCTCACGGTGCTGAGTCTTCGCTCCAACGAGCTGACAGAACTACCCCCGGCAATCTCTAAGCTGACCAACTTGACGGAGCTCAACCTCTCCCACAACAAGCTCAGGTATTTGCCTTCCCAAATCCTTGAGTTAGTCAAGCCAGGGGGCAAGCTTCGCGATCTGTCCGTTGCCTTCAATCCCTTATGGCGACCACAACGCCCGGATTCATGCACAACGGATGATGTTGGTGAGGAGCGCGAGCGGAGGAGTCACAAGTCTTCATGGGTATCTATGCAGCGGGACAAGCGCCATTACATGGTCCATTGGCTCGGCCAATCTCCACTGCAAGTCTCCAACTCCAATGGTAGAATTCTCTCAGAGTTTCGTCTCCCGTCGATGGATGAAGCGCCGGAGCTGTTGGAAGCACAGGTGCCTGTCGCGGTCTATATCGACGAGGAATCCGGCGCTCCTGTTTACGTCTCCCCGCAGGCATCTGCCGGCTTGCGCAAGGGGGAAGCAACGCCTAGTTCCGTGCCCAGCCTAACCGAGGTTGCGCTGCGGAGCTGCTATCGTAGCAGCTACCTTCGCGATCTCGACTTGCTCATCCCAGAGGGCCTTTCACATCTCCGTAAGTTGTTGCGGCGCACCTCGTTGCAGAAGGATATGGGTGGGGTGACTTGCTCGACCTGTCGAAAGACGATCGTAGTGCCTCTCCTTGAATGGGTTGAGTGGCGGGAGCTGCTGAAATGCTCCTTTACCTTGAGAGATGCTGAGGAACCCCCGCGAGCGAGGATATTCACAGACGAGGAGTTGGTGGTGCCCCTAGTTTATCGGGCGTGTTCATGGCGCTGTGGACCCAAGGACAAGAAGCAGGAGTGATGCCAGCACTCAAAGGGCACATGATGCGGAGGAAGCCATCTGATCGCTTCGTGTAATTTGCATTGGGATTTGTGAGATGTACGGGATTGTTTTCAAATGAAGTTGCGAGGGCGTTTTTGTGTGGGTGGAGGTTTGGCAATCTTGTCTCACACGGGGAGGGGGATATAGGGACTGCATTTTGAGCATTTACATGGGCAACGTCTCCAATTTAGGAGTCAATTATGGAGTTTGTGTAGGAGTCAATTCATAATCATGGCTGGTCCTTCGGATCTTTGTACACTTTTACGGGATTTCCAGATAGATGATGCTTTCATGATGGAGCATAAACCGGCACGACCCTATGCATGGTACTGTCGTACTTTACTCGAGCATAGGTGCCTCCTTGACGACCATGTTGCGCACGTAGATTGGTGTCTTGCACTGTTTGCTCATTGCAGAGCCTCGCCGATGTCAAGGAACTCAGATATTGAATGCCAATTGACGCACTTTCGAGCAGGCATTCCCGATAACACCAAGGGAGGCCACTTGATAATATCGGGGAGAGAGAGCGAGCTCCCTCAGCTTACACTCGGCAGAACCCCGGCCAAACATCAAACCCCCCCGGTTCCCCACGCCCATTGAGGCGAGGTGGCATTTTACTGGGGATTTCCTCCAGCAACCCGCCCAGCTTCTTTGTAAATCCCCCATCCGCGACACCCATCCTGCCTCTTTCTTCCTCACGCCTCTCTACAAGCCTTTCCACGCGCGATTCGCCAATTGCCCGCTTTCGACCACTTTTCCAACAAGCGTTTCTTCGCAGTCGCAAGGTTCTTTCTTCTCTACAACATCCTATCACAATGGCCGACCAGGTTGAGGAGATCCTCGAGGTCCCCCGCGAGTTCTTCAAGGATGGCGTGCAGTTCATTAACCGCTGCCAGAAGCGTACGTTTTATCCCTTCTTTCTTTTGACGTGGCGCTTTGTAGGGCTTGAATATGATGCTAACGCGCATTGTCTTTTTTTTTTTCTCTGCTATAGCCGATAAGAAGGAGTTTCTGAAGCTCTGCCAGGCCGTCGGCATCGGCTTCGGTGTCATGGGCGCAGTCGGATTCATCGTCAAGCTGAGTACGCTTTTTCCTCCTCTCCCCCCAAACCTCCCAAACCTCTGGGAATGATCCGCGTGGACAGTTTGGCTAACTCATGGGTTGCGTCCTGGCAGTACACATTCCCCTGAACGGCCTCCTCGTCGGCTCCGCATAAATGTCTGCTCTTTGGCGTTTCATATTGGGGGGAAAGTTGGGCTTTTTACGACGGGATGGGAGAAGGTCTAGCGACGGGGTGATCGCTGTGTATATTTCTGCTTTTTTTTTTTCTTTTTCTTTATCTCTGGGAATAAGTGGGATGCCAATAGCATGTTTAATTGATTGGTCTGGGATATGGCGAAGGCGTCGAATGAGCATGTCGAACGTGATATGGATACGCTATGGAGCATCTATGGATGTGGAGTACAGCAGACGATGTGCGTCCTGGATTTCTGCCTCTTCCTGATGGAAGCCTCTGGCAGGAGTGGCGATGCGAAGTTGAGAGCCACAGGTCGTCAGGGAGGGTTTATGCCGTTTGCTGCCTTGTTGGATTGGATAGCCAGGTCAGATACGACATTTCATCCGAGCAATGGAGAGTGTGTTTGTCCGCATTTGAGAATCCGTGACGGTTGCTGTTCACGTTGTAAGAATGGCCTGCTATATATCGCTCTACAGCATTGCATGCGTGCTTTAAGTTATAATCACCAATTACAGTAGAGGTGCAGTCAGTGGAGGTGCAGTCATGAGGACCGAGCTTGGTGTAAAGCCATCATGCTCGAGAAAGGTTATCATCGAGAGCTCAATGACTCACCCAAGATGCAAGGAGGACACGTTCTCACCAAACACGACACATATGGCACATGTGGGAGGCCGTAAGCCACCTTTGGTCTGCAAGGAAGCTGTCCCGTATTTCTTTCTCATTACTATTATGTTCGCAGCGTACGATTAGCGTTCCTATGTGGCGTACGCAGGGCTGTCTCAGACGTGTCAGTGATGAGTTGTCGTCCAGTGTTTCGGTATACATTGGTGAGAGGTGCAGGAAGAGTTTCCACGAGGTTGGCGATTTTCGACTTGAACCCCGCGGCTTCGATTTGGAGATTCCTCCAACTACCTACCAACTAGTAACTACATAATACGTCAATTTATCCCACGTAATCGCTTCTTCCCTGGGCTCATTGTCAACGGCAGCGAATCTCAAGCTCATCTATGTTGTCAAATGCTCATCAGAACTATAACGATAAGTAATGAACCATGCCGGGCAAGGGTAAAGAAGTAGCTCTCCGGACAGACCCCGTCGTCGTCGAACCCTTAAGTGAGCACACGGCGACGGTCATCTTCCTCCACGGTCCCGGCGACACCCCAGAGATTCTTTCCGGGCCAGTCGAGCATTGGAGGGGCAATGGCCAAGTCGACCATGTCAAGTTTGTGCTCCCGTATGCGCCGGTGATTCCTCTCACAGCGGTAAGTCTGCTTTAACTGGCGGGTAGGTAGGCTGAGCTGAGGGGCTGATGTGGAGTGTAGAAGGGGGGAGTGTCTATGCCTGCGTGGTTTGATATAGTAAGTCTTCCTCCCGCTGGTTGAAGAATGTCTTCCTACGTTTCGGTATTGTTAATGTTTCGTTGCTACAGAAAGCCGACGAGGACGTAGCCGGCATCTTTGCCAGCAGAGACTACATCCAGAGCCTCATCACGGACGAGATCAGCGCCGGGACACCAGCAGAGCGCATCCTGCTCGCCGGCTTCTCGCAGGGCGGCGCGGTGGCCGTTCTCGCGGGCCTGACGTACCCCAAGAGCCTTGCCGGCATCGCGCTGCTCTCGGGGTGGCTCCCGCTCATCGACAGCTTCAGGGACTACATGCCCGAAGAAAATGCAAACAAGGAGACGCCCATTTTCCTGGGCCACGGCATGGAAGACCGGACGGTGACGCTGGAGATGGCGAAGAAGAGCCGGGATGCGCTGACGGGGATGGGCTTTGCAATCTCGTGGGATGTATATCCGTGAGTGTTTGCTCAAGTCTGATAAACGGCGTCTTGGGCGCTTAAAACTTGATCTGGGGGGTCATGCTAACAGTTGGTTGAATCTTGTGTGGTGGGCAGCGGACTGGGTCATGCGACTTGCGAGGACGAGCTGGATGATGTCGAGGCCTTTATCGACGAGCAGCTGTCCTGAGCCGGAGCGCGGAACGAGGACATGGCTTGAGTTATTAGTGCTGTCTCACGCTTTGTCTTGTAAGTGTTGGGACAATGGCACGACGGGTTTTGGATCGATGCATGCATGTGTTCGTATCCGCTGCAGTGCTGCAGTTGAGAGGGTGGTTGAGTGGGATCCTCTTGGGGTGTTGTTGAGCCAATGCAAGAAACGAGGGCATCTGTCCCACTTGACGGATCATCCGCTGCTGCACATACGAGGCATCTGCTGTATTCCATGCATTTGGCCAACAACGCATAGATCCATAATACCTAGGTACCTATTCCGCGCCTTGTGGTCCGTATGTACATGCTGCCACTCCAGCACTGTTATTCCCGTATGATGTGAAATCCATTGCTGGCCTCGACGGGATTCACGTACACGTACGACTCTCGCCAGTAACACTGAACGGCACAACAGCCAGCAGTGTCCAGTGATGGCGCTGTTGTGGCTTGGGTTCAACTGCCTACCTAGTACCTATGTACCTAGAGAACCACGTCAGTCCCCCCCCCCCCCCCCCTACGTATGTACGTTGTGTGAGAACTGATACTGCTGCAGTGCATCTCCCCAGGCTTCCCGCATCACGCACGCCGCGATAAGGGCACGACGACGGCCTCCATCTTCTTCCCTCTGTCTCTTTGCATGGATGTCTTCCCGTCTGCATTGACGTCAGGCGTCATGCGTGGCGGCTTATGGATGGCCACAGCGAACCGATCACGCTATAGAGGGAGCCGCTGCAGTGGAGGCCCTACCTAGAAAGGCTCCAGGCTCCAGAGGCTCTCCGGGGGGGGGTTCAATGCTGGAAGGCCGGCGCTGTTTCTGCCCAGCCCAGAACCCCCTCCATCGCCCGTCTTACCGCCCTGTGGGGGGGACCCAAGGGCAGGTCACTGATACCTAACCTAAGGTACCTAAGTACCTAAGGTACGCTGGATAACGACGTCGAACTTCCATCTTGATCCATCCATAAACTTGTGCAAAGACGCAACGACTGCGCTTTATCTCGTACGAGTGCGGGCACGGCATTGCTGTCTGCCATGTGCCGCGACCTGGCCGTCTTTTCTCCCGGTCCAGCGCCTGTCGAGTCTGCATCGCCGTCCGTCTGAAGCGTCTCGACCTTCAAGGTTCTCTGCCTGGCTGCGGCTGCTCTCACCACAGCGGTATTTGCCTCTTGGCTCTGCTCTGCCCTGCCCTGCCCTGCTCTTATCATCATCATCAAGGCAGCGAAGCCTGGTCTTTATCATCCCGCCTCATCTTCTTCCAATCACGAGCCCCCGTCGCTGCATCAGCTCTTCCCTCTCAAATTTCATCGTCTTGGGATTTTTCTCCATATCCTCCCGGCATGGCGACTCCCAGCGCCTCTCGACCATCCACTCCAACACCCTCCCAACTGCCTCCCATGCCTGATTCCCCCGTCTATTCTCTCGCGTCGACTGCTCTCCCGCTGTCTCAGTATAATCTGCCCTTACCGCCTCCTCCACGCCCGTCGCATGCCGTCATAACAAACGCAGACCTCGAGCGGTCACAGGAGGCGTATGCGGAGCTGTTGACGTCGGCCAAGGCCTACCGCGTGGCTCTCGCTGCTTTGTCAACGGCTGCCTCGACATTTGGCTCGGCGTTGGAAGCATGTGCGAGGCTGAAAGAGGCGCGGTCTGAGCCGATTGGCCCTGCGGGAGCCGCCAACATGACATCGAGCTTCACGACCAAGGGCCAATGCACGGCGGATACCCTCATGTCGGCCTCAGGCGTGCATCATCTGATTGCAAACCACCAGCAGATTCTCTCGGAGACGGTCTACCGCTCTTTCGAAGTGCCCCTGCTACACGAGCTCGACAAATGGCAGACCGTCATCAGTGAAGAGGAGGAGACGTACCAGCACAACATCAAGGCCCAGAGCAGAGAGGTTAAGCGCCTGGAGAAGGAAGGCCTGAAGCTGCATAAACAGAGGCGCAGGGACGTGGCCCGCTTTCGAGCCCATCTCGTCGAGCTGACTTACAAGCTCGACGGCCTGACAAGCCTGCATGCTGACCATGCAAGGACGCTGTTGAGGGAGAGTCAGGAGACGAGCGCTCGAATCGTCGAGGCGAGCTGCAGCCTTGTGCGAGCCGAAGTGGACATATTCGAAAGCTTGGCTAGGAAAGGCTGGAGCGGCGGTGGTCTGGACGATGTCCTGGAAAAGGGCCAGGACTTGTTTGCCATTGAGGACGATGGTGCCCATGGTGCCGGTGGGAGCGGCGGCGAGGGAGTTAAGCTCTTCTCCATTCTGCCGCCCAAGAGCATCCTTGCGGACACGACGTCTGAACAACGGAGCGAGAGCCTGATGATGGATGGTGATCGCTATCAGTCACTCACCGCCATGGCTTCAGACCCCAAGCCAACCGGGGCCGACTCGGAGAGCGTCTTCTCGGCCGACTTTAACAAGCCGCGTAATGCCCGCCCCTTTTCTCCGCAGCCGATTCGGCGGGCGCCTACGGACGTGACGTTTGACTTGTTGATAGGTCCGGCGTCTCCCAATCCGCAAGACGACCTCTTCCCGCCCATAGCACAGGAGGGCATCAGGGAGGAAGGTGACGGCGACGAAGCCGGGCATCAGCACAGAGATGAAGAAGCGCCTTTTGAGCAGGCGAGGGATCACGACCTCTCCGATGAAGACAGCGGGGAGCCAACCGAGAGGTTCATGCTTGGCGAAACGGGAGAGCCTCGAGCACACGAAGCATATGAACAAACTGAAGCACATGGAGCACATGGAGCACCTGAACCACATGGAGCACCTGAACCATCTGAAGCACATGGAGCACCTAAAGACCACGGTGGAGAACACGAAGCAGACTTTGAAGCAGACCGCGGAGCAGATCATGAAGGGGAACTTGACAGACATCACAAAGAAGAAGAGAGACATGAAGATGAGGAAGAAGGGGAAAGGGGGAGACTCCTTGGCTTTAGCTCCCCCTTTGATGACAGAGACTCGCTCAATCCACTGAACGATTTGGACTTGGACCTTTCTCCCGAGTCCGCGTAGGGGCGCGCACTTGGGATGTAGACGCCCCCCTTTTTGTTCTCCTACCTTATTTTTTCTCCTCTGTGTACTTGTTTTCCTTTTCTGGTCTCTTTGCACTCTATTTCCTTGTGTCTCTAGCATGGCTTGGTGTTGGTTCCTCTGCCATCGATATGATTGAACGAATGGCTTCACGAAATGATATTGACAGATTGTGTTCACTTGCATTTTCTCTACCTCATTCTTTATTTTCTTCAGAGCATGCATTTCCTTAAGGCGGTAAAAAGTATCTTTTCATCCTTGATTCCACTGTTTCTCTCTTTTTTTTTGCATATCTAGATGTCTGTCGAGAAAACCGGACTTAGATACTCTGAAAGTGATGGGCGTCTTCCACCGACCTCGGATGAACGAACAATGTAGTCGTGCATGATAAACAGGGCCACGCCAAGGAGCTCTCATCTACAAGACTGACAAAAGACCAAACAAGAGAGGAAGAGCCTATAAAAGAAAGAGGTATTTCATCTTACATACAATACGTGACCCTTTGTTTCCGCCCCCGGTTAAAACGCCTACAAGAGTTCCATGATTTCAAGTACCCTCTGATGCTGGTTGCGAAGCTACATCCATCCACCCGCGCACGGTTTTCCATATTTTCGGCCTGTCCTTTTTTGTTGTTGGCAAGCCTTGACTTGCGTGCGCTGTTTGTGTTTCTCTTTTCCACTTCCACAGACGCTGTTGGATGACTTGCTGCATCCATTCGCTCATCCCACTTCGTCCATATGGGAAGGGACTATCCCAAAACTTCGAAACCTGGATGAGAAAAAAAAAAAAGAAAAAACAAATTGAAAGAGGAGAAAGAACAAATTAAAGACGCCTGCAAATGATATTCAGCCGCCCCAACCCACATACTCAATCTCATCCTTCTCTAATCATCCTTGTCCACGGCATACACGTCCCCCTTGAACAGACTAAACGTCGCATCGAGCCACCAGATAATCTTCCAGTAAAGGCTGGCGCGGCCCCAGTCAAACTCGCCCGTCTCCGTCCGCGGCACCTCGTTGCCAATCATGCTGCCGGAGAACCACTTGATGATTGGCAGCGCGTTGAGGATGCGCTGCATGACCGACTGCTGCGGCAGGAGGGCCTGCTCGGCGGGCAGCAGGCGGGCTTTTCGGGCGGTGGGGATGCGTCTGCAGAAGATGCTGTCTTCCTGGTCGAGCTCCAGGGGCTCGATGCCCGTCATTGTCGTTGTCGTCGTCGTCGTCGTCAGTGGGAAGGGGATGGGGTCGAGGATGGTGGCGCTGGAGCTGTGCGAGTTCGTCGTCAGGGTGGCCGAGTTCATCGTCTGGCTCGAATCCCTGGACTCGGCCGGGGAAAGGTCGAGAAGACGGCTGTTAAACGTCGTGGGAAGGCCCGAGACGGACTTGCGCTTGGCGGCGCCCAGGCTCGGCGGCGCAAAGCTCGGCACGCTCTTTGACCGCCCCTCGTCGAGCTGCTCAATGTCCGGGCAGGCCTCGTCCTTGACGGGCGCCAAGACGCCCCGGTACGGCTCGGCATACACGAGGTGGCCCAGGATCCTCTGCGGGCTGGCGTACAGGGCGGCGTTGCCGGCCTCTGCGCTGGCAAACGTCACCTTGACCCAGTGCTCGCCGCCGTCGGCGCGGTTGACCAGGGCGCGCTCCTCGGGCGTGAGGTTCCGGCGGCGCGTGAAGGCGGGATCGCGCAGCTCCGACTTGTACCGCCGCTGGGTCGAGGGGGGTTCTCGCGGGTAGTCTTCGAGGATGAGGCCGGCGAGGGCTTCGTAGTGGGCGATGGCGGCGTACTGCTGCGTCGCCGAGCGGTAGCCGCGCAGGATGAGCTCGACGGGGGACGACTTGACGGCCGCGCGCTGTGGGACGGCGTCCTCCTGCGCGCTTGACGAGGCGGCGGCTCCGCCGGCGGTGGCCTTGCTGCGCTGGTTGGAGCCCGAGGGCAGGTTCGCGCTGGCCTGGTTGGAGACCCAGTCGTAGAAGAGCTTGTCCGCGGCGGCGAGGGTTGGGTTCTCTCGGCCACGAGCTGGAGTCCCTGTCTTAGAGCGAGACCGTCTTGTTGACTTGCCAAAGGAGCCTGTTTCCGCGACGCTGCGCCGTGTTCTGGTTGTGCCTTCGTGTCTGGAGGGGGAGAGGAGAGAAGAAGTCAGATTGATGATGAGAGAAAGAGACTTGAGCGATGCTGAGATGGCAGTGGATAGCTTACGGATAGATCATGGCATAGGGTCGCTTGATGCCGTCCTCGCCGACGTAGCATTCTTCGTCGGGGACGTTGTGGAGGATGAGCGGCGCCATGGCGACGGACGAGGAGAGAGAGAATGAGAGAGAGAGCGAAACAATGAGGATAGCTGCGTGAAGCTTGGGATAAAGGCCAGAGCCAGTGAAGGCGCGACGTGAGGGCCAGAGATTGGTCGGATGGGCGCGATGCAGAGGCCCGAGATTCGATACGAATTTATGGAGCGAAACAGAAAAATCCGTGGCACAGCAACACAACAAATGGAACTTGGAGGTGGCAGTTGGCTTCACCAGCCACAAGAGAGCTGGGGGAAGCGCCACAGTTACCTGTTTTTGGGAGCTTCAGCCACTACCTTGTCGGGACAATGGCTGACTAAAGGAGCCTGTTTCAGGTGCTGCAGTGCCTTGTAATACTGTATTGTGTGTACTTGGATCATCTTGAAGTCATCTATTGTTTCTGCTCTTCTCATACAAGAATTTGGCAGAACTCTAACCATTCATTACGCACGATCCTACTTGAAAAACCATGAAAACTTGGAATGTTTTATGCATTTGGTACCATCATCATGATCTTTGCAAGCTCCGGTTGCATTCGCCTCCTCTTCGTCTCTAGGCTCCCTTTACGCTCTTTGTTCGGCGGGTTCTTCTTCTCGGCTCCCAGCAACAATTGATCTGCGGTTGCATTAGGATTCCGGGGTTGACCGCCTTGCCTCATGGCGATGTTATCATTGGATTGTCAAGAGAACATCATTGCTTGTTTGATGAGGCCGATCTTGTGGGTAAAATGACTGCATAGCTGAATCGTAGATCCTCGATTGCGCTTCGATTGGAAGTGGAACCACCGCCGATGAAACGTGGTGAAGACGTTCCGCACTTCCGTGCTTAGTACTGTAGAGCAGCAAACTTCAGTCGGGCCTTTCAAATATGATAAGGCGCTTACTGAGACATCATACGCAGATGGCGGATGGGCCTTTTTTATAGGTATGCAGAGCGAACAGTTCATCAATGGCGTTGCGAATTGACGCTGCGATGGTTGACTTGGTTCTATAGGACTTTGACTTGGACAGCGGCGGTTGTTCGTCATGGGTCGTTGTTTGCTTGAGGCTTTCTATCAGATCCTCGATTCCGATTCACATATACCTTGTTTCTATCCCATTGTCGCCTTTGTTGAAGTCGTGATAGTCGTCTGTGATTGCAGTGTTTCGTCAGCAATGGTCTTAAGCTTAAGGCACGACCTGCAAAGTATCGCTCGGGCTGGTTGCCCATCGCTTGAGAAAGCATCTAGATTATCTCTGTGTGAACATGTCCGATCAAACGAGGAGAACAGTATCATTGTAATCCCAGGCCCAACTGACTTCACCAGCAAAGCAACACACTGCAGAGGCCGCCATTGCAGACAGCAATGGCCAAGTTTATTCGCAGTTATTAGTGAGGGACGTCTTCACTTCGTGTCTCCTGCGCTAAACAAACCCCCCTTTGACCCTTACAGTAGAATCAGAGACGACGATGTATACACGGTCTAGCCGGCCTCATCCAGCCCTATACATGTACCCTCCCGTCTCCTCCGTCGGCCTAGCCGACTCTTTCAGCTGCTGCTACCAGAGCTACTAACCCTCCATCATGAAGCTAGCACATTTCTCAAGGTGATGGTACAGTAGGTACTATTCACAGCCTCATGTCTCACTCTCTCGGTTTACGAATGTAATGATATACGCGGAAAGCAGATCTTTCTTCTTCAAATGGGCGTTTCAACCCTTCATTCGACTCGAACCTCAAAACCGTCATCCGGCACAAGCACCAGCAGCCCTACCCTCGTAATCTCGGATTTACACATCAACCTCGGATACGAATCCCATTACAAAACCGCTGGAACCCTATGGCCAAGCCCAGGACTCTCTATAAAGCATGTATCTGACACGACACTTCGCTCAAAGACCCTGTCAACCTGTGAAGCTCTTGAGGAAAGAAAAAGAACATTGCCACTCTCCGGTCGTGCGGACACTCATATCAATACTCCATCCCCTTAGTAGAACTAATACCAGCTTATCAGTCGCAGAGGCGCAAGCTGTTGGTCTAGAAGAGAAAAAAAAAAAAAAAAAGATTTTGATAGCTGTAAGGCTAATGCAAATCTTGACGTGAACCCGCACGGCATCGCCCTTTCTGCTAGGTCTACTCCAGCTGAGATCGCGACACTAGAAGGAAAATTTTCACCGCTACCGCTTCTGTTTTTACTTTTCCCTTTCTTTCTTTTCTTCTCTTTTTCTCCCCTTAACCTTATCTGAATATTCCTTCTTCTCAGGTGTCGTCTAATTAGTCCGGCGACTAGCTACAAGGTAAAATGCTAGGGAATCCCGACAAACCCCCATCCCTGCCATCGCATATGTAGAAGCAAAAAAAAAAGGAAAGCAAATCTTTGTCCAAGAGAAGGGATCTAGGCTAGATCTCAGCTGGCATGTCCCAACAACACGGCTCGCCGATGATGTAACCCCAGCGTCCCATCAAAGGGTCAATTGTATTAATACGCCTTGTAGTTGACCCAACAGCCAGAGTTGTCCCTGCAAGAGAAGGCCTGGCTGGCTGCCCCCTCCCCCCTTGTGCACTGCCGGGACGAAGAGCGTATTCGGCTCTTTCAGAAGATAGTAAGCAGGCATCTTTTAAAGTAGAGGGTCGTGCCAAAGGACCCTGCTTGGCGCGTATGCCGAATCAGTGACACCCGCGTTAAGCGGGAAAGAGAGGATGCGTAAAAAATGGCGGATATATGGCCTTTGATACTACCTTTGATAAATGTTACATCTAGATGGGAAATATACGTGTTCGATGTCATATACATATCTAGTCCAAGCACTTACAAGCCCGGAACAAGTCATGCCAATATTACCTTGGTAATCCATTCATCCACAATATACAAAAACCGTCAAGGAAAATCAACCCAACGAACCAGCGCCCCATCCTCTTCCGTCCTTCTTCCTCCTCGTACCATAATCTCTAAAATTCTCCTACGAGTAGTCTCTAGAATGTCCTTTTGTACCATTCCCTTCCTTCACACCCCTGCCACACGCTCGATATTAATAGCACCATCAGCATCTAAACCCACTCTTGGCCCCGGCCACAAGTACCTACCCCCTTGCAGACGGTCTTGCCGAGCCTCCCCCCCCCAAGTCAGGTCACGATGCCGAAGAGGGAGAAAAAAAAAATCTGGACAAGGCTGCTGAAAAAAACAAGTGCTAGTAGTAGTAGTCGGGGGTGGTTCGTCAAAGCTGCGCCAATATGGAGCGCGTGGCTCGGCACCCTCGTACGTGAACTGACTGATGGTACCTTGCATGCCAACGCTTGGCTCTCGTACATTCGGCACGTCGTTTCCCGGCAGTGTGGGGAGCGAGGCGATGACGATGACGATGCCCAGAACAGCTGAACAGTCAGTTGGATCTGGAGAGAATTTTTTTTCCTTCTTGGTCACTTCGCGCACAGGGATCACCGTTTTGATTGTCTTAAGACGCGGGAGGTGTTTGATAAAAGAGTCAGGGAGCTGGGTATTGAGGGCGCTGAGCCCATGTAAGTAGCTATGGCTATGATAGAGTAGGTAAGGTGGATATAGATGCAAGGAAAACATGTATGTAAAAGCAGTAGAGAATAGACTCGAAATGACAGGTAGACAGAGTGTAACATGCAGAAGTAGTTCCGTGCCCATCCCCCTTGGGTATCCCAAATGCAAACCGATTTCCGTCCCAGCCGTCGCTTTGTTCCAAAATCGCAGAATCAGACAATGATAAGAAAAATGCAGTGTTGCGTTGCTTCTTTGAAGAATGACCATTTCCCGAGGCCGCCGCCCAAATCCTGTGAACACCCCTGCCTGATGCATTCCCATAACACAAAGGAAATTGTAGGCTTTGCGTATAGCGTAAGTAGTTTGATGAGTAGGTTCCCTCGAATTAAAACGCCCGTAATGATAAATATGTGCTGTGAAAGAATATACTAGTCGTTGGAGATGAAATGTCGATAAGGTGTCGTCATGGTGATGCGTTGTCGAGTCAGAATGTGTCCATGTCATCGCGATGGAAGACAACACCTCTTCGCTTCCAGCCTCCACGCCTGACATACTCCTCAAAGCTGTCGACCGTCCTAAAGGTCGGCCTCTTGGGGACGGCGTTGGAGGCGACGGTGCTGGACGTAGACTCGCCTGCGGCTTCGGCTTGCTCAGCATCCGCCTTGGCGCTTGACGAGACAGGCTCGGACATGCTTGTAGAGGGAGTAAGGTCATCCAGTGAACCGACTGATGAGATAGTGGACTCGGACCAGCGAGATCGGGGTAGTGAGGGTCTCTGGTTGACGTGCATGAAAAAGTAATCCCGAGGCTCGTCACCTTCATAGTCGTGGTGGTTCACAGGACTTGCATGAGGGAGCTCCATGGTGAACTGGGTCTGATCCTCATCCTCGCCATCAAAGTCTCTCTCCGAAGCCTCGAGGTCGCTGCTGTCGGTATCCTCGCTGTCGTAAAATGTGGGCGCCGCATTGAAGTGATGCTGATTGATTGGGATGAAAGGCCGGTCATGTAACCTCTTGGGAGGCTGGGAGGCTGAGTGAATAGAGAAAGCGTCGAAGCTAGCAGCAGTGCCGCTGTTGGGGGCCAAGCGAGGAGTGAGGCCGCGGATGGTGGATGTTGATGAATCTGAAGAGAATGACCGGTCGGATGTAGAGGCGAGAGAGCAGCCTGAGAAGGAGACCTTGCGGATGTGCAGGTCCCGGGGTTTGGAGCCCCGTCGCGAGCCAAAGCCACCAAAGAGAGTCATGACGGCAATGGTAGTTGTATGGATGCTTTTGGTGTGTGGGTGTGGATATGTTGTGAGCCCGTGTTGTGTAAGTGTGTGTATGTGTGTAAGTGTATATATGAGTGAGTGGGTGTAATGAGAGGGTTCAAGTCGGTTGTGGTATGGATGAGAAAATAGCCGGTCGTTTGGATGGCGGATGGTGTTGATATTAATATGCTAGTATATGCGCAAACTCAATCGCTCGTGCAGAGGCTAAGGCGGATCGATCGGTCCAACTAAGTTGCAGAGGGAGGGGGATGTGATGTGTATGATGTAGTCGTGCGTGCGATGGCGTATCTGGCACACAAATGCAGGAGGTGGCGAAACAGGTGGCAGACGATCAGAGAACGCTGATTAGTCCAGCGAGCGTTGCAAGTCCAAATCCTCGCCGATCTGCTGCTTTGACTGCTCTCAGAGCTGAACTTTGGAGGGGTATCGATGGATGATGCCGTGATGCAGGAACTCCCGGACTGCCGGAGAGGAGACGGCTTCGTCCATATATGTGTAGAGAGCCCATGATGCTAGCCGGCGTGCGAAGGTGTGCCAAGAGGGGAGGGGCGTGTGCCAGTGCCAGTATTAGCCCGTGGTGGGCGTGTGAGTCGTCGGGCTGGTCTAGTCCTTGGAGAGCTCGCAAGCATGGGCATCGGATGGAGCCTGGACCGGGCGGTGGCTTTGATCGGCTCTCGTCCTGCACGCGGCTCGTACGTATCGTACCTGCGACTGCTCGCCATGTCTTGCACGGTTCCTGCTAGGCCTTACGGCACCATGGATGGCCCCTCTCCACATGGGACGCCTCCGATAGTCGTCGTGATGATTCTCACCAAGACATCCCTCCGTGAACTTTGGGCTTCATGGCTGTGAAAACCCGTCTCCAGGAATCCAGCCAAGCCGAGAGCTTGGACTTCGCCGACCTGAAGTCGACCGGTGCTATTGTGGCTGCCGTGCTGTCCATTGCGTCGGGCTCTGTGCCAACAACATTCTGGATATTTCCAGAGGCCCGGTGCGGCGCCAGCAGCTAACGACGCACCGATGATGAGTTTCCCCAAAGTGCCCATCATGTGTGTGAGCGTGCGGCGTCGATGATTGGGGCGATCAAACCAAACGAAACAAGTCGCCCTGCGCCAGCATCCTGGTCATCCTCTCAGCCAACGAGCCGTCCGAGTCCAGGCCAAGCCAGCCAAGGCCTCACCTCGTAATCATGGGCTGAGAAAACCCCGGTCGCCTGGTGCTAGGAATTATCGGCTAGACCAGGGGCCCCGGTGGCTTCACGCTGCCAAAACCTTGTGGTGAGCTACCCGTACCGGACTTGCACATTAAGTGGTTGCGTGGGTCGACGTCATGCCGAAGGGCGCCCATGCCCAGCGCATTTTCAACGCCCGCCATTGCCGTTTGACGCTCTTGTTCCTGGACCTTAGCTGTGCATCGTGTGTACTTCGTACTCGCAACGGTATCTGATACAGCATCCTCGCGCCACAGTCAGCACGAGCTTCGGCCTGCGAGATGAAGGGCTACCTGGCAGGCAGCGATTACAGCAGGGCCACGGTGTCCGAGCTAAGCGCACCTTGAGGAATGTCCGCAGAAGGCCTGTAGAGCGGCCTTGAGCAAGGCTCCAGGCCCTGGAGCGCAATGCGACAACAGCGTTGGGCGCTCCATGCAAGGGAGAGACGAAAAAGCTCTTCAGAGTGGTGTCAATGTCTTGGCAGGGCCTCTACACGAAGTGACCGGCGGTGGTGTCTCACACAAAGAACCAACTTGCCAACAGGCGTCGTGACGGTCAAGCCCGTTACGAGGTAGTGTGTCTCTCGTCTGTGCCGTGCCTGGAGCAATCGCTCAGGAACCGGCGTGAATCGGGCTGGCGCTATCAGTGACGAGGTGACGAGACTTGCTTTTTTCGCGGCGATAGTTTTTGCAGTCAGCTGCCCTGGACAACTGGACACGGCACCGGCGGCAGGCCCCAAGGACATTAGCAGCCACCGCGGGATCCCTAGCCCTAGCGAGGATGATGGCATGAGTCCATCGTGGCAAACGGCAGCTGGAGAGTCGGAGCTGTGCCTGGCGGTGATTCAGCCATCGATGATCGATCTTTGTTAGCACAATCGCATCGCATCGCATCGCGTGGGAGAAGAGATGGTACTAGATGCCTGAGGATAACTGGAGCATCGCGGCAGGAACGCTTCATGTTCCCCTCTGCCTCTTGCCGCCTGGCCTCGACTAGCGGGAAGTAGTGCTCTGTACATGAGGTATCCATCTAGCAAATGGATACGCTACCTGCGCTCAGTTTCACGCGATTGGCGGGATAGCGAGATACTCCCCAGATACGCTCCAGATACTACCTACCTACTAACCTACATACGGGGCAAGTGCTGGTGATGTGAGCAGTGCGGAGCAGCTCCTCCCTGCTTGAATTGTTGGTAATGATGCCCAAGACATCGCAAAAGTTACTCTTTCATCTCACCATCAGGCATCGATAGCGCAACAGGCCGGCTTCAGCCTTCTCGCTGCTTCCGTCGCAATAGAACCACGGGCTCCCTGCCATCGGATCGTCCGAGGCTGGTAATCCAGACCGATCGATGAAGAGCCGCCGCAGCATCTTGGCAGCAGATCTGGCCTTGCATCCATGGCTCAATCGCCGGGTTCGCTAGATTCGCGCGCCTCTTGCAGGAAGTCCTTTTTCCCGCTCTTCATCTTACTATAGTCGAGTCAAGATAGTATGCCATTTCGACGCCATCATTCTCCTAGACGCAAGCGAGCCAAAAGAAAGTCCGTCCCGCAGCGCCTCAGCCAGATCGCTAAGATAACGACTCCAGCAGGACAGGGGTGTCCGGGGGCTGTGGCTTGGGCAGACGACCATCTCATTCGCCGTGACGGGCTTCCCCTCAACGCCTCTCAGGAACCATGGCTGCGCTGTCAAAACTCAAAACCGGGGGCGGAATGAGTCTGCGGTGCAGCGAGCGATGGGCTCACGCCGAGTGTCGATGGGCTGATTGTCGGCCGAGGCCTTGACAAATCCCGAGACGCAGTTTCACAGCGGCGTTGCACCACCGCAAGCCAGCATTCCTGGGTGGCCTTTCGGAGAAACGAAGCCTCTCACAACCCCACGTTTTCCCCTCCGTCCAGGTGCTGCGCCAGTTCGACCAGGTCTCCAAGAGCTCGGGCAATGAGCCAATCAGCAAGCTACGACGAACGGGCTGCGAGGAGCAAAAGAGGGCAATGGATTGCGCGGGCTTGCATACTATACTATCTTGACAGCAAGCTGCAATCTCTGCCGAGTGCGACTTCGCATGCATGCACGCCCCTCTCTGTTGCTACTCTGCCAGCGAGACCTGCATCACTGACAGCTCAGCCGCACCAGCATCTTGCAGCCGCAGTCAAATCTCATGAAATTAGGATCGTGATGGGGCGTGGACGCTCGAGTGTTGAGCTGATCGCCCTGCTGTTGGCAGCATGGAAGCACACCGCAATAGCGCATCAATCAAATCTTGGGTAATGCATTTACCTTGAACCACAACTGATCTGTGCGTCTTCTGCGTCGCCGACCTCCTGAAGCCCGAGCCTTACGGCCAGAGAGCAGCAGTAATATGAGACATGGCTCATCGCAAGCTGCCGCCCGCGCCGGGCCTTTGCAAGTGCGACAACTCTGTGGTTACACCGCCTTTACGAAGGAGGGCTCCGATGTAAGGGCATCACCACTGGGTACTCGACCCTCTGAAGCTTCTGGATCAATTTGACGTCGTCGACTGTGATGGGATTTTGGCTGCGACAGGGGTAGGCGGTGGGGTGCTCTCCGGTGACCATGCAGGCACCTGGAGTACGACTTACACAGGTTCCAGGTTACCTATTGAGGACCCCAATTGTTCAGCTGCAGAAGAGACGAGCACCAACAGCTATACCCGGGCAATGCCATGTCGAGGCAACGAACACCGCGCACCAGGTGGCCGGCTCCTGCACGATCAACTGAAAGGGCATCCTTGAGCTCTGTCTTTGGCAATATGCAACATGCAAGATGCGGCCCCCAATGCCAATATCCTAAGATTGCGCTTCAATATTCTTTCAGCCCCCTCGCCGCCTTGCCCGATGCAGGTCGTGCAATGCTCTCGAGCTTGGTGGTTGCACCCATCTCGACTGGAGTGCTGCCTCCCTACTCCGCACTGCTACTGCTACTACTACTAGCATATGCATGTGTGTGATCACAAGGCCGCCGGATGCAGGTACGGCGCAAGCTAGAGCTGCAGGCACCCAAGACGCATGCATGGCCGATTGCCGTGGCACCGCAAGCCGCAGCTTGGTTGCGCCGCATGATGACAGCGCCGCGTCGATTTCTGGGTGCTTGACAGGCTTTGACAGGATCCAGCATCCGGGCTCTAAGTCGACGACGAGTCTGCAGCTTTCAGACGGACATACAGGCGCAACCACTACTATCCTGCGGACGGAGCACCTTGTGCGCCGTACTGGCCAATGTCGCCGGCATGTGTCGGGATTCTCATGCGCACGGCGCTCACCATGAAAGCCACGCCTAACAATGCTGCAGCCACTTTTGCAGAACTGCAGGACGAGCGCTCGCACAAGTGCCTACAAGCGGTAACCACCACGACCGAAAGGCGCTCGTGCTCCTACTTCGCATAACAGGGCCAAGCCAACGGCGACATCATCAGGACGGGTCAGTCGCTTCTACAGGGTGCCAGCGAGTTCTCCTCGCAATCTGGAGGGGCTCCTTGTCGACGTCGCGAGATCCGACAGCCTGGGCGCCAGGCTTGTGGACACGCGCAGAATTCCGGAAGCCCACGGGACTGAGGGACTGCTATGTGCCCAGGTCGCTCCCACGCTGTCGGACTCATCACTTGATCACTTGATCATTTGCCCGTAGTTTGCGCTGCGCTCCGTGCCCGGCCCACGGCCATTGCGACCCTTGCATCTCTCATCAAACAATGGTTGATGTAATACTATCACGCCCCAGGTTTGGGTTACTATTGACATGCGGTCCCTTGCTGCTGCTGTTGGGGCAAAACCCAAGTCCATGGTCCCGTCATCACACACCCGTTCGTCTGCACTTCTGACTCGGGACGTGATACAGACTTGACAGACGAGCATGCACAGTCGTCACGACTCTGGCTGCGCTAACCTACTCCTCCCTGTGTTACTGCAAGATTAGGACCCTTGCCGTCGCTTCCACGGCCATGGTAAGCAATCTGCGCAGTCTGTCAAGGCTTGCACTCCCTAATCCACAGTGTTGGTTCTCGACCCTCCCGCTTCTCTACTGCTGACGGTGTAGGACACAAACAGACGAGGAATACCTGCGTGTACAGGTATGAATCTCCCCATGTGCGGAGCGCCTTATCGAGGGGACCACAAGGCTCAGACGGATCCGCCTTGTCGTGATGATCCGACGCCAGCGCTGGCGTGATATCAAAGGAGCACCTATGAGGGTTCGAGCCGCTGCTCCCGCCGCAACTCTCGTCCCACTGTCGGCTGTCGCGCTGCTCCGCGGGCCTGCGAGAGCTTGTCTGCCCTATTTGCCTGGTTCTCCCGAAGCCGAATGAGCGCCCGCAAGGCGTGCCGCAGACGTCCCGTTGCAAGCTAGTACGCTTTGTGCTCTGGTTGACAGCACTAGGCGCAGGTTGAGACGCTTACTGCTGTGCCGCTGAATGCTGATGACGGATCACGGAGCAGATGTGTCCCCTCTCGCTGAGGTGACAAGACACGTGCTGATGGTTTGTGAAGGGTTATGGACGGGTTGTGCTGATGGCTCTCGTCCTATCTTGCCTAGAAGATTGGGCTGCTCAAACTTCAATCTAGCTGCCTTTGCAACACCGTTTGATGGACCATCACAAGCCATCTATAGGTGGTTTGCACCGTCGTCTCTAATAGGCTACCGGATGGTTCATCGGCTGCTGCCACTACACCACCAAAGATGAGATCAAAGGGCAAAAATAGACACGGCATCCCAACAGCCGAAGCCTCGAGATTTCTTCCTTCCGAATTCATGTCTAGAGCCAAGCACCCGCGCCCTTTTGATGTTAATTATCCCCTCGACTGGGGTCATGGCGACGGGCATACACTCCTGATGTGATACCCTAGACTAGATGATACAGGCTTCTCCGCACATTGCGAGTGACATGCTGTACAGCGCCGCGAGCTGCGTTTTACGGCCAAGTTGCTGACAGGGTAAGCAATCATATGATATGACTCTGATGATGATATCTAAAGCCCCTTGGATTCGCAGTCGACTTGTTGATCACTTTTAGTTGATGGGAGAGAAGACTTGGGGATGCGATTGCAGGGATGCCTGTCTTTTACCCAGGAACTATGGTTGCACCTAGATGATTGAGGAGCAAAGGGACCGCGGTTCATGATTCAGTATAAATGTACCCTGTAGATTGCATGGCAGCCCTGCGACTGAGTATTGCAAATACCTTTTTTTTGGTGGCGTTTGGCTGGATGGACACAGGTTGTAAGCGCTGGGCTGATGGGGCAGCCGAGCGAGGCTGACGGCGGGTAACACATTTGCTGGATGAACTACCCGCCTTGGGTGACAATTGCAAGCTCTAGGCATTGGCATGGTTGTTTACGGCTCGTAGATGGAACTGGATGGAGTTTAGGCATTGGTATGGATGGCATCCGGCCAGTAGGTAGAACAAAGGAGCAGTTTGAATTGACTGTCGGGATATCATATCACTACCTACGAATAAAGCTGTTCCTACCCTTGTGACTGTCCGGTAAACAGTCGAGATGTAAGTTATCAATTCTGAGGTAGTTGAGCAGGCAAATCTATGATTGGCGCTTCTAGACATTTATTCCAAATAGCAATACTATACAGGTTCTTCAATGACCCCCCCCTCCCCCCTTTCCACAGGCAAACCATGGAAGTCAAGAAACTCCAGCCGCGGTACTACGTACAAATTCCTTCACCCTCACACAATGCACCCAGAATAAGACCCAAGGAGGAAAATTTTTTTTTTTTTAAAAAGCTAATTGCTGTGATACCCTGCATATCGTGGACTTAATTGAGTTGCGGAGTATGTACAAGCAGTAGCTTACGGGTTGCATTGCGTTGCGTTGCATCGCAGAACTACAGGGTTTTGGCTGGGAGAGAAAGAAAGGAGAACCCGACAGCTTGGATCAGGCGCCTGGTTCGTCTCGGCTTCCATGCCTTTTGCTTGCTTACTGTTCGTGGCAGGGGGGGGGGGGGGGGGTTTGGTCTCGAGATATCTAGGTACTATATTTGTAAGGATAGGTATGTAGGTATGTATGTATTTAGTCCCCTTGTCTGAAGTGTTATCCTTGTTTCTTTGTTTGAAAGTCTTTGATCTGGACGGATGAGTTGATGCTCAGAGGATTTTTGTTCGTCGTTAATTATAGTACCGGAGATTCAGCTGCTGTAGACCTCGTCACTCACTGTCTGACAATCAAGCCGTCCCAGCCGTCCCAACTCATCCCATTCCCTAAACTTAAGAGAAGCCAGATCCAAAACTCCTACCAATAAACCCCCGCAACCTCCGTCAGTCCTCAAAGAAAAGCACACCATCATCATCCACCACCCACTAAACGCATCCCCCCCCTGAACGGCACGGCACGCCTGTCTCCCCTGCATCCCATCCCATGGTTTGTAAGGAAAAAGACTCGCAAAAGTCACCCAACTCGCTCTCAAAGACCCCTTGATTCTTCATCACCGCGTAGTACCTTACATACATACATACCCATCCCTCTTCCTTCATATATGCGCACTACGCGTGTCTGGTGATATGCTATCCAGTTCGGGGCTTAGTACGGAGCCGGGGAGTCGACCTTTGTCACAATCCGCGCCCGCAAATGCAAATGAAGTGGTGTGGTGTGGTGTGTATGTATCTGTGTGTATGTGTGTGTGAGAAGTCCCCCTTGATCCATTCAACTCGCATTGACAGGTCTTGTTCCGATAACAAGACTCTCACTTGACATGTCACGCTAAGGCCTATAAGAAACACGGGATTGTATCACTTGTGTGATTTAAAAAAAGAAAAGCGTGTCACACACAGACGACAGCCGAACTCTTCTTTTGATCCCGAGTAGTACTATCGAAATGCCCCTGGCTATGGAATCATGCCACTGGACTCTGGTTACGAGTTCTAGAATTGTTCGTACATACACCCCACCCCCCTTTGGAAAAAAGCTCAGCCAAAGTCGGTCGGTGATGGGAAAACAAAGATGCATCGTCCAGGATCTTGAAGTCGTCCCTTGCAGCCTCAGAGACGCCCTGCATGCATTAGGCTGACGTGTTGTGGCGTGCTTCATAGATGATGTGCTGTGTTGGATCCCCCCCCCCCCCCAGCTTTTGTGACCTGACTTGACAAGAGTCCGATGGTTGTCGGAAGCTGGGATGACGGGCGTACAAGATATTGTTTTCGTTTCCACGCCGCCGGCAGGGTTCACCCATGAGGGAACGATCCCAACACTGCGGTTCATGTGACAGGTATCTCCTTGCCTGGAACAATTCTGAAAAGCTATCTGCCCCTTGCAGTTGATCCGACTTGCTATCGAATCCGGAACCACCCGTAGTCCGCTGAAACCGGGAGAAGATGATGTGCTAGTGATGATAGTCGGTGACTTGTCGACAATAGCTTCGTCCCTGGCGAGCAATTGGCAACACTATCCGTATCGATTTAGACCGACATTTTCTTTCCTTTCGTCTGTCCGATTTCATGGTATCCTGGTCGGAGAGATTGTGGCGTAAAAGAATAGGGCTGACGGCGGAGGCAGCCGGTAGTATAAGAATAGAGTAGAGATTGTATATGATGCCAAGAAAGAAGGCTTCAGCTGAACTCCGGCAGCCCAGCTTCCCGGTATCCAATCAATCGACGAGACTCCCTCAATCCTTGGTTTGTTTGTTTTGTTTGTTTGTTTCCTTCCTTTTTCCCTCCTTTGTCCCGCAACTCCGTGTGTAATGGCAATTTCGTTGTTTTCGTGTAGCGGTCAGCAAATGGCGTTGCACGGCATGTCCATCCCCTCGCAATCCCGTGTCTCGCCCTGGAAGAGTAAAGGCACAATTGCGCAATCCAACCATCCGAGTCGAAAACAGCAGCTGTCTCAGCCATACCCGGCCTTTTTTTCTCTTTACAAAATCCCGTCGCTCTCGCCGGGCAGCCTCTCAACCCGCTTCTGCTCCCAATTGTCCAGGTCTCTTCCAGCAAGTCTCTGCAAGCATTCTGCGTTAGCCTCCAAGCCACCCACACACACACAAAAGCACGATTGCCCATTGATTTCTCTCTCTATCTTCTCCCCTGCATATTCCACGCCTCCTTGCAGAGAGATGACAGGTCAAAGGGTAGGTGATGGAAGTCAAACAACTCACATAGTACTCCTCCTTCATGTCCACCTTGCGTGCCGCCCTCCTCACGTTCAGCTCCTCCTCCTTGGTCATTTGGCGCACCTTGCGGTCGTGCTTCTCGTATCGGATCGCCGTGGCAGGAGTGAGGACGAAGGAGCCGGCGACGATGACGGCCATGAAGGGCAGCCCAAAGGCGAGGAACGGGTGCTTGCTCATGAGGGCTCGGTATCGCATGCCGAGCTTGTTGGCGTCGGCCGACGAGCGGAATGTCTTGTTCTGGAACGTCGGCATCGTGATTGCGACTGTGATTTGCCGGTTGTGACTTTGACTGTGATTGTGATTGCGTTTGCACGGAGTCTCGGGAGCTGTCGCTTGGTTCGATTGCGCGGGTGCCTTTCTCTCGACTCCTTGTTTCGACTGCTGTCTGTGTGAAAACTTGGCCCGGCGTCTTCTTGTTACGGCTGCGGCTCAAAGTGACGCTCCTGGTAGCACTTGGTACGTGTTCCTCGATCGATGCGCTGCTGTATTACCGTGAGCATGGAAACGTCAGATCAACAGCCAAGGTTCGAAGCATCGCATGACTTGTGGCTGATCGGACCGATGCTTTTCCCAGAGCTCCGGATTTTGGTGGGGCCGCTTCCCGCTCGCCGACATGCAGCTACCCAAGCAAGCTTCAAGCATAGTAGTACTACTATCAAGACACACTTGCAGAGCCAAAGATTTGGATGTGAATTCAGCTTCAGATGAGCATTCAAGTCATGATACATCGAGAGACGAGGAATGGTAATAAACTTGATAGGCCAGTAACAAGGAGTGTGATCCATCTCTGTTCTGCTAGGAGCTACCATCAAATCAACATTGCCTTCCTTTTGGAAATCAACAAACTTACAAATAAACCCAGCCGTATCATTTGAATCGTCCCTTCATAACGCATCCATATTGTAGGTCTGCATCGTTCGTTCAGACAAGGCTCAAAGCCAACACCAAGGCAAACGTCAAGATGTGTTATTATACCCCCCTCGTTCGACCGCATACTATGCAACCCACATCTGGTAAAGAAGAGAAGTAAATAAGGAAGCATCGTGTGCCTCGTTGTTGAGAAGTTGACTAACTCGCTTTCTCTCATTCCGCATCGATCAGGTCTCTCAACGTATCGCAGTTCCTCGAAAACAACATCAAATCTCCAAAATCCTATGCGTTTACAACAGCCTAGTCTCCGTCTGACAGAAAAAGGAAAAAGAAAATCTTCACGTTGGAAGGAAGGTATGGAGAAAGACAATAAGGAAAAATCGAAAAGTGTTGTCGTTGGTACAAAAGCAAAGTGCTTAGCCCTATAATACCACAAATGAAACAAAAGGAAGAAAAAAGAAGTAAAGACAAAAGACCAATTCTTTTAGGGTGTGCTGTTTTGCTGCTCATGATCGCCTCCATTCTGTCGTCATCGTTGGATGCGGGTAAGGTGAAGTGTTGATGTCGTGTGCTATGCCGTGCTGCCCAAGTGTCAAGCATTGGGGAATAAAGTAAGGAAACCTGCATCGCAGAGTGGAAATGCAAATAAAACGCTTGTATAGACTCGATGTTCATCATTCGGCGGCGTGAGGCGGCGATGATTGCCATCCGTTCATGTACGCCATTAGCCCCATGCCAAGCAGAACCACGCCGATCATCGAGGCGTATGGAATGCCGGCGCGAAGGTGCTGGCTGGCTAGAGGGCCTCCTCTCGGTGAGGCTTGAGGCGTGACCGTATTGGCCCTCGAGAGAGTTGGGACGTCTGCCGAGTCCTCGTCGGGAATCGTCGCAGACTTTTCCTGCTTTGATGCCAGTTGAGCGGCTTCAGGAGTGGGGGAGGCAGCCGTGGTCGCCTTTTCTGCTGCCTCGTCTCGTTCGGCGCGGAGTGCCCTTGAGCGAGATCGTCGTCGTTCCTCGGCCGCGACCCGCTTTGCCTCCTCCTCTCGCAGCTGAATGACCATCTCCTCAAGGGTCTTCCTGCACGAGTCGCGCTCCGCTTCGGCCGCCTCGCACCGGGCCCTCCACTGCTCCATCTGCATCCTCAGCTCCCGCATCTGCTCGTCCATGGTGTCGATGCGAGATTGCAATGCTGCTGCGGTCTCCTGCGCCACCTTGTCCGCCTCTGGCATCTCTTCCGCCTCTGGCAGCACCGTCTCCGTCTCGTCGGCGTCATTGGCCTCCTCGTGTACTGCTCCCTCAGCTTCATCGTGCCTTTCGTGCGACTGCACGCCATTAACCTGGGCATTGTTGGCCGATTCTTCAAGGCGCCGTGCCAGCTCTTCTGCCAACTCGCGTGCTTCCCGCTCCTTCTGAAGCATCAACTCCAACTCTCGCATACGCGCCGTCTGGGTATCAATATCTCGCTTCGCATTATTAAGTGCTTCAGTCAGCTGGATGATTTGGCTAAGATTTTCTTGACGAATCGGAGACGCGGTCGCCGAGTCTAACTTGGGTCTGTCCGAGGAACCTCGCTTGAGAGAGGGCACATCTGGCTTTTCGGGAAGAGGCTGTTGAGGCGGTGGTGCAGGAGGATCGGAGAAGCGCGCCTTTGGGTCTGACCGGAAGGAAAGATTGCCGTTGACCATGGTCTGAGGTTTCGGCGGTTCCGAAGCTTCAAGTTTCTCAACGTCCTTTAGGTCGTCTTTGGATAGGAGAGTGTTGATGAACTGGCTCGTGCGATTCAGATCTTGAGCCTGGAGCTTGGCGCTCCTCATTTCATTCTGATGGGCTGCGTTAGTGGATGCCACGTCGATCATCAAAAGAGAGATGGGGGCTTGGGGGGTAGGCTTACAGCAAGACGCTTTAGGATCTGATCCGTAGCAATGGGTGTCAAGAAAAAGGGACGCTGTTGCGCCATGCCGTTCATATGGCCATTCATGGTTCCGCCGTTAACCATCATGCGGCCATTGTTGCCCATGGACATGTTGCTTCCAGCGCGGCCTCGCATCTGCACTCCAGCCGGGATCATCATGGCGTTGTTGGCAGGATCGAGGTCTCCAAAGTTCATATCCAAAACGTTGTTTGTCGTATTCAAGAAGCCCGCGTGCTCGATTTTCGCGGCTACCTTGTGGTGGACCACCGTCTTCTGATCTTCGCTGACGATATCAATGCCTAGCTCGAGATGGTCGGCAGTCTGGAGTTCGTGAGGCTCAGACTCGCGATTCTCCTGGGACAGTCGGGTGCCGTTGACAAAGGTGCCGTTGGACGACTTGACGTCTCGGATGTAGATTTTTCCATTTCGCTCGGCGAAGATTTCCGCATGCTGTCGTGACAGCACTTTACTATCGAAGAAGCCATTCGTAGCAGTCGGCACCGTCTTCTGGTTCGTCTGTCGGCCGATGCGTATGGAGTCGGGCGCAAAGGGCACGGCAATCGTCTTGCGCTCAAAGGTGCCGTTCAAGGACAGCAGGTAGAGCATGGGCTGGCCGGGAGGGAACTGCTGCTCGTTGGGCCCCATGGGTCGCACCATGCCCTGGGGTCCCATCTGAGGCTGTCCCGGTCCGCCTTGCTGCATGGTGGCGTGAGGCACCATGCCGTTGGGTCGTCCTTGGGGAGGCCTCGAAAAGTCCGACTGCGCGTCTCCTTTACCAGCTGGCCAAGGGTTCTTCGGTTGAGGCCTCTTTCTGTTTGCGCTGCCATTCGACCACTGACTCAGATCCGAAGCTGATGACAGCGATGTGGCATTGGAGTGGGAGCCATTCGTCGCAACAGTCGTATTGGAGGCGTTGGAGGCGATGGACGAGGACGAGTTGCTTCGCGAAATACTCTTGCGGTTCATGAACATGCCTCTGACATCCTCTGAGTTCATCTGGTTGTTGCCGTTAATAGTAGCCCATGGCGGCCGGGAAATTTGCGGGAAAGTTGGAGGATTTGCGACGGCAGTCATGGGTGAGGCTTCGTGGTGAATGCTGTGCCCTGCTCGATGGGAAGAGGAGCTGTGGAAGGAACACTGTCAAGCGCAGAATTCCCGTCGCTAACAGCAGGCAGTCGGTTGATGCCGTCTAAACGCGTGGGTGCACCCAAGGGCGTTTGCGAGTCGCCAACCACCACCGCCCGCTGAGGGAAGGAAACAAGGAAAAGGGAAAAGAAAAAAGACAAGGCCACGCGTGCGGCAATCGAAACACGCCAAACAAGTCGAAATTGCTCTCGATGCGGCGTCGATGTCAAACGGGTCTATCGCTTGCGATCGGGATGAGAGACGCAGACGCTGTTCGGGACTTGGATCGTGGTCAGCGTGCTGCCATACACAAAATCGTCAGCAGGATGTTGATGTGATGTGGCTCCTTTGTCGAGCACCAATTGGGGGATGGCATGGCACGACCAAGCGAGGCTGGGGTCGAAGCCCCCCCCCCCCTGGGCCCCGGACCGGCTCAAGGGCGCTGGACTCAGATGTGAAACATACCGTGAAATGATGGAAGCTCGCAATCCTGGGCGATTCCACACGGTCGCTGGCGAGCCTGGTGAAGCTCGGGCTGGGAGGCGGCTTGCTTGCTTGCGAGGTGTTGCTTGGGGGATCTTGTCCTGTCGCTGCTAGCCCGCTAAGCGCTGGGCTAGGCGGCGTCGAGCGCTGGGGGGGCCAGGCGATACAGTGCACGCCGTCTGGCCTGGTTCTCGGTGTCTGTCAGTGTCTGGGCGCCCGGCTGCCACAACGCGGCATCGAGACGGGCTCTGACATGCTTCGCGAGCGCTTTTGCAGATGCTGGTCGGGCGCTCCCATGCAATCTCTCTCGCCCATCCCAGAGAGCCCCGTCTGCCCATATGGGCCGTATGGGGCCCTGAATCGGCTCATGACCTGGCTTCACGTGATGCATCATGACAGTACCTCGCTTGCGGGCAGCCGCTGCACGCGCACTGTGGGGGGCGCTGATGATGGTGAGAATGCGCCGCATCAATCTTTTGCCGCTGCCGTCGGAGCTAGGCCGCAGCCAATCACATCGCGAGCGGCTTCGTCCGCTGGAGCAAGGCTTGGAGCCGGTCCAAGGCACTTACACTCTCGGAGCTCGAGAAAGGCAAAGAAAGGCAAAGGCAAATTCAACCTCCCAACGCTTCTGCGCATTGCCTTGGATCCGGCTATTCACGATGCCTCCCGTTGCGCCGATTCACCACGGTGGCCAGCAGGCCCCGTCCACGTTTGACAAACGTACGGCTTCGACTCATTGCGAGGGGCTGCAATTTCGCTAACACCAAGTCGACAGTCAAGATGGGCGCCATGATGGGCGGATGTAAGGGCTTCTTTAGCAGCTGTGTTTCGGGCTGGGCGTAAACTGACGTCTCTTCAGCTGTCGGTGTGATTATGGGATTTATCTTTGGTACGGCAGTGGGCGGATTCACCGTTCGGCCATGGGCTGATTAGCTGACACCTTGATAGGCACTGTCAACATCTTCCGATATGGTGCTGGGCAGCAGGGCATCATGAGGACCCTTGGCCAGTACATGGGCGCCTCTGGCGCAACCTTTGGGTTTGTTCAGCAGCCGCCCAGTTCCATCGGCATGGTGCTGACAGAGTGACCCCAGGTTCTTCATGGGCGTCGGCAGCGTCATCCGATCAGATGCCGACCCCAAGCTACACGAGCTGTACATGCGAGCGCAGCGACGACCGATAGTACTGAGAGCGAATCCTGCTTGGAAGCGAGACGAATAAAGACACACAATGACGAATGACGAACTACACCGAGTGCCAATCCCAACTCGCAGTATGCACGTTCCGGTGGCCCGAATTGACTGCCTTGTACAATAAGAACAAACCAACCGACATCTACGATCGAACACCGATGCGATTCATGTCTTGTATTTATCTATCTATGTGACTGGAGGTCTGCACTCGAAACCGTGCGCAGCAGTGTAATTACTGTATGGTTGTTCTTAGCAGGTATGCAAGAGCACCAACTGCTCGATTTTCATGGCTACGAACAAGCTATTACCATTTGCTTCTCTATATCAGTCTGTTATGACTCGCTTGTGCTCTCATTAGCTCACAGTATCTAAACTCAACTCTCTTCCAGGGCCTAGTTCAGCCGACAGCTCAAGCTATAAGTCTTTACCAGTCTTGCAGCGAACGAGTCCTGATGATCTGCTACTCGTCGATGTGATTATTCCTGAACAATACACAGCTCGTGTTGTCTATCGTTAATTTAACTTGAGGAACGACGGCGCCTCACTGGTAATCTAGTCGATATGATGTAGGATCACGTTTTCAGCCGCCTTTGTACGACGAAAACACAGAAAGGATTACCTCTGGGGGCCGCATTGCTATTATCGAATGGGCTCTCAACAACTGGCCAAGCTACTACCCTCATTCTGCAAGCCTCAGGAACTGCAACCACATTTCTCCACATGACAGCAGCCATATAACTCACTTTCGCCGTCTTGACTACGGTGCCCCAAATGGAGCGTTGCCTGACCGAATCATATGGGAAACAAATTGCAAGCAGTTGGCCTTGATAAGTCAATCCGGTGCCATCTCCTCCTTTGTTCTGCTGAAAGAGCTAAGGCATAAGGGTTACTAGATGCTGCCTTCCAGCCTCGTCCAACTTCGGAAAGAATGAACAGTCGTGTAACGATTCATTTAAGAAATTCCCTGACTTGGATCCATCACCCTGGCTGCTCGCATGATGCTGGGGGCATTGTGGCATTACGAGATGCTTTCGTATTTCCTCCGTGTTACCAATATCTCTCTGAGATGGATGTGGCCACTACAAGGTTCTGGCCTGTCCGAGCTGAAAGCTCGTCAAGCTCGGTCATGATAGCTCCTATGCTAAGTTTGGTTCGGTGGCTTTGTTCAAAGGCACTATTCTACAAGACTCCCACGCAGCATGATGCCTTCTGTCTTGGAGCCTTGAGCCAAGACGTTCATGCATTGGCTGTCCAGCTCTTTGTCAAGGTTGCCCTCCCTCGTGTTATGTGTTACTTTACCAGACGCCTTTTCATCTTCATAGTCTGCTGACTATCGGTATAGGGCCGAGGCACAATGCCCCTTTGCTGCGTCAAAGCTTCCAAAGCTGCCAAGTGGCGGTTGAGACATGCCATACCGAGTCAAGAACAGTACTACCATGTAGAACCCCTTCTTGACTGCTTGCTTTGGTAGCAGCCACTACTGCATGAGCAACCTCTTTCCGGAATCTCGGCAACAGGCATTGCGCTTCACTCTTCGGCGCCGATACCCGGTATCATCTACGTATACCTCCTTGTCGACCTACCTCGAGCTCTTCCTGGAACCAGCAGTGTCTCATGTGAATCGGGATCGAGCATCGGCGATCTACCAATCGATGACCGATACTTGGCATACATTGATTATTCCACGCCATGTGGCCCAGCCCGTGTCCTGCATATGTATCATGCGTCTGTCCAGCGTGGCTTGCATCCGATAATATTGATCAGGCACCTTTTCCGTTCTATACGAGAAAGCCTCAAATATCGTGTGCTGCAAGAAATCCCTCCGAGGCGGCTGGGGCTGAATGTCGTCGACCAATAGCTGTTCGCAATCGAGGCTGGGATTTCTGCTTTCCGCCAAGCGTGGCCAGGGGGGTGTGCTATTGTGTTGGCCGTTCCCGGGCGCTGGACTGACGACGACATTTTGCATGATGGGGTTACTCGACGCCGAAGGCGTAAAATGGGAAGATTCATTCTCGATGGCCGATTTCTTGGAACTGACTTCCATGGGGTATGTGCGGATACATGCTGCCTATATATAGGGGGGGAGATGGAATGTGATTTTGTGGATATGTCTGACATGAGCTGTTGTGTTGGACGTGATTCTCAGACAACACAGAAACGGCCATCATGGGGGCTTATTATAGCCGTCAACGGTCGAAAAGAGATGTCTCTGTGGCCAGTTGCAGACTTTCTCAGAAACAAACCAACGGGTAGGTTCTGCGACTCACTTTACCCCCCTTGAGTCGGAAGAAGCCGTTCCTGACATTCCCATAGCCTGTCTGTTCTTGGAGCCCTGACAGCTCCATTCCTCCCTGATTTCCTCAACAATAACCCGACCCCCAATGGTTTTCCGTGGAGCCACTACGGCATTCACACCAACTACTATAACACGAGTCCGAACACGGGCGTCTTACGGTCCTACGACTTCACCATTAGCCGCGGCGTCATTGCCCCCGATGGCTACCAGCGCAACGTCCTCCTGATCAATGGCGCCTTTCCCGGCCCCTTGATCGAGGCCAACTGGGGTGACACCATCCAAGTGACTCTGCATAACAACATCACGGGCCCGGAAGAAGGCACGGCGCTGCACTGGCACGGATTCCTCCAGCAGGGAACGCCCTGGGAGGACGGCGCGCCCGCGGTGACGCAGTGTCCCGTGGCGCCGGGGAAGAGCTTCACGTATCAGTTCGTGGCGTCGCTGTACGGGAGTACGTGGTATCACTCGCATTACTCCTCGCAGTATGCGGGCGGCCTCGTAGGCCCTCTGGTGGTCCATGGGCCAAAGTCACGTAACTATGATGTCGATGTCGGTCCTGTGATGCTGTCTGACTGGTATCATGACACGTACTTTGATCTGGTGGAGAAGACGATGAGCACCGTGCCCGGAGAGGCCTTTTTCCCGTCAGACAACAATCTGATCAACGGCAAGATGTTCTTTGACTGCTCGCAAGTCACGGATGGCACGCCGTGCACCAACAACGCTGGAATCTCCAAGTTCAGGTTCCGGCGCGGCAAGACGCACCTCCTCCGGCTCATCAACGCCGGGGCAGCCGGCCTTCAGCGCTTCTCCATCGACGGCCACAAGATGACTGTCATTGCCAACGACTTTGTCGACGTTGAGCCCTACGAGACCAAGGTCGTTACGCTCGGCATCGGCCAGCGCAGCGACGTCCTTGTCAAAGCCGACGGCGACCTCGACGCCTACTGGATGCGCAGCAACATTAGCTCATGCGCATTCACCAGGCAGCCCAATGCCCTTGCAGCAATCTACTACGACAATGCCGATACAAACGCTGAGCCCCGGTCCACGCCGTGGGACGTGCCTGACTCGGGAATCTGCGTAAACGATGACTTGTCGTTGACGGAGCCGGTCATGAAGCTGCCTCTTCCGAAGCCCGACCTCACCATCGACATGGAGATGGACCAATACCAGAACGAGACGGGCCACCGTCTTTGGAGGATGGACGGGGTTTCGTTCAGGGGCAACTTTAACAGCCCGACGCTGTTGCTCAGCAATCTTGGCAACCACACGTTTGATCCGCAGTGGAGCGTGAAGAATACCGGCGATGCAAAGAGCGTCCGGGTGAACCTCATCAACCACTCAGGAGCTCCGTAAGATAACACACTCTCTCCTCTCCATCAACCTCCCCCCCCCCCCCCCCCCCCCCCCCCCCCCTTTGTACATATGAACTAACAAAGTATTTTATTACAAACAAAATGAAGCCACCCTATGCACCTCCACGGCTTCAACATGTACATCCTCCACGAGGGCCCCGGCGAATGGGACGGCAAGACCATCATCCGGCCGTCCAACCCGCAGCGGCGCGACACCTTCATGGTGCGCGCGGGCGGGCACGTGGTGATGCAGTTTGACGCGGCCAGCAACCCCGGGGTGTGGCCGTTCCACTGCCACATCGCGTGGCATGCGTCCGCGGGGCTTTTCACGCAGTTTCTGACGGCGCCGAGGGAGGTGAGGAAGTTGAGGATTCCGAATGTCGTTGCGGAGACGTGTAGGCAGTGGGGAAGGTGGACGAATACGAATATTCCGGAGCAGATTGATAGTGGGCTTTAGGGGGGGAGGGGGAAAAAGGGGGTTGAAGGTCTGGAGGATGGTTGTGTGTGTGATGTATGGGCATGTTGTTCTTCTTATAAGAGTAGATTGGATAATAAAACTGATGTAAATGAACTTGGACTCTAGGTACGTTGAAGAATCTGAGAGAGAGGTATAGAGTACATCATGTGTGAAGTAAACGTTGAACCCAAGCTGATTTTTTTTTGCCAAGTATATGAAATCTGCGCGCTGCAAGTGACCGACTGCCGTGTATATGACATGAAATGTAAAAAAATGTAGAACAATGAGATACAGGAAGTCGTTTGTTTGCTGTCATGTCTGCTGAGACTTGTCTTCCTCCTCCTTTTTTGACTCTGCGCTGTCTTTGCCGTCTGCTGGTGGTGATGAACTGGAATCGGGCTTGTCTTCTGCTTTTGCACCCGGCTTTTCTGTGCTCTGTACAGCCTTGTCTTCTGTTTCTTCTGTCTTTTCAAGGGCATCCTCTGCTGTCTTGGCAGCCTCTTTGGTCTGCGCTGTCTCGTCTTGTTTCTCTGACGGAATGTCCTCTGTCTTGACATCTGCCTTTTCATCTTTATCCTCCTCAGACGGCGGAGCATAACTTGGCGTGCTCGCGCCTTCTGCTGGCTTCTCTTTCACTTGCTGTTCCTCTTCTTTCTGCAACTCCTCTCCCTCCTCCTCCTCTTCCTCTTCCTCCTCGAGCTGGAGAATCGTCTCGATATCCCCAGTCAACTTCTGCAGCTCATCCTCAATCTCCTCGTCACGAGCCATCTGGCTGCGCAGCTGCCTATCAGCCTCCTCGTCTCCAACGAGATTCCGCCAATAATTATGCAGCTCGTCCGCCCAGCCCAACAGCTCAGCCAACTTCCGCACACCGTCATCGCAGGCCCCCAACTCCAACACATCATCGCTCCGCGACCCCAGCGAGCCAACCTTTTCCATGTTGAACAGCACGCGCGGCGTCTCTTTGCGCGCCATCTCCGGAAGGCTCGCAAACGGATACACCGTCAAGCTCGTCCCGATGATGAGCACGAGGTCCGCCATGACGGTGTGGTGCGACTTCTCCGAGAACGCCCTGGGGAGGGCCTCGCCGAAGAAGGTAATGTCCGGCTTCACCAGGCCCTTGCACTCTCCGCAGCGGGGGACGTCGCCGCGGAGCACATGCGCCTTCATGTGCTCGTCGGGGAACTCGACCTTGCACTCGATGCAGCGCTGCGTCGCGAAGCTGCCATGGGCCTCGACAATCTTGTCCGCGGGGACGCCGGCCGCTCGCTCGAGGCAGTCAATGTTCTGCGTGAAGAGCATCTGGAGGAGGCCCTTTTCCGCCAGAAGCGCAATGAAGGCGTGGGAGATGGTCGGGTGGAATTTGCCGGGGTAGAGCTCCTGCGCGAGAACGTAGAAGGGCTCGGGGCGCTTGCGGAAGTAGGCAATGTCGAACACGGCCTCTGCGTAGGGGAGATTGAGGCGCGCCAGGTTGCTGTACAGACCCGTCTTTGGCGAGCGAAAGTCGGGGACTTTTCGTTTGTGGTTGATTAGTTTGGCCTGCATTGAGAGAGCGATCGACAATAAACCTGAGCTTTTTTGGGACCAGACTTACTGCCTGCTGCGGTCGAGATGCCGGCGCCCGTCATGACCACAATGCGCCGGGCTTTGCCGCTCTTGATGTGCTCGGCGACAGCCTCGAGGCTTCGTTCCGGGAGCGTGGCGGGAGGGCCATAGGCCGCGGACGGAGTCGATTCTTCTTGGCCCATTTTGCGAGCAAGCCAGCGGGGGACGCGAGGTCCTGAGGGCTTGTTGCGGTTTCGGTGCTTTCGACCTATTTTGGCGGATTCGTTGTAGATTGTTTCCGGGGCCTGTTTTGGGCGTCACTCGGAGGATCTGTTGATGCTTGAATCGAGTTTCTGCAGTTGACGAGGTATGGCTTGAGAATTTGGAGATGGGCTGAGCGCGAAGCATCCAATTGGTGGAGACGCAACATGTGAAAGAGGCGACCTTAGCGTTACATCATTGAGACGCCGCGAAGGCTTATCGATAAGATGAAATGAATGAGCGACCGATCATCGTCGGATGTTCAACCTCGGGAGAAACCTGTCAGATGGCGGCGAGTGATTCACGCAAGACGTCTCCCGAGTACCGAGCGAGAAAGAAATATAACTTGAGAAGCCAACTCCGGGGAATGAAGGCCCAAATCAAAAAGTCTGACCTGTCTACCTTACCAACCCTCACCAACCGTGTATAAAAACGCCTAGTAATGCCCACCGTGTGACGCCCTCTTCCCCCCCAATATCACCGAAAAGAAAAAAGAAAAAAGCAAATTCCATCATGTGTGGCGCTGTCTGGCCGCGGCGAATTGCTCTTCCTGCAGCCGAGCGAGCTCCTCCATAGACAGCCCGCTGTTGGCAAACTTGTCTGCCTTTTTCTCTCGCCCCTGTTTGACCATGTTAGCGCTGCCTCAAGCTGCAAAGACGGGAAAGAGAAATGATGGCTGGGAGAGACGTGCGCGAACCTTTTGCGTTTCCTTGTGTTCGGCCGCCGCCTCCAGCACGGCGGGCACGTAGTCGGAAAAGCCCAGGCGTTCTAGCGCCTTGGTGATGTGGTCGCAGGCAATGGTCTTTTTCGCTTCCTTCTCGGAGATCTCGTTGGCCTCGGACGAGATGAGGGTGATGAACTCGACACAGCATTCTATGAGCAGGTCACGAGCCTCCTTGGCGAAAGAGACGCCTGTCTGCGGTGGCAATATTTCGCTGACAATCTTCTGAACGGTAGCTGTAGAACAGTGAGCTTCACGGTCCAGACAGATCGTGTGTCACATTGCCGCCAGGGGTAGAATCGAAGGCGTCATGCCGCATCCAGGACAGTGAAGAATGCATACCTTTGGGCAGCGATAGGTCATCGTTGCTTCCTATAAGAGACCAGATTAGCAAAAAAATCTCTTAGTGTCAAACATGTCGACGCAGCATGAGATGCTGTTGCTTGAGCCCCGTCCCAGTCATCTTCATACGAGACTTGTGTGACCCCTCCATTCTTGAGCTCTGCAGTGCGAAGCTGGCTTGTCGAGGAACTCAAACGACCGTGCAGTTGAGCAACGACATCAAAGGAACGCACAGCGCAAAAGAATGATAGAATGCGCTGCAAGTATTAATATGCAGGGTTGTCATTGTTGTTGGTGATGGCAAGGCGCAGAGCCGAAGTTTGTGTGGAAATGCCATGACTTCATGGATACCAACGACGATACCGGAGAATTGGTCTAATTGGTCTCTAGACACGGCGACGATAGAAGAAGCAGCGACACTTGACCTGACCTGTTTCCTTTTCAATGAAATGCAGAAAGGAGTAGATAGCAAAGGTGCAATGAAAAAAAAAAAAAAAAAAAGTCAATACGTACCGCCAAACTCATGGTCCGACATGTTGGCAAGAGTTGCGACACAGAACGACGCTGTGGCTTAGACGCGCGACTGCCTGGAAACTGGAAATTGAGAGTCGATGCGGCGACGGCGGAGGGCGAAGAAGAGAGCTGCGCAAGCCGGAAAAAGAGGGCGGCAGGAGAAGGAAGAATGTGTCAAGTAGGGAGAGGACGAAGGAGATAGTATATACAGGGCCAGGGCGGGAGTTCCGGTGCTTTTTTGTTTGTTTCTTGGTGAGTCGAGGCTGCGACAGCTGGCGATTCCAAAGGCGCTCAGGGTCGGAGTTGATGGACGGATGCTGAATGTTTCCCAGCCAGACGGATTGCCGGTGGGGCGGCTGCTGCTTGTTATACTTGAGCGCTGCTGGAGCTTCTGAGTGTCAATCTGCGTGTGTGTGCACGGCCAGGGTCGTGTGCGTTGCTGCAGCAGGTACCGGGTACTTTGACGCGCGCGGCGGATGCTCTGACGCTGGTGGTGCGTGCCGGTGGCCTAGAGTCAGCAGCACCTCAGCAAATTGGATGGCAGTGGAGCGCAAGCACTGCTGACTGGCTTGCAGAGGGGCAGTTCACGTGCCGCAGCAGCACGTCGCCCAAGTATGGAGTACAAGTGGATCAGTTTTGGGTCTTAGCGCGGATAAGCTGTGGTAGAGGGAAGAGGGACAAAAAAAAAAAAAAAAAGTGTTTATTAAGCTCCCAGTTTCGGCTCGACGAAAACTTCTCTTCCTTCTTCCAACCACTTTCTTCTCCTGCTTCTCCTTGCAGTGGGAGAGGCAGAGAGTAGCCCAGCCCTGCACCAGCTCTAATTGAGCTCAGAGCTTGCCTTCTCACCATCAGCACGATGCGTGCTTCCAATCACTGCTTGCTAGCACACAGGTAAGCACCCTCGAGACGACACGCGGCAGCTCCCAGTGGCTTTCATGATGAGATATGTTGTCGCCCCAGTCTGAGGAGGTCCGACAAGCCTCCCATGCTGAGAGACACAGTCTAAGCCAATAGACACCTTGCTGATTCACCACGGGAGCTTTGCCTTGCTATTCTATCACGCGCAAACCGTCCGTTGTGCCCTATAGCTAACAGTGCGTTCCTCAGGCAGTGCCTCTAGCAGCAGCAAATACTTTGCAGTCTCGACAATGTAAGACCGACCCGCTCCTCTCGACAGTTCGCGGCACAACGTGATGTACCAAGTAAAGTATTATCAAATTCCGAGATACATACTGCGGACACACTCTCCTGAACAATGCCACACTCGACCCTGGTTTCTGAAGCTACGTCGCCAGCAAGTACACCAGAGACTAACGGATGATAAAAGCTCTCAGTGGAGGTTGGCACAATGGCAATCTGCCGGCACTGAATCACAAGGTAGGCGACAGCGACTGATTGCTTTGATTTCTTTTGGTCTACTTTGTTCTACATTGCGTGATGAAGAAACTTAAATTCCATGCTAATACTGAATCTTCATGTGGAGATCATTAAGAGCCTTTTCATCTTTCGACTGACTGCAATGTTTTCCCATTTCTATTCTTGTTGTTCCATTTGATTGCGTTGAACCTTGGCTAACGCAACGAAGCTATAGGAAGAAGAAATCAAGCTTGATACGCCGCCAGCTCAGGTGAGTTCCAGCTAGGCAAGGTTAGCGATTGGCCTCGTGATTCGGGACGGCGCACCTACACAAGATATTGTCCGCTCAGCTCATGCAGAGGGTTGGCCACAAACTTGGCCATGACGCCTCCTGGCTGCTCCGGCTTGAGCAGGGCGCCCTGCTGAAAGGCATCGACAAAGCTCTGGTACTGCTTCTCGTCCATGGTGTCCTTGCCCTTGAGACGCAGGGTTGCCTGCATGTCTGTGTCTACCCGCCCGGGCCCAATGGTGATGCTGGTGATGTCGGGCTCTTCGACGGCGAGATGAGAAGCCATGGAGTTGACGGCTGCCTTGGAGGAGCCATAGGTGCTCCAGGCAACGTAAGGCTTGAGAGCTGCTCCTGACGAAACCCAGAGGATGCAGCCCTTGGTCTTCTTGACCTCATCCAGACTAGCCTTGGCCTAGGTAGACGTCAATGTCAGCAGCCGTCCTATGGGAAGACGCCAGGACTCTCCCGTCTTACCATGGCCACATAGCTGAAGAAGTTTATCTCGTAGACGCGCCTGATGTCGTCCATTGACTCGGACGCGAGCTTGGCCGGCTCCAGGATTCCATGGTTGATGACAACGCCGTCGAGTCTTCCAAATGAGGCGACGGCGAGGTCGACGAGCTTTTCGGCAATCTAGCCGCATATTACTATTGTTAGATACTCTTTTTCGCAAGACACACCTACTTTAGATGAAACAAAAATCAGCCTTAAAAAATAATAAGCACTCACCCCTGAGCTTGTGATGTCGGCCGCGAGATATTCCACCTGGCCGGGATGTGCGACCTTGAATTTCTGCAGCTGTTCCTCAGACCTGGCCGTGACGACAACTTTGTGTGATTGCGCTAGTAGCTGCTCGACAATGGCTGCGCCAAGGCCCTTGCTGGCGCCGGTGACGATGAAGACCTTGGAAGCCATGGGGTGAGGCGGTATGAGCGTCTAGTTCGGAATAGAGGAGGAGCGTTTCTTTTACTCAATCCAAGCCGAGGGTAGGAAAACGGACGGGTGAGGAGAGGCGGACTGGGCTATTTTGGCGAAGGACAAGGATGGGGGTTGGGGCTTGTTCGCTTTTTTTTCCTTCCTTGAGCCGAAGACAAGGTCCGGCGCCCGGGCTGGAGGATGTGGGGAGGGGGAGAGGAGGGGAGGGGAGGAGGAGGGGAGGCTAATTGAGGAGAGGCAAGGCATGGCTCCGGTACGGTGAGCCGGACAGCGTCCTGGAGGCCCGTGGGAGAGAGAGAGAGAGAGAGAGGTTTAGAGGCGATATAAGATGGTTGGTTCCCGGGGGGTGTGTGTGTTTTTGGGACTTGGACTGGACCGGCGTCTCCCCTTCTGCGGCTCATTCTTTGATCTGACCTACATAACGGGAATCCTACCTACTATTATCTACTACTACTATTTACTTATTACCGCCCACTACGACCTTAGACCCGGGAGCCGAAAGCTTGTCTGTTGTTGTTGTTGGGGAGAGTAACACCAGGGATCTCTCCAACATTTGCGAAAAACCAACCAAGGACAGACAGCAAAGCCAACACACAGTGTGGACCTGAAAGACGATAAACAAAAAAAAAAAAACCATGGCCGACACAGTCATCCTCGGCAGCGGCGTCATCGGCCTGTCGACGGCCTACTACCTGCTGCAGCACCAGCCGGGCAACACGATCCATCTCGTGGACTCGGCCAACGAGCTGTTCGCGTCGGCGTCGGGCTTCGCGGGCGGGTTCCTGGCCAAGGACTGGTTCCGGCCGGAGCTGGCGGCGCTGGCGGCGCTGAGCTTCGAGGAGCACAGGAGGCTGGCCGAGCAGGAGAACGGGAGGGACAACTGGGGCTACGCGAAGAGCGTGACGCTGAGCTACGACCCTGATGGCTTGGTGATGGGGGAAGACAAAAAGAGGGGGGAGGACTGGCTGCTGGAGGGGACGAGCAGGGCGGGCCTCGTGGACGTGCGGAGGGAGCTCGAGGATGGCGAGGTGCCGGCGTGGTTGAGGAGGACGGAGGGGGATTCGGTGAGGGTGATTGATGATGGGAGCGGCACGGCGATTGTGTAAGTGGCTTGGCTTTTGGCTTGCGTTTTCTTACGATCTCATGACATCCTACCTTTTTTTTTTTTTTTTTTTTTTTTTTTTGACATCAGACCCAGCTACTGACATTACTCTTTGTTGGTTTTTATCATAGGGACCCCCTGAGATTCTGCAAGTTTCTCCTGGAAAAGGTCAAGGCGGCAGGCGTGCAGATTCACAACCCCGCCGTGGCAACGCGCCTAGAGACGGATGAAGCTGGAAAGCTGTCGGGCGTGGCCGTCAGCCACCCCGATGGCTCAGACGAGACGGTGATCATCCCGGCGTCGCGCGTGCTGCTGTCGGCGGGCTGCTGGACGCCGCACGTCTTCCACGACCTGTTCAAGAACCGGTACTACATTGACATTCCCATCGAGAGCCTGGGCGGGCACTCCCTGGTTGTCAAGGCGCCCCCCCAAAAGGTGATGACGACGACGTGCCACTCCGTGTACACGACCATGGACGGGCTCTCGCCCGAGGTGTACTCTCGGCCGGACGGCGTGATTTACGTCGCGGGCGTGAACCATGCCTCGATCCCGCTGCCCAAGCCGCGCGTAAAGGCCGTCACGTTTGACGAGTCCGTGCAGAAGCTCAAGGATATTGCGCGGCGGCTGATTGCCACGCCCGAGGGAGGGCAGCAGGAGGAGGATCTGGAGATTGTGCGCGAGGGACTGTGCTTTAGGCCGATTACGAAGAGGGGCACGCCGTACATTGCGAGGTTGCCCGAGGACAAGCTGGGAGAGGACTTTACTACTGCTCGCGGCGATGGTGGTGGTGGTGCTGCTGCCGAAGGGGGTTCGGGATCGGGATTGGGAGGAGGAGGAGGAGGCGTCTTCATTGCGGCGGGACATGGGCCTTGGGGGATCAGCTTGAGCTTGGGGACGGGCAAGGTCATGGCGGAGATGATGTCTGGGAAGCCGCTGAGTGCGGATATTTCGAGCTTGGGCTTTTAAAAGGGGGGGTTTTTGCTGGACAAGTACGGGGATTTTAGATAGATGGTTATTAGGCAACCGATCATCATTTCTTATGTGTGTATGTGTGTGTGTGTGTGTTTGCGTTTGGGTCATGTTCTTTTTGGGTTTTGTGCTGGGACTTCTGCTGGCATCATCATTTCGTTAGAGAATCGCGCGAAGTCTCTTGATATCGCTTGGGAGTGCCCTGCAGCAACCCCCTACGATGATCTCGGGCCAGTCCCCCCTCGCTTCCGTAGCCCGCACGACCTGCTTGAGCTGTGCCTCCCACGGGACTCTATCGTGCTGTTGCTCACTCCCCTGAGGAATCTCCCACTGCTGGGTGGTTGTGTTGTACACTTCCCCATTTGTTCCGTCTGGATACAGCACCAGAGCAGGCCACTTCTTAATGGTGCCCTCGTGTAGCAGATCACGGATCGCAGCTTCATACCGCCGGAGCAAGGAATCTAGTTTCCAAACCTTGGTGCAATTGATGCCTACGGCCCAGGGGACTGCTGCTGTTTCCGCGAGAGCAGGATCGAGCATTGCTCTGATGATGGCCTCAGGGGAGCTTCCGTCAGGCGTAGTCTCGTCTTCTTCGTTGGGGAAGAGACAGGACATCCAAAAGGGGATGCCGGAGGAGAGCGCCGGGACGGCGGCTACGGCGCGGCGGAGGGCGACGATCTCGTCGAGGCGGGGAATTGTCTCGAGGGCCATGTAGGTGATGCTATGCCTGATGTCCGGCACCCGCGCGAACAGCTCCATCCGCTGGCGGTGCCAGAGGTAGAGGGCCTCCTGGGAGTCGTGCTGGGCGTCGTAGGCCCCGCTGTATTCCTGGCTGGGGATCATGCATGCGCCGTAGGGGCCGAGGCTTAGTGCCACGGCGCAGGGATGTGGTGGTGGTGGTCCATTTGTTGTTGTTGCTGCTGCTGCTGCTGCTGCTGCTTCATGGGCAATCTGGATTGCTTTCTCGAGCAGGGGCGGGATGTGGGAGACGTCTGCTATGCCGGCTGGGTGCTGCGCCGTCTTGGTGCGTGCGAAGCCGTCGATGGAGACTTGGTACGTTGCCGTGAGGAGCACGTCGACGGGGATCTCGGCAAACGACTTCTGGCAGAGGAGCAGGGTTTCGGGATCGCTGACCAGGAGGTGGGAGGACCAGAGGGGGGAGGAGGACGGGGAGAAGGAGACGGAGTGGTTTTGCTCGAGGGTTGTGCCGAGGCCGCCGTCGAGGATGCGGATGGTGGTGGTGGTGGTGGTGGTGCGAGGGGGGGATGGTGGATCAGGATGAGGATCGTGCATGTTGGATGTTGAGGAGGGGGGGCTGAGATGGGTAATGGTGGTTGAGTAAGTCGAGGTGAGGGTGATGATGCTGTCAAGGCGGTCGAGTTGAGTGAGTGAGGTGAGTTCATGTCGAGGGACTCTGTGGGGTTTGAGTGCCGGCATGGATAAATCAATGCATGGGCGGTCAGCTGTTGGCGCTAGAGGGCTCTACAGGGGACTCACCGACGTTCAGCGCTTAATGCGATAGCTGTTGAATACAGGGGCGGCTCATTGATGCAACTTCCAACTTGCAACCCGAGTTTGACAGCTTCAACTCGGCTTCAACACACACACCTTGAATATCAATCACTGGACGCATCTCATCGCGCTCAAGACGAAGCTTCTCCGCTGTCGAGCGGCATCTACATCTCCCCTTGCCTTGCATACTGTCCTCAATCATCGCCGAAAAGAGCTAATGATGACCTAGCCACTTGGGCCGTGCAAGGAGCTTCACCCTTATCAATCTAGGATACCTTACATCGAGTCGTGCAGAGTCCCCGACAAGGGCCTGCATAACAACGGCAGTCTTGACTCGAGAATCAGTCCGGCACTTTGAAAAATCCCTTTCTTGACGAATTCCGAATCTCGGCATGTTCGCATGAATCACATGCAGGCTCGGCGATCCATGTCGTCTTTATTACCCCACGTGCGGCGACAAGTTGCAGTCCAGTTGACCGTCTTTCATGGTCCCCCCCTGCCGAGTGCATCGATCGCAGGCCGGCCACAGGCTCGACAAGGGATCCAATGTGTTATGTAGTATGTATAGCCTTGCCAGCGCTTGGACAAAGGCGACGGGGAAGCTGGCCCAGCATTTCCTAGATCAAGGGCATCTGTTGCCGGGTCCAGGGACTCTTCCTGCCGCTTGAGTGACTTGATTCTGTTCGGGCATGGATTGCGAGACCGGCGCCTTGCTCGCCTCTTGAATCATCCTGATGTTGTCGGTGATGACGATAGCCCGGCTACGTCTCCCACCGCTGTGGCCTCACCACAACACTCAACCATCTTGCCTCTTCAGACCCCTCTGCCACATCATGATCTCGCTGCCGTTAAGCTGAACAATCATGTCGGTCTCGAGAACGCAGAACAGGGCTGTTGTGCCTATCAGGACCAGGCTCGACACTCGCCAGTGAATTAGCTCGGCCTGCCACGACAAAACACGGAAATTCCGACCGGCGAGACAGACCATTGCTGCGACGCACAGGTAGAGAGACACTGTCCGTTACCTCTAACCACGACAGTCTACCATCACCTTATGCCCAGGACAAGGGGGGTGTTAAGCGCTCATGCCAACTCGAGGGCAGCTTCCATCAAGGGCTGAATGTTGCGCGCCCAACTCGGCGTTTAGTCGAGCTACCAGTACAAGAACGGAATCTGCCGATGTGACCGTGCGGGCTACGATGCCGTGCCTCGCGGAAAGCTTGGTCCATTGGAGGCACGGACATTGTCGATGCGCCGGACCACGTAGCGGACGTCCAGCGGGCTTGGAAGGGGGGGGGGGGGGAAAGATGCTTCCTTATGAAGAGGAGCGCAACGGCGATGGTGACGGGTTGATTAGACCTCGACAAATGGTTGCGGAGAGAGGTCTTGCGCGCCGCGAGCGATGCACTGCGTGATGAGATAGCCCGCCTGGAAAGCAGGTGATGAACTTGGCGGCCGTGACACGAACGTAGTCTCTCGCCTTGGATGCGCACTGGCCCTTGATCCTCCTTTGAGGGCAGGCTGAGGCATTACGCAGGTGTTGACGATGCAGGTCCAGAGTATACTCATTGCCTCTGCGGCCGTCTTGGAGGCATTGCCTAGGCCTTTGGCTCTCATGTTTGTTGTATTATCTGTGCTGCCCGATCACGATGGCTCATACGGCATCTTGCTCCAGCGAAGCAAAAGATTGACAACTATTGCGCAAACGGGACAGTAACTCACCTTGTTCGCATTTGGACGACATGGACACCTGTTCTGCATAATCCCCAACTAACCACCATTCACTTGTGTCGTTTTGTTTGCGTACTCTTCACCCTGCTCTCCCGTCTGCCCAAATCACCACGCAAGCATCAAAGACCTGGAACTCGCTATATCAATGGAATCATGTTGCGTGAAATACGTGGCCATCTCGTGTATGGGCAGGTAAGCCAAAAAGTTGGGGGCTTGTTATAGCCGGAAAAGCATCCATGCACGTGCTAAGTGATGAATAACTTGGCTTCGATACGTATGGACAACGGCGGGTCACAGAGTCGAGTGAAATCTTCGTTGAGCCAGCGTCACAAGTATGAATGTAAGCCTCGGCCTCCTGTGGACTTTAGTGGTAAATATTGGCTAGGGGGGGCGAGGAGGTGCCTGTCCAAGAGCAAGTAAGCCTAGTTGCTACACACACATTATACACTCATGTGAGAAGAAGAAGTCCTTTGGTCCGTTACACATCGCTTCGTAATAACATGAAGACTTTTTTCCAACTACAATTACATGACAAAGAGCAGATTGGTATCTGTCACCAGGTTAGCACAGCAAGTACGCTTAAAGCGATCAATGGGCATACCTAGAGGATGACTGCAAGACAGCTGCGGCTTCTGCGTGTACTTGGTCTCGAGAATCTCCCGGATGCTGTTGAGCAGTTCCACGTAGCTCTGCTTGGGGTTCTTCTTGAGGGCCGAAATGAAAGCCCACGACATGGCACCAGTAGCCTGGGTTCCAATCGTGGCATCGGCACTGGCAGATTCTTGTTAGCAATCAACAGCACAGCAGATGCCGAGTCATGGGAGTAGAAACATACGATGTTTGGTCATCCTTGCTGCCGGAAAACATAATGACGTCCGCGGGTGACGTGCGCGTTGCCATGGTCTTCTTGTAGGCCCCGTCACCATTGAGCGCCTGCTTGGCAAAGCCCATGATGCTGCTCGCAACACCAGCCATGTTGCCCGAGGCATACGAGGAGATGGCGCCCAAGAGGCCCTGGCCGGCTTCCTTGGCCAAGTTGGGCTCCTTGAGGATACCCTTGGTGGAATAGACATACGGCAGATCCATGACGGTTGCAGAGTGGCATGAATCGAAAATGGCTGTGAGACGAACTCCCTGCTGCAGGGGCTTGACAACGTGAAAGTGAATCTCGTCGTCGGTAATGTATCCAGCCTGCTCGAAATCGACGGGATAAATGCATTCGTCATAGCCATCGTCCTCGTCACCGTCGGCATCCCGCACTTGACCGCCGTGGCCTACACAACATGGTCAGTGATATGGTGTACTCGTGCCTGTGTAAGACAAAAAGCTTCACTAGTTACTTACCGGAGTAGTGGAGGAACAGGGAGTCGTTGGGCTGCGCGCCGTTGACAAGCCAGCCAAAAGCACGTATAATGTTGGCCTTGGTCGGGCGCATGACGGGATCCGTCTGGTCATCTGTCAAGATGACCATGTCCTCGCGCTTGTAGCCATATCGCTCCACCAAGAATGCCGACACGTTGTGGACGTCGTTGATGCATCCCTTGAGCTCGGCCTTTGTACCAAAGTAGTTGATTCCAATCAGCAACGCCTTCCTCTTACCCGTGCAGTTGGAGTACTGGAAGGTATAACCACTCGGAGCACCGTGACCAAACTGCTGAGGAGTGGAGGGCGGCGGCGGGCCGGCTTTCGCGTGCAGCGCTGTCGGAGGGTTGAGAGGATAGCCATAGGCATCGAGGCCAGGAGGAGGCGGGTGTGAGGGAGGCGGGTAGTGGTTCGGGGGAGGGCCACCGGGAGGGGGATATTGGTTCTGGTGGCCACCGTATCCGCCTTGGGGCGGACCGTAACCACCGTGAGGCGGCGGAGGCTGGTGAGAATTGTAGCCGCCGTGAGGAGCGCCGTAGCTTGGCTGAGGAGGAGGAGCACCGTAGCCGGGCTGGGGAGAGGGAGCGCCGTAGCCGCCGGGGGCAGGCGAGCCGTAGGAGGGCTGCGGAGGGTAACCGCCGTGGGGAGGAGCTGGCGAGGATCCGTAACCGCCGTGGGGAGCGCCGTATCCGGGCTGAGGCGGCGGCGGAGAGCCGTATCCTCCCTGTGCGCCGTAACCGCCACCGCCGCCGCCGCCTCCTCCATAGCCTCCGCTGTATTGCGGGTGCGGAGGGCCGTTGGGAGGAGGATAGTTGTTGTTGTTGCTGTTGTTATCGTATCCGTAGCCGCCTCCGCCTCCGCCGTGATGGCTGGCGCCGTGGTAGCCTTGGCCAGGGTATCCGGACATGGCCACGAGTTTCGATGGACGAGAAGACGATCGAGGGGTCGCAGGTGAAGAGGAAGAAGGTGAACGGCGACCTTGCGATATGGTTTGGTGGTGATGTTGGTCTCCCTTGACGTTGGAAGAAGGGAGTCTTGAGTTTGGAAAGGGAAAGTCTAGGGATTGGATGGGTTTGATGTCAGCTCCAACAGCACGATGACGGTAGGCGCGTCATGTAATGATCCAACCTATCGATGGCACGCGCACTTTAGCCGCCAAAGAGCAGAGCCCTGCGGTCAGCCTTGGGGGACCCCTCCAGGGCTCCTACAGCGCCCGGAGTCCGGCTTGGCGGGCCAGGGCTGCTGCAGCTGCATCGACTCCAGGCGGTTAGGCGCTGCGATTAGTGGCAACCGGCGGGGGACTGGGGGGGAGAGCACGGGGGAGGTTCAGTGGCTGTGCACTTGACGGGTTGCAGATCGATCTCGACACGTCCAATCCAATGCCCGAGACGTTGCCTGACTGACGGCGACAAAGGCCTTGGCTGTAGCTGTGGAGGGGCCTCCAGTCCATTATCATCTGATGATAACTTGGCTCTACTCCATCAAATGACTTGGCATACTGGACTGGTGACAGTCAGAGGGTTGTGGCCTCACTCTTCAATGTATCTACGGGCCGCTGCTGGCATCCCTCGCTTCACCTGTACATGCAGCTGGAACATCCAGGTCGATATACCTACCCTCTTCCAGTCCCTCTAACGTGCTATATTCGCTGGAATCTTTGTGCTGTACGAGGACAGTCTTTGATGGTACCCAGCCATCTCTGAGCCCTTTGTTCTGTAGGTAACAAGAGTTTAGTAGGTGCTGATCAAACAAGTTCTACCAAAGTCATGCGGAAAATGGCGCGTTCGGTACGGCCCGTGTTGACTGGCTATTTGGCGAGCAAGCCACAAAAGAGACCAGATGCACTTTGTTACCTTATGTAGGTACCTAGTATGGACGAGTGAAGTTTACTTGTATAGGTACAAGGCTGAAGTTTCATGCCTTAGGTATTGGACGAGGCTCTTCTCCAGGTCCTTGTCCCGTCTGGCATCAAGATTCTGCCGGGGCGGTCTCTCCACCGAACCACCGCCTGCATGTGCCTGCGCCTCGTGCTGCCCATGTCTGCAGCCCGTCAACCCTCCTCCAAAGACGTCCATACATAAGGTACATGTATGCACAAGCTGGCACCCATGAACTTCTTTGTTCGTCTGCTTCCCCCGGAAATTGTATTCAGACTTCAAGCCATTTACTCGCCATATTGTCATCATTTCCCCTTCTGTTTGCTTACCTGATTTCCTCACGTCTCCGCTAGCAAACGGATTGCATCTGAGCCCTTCAACTTCCACCATGTCATACGTCGACAATCTCTCGGGCCAGTTTGGGGAGCTCGGACTTGGAGCATCTCAGTCCCATCAGCCTCCTCCCCGTAAGTTGCCCGTCAAAAGAAAAAAGCCAACATTGAGATTTTTCCTTCCAAGAGTCTACGACTGATACAACGCCAGCCTCGGGACAGCATGACAACTATGGCTACCACTCCGCCAACCGAGACGACGCCCCTCCTGCTCAGTTCTATGCCTCTCCCCCTCAGCCAACATACCAGCCTCCCTCTGACAAGCCGCCTCTCCCTCAAGGCTGGATCCCCCTCTTTGACCAGAGCCGCCAGCGGTGGTACTACGCCAACCAGGAGACGGGCGTGACCCAGTGGGAGGCCCCCGGCTACGTTGCCCCCCCTCCACGACCGCCCATGGAGACGTATCCGAGCGAGGACTCTCGCGGCAGTGGTCACTCACCGTATCCCCCGGCTGTACCCTATGGACACACTCCAGGAGGCTATTCGGCTCCTCCAGGACCTCCCCCATCCGCATCCTATGGCGCGCCGCCGCCTATGCCCCCAGCTGGCTACGGCGCTCCAGCAGGAGAGTACGGTGGCCACGGCGAATATGGCGGTCAAGGCGAAGAAGAAAAGAAGAAGAAGAAGAAGTCGTCTGGAAGCAGCGGCCTGCTTCTCGGAGCCGCGGGAGGTGTTGCCGCCGGCCTCGTTGGCGGGGCCCTCTTGCATCACGCCTTGGAGGATGACAGTAGCAGCGACGAAGAGAGACCGCATTACGCGCCTCAGCCGGTAATCATCAACGAATACAACAACGACTACGATAATGACTACAGCGGCGGCCCACCCGCCGTCCTCCCCACGACAGACGCAGACGGTAACTCGGTGTCGTCAAGCGATCGCGAGTCGGTCCAGGAGGCGCGAGAGGAGTACGAGGAAGCGCTTGCGGATGTCCAGGATTCAGATGCCAGCAGTAGTGATTATGAGGAGCTGGAGGAGGCTAGGGAAGAGTATGAGGAGGAGTACGAGGAGACTTACGAGGATTGAGGTGGAAGTTTGCCGTTACCTACCTTTTGCAAATGTCCATTTCGACTTGATTTTGAACGTCAGTCAGACATGTAGCTTTTAGCCATGCGATCTGCATCAACAAGTTCTCATGATTCTCATTAAAGCACACGTATCTCCGTCTCTGTAAGAAGTGCTATACTAAATATCCAGTCGTCTATAAAGACTTACACCCAGGGGTCCTCACAATGTCCCTTCTATTTTGGCTTCGCAAACCGACTCTTTGACCGAATCCAAGGCCCGAACCTATGAAACGCATACGGCACCGCCGTAAACACCAGCGCAATAAGCCCCAACATGGTCAACGCCCAATGGATCTCCAAATTCTCATACATCGGAATCGAAATCTCAATCATGCCTCCCGAAGCAACATACCGCACCAGCGTAATCATCGTCAGCGCGCTCGCCGCATACACCTCATACGTATCAATAAGATACATGTACGTCGAGACAAAGACAGAAAACATGCCAAAGCCAAAGAGCACGGAGGCGAGGATGGGCGACCAGATGCTGATGTGGGGATAGGCCGTCCAGCCCATCCAGAAGAAGGAGATGGGGATGGCGGGAGCGCCGATGAGGGCGTACCAGAGGAAGAACTCGGGCGGGATGCGGGCTGGTTCGGATGAGCCGTGAATCTTGGAGAGTTCTTGCTTTGCCCATTTGTACAGCAGGGGCGTGAGGACCGCCGAGGAGAGGACCAGGCCGACGCCGATGCCGACGAAGATGGTGCCCGTGATGCCGTCCGAGAGGTTGTACGTCTCTTGGAAGACAAACGTGTAGCCGTCCAGGAAGCCAAAGAGCATGAGGTAGACGACGGTCAGGTAGCCCGTCCAGAGCATGATGGTGGGTTCCTGGATGGTCATGATGAACGGCCTCTTGACGGCCGTCATCATGCGAGCGCGGAACGTGACGTGCTCTATCTCTGCGGCAGAGACGTAACGCGTGTCGTTGGTCAAGCGGCGGAGGTGGCTGGCTTTCCACTGGAGAAGAACGGGTTCATATGTTTCGGGCTGGAAGAGGAGCAGCGAGATGAGGAGAGCTCCGGACACGATGATGGTGACCCATTCGGTCCAGCGCCAGGAGATGTCGTGTGCCTGAGAGATCCAGCCGCCGACGACGGGGCCCAGGACTGGTCCCATTAATCCAGTAGCTTTATTTGTCCGAAGAAGTCAGATCAGTCACCCCATCTCAATGATTTGTAGAAAGCATTAGACTTTACCGGCAAAGATGGGAAACGCAACAAGGCGTTTCGTGGGATCCCACAAATCGCCAATCGAACCACCAACAGTCGACAGCGGCGACTCTCCAAAGAAGCCCGCAAAGAAGCGACACACGAGCTGCCCTCCCAACGACTTGGAGAGTCCCGCCCCCATGAGGAAGAGCATGTATATCGCCAGCGAGCCAAAGTAGACGGGGTTGCGCCCGACTGTTTCCGACAAGGGGCCAGCAATCAGGGCGCCAAAGCCAAAGCCAGCAAGAAACTACATGTACCCATTCCAACCAAGTATTAGAAAGAATGACATCTTCCATTGAATGACCAGACTTTCAATCGTTGCATTGAAGAACTTACCAAGCCAGTCGCCAGAGCCTCCGCAACCTCGCTCACCCCAAAATCCTCCGCCGCCCTCTTCATCACCGCCGCATCAATTGACGCCGCCATTCCCACCACCAGCGCAATGATCCCTACATTGATCGTGCACAGCATCCTCTTCGTCAGCGACCAGTTCCGCGGGTTCAACGGATCGTTGGGCCCCTCGAAGCCAACGATGAAGACTTTACTCCCGTCTGTGGAGGAAGAAGGGTGTGGTTTGTGCACGATGCCGGTGAGGGCGGCGGCGAGGTTGGTGCCGATCTTGCTGAGGGAGTGGTCGAGCGGTGGGGAGGAGGAGGAGTCATTGTCTTCGATGTCGGTTGTGTTTGCGGATGCTTCTGTGTCGTTGATGCCTGTTTGGTCGGTGTTGGGATGGGGACTTGGTGTAGTGTTGTCGTTGTCGGTGGCGGTGGTGGTGGTGGTGCTGTGTCGTCGGTTTCGATTCCGTTGCAGCTGGGCTTCTAGCCGAGTTCCCAGGGAGCGATATTGGCGATACGCCTCCATGATTGAAGCTTCGACTTTTCCAATTCTAAGAAGCGGCAGCTGTCTGAATGTGCTGAAGCCGTTACATGGAAGCTCGATAGAGATCTATATGAAAACCAAAGGGACATCCCTCGTTTATATCCCACACTTCCAATCCACCAAAACTCTACCACTTCTCTCTCCCCTGGCAAACATGAGAATCGGAGATGGATGAAATTCTCCGTTCGAGTGACCATTACTAACTGGCCAATGTAAATCCCACGTCGCCACAAATTTCTTTCCTAATCCACCGTGATGAATTTTTTCTTTCCCTTCCAGACTCTGACATGTCGTCTTATCGTCACTCTATCTCGCAAAACTCGGCACGCAAGACCCAGCAAGCCAAAGGCAGAACTAAACTGGGAACGGCAACGCCCAGCGATTACCCACAACGGGAAGAGTTGCCTTGGAACTTATTGGGTGCGGGCTTGCAGTAATACTGTCTGGTATCAGGCACGGCAGACGTGGCGGAGGGTCCGGCATATCTAGATTGATACATAGTCATAGGGGAGTTGGCTAGTCCGCAAAAAGGAAACAGTTCCCTTGTAATAGTATTGATGGAATCAAAGCTAGCAGTGTCCTTGAACAGCTCCTGAGAACGTAACTTGATGCTCTTTGTCAGCTCGAGTGAAGCAATGTCGCCTCTCGGATATGCTTGTCTACATCTCCGAGACGTCCCAAACATGTAACCGACGATCTCCGGCATCGAGATGCACACAATCTTACCATATCCCATCTCATCTCTTTCAATCCGATGCAAACTGCGCAAACTGCTACCTTCATGAGACTCAACACGTAAGGAATCTCGCTTCAAGCAAAGCTTCAGGCATTTTCAGGCCATCGAGTGACTCGCAGCTTGACACTCCTCCTACATTGCCCCCTTGCGGCAAAAAGCTCCAAAGCTCCAGCATCTCACATGTCACATTCTGACGCTTAGATGTGCTGACGAACGAATGCCCAAGTACGGAGTCATCTCGGGCTTAACTTGACGTCATAGGGGTCTTTGGATCAGAGTAGAAACTCAAAGGACTGCGTGCGATTTAATCGCAAAAGGAGCAAGCAAGCAATGGAATCGCTTGGATAATCCCATCAATATCTATTGCGAAATCGGATCTCGTCCGGTCTCCTCATCGTAGATGCAGAGCTCGGCAATCGGACTCTGCTCGCTCATCAACTTACGAGTTCCGATTACATCTCCGGGTTGCTACCGAACCCCCACTACACCTTTCTCGCTTGAAGAAATGTTGAAACAGCCTGAAACCCTTATGGCGTCTTGTTCTGCAGTTTGGAATTTTGTTTTTCAGGCTCAGGAGTTGCATGACTTGGTGTTTGTACATCGGTATCGTACGTGGTAACCTCGCGTAGGCGACTAGACACAGGAGGTGCAAATGACGATTTTAGCACCCGGGTGGTCCTGCGGAACGTGGGCATCCCCGTCGGAGCTATGGGTACAAAAGCACATTAGTATCGACCTATGGCTTCATGCCGGCGCAGTACTATGCATGATAGTCCTCACCTGGCCTGTCATCCTCATCATCGAAAGGATTATCATCTTTGGTAAGAGAGGGTGGTGATAACGGCGGCGGAACGAATGAAGACGACGCCTCATCCGGCGTTACGTCGACAGAACCATACGAGTCTGGTGGCCAGATATAAATGTCCGGATTGGGTTGAGGGTAGTTGATCCTGCCAAAGGACGGAATTTGCTTTCGCTTATCAGACCCTCCTGGATTGCCCTCCTCTACCTCTGCGATATTGACGCGCTCACGACACTCGGGGCATTGCCACTTCGCCGTTGCTGCGGGAGCGGTGGAAAGGCTGACGCAGACCAGATGGAACCACTTCCCTTGGCAGCTCTACTGGGTTGTTAGATACTGGTGTGCATCTCTTGAGTAACAACAACCAGCTGGCGGTGCTGAAAGGAGACTTACGTTGGTATTACCACACTGTATCATATCGCCAGAGCCAGCTTCATGGCATATGCAACACAGTGTTTGGTTTGATTCAGAGGGATTGCCTTTGGTACCCTCACCGACAGCCTCCATTGACGCCTGGCCCCTTTCTTCCCTAATCAAATGAAGCTGCTCAGGACTACCAGTCCCATATTGAGTAACACTTCGGACTTTTTGCAAGAGTGACTCGTCGAGCTTGAGCTCTCCCCTGGCTGTGAGTATTTGGAATTCATCAATCAGATCTCTGTTTACGCCAAACAGCTTCTTGGCTGCCAAGTAGGCGTCCTGAGTGGAGCGCGCGTCATCCTGAGTATCCCGGAGTATCTCGAGAAGCTGTCTGTATACAAGAGGGCTACCCGTAAAGCGATCCTGGGGTGAACATGTTAGCGTATGGATTTAGATTGTGGCATGCATGACTCTAGACCCTACTTTGACCTTGGCCACCCAGCTTTCGGTAGATCCGACTTTCTCCAGCTCGACACGATCTATATGGCTCTTGGAAACATCGCGTGTATCAACAGCTGGGTTGTTATATGTCTGCTGTCGTTGCGAATCTTCTGGTTTTTTAACCGCCTCGATAATGACCGGATCCGTATTTGGCGCGTAAAACTGCACCCTTGAATGATCAATCGCCTCGATCCGGTATTGATACGGAAGGAGATTGCTGAGCTCTTGGGTGACAAAGGAAGGATAGCCTTCGAATAGTTGTCCAATGTTCGAAACGACTTGATATACATCTCTGGCGTGTTTACTATTAGCCCTTTCCTCATGCTAAATCTGTTGTATGCGCACTGTTGCCTGGTACTAACATGTGCTTGATGAATCGCCTCGGCGGCCTCGTAGCTATGACAATACAAGAGTCTCGGCTGGCGCAGCATCTTGAGCATGGGTTGGGAAATCTAGCGTCACATTCGAGCTATTCGATCTGTTAGCCAATGTAGTCTCTATAGAAGAAACATGCTTACCTTTCTCGATAGGCATTGTTGACATGGGCCGCGCAATGATACCGTCAGAATGTTGAGGAATCGTGTGAACTTATCCGGTTGATCCTTGAAATAAGACTTGACCGTGGCGAGGAAGTCGTGATAGTCCTGACGGGGCGTTATTACTCAGTAGATGAGGAGGTTGACTTTGCGCCATAAGAGTTCTGCCATACCTTTACTTTCTCTATGTGTGAAATCTCCGTATGTTTGTCGCAATCAGCTTCTCTGTTGAACGACATGTGACAGATCGAGCATGTATAGGGTCTCTGATGTGTCTGATGGATCTCGAGTTCGCCTTGCGACGTCAGATCCCCGGTGGGTGATAGGGCTTCAGGTTCGAAAGAAGCATCTGTGCCCGAGTTTTGACGCTGAAGGTCCTCATTGATATGGGAGCCTTCGGAGTGGTTATGATCTGCCCCAGTGCCAGTATCAGGCGAATCCTCATTATCCAAGCCAGTGCGCGTTCTCTTATACTCATTGTAGGCGGTTCTTAAGATATGCTCTTCCTTCTCCCAGTTGGGTCCTTGCCGCCGGCGAGCAATCTCATAGTAAGTCTCACCTTCGAAGGTTCGCGTAGGATTGAAGCCTTTTTGCTCCAGAAGAAGCTCCAGAATCCTGGTATCAATTTGGCCGATGGCAGCCAGCATCGGGGTTGGATATTCGGCTGCCAGTACTGGGGAAGGGTCTGGGTTGGCCCCAAAGCTCAGAAGCAGCTGGAATACCTCATGGCGAAGGTATCTTGCCGCAGCTATCATGGCCTCGGGCATACCATAGCTGCCCTTGGTCTGCAGGATCCGTGCCACAGTTTCAACATCGCCCTGCGCGGCTGCGGAACGTAGCCTCAGGATGTCCGAAAGCGCGCCAGGATTCCTTGTCTCAATATGGGAATCCAGACTATCAGGGTCGTGGGCATCTTGTACGTCGTGCCTAGCATCAGTCTTCATTGCCTTGATCCCAGAGGGCAACCCCTGGTCCGTATCGCTTCCTCCATGATTGAACTTACTGGGGGAGCTCATATCATTACGCTCTGACGTATCTTCGGACCCAGCGTTTGAGGCGATTTCGACAGGTAGCGCTGATAACGAAATTTCTTCCAGATGCCTGGAAAGGTGCATGGTGACGGCCCTCTTTCCGCTCCCTGTTTGCTCTTTGCAAAGAGCACATTGAGCTGAGTTCCACTGTGGCTCCATCTCGTGGTCAAGTGCCAAATGAGCAATCCACTTCTCACGACTTTGGAAGGTGGTGCTGCTATACGGGCACGACATGTCTAAACACATGTACGGTTGGAGATCGAGATAGATATGCCGTCTAAGAGGCGATTAGTTTGTCCATTAGTTTCGGGTTGTGAGCGTCTTACTTCCACCCAGAATTGTTGGTGATGACTACTGTGCGGCCACAGGCAATACAAGAGAAAGGAAGGCCCGACTTTGCTTCCCTTGAGAGCGGTGGTATTCGAACCGATTGACCGTCGTGGCTATAACTCATGGTGGTTTCCGCGTAGGATACTGTCAGGGCGAGAGAAGCGCCTAGTGACGTCCCGACTCCAGAGTCATGGAATTTGCTGTTGGCAATTATTGTGCCTGCGTACTCTTGTACTTCCTGATTCACCAGAGGTCCGGGCTCCTCTCTCCCTTGGGCATCTCTCGTCGCTTGACATCGTAGATATCGCTCATAGTTAGCCCTTCCCAGATGTGAGGCAAGCGGCGTTGCTGCCGAAGGGAATCTGTTTTCGATCTTGTCGGAAAATAGCTTCTCAGGGCTCCAGATGAGGGTTATATGACTGTTCGCAACATCTTCATCTTGAGTATCGAAGATTGGATATTTGAGCAAGGGGTCGAGACTCGATAAAACGAGGGTGTCGGTCTTGAGATCCTCGGCAATTTCATGAATATCGTCATTCGAAAAGTCAGAGGCTGCATCGCTCGAGGAGTCATCGCTCTGTCGGCTGGAAGCTTCAGCTATGATACCAGCTGCTTCTTCGATATTTGACTCGACGCTGGAACATAGAGCCTGGAGTTTCTCCGATACGTGGACCAGAGGTAATAGTCCTATAGACGACATTGGTATCATATCAGAGCCATTCAGCATTGACATATGTGCCAAAGGGAAGATAAAGAACATACTTTCGACAAGCACGCGGCCGATATGCACCAGGTTCTTTAGGGTCGTATAACGGAGTTTCCACGATCGATTGAAGACATCGTTCAGGCGACCCTCTGCAATTCCATAGCCGTCGGACCATAGAATCAAAGCACTGCAACTGCGTTCGAGGCTGATTCGGGCGGTTTGGGGAATCTTGTTTTGCTGATGTCCCGAAAGCGCCGGAATAATTGATTTGAAGAGCGACAATAAGCTCGCTGCAAGACCGGCAACCACGTTGTGGTCGGCAGCTTCCTCAACGTAACCGCTGGGCTGCACCTGCAACTGTTGCGATTGCCATTCCAGGATATTCTGTATGGGGTCGCAGTCAGCTTGAGATGGGAGGAATCCTGCCATTTTGCCTCATTTCAGCGGGATCGGAGAGGAAGAAGAAGAAAAAGCAATGTTATCAGGGATTTATCTGATGTCTCATGCAAAGACGTGGTTCACGCTTGTGTCAGTTACAAGTCCAGCATCGCAGAGAAATCGACAAGATGGCGATACCGAACCGAACCACGCGAGGAGCGACATTGGCAACGACCTCAAGCTCGACACAGCCGCAGCTGATAGTGCGGAGGTGTGCTACCAGAGACGTTGAAGCGTGGATGTGTAGACCAATCAGTCTCGATCTGAGGCCTTGTGCGAGTCTTGGCTGCATTGGGCGGATTCGGAGGATTTCAAGGCTGAGCAGCGTCATGCACTCTCCGCTCCGCCTCAATCGCCTGAAGGCATTTTGAAATGACAGGGCGTGACGTTTGCTGTTCTATCCCTTACTCGATGTCGCTCAGGCAACTTTCTCGGCGATTCTCCTTCTCTTGTTTTCAGCCTACATGCGACATTCGGCAGCATCAACACTTCGTTAACGAAATGGATCCAGTGTCTCTCACGCTCGGAGTACTGCCCATGGTTGGGAACGCTGTCAACGTATACAAATCAGTCCGGGTGAAGTTCAAGATCTTCTGCCACTACTCCGCCGAAGTTGAAAGGATACGGAAAAAGTTTGGAGCGCAGAGGGATTACTTCCTCAATGAAATCGAGCTGGTCCTACGGCTGGTCTTGCAGGACCAGGATGTCATCAGAGACATGATGAAGGATCCCGCACACGATCATTGGAAAGCGCATAGCCTCGAAAAGAAGCTCGAAGCAGTACTGGGGAGAAATATGGCGTCGCTAATTGATATCGTCAACGACACCAGGGAGAGCATGGCAGCGCTGCAGAGAGCGTTCCAATGCTTTACACCCTTGGAAGAGGAGCAGAAACGGGTAAGAAATTGACATCTGGTCAGTGATGGTTGCGTTGCAACTGTTAACCCAGCACTGCACTCAAGGATGAGCAACTCAAGCGAAAACCACTGAAGAATTCCATCCGAAAACTGAGGAAGCGGGTTACGATTACATTCGAGAGAAAGTCCTTCGAGGACCAAATCGACCGTCTCGAAAGATCCAACGGCGGACTCAGGCGTCTCCGAGAACAAGTCAGCCAACTCCAAAACCCCCCGCGTCACACTGCAAGAAAATCTTCTGCAAGAGGAGCTAGATTGCCTCAGGAGTTCGGGGCATACGGGGCCATAAGAAGAGCCTCAAAGGCCCTCCATGAAGCATTGAAGACGGCTTGGTCGAGCACTCAGTCACCGCATTTGGGGCATTTCGTTAGGCTCTTTCTAAACGCCAGAGCGGAAACTGACGTACAGATGGAGATTGCCATCCTATGCTATGGTGCCGAGATGCCGCAAAGAGCCCTTCTAAAGACGACATTGACGAGGCTCGAAGTCCGGTCGAGGACCAAAGACTCCATCACCTGGTCCAGTGCAGGGCTGTTAACCCCAGCGTCGGAGGCGGACGGCTCGCAGAGCGAACAACGAAAGCGACAAAGGGTTAGATTTTCCAGCGTCGGCGGTGGCTCTGATACGGGCAGCGACGCAGAATCAGCGTCCTACGCCTCTACGACTCGTACCGAATCTGCCGTTGTTTCGACAGACAACCTACAGCTTACGGGCCACTTCTGCCGCGAACTCTCCAGACGCTGCTCGACTCCAAATATGATGTGCAAGACGGAAGGTCTGGGGCATATTGACAGCTGCATGCAGGAGGGATTTCGCCACTGTTTCTTCCCCTGCTCAAGCTCCTGTGGCGGCAAACTGGCTCCTGACAATGTGATGCTGGTGGATGAAGCACTCGGCCAGTCTGCCAGCACCAGGTTGACCGTCGTGGGCCAGCTGCAACTAGCTCACCGACTCGCTTCCGCAGTGCTCAAATTCAACTCCACACCATGGCTCAACGAAGCCTGGAGTGTTCGAGATCTTGCGTTTTTCAGACAAGGAGAAGATTTGACAACGTCGCTCCAGACGCTGCATATTGGCGTAGAGTTGATTCACAGCAAGCCCGAGCCCGGGGACTCCATGTGTGTGATGGACATCGAGCCGTCGGCCAACCTCTCACAGTCCCTCGAAGACGCACAATACAAGCACGGGGTGCGAAATATAACGCTCTACAGCTTGGGGGCCGCTCTGCTCGCGATTGGCAGGTGGGAGCGTATTGACCATAACGACATTGAGAGGGTCCGTCGTTTAGCGTCGCAGCCTTGTTACCTGGGGCCTGTATATCAGGAGTTGACCCAGAAGGTTCTCGACTGCGATTTTGGGTACGGCAAGGATTTGAAGAAGCCCAGGCTCCAGGAGGCCATCTACGAGATGGTTGTCTTGGAGCTGGAGTCGATGATTGCGAGTCTTGATATATCTGATGATGAGTAGGAGCTATTCGTACACGAGATGCCCAAGGGTTCCAGACATGTGGCGTTCTGCATGAGTGATTGTATCTCTTGCCCCTGAGATTATAGTGTACTGTGATGAGATATCGGGTACCATGTCCGAAGTTGAGTCGTTTGAAAATCATGATACGTGTCGAGTGGCGTCCACTCGTGGTGAACACTTGTATCAATATCAAGCGTCCGCGTCATGATATCTGATAAAAGGCCCGTCATCGCACACGCACACAATTACCTGTCGCCTCCATGGCAAATTAAAGGGATAGCAGAAGAAAATGCCTTTACAAAGATGCCGTCTTCGAAACAACTGCCTCTTGCAGCGATGCTGCGATGTATGTATATTCTCCCTCTCGTTCCGAGTCATGCTCAGTTACTCCGACTATAAATACCAACATTGCGCATACGTAATCAACTCGAACTGCTTTGACGGGCCATGCGTGCAGAGTCTCGAAGTGCCAAGATAGAGCTCATTTCATGCACTTCGACCAATCACGTTCATCTTCCCCACGACTCGTCGGTTGGGTACATGTGCCGTATTGCGCGTATTCGACTGCAAAAGAAGCGCTTGGCGCTGCTCAGCTTTCTGCTGTTTAGTGCACAAATGCCTTTGGCCCACGTTTCAGAGGATCGGCGCTAGGGGGGGGTGAAAGGAGCCCAGAATTTAGGCTTTCTGCTTGGGTGCCGTATTGCTCGTAAAGAACATGAAGTCCCGGGGACTCGACAGAGGTAGTGTTTTAGTGCCTTGGGGAGGTTTGGTGAGGCTCAGATGGTGGTTTGGCATTGAGGCTGTGGGTTAGACTTGGTGGTCACTACTTCACGGCGCCTCTGATAACGGTTATGCAGAAGAAGCTGTTTTGGTATACTCAATAGCAAAGGATCAGACAGGCATAAATATGCATGCAGGAGTCTGAAGGATTCATTCTAGTCACAATGTAACTGATTGATTGAGCATCAAGGCATCACTCAGTCAACTGGTGCTTCAGTGTTGAGGTTCACACGTTGGTATCCCATTCAGGAAATACGTGGCGCACACCAGCACCAGCCCCACAACCGGCTCTTAGCGACCACCACCTCGAACCGTTGCGGGCCAGACCTGGCGCTGCTAGCCCGCCAAGGTTAGCGGGTGGCTCCCTAAATGCCCTATGACAGGGGCATCCTACGGGGCTTTCAGGGCAGCTGGAGCTTTGGGTCCTTTCGCTGCCTTCACTGCCAGCCACTGACAACACCAAGCCGCCCACCTCTGGGACATCATGGCGCAGCATTCATTCATTTCCCCTTGGCCTCTCTCCAGCAATCCAGGCCTCACAAGTGCGAGACCCGACCCAAGCGAGATGCAGTCCACACGCCTGACCCCTGTCTGCCTCTGCGCAGATCAATGCTATCCGTCATGGCGGCCGGTACGACTATCTGCAGACTAGTTCCCTCAAGGCTGAGACGATGGGGTGGAAGCATTGCTTTCAATGGTATATAAAGCTAGCCTCCCCTTCGATGATACTTCCTTTGCATGTCAAGCACAGGGCTTACTCTATCAAGCCTTTCTTCTATCACCAATCCTCAAGGGAGGGTTGTTGACGACTTGCACCATCCATTACCGTCTCCATTGTCATACGCGCAATTCAGCTGCGCATGGTAAACACCGAACCACGATTCAAGTCACAAGGGCATCCCCCCGTCTCTGCCCATCATGGCCCTCTACACCCAGATCTGGGCCTTGACTGAAAAGACGCTCAGGATCATCGTCACGCGGCACATCGCCTCGGCCATCCACAGCGCCCTCGTTCTTCCCATCATCCTCACGCTCTATATCGGCATTGGCGAAAAGTTCACTCAGCCCAACGACAAGTTTGGCATTGGCTCTCCGGCCAACATTCTTTCTCTCGAAGCTGCCCTCTCCAAGGCTAACGGAGGCCGAGACACCGTCGTCTTTGTCAACAGCGGCCACACTGGCGGTGACATAGAGCGCATCATCAACTCACTCTCTGATACCGTCAAGGGAGCGGGCAAGAATGCAACAACGATCCAAGACGAATCCGATTTGGGATACATCTGCCGGGGAACTATCCGCGGCACGTCCGACTGCTACGGTGCTGTGGTGTTTTACTCCTCTCCTGACGAAGGCAGCGATGGCTTCTGGAACTACACCTTGCGTGCTGATGCCGGTCTTGGGAACAGCTTTCGGACGGACAAGGGCAACAACGACGCTCAGATATACGCGCTGCCACTCCAGCGAGCCGTTGACGCTGCCATTGCCGGCCTCAAGCCAGGGTCCTCTTTTCCCGAAACGACGCAGCAGTACCCCTATACCGAACTGACCGAGGACGAACATCAAGCTGAGGTGCGGCGGAAGTACCAAAGTTCATTCATCAAATACCTCAGTGTGACCTTGATCATTGGCCTGATCGGAGTGTGCTACCACATGCCTGGCTTCATTGCTACGGAGAGGGAAAAGGGCATGTCCCAGCTGATCGATGCCATGATGCCCACTCGCCAAGGCTGGCATCGCCAGTTCGCCAGGCTCATTTCCAATCACCACGCCTTTGTCATCACCTACATGCCAGGTTGGATTGTCGCTTCGATTGTCGCAAGAACCCTCATCTGGACAAACACGAGCTTTGGCATCTTGATCGTATTCTTCATTCTCGGCGGCGTTGCCATAACTTCCATGTCGCTTCTCGGAGCATCGTTCTTCAGAAAGGCTCAGCTTTCAGGGGTTGTCACGTCTGTCACCTGGATCGCTCTCAGCATCGTGGCCCAGGTCGTTCCGCACCCCAGCACTGCGGCCGTCGCGATACTCAGCTTGCTCTTTACTCCATGCAACTTCGTCTACTTCGTCATCTACATTGCTCGGTTCGAACAAGATGCCAAGGCAACCGACTTGATACACGCACCTTCGAGTGGCACCTCCAGGCTGCCCGGTATTGTCCACTGGATCTTTTTCATCATACAAATCATTGTGTATCCTCTTGCGGCTGCATTCATCGAGCAGACTTTACATGGTGTGAGTACGGGCACACGAGCATCAACAGCCCTCCAGAACTCGACCGGCGGCGTTCAAGAAACAGTCCGCATCGAAAACATGACCAAGATCTACAAGCCAAGCTTGCTACGCAAATTCTTCTCCTTCGTCTCGCCACCACGGCCCGAGGTAGTCGCTGTGGATAACTTGACCTTGACGGCCAAAAGGGGGGAAATCCTCGCACTGCTCGGTGCCAATGGCAGCGGCAAAAGTACCACGCTTGATGCAATTGCTGGTATCAATGACTTTACGAGTGGAAACATTTCTGTTGATACGTCTGGTGGCCTTGGATATGCCCCGCAGCAAAACGTCCTTTGGGACGAGCTGACCGTCGAGGAACACATCCGGCTCTTCAGTCGTATTAAGAACCCCCTCAACAAGACGCCGGACACGGAAATTGCAGCGCTGATTGATGCTATTGGGCTTCGCGCAAAGGCAAATGCTTGGTCAAAGACTCTGTCTGGCGGCCAAAAGAGAAAGCTGCAGCTGGGGATGATGTTGGTTGGCGGAAGCTCTGTCTGCTGTGTTGATGAGGTCTCTTCTGGTATCGATCCCCTATCGCGCAGGAAGATATGGGACATTCTCCTGAAAGAGCGTGGCTCGCGAACGATCATCATGACGACCCATTTCCTCGATGAAGCAGACTTGCTTGCCGACAACATCGCCATCATGTCCAAAGGAAAGCTGAGGGCGGAGGGCTCTTCTGCTCAACTCAAGGACACTTACGGTGCGGGTTACCGTATCCATGTTCTGAACCCGAAGAGCTTGAATGAAATGCCCGATATCGAAGGCGTTACGAAGAAGGTTGGCACAAACAATGTGACTTACCTGTCGTCGTCTTCGGACCAGGCTGCCAAAGTGATTCGGATCCTGGAAGCTCAGGGCCTCCCTTACCAAATCTCTAGCCCTACAATTGAGGACGTCTTTCTTCACTTGGCTGAGGAGGTCCACGGCGATGGCTCCCAGAGGCAACCTACTGTCGTCACCGAAAAGGTTTCCAAGCTTGCAAGCGATACACCCATGGCCAGCGAGAACATGGCACTACTCACAGGGCGGCAGATTGGCATGATCCAACAGACAGGCGTGCTTTTGAGAAAGCGTTTTACAGTCTTCAAGACGAACTGGCTTCCTTATGCCGCGGCCTTCTTGGTCCCCATTGTCGCCGCCGCGGTGATACAACTCCTTGTTCGCAACGATGAGCTGGTTGGCTGTTCGCCCATTCAGAGGAGCAGCCATGCATCAAACGATGATCTCTTCGAGCTCTTGGATACTGCCCATCTTGTGGGTGGCCCATCGTCCCAGGTCGGCTCCTCCGCTGTGGCAGACTTATTCAAGCCAGTTCTACCCAGCTCAGCAACCTCCCGGAGCCGTGACAATTCTGCTTCCTTTGGCAACATCACCGTTGATCTCGTGGATTCACTCTCTTCTATGGAGAACTTCGTTGAGGAACACCGGAGAACCATCACGCCTGCCGGTCTATGGCTTGGCGACTCCAACTCGGCGCCAATGCTTGCCTTCAAGACAGACAATTCCTCCATGTATTCGGCGGTCATAGGCCAGAACTTTCTCAACACGATCCTCGCCAATACCACCATCGCAACTTCGTATCGAGAGTTTGATTACCCCGTGGCTCCGTCGACGGGTAGGGGACTTCAGCTCGTTGTCTATTTTGCCGTTGCTTGTTCCATCTTCCCCGGTCTGTTTGGTCTGTATCCCAATATCGAGAGGCTCAAGAATGTTCGCAGTCTGCAATACTCCAGCGGTGTTCGTACCCTACCGGTCTGGGTGGCACACGTCATCTTCGACTTTGGCATCATCTTGATCCCCATGATCTTGTTGGCCACGATCTTGGTCGTATCTTCAGATTCGTGGTATCACGGAGGCTACCTATTTCCCATCTTCATCTTTTACGGTCTAACAACAATCATCGTCTCGTACCTCTTTTCTCTTCTTTGCGCAAGCCCCATGGCAACCTATGCCATGACTTCCGTCGTTCAATCAATCGGTTTCGCAGTCTACGTTATCGCATACCTCTTCATCCTAACCTTGTCGCCAGCCGCATACACCGATCGAAACGTCCTCATAGCACATTGGCTCATTGCCGCCATCTTCCCAACGGGCTCGCTCGTTCGAGCATTGATGGTCGGCCAGAACATCTTCTCGACGACATGCGACAACGACCGACTCCAACCAAACCCTGCAGCAATGACGGCCTACGGCGGTCCTCTGCTATACCTCATCTTGCAAGCCGTCTTCTGGTTTTCCATCGTTGTCTGGATCGAAAGTGGCGCCGGTCGATACACCCCTGAAAAGGCAAAGCCCTCCCCGGAAGTTGACGATCCCGAAATCACAGAAGAGCTCGTCCGCGTCGACAACCCAGACGGCCCATCCGACGGTCTCCGCGTCGTGCACCTAACCAAGGCCTTTGGCAAGAACACGGCCGTCGACAACGTCACTTTTGGCGTCGACCACGGCGAAGTCTTCGCCCTGCTCGGCCCCAACGGCGCAGGCAAGTCCACCACCATCTCCCTGATCCGCGGCGACATGGCGCCGAGCCGCAACGGCGGCGACGTCTTTGTCGAAGGCGTCTCCATCACCAAGCGCCGCGCCGCCGCCAGGGCCAAGCTGGGCGTGTGCCCGCAGTTCGACGCCATCGACAACATGACAGTCCGCGAGCACCTGAGCCACTACTCGCGCCTGCGCGGCATCCCCGACGTCGTCAACCACCAGGTGCCCGCCGTGCTCCGGGCCGTCGGCCTCGAAGCCTACGCGGACGTCATGGCGCACACCCTCTCGGGCGGCAACAAGCGCAAGCTCTCCCTCGGCATCGCCCTCACCGGCAACCCGCCCGTGATCCTGCTCGACGAGCCCTCCTCGGGCCTCGACGCCGCCGCCAAGCGCATCATGTGGCGCACCCTCGAGGCCATCGTCCCCGGCCGCAGCATCCTCCTCACCACGCACAGCATGGAGGAGGCCGACGCGCTGGCCACCCGCGCCGGCATCATGGCCCGCCGCATGCTCGCCCTCGGTTCGACAGACACCCTGCGCCACCGCTTCGGCGACACCCTCCACGTCCACCTCGTCGCCGCCACCGCGCCCCATTCGTCCGCCGCGGAAATGGATGCCCTTCGCGCGTGGGTGCTGAACAATTTCCCTGGAGCAGAGGTCGAGCACGAGACGTACCATGGCCAGATGCGCTTCTCGATGCCTTCGTCTGCGGTGCCGCCGCTGCCGGTGGGCGCGGGAGCCGGAGCCGGAGCGGCGGATGCGAGTGAGAGTGCGAGGGGGCGGCTCTTGATCATGCTGGAGGAGCAGAAGGGGTATCTTGGTGTTGCTCACTATAGCGTCAGTCCGACAACGCTCAACGAGGTTTTCCTAAACATTGTTGGGAAGCATGATGTTCAAGAAGAGGGTTATAATCCGGCCGACGGAGAGAAGAAACCATGGTGGAAGTCGTCCATCAAGCTGTTCTAGACATGGCTGACATATCTCTTGAAAGAAAGAAGAAGATTTCTTATATAGTTGACATAGACGCGATACCTATCATTGTTTGATTTACATACATTAGCTAGCTTTTTTTAATAGTCCATATACTCATTCACTTCGAACCCTCACAAAGTCGCTTAGTTACCCATCTCATACACTGGTCCTCCACCATGCAACTCCTGCGGCAAATGCGTACTACCGGCCATCTCTGGCGGCTGTGCATGCACCTCATGATATGCCTGTCCCATCGGATGCGGTGGATATGCATAAGCGGCCGGCGGCTGAGGATATGACCCATGAGGCAGCTCAGCCGCATTGGGATGTATTGGAGGCGTCGTCGTAGCAGCAGATCCCTGGAATGGCGATATGCTCGAAACGGTGTGGGGGTTGTTTGAAAGCTCGCTGGGTGTCGACAGCGGCGTCGTTGATGTGAGCTTATTATGGTCAACAGGAGGGCCCTGGGTTGGAGGGACTTGAGCTACGGCGGGAGCTGCAGCTGTTGTTCCTCCATCTCCTCCAGCGGCAGCGTTGCCTCCCTTTGCCTTGTTGAGGCAGAACTTCCAGATGGCGGCAACTACAAGGCCGATACCGGCTACAGCGCCAACGACGATGCCGGCAATGGCGCCTCCGGAGAGTCCCTTTTTGTGTTTGGGGAGAGCTCCCGAGCCGGATGAACCATCTGAATCAGCAGAACCCGACTTTCCTGAGGACCCATTGTTGCCTCCGTTCGAGCTTCCGTCTGAACTCCCTGACGAGCCTCCCGAGGTGGCGCCACTAGCACTTGGGGATGCCTTGTTCGAAGGTGATGAGGGATCCTTGGACAGGGATGAGCCAGATGACTGGCTGGGCGCGTCGTCATTCTTGTTGGTAGCAGTGGCCTCAGGGGTAGACTCGGACCTTGAGCCGGGAATGAGACCAGCAAGCACACTTATACACAGCTGCTCACCCGCCACCTGAGCCTCTGTTGATCTTATCAGCTTCGACTGCCCAACGACGAACACCAAGCTTTCGATGGCCACTTACGGACGGCACCAACATATCCGCAGGCGCTCTGGACGCAAGGGGCTGCCCCTTTGTTGATGACGTCCGCGGCGTTGCATTCGCACAAGGTATCCCCCAGCTTGCAGTTTGTCGACTTAGTAACGGCGGAAGCGACGCAGTCAGTAGCACATGCTGGAATGGTTGGCACCGCGCGTGGAAAGTTCAGCTCGGCCAAGAGTTCGGGAGAGGGACCAGGAGTGATGATGGGCGGCGCTGCCGCTTTCAACAGATGCGCGACTGGCGTAGCTTGAGCATCTGCTGGCCGACCTCGGATGTGCAGAGCTGAGGCAGTTGAGACGAAAAGGAGCAGCGCGAGCGAAGTCGGTAGATTTTGCATCGCTGCCATGATCGCCTCCGGCTCTGAGGTGTCACCCGCTGGACGCGCCTCTGTTCTCACAAGAAAGGAAGCGGACAACGAGAGACAGCGAGGTGCAAGGCCGCGTCCGACTTTTCATCCGGCATCCCAGCCGTTGTTATAAAGCCATGACAGCCAGCTACCCTCGTGGGGAAGGGTTGCCCCGATGGCATCTAATACCACTTCGGAGTAGCATCGTGCGCTTGGGAGCGGGCCATTGATTGCTCGCAGGGGTCGGGCACATGTCGCCGCCTCATTCGTGTCCAGACGTGGGCGAGGCATTCTTGACGACCTGCCAGTGCACCAGACATTTCCCCGCCTGACAGAGCAGAGTAAACGAAGCACACCAACTTTGTCCGTTCGAGACAGGGCGCTGATTGGAGGCTCGTTACATTGGGGTTGGTGTCCATGTCCAGCTGCAGTTTGGGGCAGCAAGGGCCCAATTCAGCCTGCAGGATATTGGATGCTAAGCGCTCCCCCGCCACTTTGAAGACCTTTTGCGAGACTCCAACACATATGACGATGGAAGATAAATGGCTGAGATGGCGAATGATTTGGAATCGCAGAGGCGATCGGTGATAGTTGGCATGCTTGAGCTGGACCTTTTCGTCTGTTCCTTCGACAGCATCTCGACAAAGCTTCAACAGCCCCCGGCTAGTCCAACGTTGAGCTGCAAAGACGCCCAGCGCGGAATAGGCCCGTCCTCCATGTCGGGCGGTGCTAATCAACTTGAGCTTGGCGTCACGCAGCCGTTGCCGGTGTCCCGAGAATGTAGTGAAAGCGCGCCTTTTTCGCTTCAGCCCCAAGATGAGGTGCGCGGTCATATGCGCGAGATGCTCGGATCGGGAACGACGGACACGACAAGCATATCTTCAAGGCGACTTCACAGATGAGGCTCGATCCCAGAATTAGCACAACACACGAGAGTGCCAGTACATTTCGTCGTGCCTCTGTCCGTCAGGGTCCGCGGGTTCCATGGCTGTATAGGTCGGTATGCTTCTTTCCACAGCCTTGAACAGTGAGGGGGCCCCGTTGTCGTGGTGTAGCGTCAAAGCGCTGGCTGTGCCTCGTCGATTTAGCTTCTATTCGACGTTTGCGCAGACAATAATCTTTACTGAGACTCATTATAAGAAGCTTCACATTGACAATGAAGGCGATGATGATGATGAAGAAGAAGAAGAAGAAGAAAGAAAATCGTTGCATATCCCATTCAAGCTTCTTGGGAAGGTTGAGTAATAACCCTCAAGCCTGTGTGCTCCTTCCCACATGGAAGGTTAATTCCGCTGTCGACAAGCAGTGGGTCTTTCCCTCTTTCCCGTTTGAGGAGTTACCAGATCCCTGCCAAGAGATAACTGGTGGCCAATCAGAGGCACTCTCGTACCTAGAGACTGTGGCTGGAGACGGTGATGCATCTGTGGCTGGTGCTTTGACCGCGCGACATGACTCGGATTCCACTGTATGTCTGTACATGTGTGGCATCGCATGTAACCCATAGAGTACCTATCAACAACGATCATATTAGCGAGTATACTTCTACAGTTTTCGAATGAGTTATTGCTTCTTTATTCGATACCTGTGTAGCATACTTCACTTAAGTACCAAGCCACCAAGTCTATTAACATCCCTCTTCTAGCAGTTGACTAATTATGCCCTAGCATTCTCTCACAGACCCCTAAAATTACTAAGAGTATTACTATTAGGGCACTGTTAGATTGCTATTTAGGCACTAACTAACCTAAATTAGCTTAGATTTTATCCACGCTACGCTACGCTATATAAATATAATGCAGGGCTATAGCACCTTTAAAGTTAATACTAGTAATCTTGCTATAGCCTTAAAAACACTAAAATACTAAGATATTATTATTATTATTATTATTATTACTATTATTACTAAAAGCCTTAATTAATTATAATAAAAGCAGTAAGCTTTAAAGCTAATAGTTAAGCTGCTTATTAAGATCCTTATCTTTTACTGCTGCTGCTGCTGTTATTATTACTGCTTTAAAAAGCTCCTGCTTACTAAATCCCTCTGCTACTACTACTATAATAATTTAACTTATTTAATAACCTTTATGCCTTTCTTTAAAGCTTTTATTATAACTATAGCGCTGCCTTTATAAAAAAGCAGGCTAGGAATTATATAATTATTAATAGTAATAAAATCCTAACCTGCTACTTTTTTATTTATAACTGTAAAGCCTTATAGCTAAGCTTAAGCGCTAGAGTTAGGAAGTTAGTAATAATAAAGCTTAACTATTTATTTAAACTTATAGCTTTAGCTAAGTAAAGCTTTAATTAAAAGTAAAGCTTTAAAGTCTTTAAAGGTTAATATAATTATAATAAGACTAGTAATATATTAGCCTATATAATTTATTACTGCTGTATAAAGGTATAAAAAGAAGCTAAGAAGTTGCTATCTTTTTAAAGAGCCTTTAGTGCCTAGGAGATAGAAGATATTATTTATGCGCTAGTTAGTAAAAAAGGCTTATTCTTTTACTTAAAGGATATTTATAATAATTAGCAGGCTATTTATTAGTTAAAACTTAATAGCCTTACTTTTATATAGCAGTAAATTAAGGTTTTAAAGAAAGAAGGCCTTTACTATATTATTTAGTATTATAATAATAAGCCTAATAAGGTTAAAGCAGTTTTTTAAATATATTTATACTATAAAAAGCAGTAAAAGCAATTTTTAAAAGTCCTAGGGATAAATAATACCTATAAGATAAATAAGTTTAAAATATATTTATTTTAAGTAACTAGTATTATAAATTAGCATTTTATAGCTAACTTTACCTTTAATTTTATAAATAGTAAGAAGCAGCTAACTTATAAGTGGATTTATAACTAACTTAATGCCTTCTACTATTAGCTAAAGATTTAATTACCTTAAGTTATTATTACTAATAAGGAAAACATATTAAAAAACGCACTTAGGTATATTTTTTTAAATGCTTAGCAGCAGCTATGCCTTTTTTATATTAATATAAATATTAATAAAAAAATAACTATATAGTAAAAGGATCTTAATAATAAGGCTGCTAGTAGTAGTAAGGCTAGTAATAGTAATATATTTATAAGCAGCCTGGCTGCTAACCCTAATGCTAATAAGCTTAACAGCCCTAGCCCTATTATAGCTATAATAGTAGTATAGTTAGGTATTAGGCCTCTTTATAAGAATAATAAAAACAGCTTTAAATAAGTATAGTAATTAGTTATTTATGCTAATATTAAGGAAGACTATAAGATAGCTTAGGCAGGGCTTATTGCCTATTTTAGTATATAGTAGTGTAAGATAATTAACTATATTATTTTTAAGTATCTCCCTTTAGCTAATTAATTCCTATAGTGCTGCATTAAGTAATATTGCAACTTTAAATAATAAACTAACAGCTTTATAAAGATAGTATATAAAGATATTAAGTTATTCCTCTTAACTAAGACTGGCAATTTATATTATCTTTATAAAGTAATTATATAAATACTAGCTAAGAAGGAATATAACTATAAGTAAATAGCAGCTAAAGAGAAAATAAAGCTGCACTACTAATATATTAATAAAGACTGGCTAAGGCAGCTTCTAATAGAAGTTAGTTATAAAGCTATTAAATAACTTATATAGGAATACTATTAGGCTAAGGCTGCAATATTAAAGGAGAATAATAACCTAATACTTTATAAAATAACCTGCACCTTTATATAGTAATATGCCTTACCTTATGCATACTATTTATAAAAGAATATAATTAAGGGTAATAAGGTTTTTATTAAGGAGCTAGTCTATACTTACTAATAGCTAAATAAGCTATTTATAAGTTTCCCTCCTATTTTATATAAAAAACCTACTAACCTAGTATTATAAAATCTCTTAAAGCCTCTTCTTTAAATCTGTAATCCTAATATTATTAAAAAGCTATGCAGCTAGCCCTAACTCTTTTAAAATTATAAGCAGCCTGTTAATATATATCTGCAGCTAATTATAGACTTAATAACAGCTTTAATATAACAGCAGGTATTACAGCTGGCTTTAATACTGCTATTACTGCTATTACTACTAACCTTAACTTAAAGCACCTAGCGCCTAGGCTTAAGTCTTTATTAAATATATACTATAGCTAAAATAAAGGCAGAAGTAACCTAAGCTAGCTGATTATTTATATAACTATTTACGCAGCTGTTTATAAAGCGCCTGTAAATATATATAAACACTAGGGGATAAGGAGCAGGAAGGGGATAAGGCTATAAATATAGCAGCAGCAGTAGCGCTAAAGCTGCATATTTAACAGCAGCGCCTTTATCTTCTACTATTAAGGAAGTTATCTTAATAACCTAGCTAAAGGCTATAAACTAATTAATAGGCTGTAGTATAAATATATATTTAATTTAATAAAAAATGCATTTTTTAAAGGAATTAATTAATAAGGAATTTCCCTTTTTATAATTATATATAGTTTTTAATTGCTATAGTATATACTGTAAATTAGCAGGGCGGCGTAGCGCAGATAAAATCTAAGCTAATTTAGGTTAGTTAGTGCCTAAATAGCAATCTAATAGTGCCCTAATAGCAATACTCATTACCAAATCCGTCCTAAGAGCAGAAGAATTATAGGCCTCCCGTCTACAGCCCCAAGCGATCTCGCAGCTAACAGAAAAAATACGGGAGAGCCATAAGCCAGCGTCATTGAACTCCAACTCCATCTTCACTCACCCATTCAGCAATCTTCCTATCATTCCTTTCGACATACACATATATATATATACACATACTCAAAAAGACGCAGCTCAGTCACAATGGCCTTCACAATGCATTCCCACTCGGGCCAGTTCTGCCCTGGCCATGCCGTCGACCAGCTCGAGGACATTGTCCTGCATGCCATTTCTCTTGGGTATAAGACCATGGGCCTTACGGAGCATATGCCTCGCTATGAGGAGCGGGATTTGTATCCTGAAGAGGTTTGTCATGTGCTTCTTGATGAATCATGCATTTGCGCTGTTCTTATTTCTCATACGATACCCTCTTGGACAAGTCGTGTCACACAGCATTTTAACTCCTCCACACCAACATGTCCAATGCACATGTCAAACAACTCACCCAACCCCCACAGCCCTTCACTCACCACACCACACTCTCATTCATTCAACTCATACATCACGCAATCATTCACTCAATCAATCTCACAAAAACTAACTCGTGAAACCCCCTAGCTCTCCGACCCCCAAACCTCCCTCCAAACCCTCCCCAAGCTACACTCATCATACCTCCTCGAAGCCCGCCGCCTACAAAACAAATACGCCCCCCAAATCCACATCCTCATCGCCTTCGAAGCAGAATTCATCCGCCCCTCCTACACATCCCACGTCCACACGCTCTTCAACTCCTCCTTCCTCATCGACTACTTCATCGGCTCCGTGCACCACGTCCACGGCATCCCCATCGACTACGACAAGCCCACCTACGCCGCCGCTCTCGCCGCCACCACCACAACCTCCAAGCACTCCGAGGAGCAGCTGTTCGAAGACTACTACGATTTGCAATTCGACATGCTCAAAGCGCTGAAGCCGCGCATCGTGGGACACTTTGACCTGATTCGGCTGATGAGTGAGGATCCGGCGAGGGATCCGAGACTGTGGACGGGCGTGTGGGACAGAATCTGTCGGAACTTGGAGTATGCAATGGAGATTGGGGCGTGGCTTGAGTGTAACACTGCGGCGTTGAGAAAGGGTCTTGATGAGCCTTATCCTGGCCGAGTCATTTCAGAGGTAAAAACTCACCACACTCACAACCCCCCTACTACGTTAACAATCACTTTAATCAACAACAGCAGCATTGTTCTTCTGACAGGATTTTTTGGGGCTGACATGGGGTTATTTAGAAATGGCTTCAGCTCGGCGGGAAATTCACAATGTCCGACGACAGCCACGGCATCGCGCAGGTCGCTACGAATTACTCCCGCGGTCTGGCTTTCCTCGAGAGCCTCGGCGTTGAGCACGTCTGGACCTTTCAGCGGCAAAACCATCCCGAGGCGGGAGAAGACGCAAGGGCGACGCTCGACGATGTGGCTGTGTCTCTCAAGGAGTTTCGGCAGCACTTTTCATGAGACTCTCAATCATGGTAACATGAGGATATGGAGATGGTTGGAGCCGTGACAAAACTACGATAGATAGGAGGACGTTGTCTGTTTTGGAAACCCGATATAAGAGGAAGGATTCAATAGATGTCATGTATCAGAACATAGAATAGTGGCTAGAATAAGGTAGAACAAATAGCTTCTGACAAGATCTTTTTTTTCTTTGTTTCGAAACGGGTATCATCTGAATGAGAGCAGCCCAGCATTCCAAGGCTAGTAATTTGACAAGGGGTGTGTACAAGCTAGCAGAACAATTGGTCTCAAAAGAACCAAGGGAAGAGAGAGAGCAACTTCAAGCAAAGCGCTAAACGGACAGAAAGAGAAGAAGAAGAAACGCAACATAAGACGGGGAAAGCAGATAAACTCCTTAGCCATTCCGTGTTCCATACCATCCAGTCCGATAACACCAAAAAGAAATCTAAAGACACCTCCATACTGCATTGTCGAATCATCCATCTATTTCTTGGGCGAAAGGGTGCCCCTGACAGAACCGCTTGGCTGTCTCTGTGCCTTCTGAGCAGGCGGGCTTCGGTTAGCCGGCTGCTTGGCAAAGGGAATGGTGCCGCTGCCGCCATACTGGAAGAGCGTGCTGCTCTTCTTCACGAGGCCGGGCTGTACCGTTGGAGGGCCAGCAGGAAGCGACGGGGGAAGCCACTTGAGCGGCTCCTGGGACGTCATGGGCACCGGAGGTGGCCCTTCAGGCTGGTACTGGAGAAACTCATGAGCCTCATCGCTCGCCTTGGCCGAGCGAGGCGAGCTCACGTTTGGAACGGCCTGTCTCGCTTCGGGAGAAAGAGTCCTTGGTGTAACGTGCTCAAAGTTGGGCGTTGACAGGCTGCTCCCAGAGGCAGTCGACAGCGCGGGCATGGTACCATCCGGAGAGGTGGCGTTGATAGTCGACCTGCGGCCGACGCTGCTGTTCGGTGTCTTGAGATCGCCCGACTCTACCGATCGGTTGGTGCTGGCTGACGAGGGACGCAGCTCACCAGACGCGGTAGCGGCTGCAGCTGCGGCCTCAGCCTCGAGGCGGGCCTTCTCCCGTGCCTCCTTTTGCGACTGGGTGATTAAGTTGATCTTGATCTTTTTGATTCCTTTGGTGATCTTATCCATGTCGTCAATAGTAGCGTCCAGCCTTGATACTGCAGGTGCCGTAGTTCCTTGCGCAGGAGCTTCTTTTCCGGCTTCGACCATGGGCGACCTAGGGGCGGGTTCGCCGCTCGATGAGGTGGGCCGCGATCTCCTGACGGTAATTCTGCCAGTAGAGCCGGGGCTCTGGGCCTGGTGCCCTGCAACTGAGAGGGGCCTCCCGGCGATAGGCCCCGCGGAGGTTGAAGGCCGAAGGGGCAGTTCCTCGTGAGTTGCTGCGGCACGAGAGACGCTGCGTTGCGCGGGAACAGCCGACGACGCGGTAAGCCGTCGGTTGGACTTCTTCGGAGGCAGACCGATAATGGGTTGCGGCGTCTGTCCGCGAGCGGTCGCCTAGCAGCTCCGATTAGTAGCCGTTCATTTCAACAAAGGATAAAGTTATGGTGCTTACCTTTTCTGCTGCAATGGTGGCCACAGTCTTGCTCCGGTCCCTCGTCTGCCGAGACTGGTGCTCCTCCTGGATGGGGTCAATGGCCCGAGGCTTGCGGTCGCGAAGCGACATCCTCGATGCTGATCGCTCGAGTTCCGGAGTGCCAGCGGACTGTCTGTCGCGTCGTACCCGTGCGGCATCGGCGTTCAGTTCCTCAAAAGTGCAGCTGTCGGTTTGGCGATCTCGTGGGATGAGGAGCTTCGACAGCTCGCTTGCAGCAACCGTCCATGGGATCTCAGGGGGCGACGGAGATGGAGAGCGGCTGGAGACTGTCGACCTGTTGACCAGAGTCGACATGCTTCGCCGCATCCTGAGAGGGTCTACAGCCCTGGCCGTAGAAGCATGCGTCGGCGTACAGTAGGTCGGGGGCGTAGCCATACGCGGCTTCTTCGGCGTAATATCAGGGAGCGCTACAGCGGCCTCCAACTTGTCCATCTCACGAGCCGACCACCACGAGGGATCGTACGGGTTGATGGAAGCGGGGGAGTGCGGGACGTGGTCATCTTCCTCGTTGTAGTCATCACCCTGCGGGAAAGAAAGGCGGCTTCGATGAGGAACGTTCTGCTTCCCTACGAGGCCACTGAGATGGCTAATGATGCCGGAAGTCAGTGCTCGGTTGCTATAGCCGCCCTCCAGGACGCTGACGATGCGGCCGTCGACGCAGAGGCCCTCCTCTGCGGCCAGTCGGACCACGTCTTGGGTGAGGCGAGCATAGAACTCGGTGGGCACGTTGACCTTGTGGCGCTGCATTCCCGCGCTCTCCCATTCGCTCGCATCGAATCCAGCAGACAGGAAGATGACGGCTCGCGGGCTGGCGCCTGCGTCTCGTAGCCTTTCCGCTTGGCCTCTGAGGTAGCTACGTGCCTTGTCGAGAAGTATCGAGTATCTCGTCTCGTAGAGATCCCAAAACTCCTCGGTTGTCTTCCACGGCTGCAGGTGAGCGTTCCAGATGTTTTGGCCATGCGCATTCTCTATGCAGATGCTTGCATTCTTGATCTTGTCATCGTCGCCATTCTCACAGGGATAAGAGTTGATGTCGTGCAGGCTAAAGTAGCCGATGGACGTCTTCTTCCAGGCGGCATGGTTCTTGGTCGCGGCCATGGATCGAGAGTTGTGCGCCCAGGCGATGGCTTGGGAGCCATCTCCGTGATGCAAGTCAAAGTCGATGATGGCGGCATGCGTCAGGCCATGGTTGAGGATTCCATGCATGATTCCCACGTGGACATTGTTGACCCAGCAGAAGCCTGACGGCAGGTTGGCAGAGCAATGGTGTCCCGGAGGCCGAACGGCAACAAAGGCACGCCGCGGCCCGGCAGAGAAGACGGCATCCACGCCCTCGCACACTGCACCCAAAGCACCCTCGATGGCTTCTAGCGACTCGTTGCAAAGGTAGAGGTCGCCCTCGTGCAGCGTTTCAGGGGCAGCATGGTCGGGGCCCCGGGTTATGGACGGCCTCTGCAGCTCCTTTCCTCCACGAGCCAAGATGGACTCGGCCGACTCGCACATCATCTTGAACTCTTCCATCCATTTGGTGCCATGTACATTGGTGACGGCAGGTGACAGTAGTGACAGCCTCCGGTCCGTCTTGTGGATGCGAAAGGGGATGCTGGGCAGCATGTGGACATTGCTCTTGGGCAAGATGGGCAGCGCGCCGTCGCTGTGACGCTCGCCGAGACGAACATAGGCCGCAGACACACCAAGAACACTGGCCTTGATCCGCTCAGGGCGCTCGACGATGGTGTTGAGGGCGCTCTTGGGGGTGCGTGGGCGCGAGAAGCGGTGGCCGTAGACGGCATCGTTCAGGACGACAACCGTCTCGGTGTAGAGCGTGGACACGGGGCCGTGATGGGCCTCGAGCTCGTCCTTGAAGTGGCCGTTCGCCACGGAGCTGGGCGTCACCGGGGGCCGCCACTCGGGCTCGGGATTGCCAAAGGACGCCCTCAAGCCCGGTGACATGACGCCCAGGCTGGAGCGCCTGGATAGAGGCCGCGAAGAGCCGAGGCCACTGGCCGAGTGCAGGGAGTTCATCGAGGCTTTGCGGACGAGGGTGGGGGTTGCAGCTCGCGAGTCTCTGCCTGAGGGACTGAGGGAGGGAGCGCGGGCAGAGGGAGAGGTGGAGGGAGAGGCATGGCTCGGGGCATTTAAGGGCGTCCGAGGCGTCGAGGGCGATGGCGAGAGGCCGGGAGATCGCGGACCACGCTGGCCGAGTGACAGCTGGCTGAGTGACTGCGATAGGCCTGCGCCCTCGTCCCTGGAGCTGGAGCCGGAGCCGGAGCTGGAGCTGGTGCTGCTGGAGGTTGCTGCTGCTGCAGCACGCCGTGGCGGCTCAGCATTGGGCGGAGACGCCATCTGGGCGACTTATAAGACCGGCTCAATCGATGGGTTGCAGCAAGGCGACATGCGTAAGGTTAGGAGAGGAGAAGATGCCAGGAACACTCCGAGGAAGCCCGTGCGTGTGTGTGAGAGAGAGCGTTTGAGTGCCTGGCCTGGCCGGTATCTATCTGCTGCTCCGGCTCTGCGTCTGGCTCTGTGTCTGTGTCTGTGTCTGAGTGTGTGTGCGTATTCAGAAGATGTCGCTATAGTCGTAGTCGAATTTGTGTATGCGTCTGCGGATGCGTCTGCGTCTGTGAGCTGGTGTGTGTGTGGAGAGCATGAGAGATCGATGCAGCCTGCGATTCGATATGGAATGCCTGCTGCAGCGCTGCGACCAGACGCCCTGCGATGCTCTGCGATGGCCGGCTGATGTGCGTGATGCCGTGCGACGATGGCCCTTCACGACAGCATTCGCGATGCTGCTTCTCGTTACTTGCGTTGTTTTTTTCTTCTGTCTCGGTTCGGCCTGAATGTTGTTTTGTTCAGGTGCAGGTTCAGGTTCAGGTTCAGGTTCAGGCTCTGGCTCTGGCTCTGGCTGGCACGCTGCTCCAGCGCCCGTGGCTCGGGGCGTTTAATGACATGGCCGAACGGAGCATGTAATTTCACCCGTCACCATCGTCATAGCCGCTTCGCTTCCCCTAATTTCCATCTTGTCTTGCCCCCCAAGAAATCACGTGCCGGGCCAGACATAAGGGGGGTGTGGCATTTGGAGAAGAGCAGAGCAGGCAGGCTGGCAGGCTGGTGTTTGATTCATCAATTGCAGCTTCATTCACGTCACTGTTCCGTCGGTCGGGCGCTGTCACTGGGCTGCCTTGGACTGCCTTGGTCGGGCACCACAGCAGCGGCACTGCTCTCACGCGCATCTTCCCGACTACATGTATCTGGTGTTTCTCTCTCTCTGTCTCTCCCAGGCAGACGCAAGGGGGCAACGGTTTTTGCTGACGAAACGGCACGTCTTTGCTGCTACTAGCTGTGGAGCAAAAGGTATGTAGGTAAGTATGGATGTCTGTCTAGAACTGTCTCTCGTTGCCTGCACATGTACGAGTTTCTGCTTCTTTGTGTGTGCATACTCCGTTTCGCCGGCTTACCCAGCCGGAGTGGCCATGGTGAGTCTTGGTGGCTCCATGATACAAGTAACTTGATAATCCTCCATGCATCGACACATGCAGGCCACAGTCGAGACCAGTCAAAAGATGCTGATGCTGCCCGGCGCAGTGGATGCCGCATACCATGACATCAGCCAGGTCGTCGACTTGGCCACTCAAAGCCATCCGGACAAGAACCGTTGGACGCTCGTATCTTCCATCCTCTCTGCCGCTGCGGGCGTCTTGCAGTGGTGGACCTCCAGGCAGGAATACATCTTGTACGTGGCCGAATTACAGCAGAGGCGTTTTGGGTATTGCCGTCTTCTTATTCGTAGCCGGTCGTCAGCGTTGCATCCCATGGACAGCCGACGACGTCCGATTGAGCAGCATCGCGGCTGGGCGAGTTGGATGGAGTCGACGGAGGTGCATGACACCAGGAACCGCCGACTCCGATAAACGGCTGCAAGCGATATTCCCAATATGTCGCGACTACCTGACCTTGCCTTGCCTTGCCTTGGTCTAGCACAGTCGGCTAGCAGAACAAGGACCGGGAGCCCATATCCGACGGTGCAGACTTGTCAGTCGAGCCGTATTGATCCGTCTGTTCTGTCTCTAGACTTTCAACAATGCTAAGGTAGGTAGGAAGTATGTGACGATCAACAAGCAAGGGGCAGAGTATGTATGTACATCGTTCAGGACGGATATCGATGACAAATTCCAAGAGAACTCCCATCGCAATGAGGGAGGCAGTATGTATTACTGAATTACGAGGTGATGTCCCCTCTGTCACATGGAAATCTCCGGTCACATCACATTGTCACCCTAAAAATAACCTCCTTTCATCGAGAGTTGGCACAAAATACGGAGCCCCAAGCCGAAAGAATGGAGTGCAGAAAGGGGTCGCTTTGATTAGCGGTCCCCGCTCTGCTCTGCCTGGTTTAAGCTACGTCTGGGGTAACGCCAGCACTTCGATCTTGACATTGGACATGCTCGTCTCTTGACTCATGGAAGAAGAAGAAAGAAGACAAGCATCGAGGTTACATACAAGCCTGTTATGCTGTCTTCCATACAGACTTCCAGATCTTGCAGATGCAAGTGTGCTTCAACAGTGCCAATCTCGGGGGCAGGTTCATGTAAGTCATTGCAGCAAGCAAATCGGCGTCCATGTGCTGGATGCGCTTGTTTGAAGTGACATTGGACGCACCGTTCTGTAGGGTAACACTGGATCTTGATGTTCAATGTTCATTCCAATGTTCATTGCTTTGCACTGCAAGAGGCAACTCAGGCCAACTTTGCTGGAATCCATGCCCAAAGTTCGAGTCGCTTATCGTACGACTCAAGTCAGACGAGTTAATGGAATCGTGGGAAGGCGGCTCATGAATCGCGGCCCGACGATTGGGGGGAAATTGACCAAGGTTGCGATATTAATTCACCTCAACTCTCACCTCTTTCAAAGGCAAAGCTCTCTCTTAGGAGGGTCACACAGGCAAACGTGCCACTGTTGGGCAGCTCTATGCTGTGTCTCGGTCCAATATGCCAAATGGAGGCAGAGGCATCAAACTGCTCAACTAAGCTCAATTAATTCGCTGCCTAATAATCGTGACACCAGAAGCATGACTGGCCCCCAAGACTGTCTCGGAGATCGCACATACTACATACAACCACTCGTGCAGCCTCAACTCTTATCGTCCCAACCATCGCCACTCGATCCCACGGAAAGCCACTCCGACTGCCAAGTCAATAGCGCCTCATGCATGTGCTCACCAACGCATCCCGCTAGCTGGTCAAGGCCTGAGTTAGTACCTAGCCCAAAGTCGGCTTCAGGGCCAATCCAAGCAAGGCACATTCCGCAACTCAAAGCTGCCTCCATCACTCACTAACACCCTCAACACCATCAACCAAGTCAGTATGCTTCAGTTCACCGCATCTCCATCGCCTTTCGCCATCACCAACACAGAACACATGAAAAATGAACAGTCTTTTCTTCGAAACTGAGACATCGAACCATCGGCCTCCTCCAGCATTTCATCCCGAAAATCCTCCTCACCAACCACCGCCGAGCCCGTCCCGCAGCTACATGTAGCCCTGCGCTCACATCCTTGGCGACATCCTCAGCCGCACCGAACCTCGCACCATCATTGGCCGCACCTCAACAAAAATAACAAACACAAGTAACCAGCGGAAACAGACACCAGCTCAGGAGCTCACAGAGGCGAATCCCTTCCCTGTCCAGCTGCTGCTGCTGCTGCTTCGTGTCGCCTAGGCCTGCATAACAGGCCCGTCTTCCTGCGCCTCGCTTTGCCCATATTGACTCGTCCCCGTGATCGTGAAGGCTGTTTTTCGCAGATGGGGCGACGCTAGGATCGACGTGAAAGCCATCGTCGAGCAATGGCGGCTCTGCTGCATGCTCAGCTGTAGGAGTAGAAGCTCTGGGGGGTGGTAGCTCACCGTACAACTCGAACAAAAAGCTCTCGCCCTCCTCGCCGTTCTTCTCTCTTCCTGCTTCCTGTGATTCCCAGTCCCAGCATTCGCTTCGTCTTTGTTTTTTGTCTGTCTCGTTCCCTGTCCGTCCGCCACTCGTTCGAGATGTCTCTCGCCGCTCTCCTCCTCCCCATATTGGCCGGCGGCGTCCATGTAGTCGTAGCCGCACAACACATGACGCTGCCTCTCATCAACTACGACGAGGTTGTGAATGCCTTCGACCCCAGCGACGAGGGCTACTCAGCATGCACTGTCGCCGCATCCTTTGTAGCGGGCTGCGTCGCGGAGTTGGGAGGCTCCGAGGCTCTGTCGACTGCGAATCCGCTGAAATTTGCGGCATGTGTTTGTTGTGTTGGGACGACGGACGTGGCTCCGGTCTACAGCACCTGTTCCGACTATCTCAGCTCTGGGGCGCCTGACCTCGACTCGCAGATCTCGGGTGTGTACTTACCTATTTGCAACAGTTGCTGGATTAATACAGCGATGCCTCAAAAGAGCATACTCCTCCCATTGAGCACTTGGCGTACCCTACATGTATAAGGTCCTGATGAGTGGTTCTAATGTCATCTTCACTGTTTAGCATACGACTATTTCTATACCGTCTGCGGAGGCTCTCCCGAAGTTTGCAGCGGCCAGCCCGACGCAACAGCCACCGGAGAGCCCCCCATATCATCTCCTACGGCCCGATCCTCGCGCTTCCAGTCCTCTCCTTCCAGGTCCAGCCCCTCACCGGCCTCCTCCCCGAGCGGCGGCCCGGCGGAAACGTCGCGCGTGACGGCAGAGGGATCGACCGTTGACTCCACGGGAGCTTCTGCCACTGGAGGAGGAGCATCGGGAAGTGCTTCTCGAACGGCTTCCGGCACGGCTCCGTCTCCTACGCTTACGTATGATATTGCTTGTGAACAGATGGTCGGCCTTTATGGGGAGTGTGCGAGCGCGACGCCTGCTTTTTCGCGTTTGCCGTACGGAGAGCAGGCTTACTGCTACTGGTATGACTTGACCGAATCCTAGTACTGCTGCTCAAGGGACTTTGAAACTGACGGGGGGGCATACTCGATAGCTGCCGCACTGCGATAGATGGCTCTCACGTCACATGGACGGATGAGTTTGATTCATATGCGAAGACTTGCCGGGACTGGGCCGTTACCAAGGACAAAGCAGACTACGATGATGTCTACAGCTGTTCGTTCATCAAAACCCCACCCCCTTATGTTTCCATCTGGACAAATCGCTTCAAGAGCTAACAACGATGTGCAGTGGCCAAGAACTTTGCTACGTTTTGTGACCACTTCAGCGATGCCTGTGACATGCCGACGACGACCTCCCCCTTTACTCCGACCGCGACGGATGATGAGACGGGCAGCCCGACTACTGGCGATCCTGCCACTGGAACCGTTGATGAGGCTGCGACCGCGACGTCGACCGATGCGGCACCGACTGCTGGAATTGGGCTGGCAGCCGGCGTGCTTGCGCTGGCTGGCTTTGTAGTGATGATGTAGATAAGGCTGGGAAATCTTTAAAGGTTTGATGATTCAATGGGTATATGTACACTTGAATGTCGATGCTGATACCATGGGCAATCGCCTAATATCCAGCCAAGTACATTAGAGCAAAGACATGCTGGGTAGATATGAGATCTAGTCGGAATTTATCTACATTAGTACAAGCACATAGGAAGGGCAAACAAGGAACTTGGTTATAAGAAGACTATGAGGTTCTATTGTTATATCGTCAAATCAACACCGACCATCTTGAGTGCGTCCACAGCCCACTCAGGGTATTGCGTCTTGTCCTCGTACAGCCCCGCGAAGAACTCGCGTATGTATGCCGGAAACCTATCCTCAATAATCGACTGCCGAATCTCCCTCATCAGCTGCAGCTGATACCACACATTGTGAATTGTAAGCAGATGCGCCGCCACCGTCTCCTTGGAAGCGTTGTGGTGGATGTAAGCCCTCGTGATGCCCATGCCATCCTCTCCCTCCCTGCAACACATGCAGCCACAGCCAGGCTCGATAGGCCCAAAGTCGGTAGCGTACTTTGAGTTGCGAATGTTGAGGACGCCGCGCTTGGTGATGGCGTTTCCGAACCGGGCTGTCCTTGTCGGCCAGACGCAGTCAAACATGTCTGCTCCTAGAGCGACGCTGACGATGAGGTCTTCTGGGTAGCCGATGCCCATGACGTACCGAGGCTTGAGATCTGGAAGCAGGGCTGTACATGTTTCGACAACGCGGCAGTAGTCTGCTTTCGCTTCTCCTCCGCTGAGCCCGCCTATCGCAATGCCAGGGGTATCTCTGGCGAGCATTTCCCTGCAGCATTCTCGCCGCATATCAAGGTCCAGTCCTCCCTGGATGATGCAAAACAAATTCTGTCTATCCGGATTCTTGTGCGCGGCGATACACCTGTCGAGCCATCGTACGCTGCGCTCCATGGCCTCGCGCATGCGGGCTTTGTCTGGCGAGGTGGTCACCAAGACGTCGTCGAGCTGCATCATGATATCGCTGCCTATTGTGTTCTGCAGGTCTATTGAGTGTTCTGGGGTGAGGAGCATGGGTGAGCCGTCATGAGGACTCAGGAAGCGGACGCCTTCCTCTGTGATTGTTGCGAGTTTCAGCAGACTGACCATCTGGAAGCTGCCCAAAAAATGTCAGCTAAATGATTGTTTCAAGTGACAGACTGGACAGAACGTACCCTCCACTATCTGTCAATAGATTATAATTCCATCCTTGCAGCTTGTGAGCACCACCAACGGCGTCAAGAACCTCCTGGCCAGGCTTCAGGCCCAAATGGTAGGTGTTGTTCAGGCAGAGACGACAGCCAGTATGCTCCAGCTGTTCAGGAGTGATGCCCTTGAGAGACGCCTGGGTGGCCACAGGCATGAACACCGGGAGCTGGACTGGGCCATGAGGGAGTGTGAGAATGGAGGCGCGGGCTCGAGTTGTCTGGCTTGGAAGGCTCTCAGTCAGTATGGAGTCACATGAAGATCATGATCTTTTTTGAGCGATGAGACTGACTGAGCATTTGGCGATCAGTTCAAATGTGAGAGCGGGAGCTGAGTAAACGTTGGACGCCATTCTTTTTGTCATCAGCATTATCCACCGTTATTATTCTCTCTTGGAAGCCCCTGCTCTGGGCTTAGAAGAGGTATGCGTCTGCCTCTTCTCACGGTGAGTTTCTGGTCCCTCTCTCTCTGCCTTGGGAATTTCTTACACGATAAGGTAGAGGTGCGTTACCCTGGATCTGCACGAAATTTGGCGGGGCATCTGGAACCATGCGCCACACCCCGCCACAGCGAGGGGGAACCTCTGGCCGGATCAACGTCGGCAATTGAAAGCTGCGCTCAACTCCAGCAACTGAGAATTTGCATCCAAGCCGGCGATCGTATGAGCGGCATTCGATCCTGACCAGGCCCATTGCGCTTCCTCACGAGCTCCGACAGTCACAATGTCGGGCAGAGCCGTATCGCCCGGCGGGGCGCTGCTGAGGACATCGCGCATGTTCTCCATCCCCAAGCCGCTGCCTGAGCCGCCGTCGACGAACCTCCATATCGGCGATCACAAGTCTGCGACAATGACGAGACCGTATCCGCAGCACCAGTCCATCACTTCGCCGCTGGCCTCGCGGGAGAAGGGCGACTGGGGCCTCAAGCGCCCGTTCCCTCTCAAGTCGACCATGGCCACCTCGACGCCCTACATCCGGATCAAGCAGGTGGACACTGTTGAGAACGTCACCAACTTTGCTTCCGCGGCCGACCATTCGCTGTCATTAGAAAAGTTCCAAGAGTTGCGGGTGGCCATGTCTGTGCCGTTCAACCCCGACAAGAAGTCACATTCTGCTTCAACGCGGTCCGAGTTGTGGCACAAGTCGGTCTTTGAGGAGGATATGGATCTCACAGAGTTCAAGGGCGGCCGGGGAGACGACCGGAGATGGAAGTTCCAGGGCCCGTGGCTTGCGAGAATGACCGAGGGAGAGTTTGTCGAGTACTTGAACAAGAAGGTTCGCCCCAAGAGGGCACACTTCCGAGCACTCCTCAAACAGAAACTCGCGGACGACATCACGACGAGCCAGAACAAGGTTGCTTTGGACGAGGGTAGAGAGGCTCCCCCCAAGGTCGAGGTGCGAGACATCACGGAGGCGCAGTTCACAGACTACCTGCGCGCATTGCGCAACGACCGGGTGACATTGTATGCGCTCGTCTCCAAGTTCCTCGACCTGGCACCGCTGGGACAACCCGTCGGAATCATTCACGCTTTCTGGGCAGACCGGGACAGCGTTGCTCCCGACAGCCCCTATGGCAAATCCGGCCCGCCGCCGAGCCACCCCTCGGCCGGCATCAGCTACCTACGGACCAACGCCTTCATGGAGAACCACCCCGTCTACGGCCCCCAGGGCAAGAGAGCGCCCGCATTGGCCCGAGTGGTGTATCCCAAAACTGGTCCCATCCCTCCCAAGTTGGGCGTCGGCGGTTTCGTCGCTGACGCCCCCTCCGGAGACAACGAGTTCAACCCGAGGTACGGCAGCAGAATGTCTGTCAACAAGGGTGTGCTCAACGGCATCACGCATCTCGACACCACGACATTTGGTGGTGCCAAGGCCTACGTCGAGGCTTCGACCGCCACCGTCGATCCTAGCGGCAAGGTTGTCTTGCGACTCCGGGAGGCGGACCCCGAGGCCCAGGTTATCGCGCGAGAGAGCAGAGGCCTTACCGAGATTTACAACGACGGTCCGACGAAGAGCTATGTTCCCAGCGAACAGCCCAGCCAGCAATCAAAGCGTGTATCAGATGAGGCACGCCTGAATCGTGTTGCTGATGAAGTCTTGGGGGAGTCGTCTCGCTTTGATAAGCCATGAGGGGAAGTTACCAGCTATGGGCGAGGACGAGGGAGGTTCGGCGGTTACGAGCTCGGCGGATAGAAAAGATGGGCTGCACTGGAAGATGGCCTGTCACTGTATATTATGAAATTGCTATCAAATCTACCCGTGTCTCAACCGTGTAAAGCAGTCAACAGAGGAAACGAGTCTTACATGCTTGGATGAGGTTGTCAGTCCAACTGATGTACAGTACATCTTCCAAGATCATCTGAAAGGGAATAGCTCGGGCAGGTAATGGCGCTAACTGCGAATATCTAGTGCAATGCTACTCGCAATCGCGTCTGCACTCACACATTCCTCCACGTGACCCGACACGTGCAGACAATCTGAGCCCTAATCAATTCGGCTGCCAACCCCACCACGGCTGCTCAACCACCAAGTTTTCCTGGGATAGGAATTCCGCAACGCTTCACTCACTACCACCAGTCCTCACCACCACCTCGCCAACACCGTCAAAATGGGTCGCGTTCGTACCAAGACCGTCAAGAAGTCCGCCAAGGTCATCATTGAGCGGTACTACCCCCGCCTGACCCTCGACTTCGAGACCAACAAGCGCATCTGCGATGAGATTGCCATCATTGCTTCCAAGCGCCTGCGCAACAAGGTCAGACATTACCACATCAGCACTTGAAGGGCCGAATCCTCGACATTTGGGGACCCGAAGAAAGAAGCAAGAAGAAAGCAAGGGGGAAAGACTGTGTGGCTAACGGCGAGATTGGATATACAGATTGCCGGTTACACCACCCACTTGATGAAGCGCATTCAGCGAGGACCCGTCCGTGGTATCTCCTTCAAGCTTCAGGAAGAGGAGCGTGAGCGCAAGGACCAGTTCGTCCCCGAGGTCTCCGCTCTCGACTTCTCCGAGGCTGGCCAGCTGGACGTCGACAACGAGACCAAGGACCTGCTCAAGCACCTCGGCGTATGTTCTCACCCGACCTCGATACTCAAAACAACCAGGCAGAGGAATTGTATAACTGACCCTTTCGTGTATAGTTCGACTCCATCCCCACCAACGTCATCCCCGTCTCCCAGGCTCAGGCTCCCGAGCGTGGCCAGCGACGATTCGGCGACCGCCCTCGCCGCGACTAAAAAGCTTTTTCACTTTTTTTTGTGGGATATTGGGTCTCTGGTTTTGCAACATTTTGCAGGTTGGCGTCTCAGGATGGTAGTGAGTGCATAGATCTCGCACAAAAAGAAAGATCTTCTACCCACAAGGTGTCGCCGATTCTCTGATTAATTTCGAGATGACGCTTGATTGCCAAGAACCGTCCCTTCTCATCACGCTTTTGTGTGCATGTGACTGAATGCAGGGGCTTGCATTGAGCTGGATTTGCGCTCCGCTCTCACCCGATTTACCCAACAAATCGGTTGAAATGGGTTGACGAGGATCTCAAACCCAGCCAAGGTGCCTATGGACATTGTTGCGCCTACACCACGTACCTTTGCCGCCCTCAATATATGCTAAAGCCTTGATGAAATGAGCACCCAACGCCAAATTATGCTGCCGTGTCGATTCCCAGAAACATCATTCTGAATCCTTCATATCCTCCTCCGGTATCTTTGCTTTATGGCCGTCAACCAGTAGATGATCCTCTGTATTGGCATTTCCGACCTGGGAAGCCATCTCAGAAGGCGCCGCGACGTCCTTCTCCTTCAGCGTAATCTTGACCTTGTCCAAGGAAGAGGTGATTCCATTAAAACCGCGTTCCATCGCCAAAGCAGCCGAGTCTCGCGCAGCCTGCCGCTGGTCATCCAGCTTCAGCTCACCAAGCTTGCGCGCAGTCCGATCAGCCTCCGTCTCCGTAGACTTGTCCTCGTCCAAGAGATCAATCTGGATGTCGGGGATACCAGCCCGCTCCCAAGCGGCCGTCTCGTTCAGCTGGACCTTGACAAAGAGGGCTCTGCGCGCACATGTCTGAGAGCACCACTTCTCAAGCTCCTTGCGCTTGACAATCTCGCCGCTGCTCGTAAGCTTCCACTCCCCGCCGCCGCCCGTCTGGCGTCTTGGTTTTGAGCAGAGCGTGTAGCCGCAGAGTTCATTCACGTTGCGCTCTTCGATGAGGTCATCGTAGTCGGAGGGCTGGAACAGTCGCACGTTGGCCTTGAAGTCTGAGACGTCGGACGGAGCGGGGTTCGCAGAGCTGTAGGGGGCTTCTCTGACGAGCGGGTATTCTGATAGGAGGATGACGCTGTCGAGGATCTGGGCTTCGAGGTCTTTGCGCTGTTGGAGGAGGGTTGCGTGGTGGATGGCGATTTCGCGTGCCGTCTGCTTGGAGTCGCCCGGTGGTATAATGGAGTCTTTGAGGATGCCCTTGAGCCTGCCGGATCGGTCCGCCATGATACTAGTATGCCTCGCAGCCGTTTGTGAAGTCTTTTGGGTGTCTCAGATTGTCTGCAGTCAATAGGTACTGGAGATGCCGTTGTTCGTTGAAGAGTCTAGAAGCGTGTGATGGTGGTGCAGAAAAAGCACACCTCTGGAACATTTTCCTACTACGACCTATCACAGCCTTGGCGGCAGTCGAGCTGCGGCCCCACTATTCTAGGATGGAGGCCAAAGCTGCTGCCGGGCTTGCGTGCCTTGCTTCTATGGAGCGCGCTTCAGCCTGTCAGAAGATTGCTTACAGATTACAGGAGAGCTGGAGGGGTTTCTGCCTGTGGCGCCTCGGCCGGGTGAAAACATGGACCCGGTGGCGCAACGTGGGAACAACATGATTTTGGATAAGGTACCTAGGCTTTGAAGCGCTTGCAAGGCTCGTCTTGTTGCCTGTCTGTGTAAGGCGGTTGGGTCCGCGCAAGGGAGCCTGGTAAGGAGCATGCGTCGCCTTTGTCCGAATGTGAAGTGCAAGACGGGGAGCGATGGAACCATGGAAGGCTTTGGATCTTTCTTGTGTGGTGCATGTTCATGTGCCACAGCCGCGGGCACGAGGAGGCAGAGGAGAGGCTGTGTCAAGTTGTGTGTCGCTGGCGCTTCAAGTCCGGAGGTCCGAGAAGTTGGTTTAGGCTCTAGGTACCTGTTTTGTGTCTCGACTCGCCAGGTTTGTTTGTCAGATCCAATGCTGCAGAGTTGCCAAGGTGGTGTTGAGTCTTGGGGCCTCAGAAACAGAAACGATGGGCTTCCCCTTGCATTGACGACCATGGCGATGGAAATAGAAGTGTGATCTCGCATCCCTGGCCTAGCACGTTTCGTGTTGTGCAAGGCATGGTTCAGATGCGCCGGATTGCCTGTAACATCGCTCCACTGCAGCCTGGAGGCTCCTCGAAGCTCCATCGTGTATGTTGTTATGTACATATTTGAACGTTCGAGAGAACAACGCCTGTCTCCTCCTGTCTGTCTGTCTGTCTGTCTACTAGTATTTCCCTATCTGTCCGTCTGCTCAGGCGTCTCCTCGCTGAATGGACAGCCGCCTGCCAGCTTCCAACCGCCCAAGTGACGAATGCGGCACATCCTCGGTACCGGTACCTGAGGCGACGACCGATTGACCCTTTTTTGCTGCAAGCACTGTCTGGCGCCTCCGCCACCGTCCACGTACCCGTTAGCTCATCCGGACGGTCCTCCAGGTACTGCTACTTGAGGCATCGTCCTCGTCATTGCCCTGTGGCCGCCGCCTGTCATTGTCATGGTGCGCTGACGTCGACGCTCGACCGGCTCTCAGCACTCACACACACACTCTCTCTCGCACGCTCACCACTCAGCAAAAGCAACTCGCAAGCCAGAGAATCCACCGCGTTTCACGGCCTCTCTTGCGCCGTGTTCCATCCTTTTCCCACCCTCAACCCCCGTTTGCTTCTTCCTACTGCTGCTACACACCGAGGCTCGCCAGCTCCAGACTCGCTGCTCGTCTGCGTCCGGGCTGAAACCGCCGCTTGGCCAGCAATTACGCGACGGCCATCCCCCTCACCCACTGCCTCCCCACGTTTGAACCACAGCCACTCACCGGCTGACCAAGGGAACGGCTTCTCTAGCGCCCCCACAGGCGACGACAGCCTCCTCCTCCTCTTCAAAGCCTCCAACCCGCCTGGAAAGCTCTCTGGGCTGGAGTCCAGCAACTGCCGCCGCCCGCAACCACGACAACACCCGCAATGGCCGCCCTGTTCCGCGTCAAGGCGCTGTACGAGTACTCGTCGCCGCACGAGGACGACCTCAACTTCCCCGCCGGCCAGGTCATTGCCGTCACGGACGAGGATGACGCCGACTGGTACGGCGGCGAGTACGTCGACGACGCCGGCGTCAAGAGGGAGGGCATTTTCCCCCGCAACTTTGTCGAGAAGTTCGAGCCCGTGGCGCCCCCGCGACCCGTGAGGAAGCAGAAGCAGGAGACGGACGCCGCCGCTGCTCCCGCTGCACCCCCTCCGGAGGCTCCCGCCGAGGATGCGGCCGCGCGATCGACACCGCCGCCCGTTGACGTGGCCTCAGAGCTCTCGCCGAAGCGAGGCGCCGAGCCCGTCAAGCATACCCAGCCGGCAGAGCCTCCTGCTCCCGCTCCCGTTCCCGCTCCGCCCGTGCCCGTGCCCGCGCCTGCTGCCGCCTCTGCTGCCGCACCCCCGCCAGCAGCAGCTCCTGCGCCAGCTCCGGTGAATCTGCCAACCTCGCCCAAGCCCGCTGACGCTGCTCCAGCTGCCGGCGCATCGAAACCCAAGGTCGCCCCTCCGCCGGTGTCCGAGAAGCCCAGCTCCTTTAAAGACCGCATTGCAGCGTTCAACAAGTCAGCCGCGCCTCCCATTGCGCCCTTCAAGCCCAGCGGCCTCAGCGGCGCTGGCTCCTCGGGCTTTATCAAGAAGCCATTCGTGGCACCGCCCCCGAGCCGAAATGCATTCGTCCCTCCTCCTCGCGAGGCCCCCGCCGCCAGAGTCTACCGACGAGAAGAAGACCCCGAGATCAAGGAGCAGGTGGCCGAGACCCAGGGACAAGCTGAAAAGGCCGGCTTGATTGCGCCCGAGGCCCAGAAAGAGGACGAAGAAGACCAGCCCAAGCCCACTAGCCTCAAGGAGCGCATTGCTCTCCTCCAGAAGCAGCAGATGGAGCAGGCACAACGCCATGCTGATGCACTGTCCAAGAAGGAGAAGCCGAAGAAGCCGCCGCCACCTAAGAAGCGCGTAGACTCGCAAGCTTCTGCTGCTCCCGAAGCTGCGGAAGGACCCGAAGCGCCCGAACGGAAAGACACTGATGAAGCTGCTCCGAGGGTCTCACTGGAAGCCGCTCCTTCTGAGGCGGCTCCCCTACCACCCCGAGCCCAACCCGAATCTGGTGCCACGGAGTCTACTGCAGAGGAGGCTGCTAATGGTGCAGCTGCCGAAGCGGATGCTGATGATAACGTTCCGCGACGACTTTCTTCTGCGGCCCCTGCTGCCCCTGCCGCTGATCCAGAACAGCCAGCTACGGAGGAAACAGTGGAGGAAGAGCAGGAGGAGGAGGAAGAGGAAGAGGAGGAAGAAATTGACCCCGAAGTTCGGCGCAGAGAGGAGCTTCGGGCACGCATGGCCAAGATGAGCGGCGGTATGGGTTTCCACGGCATGTTTGGTGCACCAGCGCCGCCGATGGGAGGCGGCCTGCCGAAGAAGAAGGCACCCAAGCCGCCCACAAAGTCTGCCGTCACGCGGGAAGAGGATGTCACTCCACCACCGCGCGCTCCTCCTGTTCCCACCATGATGGCACTTCCGGGCATGGGTCTTCCAGTTAAGCCCGCCGAAGAGACAGTCAAGCCTGAAGAACCAGAGGCTGAACAAGCACAGAAATCCGAAGAGGGAGATGCGACCCCTGTTGCGGCTGCCTCCTCGCATCCTGAAGAAGGTAAGCTTATATGGACACGAAGCATTTCAAATCATCTCTATTAGCATGCTAACACTGTTACCACCGCAGAACACAGAGCACCACCGCCTGTGCCCCAAGAAGACTACTCTGCTCCTCCCGTCCCCTCAGCGAGTACGTATAGATATGGCCCCTTCACCATGATTGTGTACACGATGCTTACCTCTACAAAGCTCGACCGCCGCCCCCTCCGGTCCCCGCTGGAGGTATGTGAACCATACACTCTACCTATCCACAGATGTTCTTATGCTAATCTCATATTGCTGTCCAGCTCGATCGCCTCCACCGCCTCCGCCAGCCGCCGCTGCTATCAGCACGGCTACGGAGGGATCAGAATCTGACGATGAACTGTCCAATGGCGCCCGCGAGGGCGATGAGTCGGTGGCATCTGTGTTGAGATCTCCGATCCAACCACCCGCTCAATCGTTCGAGGCGTCGCTTCCTCCGCAATCGCCACCCCGGCCTGGTGCGTTCTCGCCCACATCTCCAAACAGCAAGCGTGCCAGCAGACCCCCGCCGCCTGTGCCGGGCGCCGCGTCTACGCTTGCTGCAGTTATGTCTCGCCCGCCGCCGCCTCCGCCACCTAGTGCACCAAGCCGACGATCTACGGCGGAGTTTGGAGTGGCCTCGCCAACTAGGCCTCCTCAGGCAGGAGAGCAAATTGGAGAGGCAACAGAGTATGAGGGTGACTACGATACGGACATTGCCTCGTCAGTGCCTTACAAGGATGCCTTGGCGGCGAATGATCAGGAGTCCAGCCTGGAAGAGAGCAGCCTTCAGTCGCCCTTCACCGATGTGCCGCCAGACGCGCCCCCTCCAGTTCCGGCTGCTTCGACGCCGAGAGCGCCTCCTCCGCCTGTGCCACAGTCTCCGCCTCTCCCGAGGCGATCCAACGATCTGTCGCGCTCCGTTCCGATCCTGCCGCCTCCGGCCCCTCCGCCTAAGCTGGCCTCCCCCACGTCAGAGGAAAGCCACGATGCTCTCTTCATCTCCAATGCGACTGCGCCTAAGCCACAGGATGCCGCTGAATCTCCGATTGTAGATGAGCCGACTGCTCTCTCCTTTGAAGAGTCTAGAGCCGTTTCGCCGCCTGATCGGAGGGTCCCGCCTCCGGTAGGAGCGCGCCCGCGAACCTCTGCCGACATGCCCAGACCCAGTCTGAGCGCTCCCAGGAGATCGATCGATCACCACCGCCCGTCAATGGACTCTGGCTTCATCGCCGGAGACATTGATTTGGCGGTGCAAAGCGGTTGGTGGAAGCAGTCAAACCAAGTCCCCCCCGTCCTCCAGGGCAGAAAGGACATCTACTTTGAGTGCGACGAGTCAACGACAACGAATCAAGGCGAGAAGACGATTATTAGCCGAGAGACATTCATCCTCTTCCAAGACTATTCGCAGACCATTATCACGGCCCGCTACGACCCCTACGACCCGTCAAATGTTGAGCTAGAGCAGCGGCACGAGGGTCCTCCCAAGGCTATGCGACAGGACCAGATGGAGGAGGCCTACGACACCTTTGGACGACGCATCATCGCCGCAGCTAGTGCTAAGAAGGATCAAGTCGTCGGAGACGGTACCGCGGCGAGCTTTGTTCTAGAAATGATTCGACCGCTAGAGGATGCCCTGCTGCCTATTAGCACTAGATCGTACGGTGCCCTCGTCTACGCCAACATGGCCAATGCTTCTACCCAGCAGCACGACGTCATTCGCCCCGGCGACATCATCACCATTCGTAATGCCAAGTTTCAAGGAAAGCACGGGCCAATGCACGCCAAATACACCAGCGAGGTTGGCAAGCCAGACCATGTCGGCATCGTGGCCGAGTGGGACGGCACCAAGAAGAAGGTGAGGGCTTGGGAGCAAGGCAGAGACGGCAAGAAGGTGAAACAAGAGAGCTACAAGCTGGACGACCTGCGGAGCGGCGAGGTCAAGATCTGGCGCGTGGTCTCTCGCAGCTGGGTCGGCTGGCAGAAGAAGCTCTCCTAGTGGTACCGGAGCTACGAATCGCCTGCCGGTCGAGGCCTTTTGTCTTGAGAAGGGAGTGTAAAAGATAGAGATGCGAGGGAGGGTATCCGGGGATGCAGATTATAATCTCATAACATAGCACGACAGACTCGGCGTTTTTATTTCTCGCCGGACTGCGTGTGTGTGTGTGTTCCATTGAAAGAGCGCGATGCATGTTTGGCTTTTTCTCTTTTCCCCTTCTCCGCCAAACATGTGTTGTGCCTGCTTTTGTACGTTTATGCATCTGTCATATAATCTTCCACTTAGATGTTTGATTTGCCAGGCTCCCCTCATGCGCGTGATGTTGTGTTTTGCTTGTGTGAGTATTATCGGCTACGGTGAGCATGGAGATACATAATGGTTTGAGTGAAGATCCCTTTTATGCGTGAGATGGCTGGTTCTACCCCTTGCATACCTTATATGGCTGCGTTTGATTCGACAGACATGAGTGCCTACCTAAGTGATTGTGTAAAAAGAGGGTGTGTTGCATTACAGGGAGGACAGGGGTTGAGGATGAAATAAGCGTACATGTATCTGGATGACTTGCGTAGTAGTAATATCCCACGTAAGAACCGGTGTGCCTGGCGGACCCTTATAAAACAATGTCTCGGCTTTTTTAGCAACGGACTCTTGTTCTCGAGGGTTGATGCGATGGGCGGCTATTGTAGGGACTTTTGAGGCGCCGGCTATCAGAAGTTCTTTGGGGTTGAGTGTCTTGGATTGCGTGTCTTCAAGTTGTACGGGTTGGGTCGGTGATGATGGGTGCGGTGTGGCAGGTTGTGATTCGATTTCACCTTTGTTGAGCCCGCCTGTTTTAATGAGTCGGATGATGATTGATTTTGCAATTGGGTGAGTTCTTGATGATTGTTTTCGTTATGAAGTAAATCACCGTAGCACCACAGATCCAAGCTGGTCGGCTTACGAGACTTGTTGTTGTAACATGGCAGATACCTCCAGATTACATTTATGCAGGGCAGAGCGCCTTGCGTGCTCCCTTGAATGTCTGGCAGGTTGCTTTTACTCAGTCGTCATGGCAAGGGCAGATGCGGCATCGACTAAGCCTGGGAATGTCTCATGAGGGACGGGCTGGATGAGGGATGGCTTTTGTGTTGTTTGAAGGGCTTGACGTGTGACCTGAGGAGAGAGACAAGACGGAGATTGACTTTCTCTGCTCTTTCATCCTCTCTCTCTTCTCTTTTCTCTTTCTCGTCCTCCTCTCCTTCTTTGAGCCTCAATTCAAGGATAAGATTTGATCTTGCTTCCTCCCCGCCTGAGCCTCTTCTCCCCAAGTTCTCCATCCACAGAATCCTTCAAGATGCCCGCAGACTCAACACAGCCCACCAAGGCCCTCGCCGACTTCTTCCCCAACCAGCGCAAGAACCTCCCCATCGCGCTCACCACCGAGGACGTCAAGGGCAAGACATACATTGTCACCGGTGCCACCGGCGGCATCGGCTATGAGCTCGCCAAGCACCTCGTGCGCCTCGAGGCCAGCAAAGTAATCATTGGCGCGCGCAACGAAGAGCGCGGCAAGGCCACCAAGGCGACCATCGAGGGTGATGCCGGACGCAAAGATGTCGTCGACATCTGGCCGCTGGATCTCGCCTCGTACGACTCTGTCAAGGCGTTTGGCAAGAGGATTGAGACAGCGGAGAGGATTGACGCGCTTGTCTTGAACGCGGGCGTTTCGCATGCTGGGTGGCAGGTCAAGGAGGGCAACGAGGCGCATCTGACGGTGAACTTCATTTCGAACTACTTGCTTGCTTTCATGGCGTTGCCGCATCTGCAGGCTGTTGGGAAGACGCATGGGATCACGCCTCGCCTTGTGGTTGTTGGATCGATGGGCGCCTTCTTTGCGGGAGAGAGCGTCAAGAAGTTCCCCTCGAAGGACATTTTGGATGATCTCAATGACAGGGCCAAGTGGGAGAGCGACTTTACGAATCGGTACTCGGTGACCAAGTTGCTTGAGCACTGGGCTGCGCGGCAGCTTGCTTCGCTGCGGCCGGTGTCTGACTTGGGGGTTATCGTGAATGTTGTTGATCCGGGGTATTGCAAGACGGGACTGAATAAGGAGCTGAGTCTGTGGACGAGGGCGAAGGCGTGGCTGGCAAAGGTCATGCTGGGACGGACGCCGGAGATGGGGAGTCGGACGCTGGTGCATGCTGTCAAGGTTGGGGAGGAGAGTCATGGGAAGTATTTGACTTCTTGCGAGATTCGAGAGTGAGTCTTCTTTTTCTTTGCAGTGTTTGTCTTTAATGTGATGCTGATGTTTTTGTTCTTTAGGGATCATATTCCGGAGTGGGTTACCAATGAGGCTGGGCAGGCCGTTCAGAAGCAGGTTTGGGATGAGCTGCTGGTGAAGCTGGACAAGATTGAGCCTGGCCTGCCGTCTCGTGTCATTGCCGACTGGGCGTGAACATGATATGTTGGGGTTGACTTATACGGCTTGCGTCTACGAGGGACGTTGTGCTTGAACGAGGGTGCACTTTGCGAAGATTGATGTTGTTCTCTGACTGCTTTGATACACGAGGCGCGAGGTAATGGTTCTGTGTCAATCAAATACGCACACATAATTCTTGGACAGGTTGATGCTCTCAGTCACTGGCGCAGTCGTGTGGTGGCATGTATGTGATGGTGTCGCTCTGACAAGGCGGAATCGAGCTGGACGTAAGGAGGGCGAGTCTTAATAAGATGGGCTTGCACCTACATTGACATGTTGCATTTGCAGAGATTGCACCTCTGTGTCTACAATTGTATCTTGTAGTGATTTGAATCACTGTGATTCTCGACTAGCAAGTAGGAGCTTTCCATGCAACGCCCCAGCCCGTATGTTTGTTTCCGATACCTATTGAAGGTACAGGTCGATTAACATATACCGTGCTCACTGCGCCTATTGCTCGACGGTAGCTGCTATGATACTCAAACGGTCAAAGAAGTGACCATCTGCTCTTGCTAGTCTCAAATTGCCTCTAGTCTTTGCCTCATAAGGCAGGATTGCACTGCCAACTCATAGCCGGGGCCACGGCTCGTCAAGAAGTCCAAAACATATTGGATATTCGAGACTGACGGCTCGTCATCGCCAACCCCGTTCAAGACGATTGGGGATTGTCCAAATCATAGCCAAACAGCCACAACAAGAATCGCCACTTCCAACCCAACTGCAATTCGGCAAACCGTGCCTGGAACTGATACGGATATGCGTTGAATTCTTCCGAGCCGTGCGGCATCTCTCCTGCATCGGGCGACTCAACAGGAGTATCGGTCGTGACATCCTCGTCATCTATCGTGGAGCGCGCACTACTGCAGCCATCACAAGAGCAAGATTCGCTCCATAGACAGTTGTTTTCAGGGGCGCGGATGTCGCAAGGCACTTCGACGACCCACATGGGGAAGCATTGCTGGTTGGCAAAGGCGTCGAATACCTGCGAGAGGCAGTATTTTCCGTCAGCCCACCGAGTGATGGCCAACCTCGAGGCCTTGCGCCATGTTGCCGTGGTTTCCATGGGGCTTTGAGGTGCCCATGTCATCCACAGTCCGGAACTCTGGGCAGTCAGGCCGTCCCCGTGAACGTCGTAGATGCGGAATTCATCGCGGGGATTGATGCTTGATCTGCCGGAGCAAGCTTCGGTCTTGCAGAACCTGAACTTTCCAAACTTTCGGCTCTCATCTACGACGTCGTATTGACCTCCCATACCAGGCCCAAAGAGACCATCGCTGACTTTGAAGAGGTAACACTTTCCTTAAATCCCATGTCATTAGTACTGGCTAATGGTAAAGACGAGACTTCCTCTGGAACTTACCCTCATAGAGGCCCGATTTGCAGGATGGTTCAGGGGTATTGTCTTGACAGAGGCCATTGGCATCCTCGATCATGTCGAAGGGGCAAACGCACTCGCCGTCGGCCAAAATCTTTCCCAGGCTGCTGCACACAACCCCCCTGGCGAACTGGTCTAGTGGGCAACATCTGTAGCCAGCCTTGTCCGATCCTGGCAGATGCTGTTTCGCGTCACAGCAATGCGAGGAGGCAGAGTCATTGCCTTGAGCGCAGCATGCTATTTGGGCTCCTTTTTCATTCTGGGTGAGGATGAAGGAAGCCAAAGCAAGGTGAAGAAAGAAGACTCCTATAATGAGGAAGCTGAGACGAAATGGCTTCATCTTGTCGATATGCCCTCTACGCGTACGGGATGATGAACTGGCAAGTGATGAAGCAATGGCCGTGGGTGAAGGTTTGGTTGTTCTTGTTGGCTACGTTCCCAAAATATGTTCTTTCTTTTGTGTGTGTGTGCTGCCTACCTTGCATGGGACATGCATGATTGGTTATTCTGGTTTATCTGCAAACGGCTGCTCTCGCTTGAGTTTCTGCAAGCTGCCAGAGCAGTCGGCTCTGCACGTGACGATTCATGGCCATATACGACAATTCACTTTGGTGGAAGTGTTTGCGTGCTTTTGAATCATGTTGCTTAGGATATGATTAACTCCATGGAAGTCGTGATTATACGTCTTCCCCTCCCCTAGAGTTGCTGAGCGAGATGATGCCATGGTGGACGCAGTAGGAACATGAAGCATATGATGTCGTTGGTCAGATGCGACAAGCCTGCATTGAAAACTATATGAATATGGAATAGATTAAAGAAAGTCTGTAAACAGAACCGTATCGAAAGAGAGTGTACATGTATCGATCACTTGGTGGTTACGTGGATCAGATCTGTCAGTAGAGAGTGAAGAGACGCTGCCTGCCTTCCGAAAGTCACTTCAAACGTCGTGTGGTGGCATGTATGTGAATGATGTCGATGCTACAAGGGAGAGTTCACAGGGGGGGGGGGGCACGTAAGTTGGGAGTCTTAGTAAGATGGGCTTGCACCTCTATTACATGTGAAAGCATTGCAATTGCACGCTTAATACACCGTATCTGCTCAGTCATGTGGATGAGTTCAATGGCTGGAAATGCGATTCAGTGGCATTCATTGCGGTTTCATGCTCATCTGCGTCTTCTCTACACAGCTTCACCCGCAAGCAATATACCTACCGGAGAGGGTTCTCCATCAAGTATACTAGTTGGTCGCGGTCTACCTTTACTACATTCTGTCAATCTCAAGCCGGATACATGTAGTGGTGTTCTCAAGTATCCGGGACAGCGAGGTCGCCAAAATACATGTAAGCAGGCCACCGCGTCTTCAACACGCGAGCTTACCAACCCCCCGGCTGCCATAATTCCTCGAAGCAGGCATTAATCCCAGATATGATACTGAATAGTGCATACATGATTCCTGCTGCACAGATCGCGATGCAGAACAAAGAAGTAACGAAAGAGAAAACCAGAAATAGAAGCACAAGCCGTAACATACCGCCAATCGTGGAAGCATCGTCAGCCACCTGGTGATGAGCATCATCGTAGCCACCGCGACGAGCGTTCCTCCAGAGGTGATATTTCTGCAAGGCTTCTGAATCACAGTGCACCTGGACAATCTTCAGGGGCAAGCAGACGTGGGCACCCGACTCATGGTCTATATGCGTGAGACAGTGGCTTCCGTCAATGGATTCAGTGATTGAAAACCATGTGGCCTCGTGCCATGTCGTAGTACGGCAGTGGTCGTCGGTGGTTGCGCACTTGAGCCACTGACCGGCGTTCTGCTTGCTGCCAAGATTGCTCTTGTTGCAGTCTTGGATCCGGAATATACTAGTGTCGGTGCGCTGTTGATTGATGGTAACAATGGCAGACGTACTGTCGCAGGCTTCGCTCGAGCACAGGATGAACTTGCCCAGGGCGTAGGTCTGACTCTCTTTTGTGTCGGCGTAGCGGTCCTCTTCAGCATGGTCGAGCAAACAGGATCTGCTACTCTGGAGAATGTAGCACCTCCCTATATCCCAGAGGCTTTGTCTCAGTCAATGGCTCACATATATGGATGACATTCTGTTGCAGGCTCAGTGTACTCACCAACATAGAAGCCTGCGTCGCGTCTTTTGCGAATGAGTGAAGAAAAGAAAAGCCTGCAGATGTCAAGCTCCCTATCCTTGACCATGCCTGGGGGGCAAATACAACCACTGTCCCGGGGTCTCTCTCCAGGGCCACATGTCCTTTCTACGGCAGCAGAGGAACTATCTGTGAAGTCCCCTCTGAAGCAGCATCTGTAGCCTTCTATATCCTCATCTTGTAGCTGGTACTCGGGGTCACAGTACATGTAATCTGAGGGAGAGTCTAGCCGCTGGGAGTAGTATAGGATGGGGGATCCTTCATCATTCGTGTCGATCCTGGTGGGAAGATTGCGGTAGAAGAAAAACACCACCACAACCAGGAGACTGAGTTGAAATGGTGTCATTGTGGCTTTCTGTGATGAATGCCGTAATCTTGGTAGATGTGGTTGAAGCGAGGTATTCGTCGAGATATTACTGATGAGACTTTTCGAAGGGTACCTATGCCTGTTTGTCAGGTCAGGGCCTCGGCCGCTCTAGTCGGCTACTGTTCAGAGCTTGCTCCCACAGGGTTTTTGTTCTGTTCTTTTTTGCAAATTTTTGTCTCTCGCCCATTCGACGACTCCTGACTGATTGATGTTTGGACAGCCGTCTGGCCTTCAGCTTCTGCCAGCTGACACCACACCAGAGCACATGCAGGCTGGCCTGCACGTGATGTTCCATGACTGCCTTGATAGGTTAATTCACTCCAGTTGAAGTGATTGCCTGGGTCTTAGATCGGGCTGCTTGTGAATACCTGGAAGTTGTGTTCTTGCTCTCGCTTTCCATCGGAAGGCTGATCAAGGCAATGCCATGTTGGGTGCAACATATCACTTAGGATATCGTATCTAGATGCTGCTGCTTTAGACTCCTTGGTGTTGCAGAAAGCCCACTGAGTTGTGCTTCTTGTAGAAGTGGGTTGTAACGGTTATCAAGGGTCAGTGAGACCAAGCCGTGATTTCATGTGAAGGGTATCCATGTGTCAGTATTTCGTACAAAGTGAAGAGACGCTGTATCTGGCGGCGCTGGGTTCTCAGCCGCTTCTCTTGCAAATTAGGCACCTGGGTACGTCTTTTATTATTCTTGACATCTTGAAATCTGAGGGTACATGCCAAGTTGATTCCTGAACCACGCTGGATGAACTTTCGGCTGTGGCAATTCTCGGCAGATGCCAGGTTGCCAGGGTTGATGGAGCAGGTAGGTATGTACCTATGGGTAGGATACCTACCTCGGTAGATGCCAAGCCAGATAGAGACAAAGCAAGGGGAATCGAATCGAATAGGGTTATGGTGTTATGGAATAAGCTGTCGTCATCTCGTTTCTCACAAAGTTTACTGTAAAGGTTAATTGACATTGGCAGATCCCCCAAAGGACGCGCAACCCTCGCACAGGTAAAATCTGGGGATTGGGGCGGTGCAGGAAGACGTTGGAAAGTGGCTGAGCGCCAGCCAAGGGGGGGCTCTGCTTCCTGAATACGAAGACATTGTGGGAGTTGACAGCGGTATCAAGCACGGAAATGGGGCCGGAAGCAGACGAGAAGAATCACGACTGGATTGAATGCACGTAATAATTGATCGCGGAGGGGGGGCTTGAGGAGTTTTGATGCAACTCCAATACCCCATACAGCATCACAAGAATACGTAAGATGGTGATGGTGGTTGTTTGCACAGTTGATCCATCTGCCTCCACACTATGCTTCATGATACATAGCACATATGGGTTCAAGGAGGACGCTAGAATGACAATTGCCGGCGCACAACTAACGCAGTAACCCGTATCAGCGGCTCTTGTGGAGAGTTGGTGGCCAGGCTGGTGGATGACGACTTGGACGTGTAAGTCATGTTGATTGTGATACCAACCTGAAAGTGGTCGAATGTTGATGCCGAGTCAACTTAGTACGAGTTGAAGAGTGTTTTGGTGCTTCTTTCCCAAGAGACGTTGATTTCACACAGATTCAGTTTTCACACAACAAATCCGTAGGCTTTTACTTTTTATAGTCTTGGTATGTATGCTGTATCCCACCGTCCCATCTCCCATCGTATGGATACCTAGTGTTTGCATAGGTGCTGCTGTCCCTCCTCTTCGCGGTCCGTCTTCTTCTAGCCCCAGCCAGCTTGAGGTCTGTCAACAGCCTGGGCTGCCTCTTTTGGCGCTCCAGCTGCTAGTGGATTAGGTAGGGGAGCAGCAGCGCTAGAGCCGCTAGAGCCCACTAGAGGTGCTGTCGCCGCAAGCGCCCGCCCCCACAGTACATGTAGCTGAACTGAGCTGGAGCTGAGACAGGCATTAATGACAGACTTGACAGGGCACCTCGAGAGGCGTTTATCCAGGAACCGCGAACCAGCAACGTCGGGCTGAAGCGAATCCATTGGCACCCGTTGCTTTGATCCCAGGTTCTTTTCTCCTTTTACAATCATCTAGCATTTTACCGTACCAATTCATCAGCACCGGACTCGCGCTTATTGTCGAACAAGCCATACCTATGCCCAGCTGAGATCCCGCCCGCTCCGTTGAGCATAGGTCGCTCATTTCTGGCTGCGACAACCGCAGCCGAGACATCGACGGTTCACAGTCAACACCAAATGCCGGCACCACAGGCCTACAGGCACTTCTACGAGTACTAGGTACTGGTAGTCAGTCGGCATTGGCAAGCAAAGATGCCTTCATTCACCCCCAACGAGCGCGAGCGCAGGATTCTGCAGCTGTCTCAGCAATGGGGCATCGTCCTCCCGCCCGTTCCTCCTCCGCTATCACGGCCCATGCAACCGCCCTCGTTTCGCACGCCTGCCGACGACGAGGTGGCCGAAGCTCTTGTCCAGCAGCGGGCGGCGGAATCAGCAAAGGCGCGTCCCAAGAGCGGCCTCAGAGGGGCCTTTTCTTCAAACAGCCTCAAGAAGGGCAAGGCTGTCGATGTCAAGGATGTCCTCGACGTCCTGGGGCAGTGGATCGACAACACCGGCTCGCCGGGCGTCGCCGAGGCTCTCATCCTCAAGCTGACGGCGGCCGGCGTGGATCTGGCGGGCTCGCAGCAGCACAAGAGCGGCATCCTCAGCAGGAGGAAGAGCCTGGACAGCTTCGAGGGCCGCACCCAGCTGCTGAGGTCTGCCGTGGAAAGAAACATGTCGGACATGGTCCGCGTCCTGCTTCCCCACGCCGACTCCCTTGCGCTCGATGCGTCTCTTACCATTGCCATCCGAAACGGCAATGCCCAGATTGTCGAGAATCTGCTGAGATATGGCGCCAACGCCTCGCGATTGACCGAGACGCAAACCGCCTTTCGTCATGCTTGCTCCAACCATGGAATGTCCGGCATCGTCAGCCTGGTGCTTCAGTCCGATGGCCGGCCTCCTGCGGCTCTAATATCAGACGCCATGATCGATGCCGCGAGGGCAGGCAACTTACAGACCGTCCTCTATCTCAGCCGCTCCACGGCTGATGGAAACCATCGGCATGCCGAGGCCCTGAGGCAAGCAGTTGAACTGGGTCGGAAGGACATTGCAGTGGCCATCATCATGGGGAACCTGCCACCACAGCGGCCTGGCCTGGACAGCGCCTTTCAAGCTGCCTTTGAGCACTCGTCGATGAACCCAGCCTCCAAACTGGAGCTAGCAGAGCTCTTGCTGTGTGCCGGCGCCGGAGGGGACTTCTTGTCCCAGGCCCTGGAGCTGTCATGCGAAACCCAATTCTACGACATGGCCAACCTGCTGGCCGTGTACGGCGCTTCAATAGAGTATAACGACGCCTCGATGCTGAAAGGTGCCATTGCCCGCGGGCAGCTAGACCTGGTCAACTCACTTCTCCACGAGCGAACAGCTCTGAGCCCTCCTGCGGCGTCAAGTTGTGTCGCGGCCATTCCAAAGCAGGCTGCCTTTGAAGTGCGCTACTCGTTGCTTACCCTTTTGCTGAAGAAGGGGGCCAACGGCGAGGCGCTACATGAGGCTCTCATCAATGCTGTTGAGGCTGGAGATGTAGATTCCGTCGAGCTGCTTCTCAAAACCCACTTTCCAACGACGCAATCCAATGGACACAAGCCCGTCACCAGTGGGCGTCACGCCGTTGCGTCTGTCGATTATAAGAATGGGAGAGCCATCGGCGCCGCAGTCATGCAGTCGAATGTCGAGATGACGAGGCAGCTCTTGGCGGCCCGACCTTCGGCTGAGACACTGACGGCCGTCTTTCCACTTACCATGAGGTTGTCAGGCACAGACCGCTACCAAATGGTGGAACAGTTTCTGAGACACAAGCTACCTGCATCAACGTTGCATGCTGCCCTTCAGGACGCCATTGCTGAGGATATCTCTAAGAGAGATGAAGCACTCGTTGGCCTGCTGCTACAGCGGGACGCGGACATCAACTTCAACAATGGCGCCGGCCTGGCTCCCCTCATTGCACAGAAAGATACCCGCCTTCTTATGCCTTTATTGAAGAAGGTAACGCCACAGACTGCGGCCGCGAGAACATACGATGCTATGCGAGTCGACGATCACAGGACGAGATTCGGAATCATGACATCCCTGCTCATTGCGGGCGCCTCTGCCGGCGTGGTCGAAGTTGCCACGGCATTATCAGAAACCCTGACCGAGAAGCCTGTCGACATGTCACTCCTTGCGCTGTTGCTGCAGAAAGGCCTTGCCGATGTCAATGCTCTGGACGGCGTAGTCATCGAAAAAGCGGTGCTCAACCCCGACCCAAAGGTGCTGGAACTGGTCTTTAGTCTGGGAAAGCCCACAAGTCAGTCAGTAAGCAAAGCACTGCAAACCCTTGCTTCGACCACCCCGTCCGACGGGAAGACCTGGAAACTGCGAGTGTTGTTGCCGAGGTCCGATCGCAAGGAGGACTTGGATAGCTTTCTTGCTCAAGAAGTGCAGTTCCTTGCTCAAAACGTGGGAGGTCAAAAGCAGTTGCCGCTCGCTGCGCTCGAGTTGTTGCTGGAATCCGGGGCCGATCCAAATGCATACAAAGCCGCGGCCTTGTGCCACGCAGTCATGGGAGGCAACATTCGCATCGTTGATTTATTATTCGGACCGCAGTGCCGCTTGAACCAAGCTTCTCTGCGCCTCGCGCTCCCGCATGCCCTGAGGCTGCAAGATCCTATGAACAGATTGACGCTGACCAAGAGACTCGTGGAGGCTGGGATCTCGCCGCAGGAGGTCAATCAGGCGTTGATCCATGCGATCAAGACGTACCCCGAGGATTTCGGCCTCATACGGACCCTGGCTGGCAAGGCTGATGCTTCAGATGGCGAAGCTCTGTCCCTCGCCGTATCCAAGGAGTCTGTGGATGTGACTGACATTCTGCTGCAAGTCTCTAACCACTCGGTCAGTAGCCGTAGCTTGGCGCTGACTCGAGCGATGGAAATCAAGAACCGCCCAAGCAGAAATACCCTATGCCAACGGCTGTTGGCATACGAGATTTCGGCGACCGCGGCATCAAACGCTCTTCTGGTTGCCGCTCGTGAGGGCGATGTCAAGCTGGGCGACATTCTCATGTCTCATGGCGCGAGCATGTCGGAGAACAATGGCCAAGCCGTCATCGAAGCATGCCGTGGAGGCTCCGTGGAAGTGCTCAGAGTTCTCTTGGGAACGGATATGCAAGTGCACAATGCGACTCTCGAAGAGGGGTTCCAAGCAGCTACTGAGGTTCGCGACTTGAGCAAGCGCGCCATGATCTTTGAGCTGCTCCTGGGTAAGGGGTTCAGGGGGGAGCTTGTTGATGCGCAGCTGGAGACGGCAGCAAGATATGGGAAAGATGGCCAGGCGATTCTGAGAGTCTTGCTTGTTGCCGGGGCAGACCCGAATTATACCAATGGCGAAGCTGTTGTTGCCGCAACGAGAAGCGCCTTTGTCGAAAACCTGGAGCTCCTCCTCGGTCTTTGGGACGAAGGTGATAGTCAGGTAAAATCCCAAACGCCGCGACTTCTTGCTTTGTGTGAAGTTAACGTATGGTTCTGCAGAAGAAAGTCTCATCCCCTACACTAATCCGGGCACTTAAGGCGTGCTGGAGCCTGAATCGCGACACTCGATATCACATAATTGGCGATCTTATGAAGGCCGACTTGCCCGTGGCAGAAGATTTACACATTGCTCTGAATGATGCAGTAAACGAAGAAGATCCCGAAGAGAGGCTGGTGAAGCTTCTGCTGGACTACGGAGCTTCACCCTCGGCAAACGGCTGCAAGACCTTGGTCGATGCTGTACAAAAGTCTCTCTCCCCAGTGTTGGCTCTCCTGTTGGATGTCGAGATTCCGCAGCACGACATTGACATGGCGTTCAACAACTCATTCAAGGCCGACAACTTTGATGCTTGGTTTACACGGTCCGGGTTGGAAACGGCGCAGATGCTATTGACAAAGGGCGCAAAGGGCGACGCTCTTAGCGAAGCCCTCGTTCAAGTTATGAAGAATGCCAATTACAACGCCGAGCTTGCTGATGACTTTTTCGACGTCCTCACCTCTCATGCTCCTAATGTCAATTATCAGAATGGCGAGCCGCTGCGGCTTGCGGCATCGCAAGCAAATGTCGAATGGACGCACAGGCTCCTTGCGTGCCACCCATCCACAGAGACGCTCACGTTTGCGTTTCACTGCATATTCGATACTGCCCTATCTCAGGACGAAGTGTTGGAGCTTTTCCAAATGTTTGCAGATCATCACGATGGAGACGTTCGGCTCGATGTCATGGCTACGCGTGCCGGCTCCATGCCGGTGCTGGGGAGAGCTATTTCGCAGTATCCTCGCTCCTCAACCATCTTGACGACGCTGTTGGATGCCGGTTACTATTATGATCAGTCCATGCTATACAAGCTTCACGAAGAAATTGAAGAGGAGGAGGAGATGACGCTGCTCACATGGGCCATTGCCCAGCCGCAAAAGAAAGTCAGCTCGAATCTGATTCAGATCCTAGTAGAGCGTGGAGGTGAGTGAATCACGAGAGATAACATGCTGGCCGAAGTTGCTGACATTTCAATGAAGCCAAGGTCAACGTCGCCACCAAGCTGTCGGGAACGACTCCTCTAATGCTAGCTGTTCGAGAACGTCGCCCAGACATCGTCAAGTTGCTTCTACTAGAGGGGGCTGATGTAGATGCCATGGACTTTTTGGGGAGAACTCCAATGGCCATGGTGTCCCATCTGGGCGGCGATGTCGCTATCAAAATAATGTCTACTCTGCTTGCCGCAGAACCGTCCAAGGACGATGGTTCATTACACAACGCGGCTCGAGATCTCAACCTTACAGCAGTCACGGTTCTCATAGAGGCGGGCCACGATCCAGACTTTCCGAGCCCGCTACACAATGGCCGCAGCGCCCTCGGAGAGGTTTGCTTGCATGGCGCAGACGGCGAGGAGATGACGCCCGAGCGGGAACGCAAGATGCAGAAAGTCATGACATTCCTGGTTGAGAAGGCCAAATGCGATCTCACCATCAAGCTGGACGGCAAGTCCATGCTGTACCTCTGCTTTGAGGCTGCAGATCCAGTCTCGACGACACGCGCCTTCTTGAAGAGCGGCATGTGGAGGTTTGTCAACAAGCCGTTCAACCAGTATGCGGACGAAACGTTTGTGTATTCGCCAACAATGTATGTCAACAAGATTATGACGTCGTCCGACGCCCGTGATGAACTCCTCACCGTTCTTCGCGCCAACCGCGCCACGGACGTGTTCTACGCCAAGGAAGGCACTCAACCAGAGGGCGCCGTCGGATTGCCGGAGGATATCGAAGTACGAGAGCGTCTCCGCAAAGCCCGCTCAGAGCGGCTTGCGGAAGAATCCCAGGACTTTGCCGTTGCATTGGCCAGGAAGAAGGAGCTGGCATCCGTCGAGCAGCAGATACAATCGCAAAAGGCGGAAATGGAGGATGCTCGTCGCAGGAGGCTACAGTCAGAGGACCTCGCTACCGTCCGCTCCAAGGCGCAGTTGGAAGAGAGCCTCGCAAACGATGCCTTTAGACGACGTCTCTCGGAACAGCGCGCCGTGACGGAAGCCACACTAGCGAGCTCCAGAGCCATGGCGGCGTCTGAGCTCGAGGCCGAAGAGGCGAGGCAGCGCAAGGCGCTGGAGTGGGAGAACAAGCTCAACGCGGAGCGAGCGGGCAATGCGCGCGCTCTGATTGAGATGCGCATCGGCGAGAGGGAGGAGCTGGAGCGCATCGACGTGGCGTCTGAGCAGCGGATCCAGAGGAGGCTGGAGGCGCAGAGGCGGTTGGTGGAGAGCCAGGAGAAGCTGGCGAGGAGGTTGGGGGATGGGCCTTTGTCGTCGGCGGATGCGAGGAGGCAGATTGGGTATGTTACTGAGTTGAATTAGGGGGGGTTGCTTTGATTTTTCTAGAGGAGTTTTGTTGACTTTTTTGGTCGTTTTGGTAGGGATGGGAAGTTTTGACTATGATGCTTTTTGGATTGGTTGGGTTGGATTGAGCGAGCGTTGCTTTGTGAGCATGATTGATTCATTGGTACCATCTTGGAATACAATTTCTACTTGTACTTTGCGCTTGACTACCTAGACACGATGTGACTATGGTTCTTAAACTGGCCATTAGAGACGGATGGTGGTGAAACTGGTGAATCCGGACACAAGTTACAGAAGCAAGTTGTTGGGGATGAGCTGGGGTTGCCTTTGTCCCAGGACGCAAAGCCTCGAGAGGGCGGGAAGATTTGCTGTGAAGCATTACCGCCATTCACTTCAAGTGATGGCTTCAAATGAGGATGCAACAGCGGGCAGCCTGAAGTGTGCCTTGCGGTCGTAAGGAGATATGAGTGGATGTGGGACTTGGGAAAATGTAGCATTTTCTTCACCTCTTGAGGGGAGTTAAAAATGCTGTGAACCTGGGAATCCACAAAGATGGTCCGGTGGGGCGGTTGCTGAGGCCTTTGGGGAGTGTTGAAAATGCTGTGAAGATGAGGGTGTGATGGGCTGAGCTCAAGCTGACAAGTGTCCCAAGATCCTGCGCTTTTCCTCGTGGCGCATCAACTTCAACTTGCGTGTCAAGGCATGATTGGGTCTAATGGAAGGAAGATGCAGGGGATGCGGTAGAGTTTCGCCATACTACATAAACTCATTGGAGGCTTTCCATCTATCTACAGGACAGAAGTATGAAGGGGCCCGATAGACTTTGGGGGGAGATTAAAAATGCTGTGAAAAAGAGCTGGGGGACTCCAAAACGCCTGAAGTGTCAGTGGAATCAATTCTTCATTTTCACTGGTTGCAAGCGTCGTTCAGAGTGCTTGCTTTGAATTCTTGACGATATGGATTGGCGAAGCTTCCCCAGACCTCAAGGGAGGTTCACAACGCTGTGAAAGGGTTTCGTATTGCAACTGACAAGATGGCTACCAGCCTCGCTGAATTGCTGTAAGGTCAACGAAGAATACATACAAGCATAAACCATCGTATAAACAGACTTATGACACAAGAGCACCCCCTTTTCCTACCAATTCTCCCAGAACCGAGCCGGAAGCGCAGTCCGCATCACCTTCCAATGCCCAATCGCATTCGCCAACTGCCCCTTACCAATCTTATCCGTCCCATTCCTATACAAGACGCTGCCCTCTTCGTCCTTGCCCAAGGCAAACAGCTCCCGAGGTAGAATCTCATGCTGAGGAGTCAGGAAGCTCTGGCGAGAAGGGCTGTTGAGGTAATCCCCCGGCACCGGGTCGCGAAACGTAAGTTGTTGCTGCTGTTGTTGTTGTTGTTGCCCTTTGGCCGCCTTGCGGCAGAAGATGACGACGTTTGTGAAATCCGCGCCCGTCTCGGCAACGACTCTCTTGTCCGGAGGGTTCTCCCTAAAGAGGCGGCAGGTCGGAAAGGTTTTCAGAATGGTTCGGACAATGGTCTTTGAAGTGGGCAGCATCAAATCGCCAGCGTAGTTCTATATCTCTCTCAATATCAGCCAATTCTCCCATGTTTTACATCGTTCCAAGAATGGGAATTAGATAAAAGGGAGGGGGGGGGGACTACGCACAATGGCAATGACACCATCTGGCTTCAGCAGAGTATAGAGATTATTCAGAAACTCATAGGTAAACAGGGCCACGGGCTCTACGCCGCCCGTAAAGACGTCGTGAACAATGTAGTCGTAGACTTCCTTGGTCTCATTGGCGGCCTTGTTCGTGTACTTGACGGCGTCGTCAATGACAGGAGGGTGGTTCTCCCTGAGCTGAAAGTACTTTTGGGCAAACTCGTACACGGCCGGATCAATCTCCACAACCGTCGTCTCGATGCCGTGAGACACCAGTGCCGACGGCGTCGTGCCAATACCAAGGCCACTTTGACATTCGAATTGTAAGTCTCGTGCATTCCAGGGGGGGACGGTTTCCAGGGTCAAAAAAAAACTTACATGACCAACGCCTTGGCCCGCGAATCCGCCACCGGCTTCTCCCTCTCCACCAAGCGGATCGCCTCGAGGTTCACAAAGACGGCGTAGATGGGCTCCGTCACCTGGTTCCCCCGCCAGTCCACCCAGTCTCCCCCCAGCAAGCTGTGGTCGGCCCGCATGACGCGCATCCTGCTCTGCGTGTTCTCGACGACCGAGACGTACCCCGTCACCGACTCCCGCCGGTCCAGCAGCAGCCAGTGGTCCGCCTGCAAGGTGGTGTTGAGCAGCGCCGTCGCCGCCGGCGTGGCCACGTGAGGGTTGAACATGGCCGTGTGCACCAGCGCCGGGATCGCGAGGGCGAGCCACCTCGAGGGCGCAAGCACCGCGTAGCACCCGGCCAGCAGGACCTCCAGGCCCATCCGCGTGTACCAAAACACCGTCCCGACGTGCCTCTGCAGCATCTTCTCCGCAACGTGCTCAACCAGCTTGAGCACCCCCCACGATCCAATTCCAGGAGCAGCGTCCGCCAGGCTCCTTGGCAACGAACTCAGGTCCGCACCCTCCAGCTCATCCGCCACGGAAGCAGCCGTCAGGATCGCCAGTGGAACCAACGTCGCCCCCTCCGTCACGAGCGGCCCCCAGCTCGGCCCCAGCGCCTGGCTGAAGCCGTACAGGAGGCACTGCACCGCGGGCACGTACAGCGCCACCAGCGGCAGCAGCAGCCTCGCCGTGAGCAGCTGCCTCAGCGCCAGGTTGCCCGCCCAGCCGACGAAGCAGCCGGCCATGAGCGCCTTGGAATGCCAGCCTGCCGCCGACGCCGGCACGGCCCCGTAGACTGGCGACAGCGCCAGCCGCGAGGCGTTGGAGTAGACGCCCAGCAGCGTCAGCAGCGCCGCCGCCTTGACGTAGAGCGTCGCCTGGCCCAGCAGCCGCTGGCCCGGCGTGTCGCTCTTGGCCTTGGCCGCCAGGTCCTTGAGCTCCCGCTCGAACCGCTCCGGGGTGAAGCCTAGGGATGCGTTTGCAGCGGCATCATTGTCGTCGGCCTTGGCTGGCTTTGCTTGTTTCTGGCGCGCCATGGCGTGTCGGATTGAGGGAGTGGGGCCGGATATGTCAAAGATGGCGAGAGACTCTGAAGTTTCCCTGAGATTGACCTCGGAAAGAAGAAGAAGAGGTAGGTTATGCTCTCTCGTGGATTTGGAACAAAGAGGAGAGAGGCGGGTGGGAAACAAACCAGATTGTTTGCAACAAAACACACGACTTCAGATGACCAGCATCTAAAGTGAAGCAAATGGACATCAACCGGTTAATTGGCTGAGGTTGGAGGACACGCAGAGGGTTACGTTTCAACCCTCATCTGGCCAGCTTCACGCAGAGCTACATATCTCGCGGTGCTTTGGCACTGTGGCGGTGCCAGTTCGACTGAGCTCCTGAAACTGTGGCGCATGAAATCGCCCGATTGGGAATTTCGTTCATCAGGGGTCGTGGGACACACAGCAGCACAAGAGAAATCTCCGGATGTCCTGGAGGAGCATCTTGAGCTTGATTATCCCTTGGACTACTGAATAGATGGTGGGATCGCCGTCGTAACAGTTTGAAAAGAAAGGTAGTTTTGTTCTTCTTACTAGATAGTCAGAAACATAGTAGCTCTGCACTCAGACCACGCAATGGCATCAACCGTCACGTCATCTCCAGCGAGGCGAGCACGCCATATTCGCATGAAATTATAAGAAAAATGCCATCTTTGCTGGACTGCCACTCTCCAGAACAAACTCGTCCATCCGATTGCTTCGTTATTTCTTTGCAAAATACCATCCCGTCGCCTCCCTTGAAAACGCCTGTATGAACACGTCCGGATCCCCGCTGGCCTCCAAACGGGTATCTGCTCTACCACCTCCCACGATGACATGCTGCCAAAACGAGCAGAGGTAGAATACTCATCAAAGAAGAGCCATAAAAAAAGAAAGAAAGAAAGAAAGAAAGTACACAAAGGGTGAGGAGAAACAAAACCATCAAGCGTAAGTCATCAAACTCCTCTATCGTGCTGCTAGTGAACGGAAAAGGTCAATACTAATACCTACTCATACCAAAAGTGCCGCCACAACAATTGTTGCCAAAATCATTCATTCGCTTCCAAGTCACATTATTCAAGGCCGGAATAACCAAAGGGGGGTTTCAAACAGGAACCAGAACCTGCAGCGTCTGCTTTCACATGGGCGTCGCGTAATCGTCGTCTTCCATGCCTTCGTCGCTGCTCTCCGACTCGCTGCGAGGGCTCTGGGCGCCGCTGACGTCTGTGCTGGGTAGGTTGCTGAAGCTTCCCAAGATGTTGACTCCGCCGGAATAGGAGCTGGGCATGGACATTGCGGAAAAGTCAGCCATGCTGCCGGAGCGACTCATCGACGGCTTTTCCGGGAGCTGCTTCAAGAGGCCCGTTGAGATGTCGAGCATGGTCATGGCGAACTCGGTCAGCCCCTTGCTCTGGCCCGGCTTGGAGCTGACCGACAGTGTCCAGCGGTATTCGCCCAGTCGCCGCCTATACCACTCCGCCTCTTCTCGGCCCGGCGACGTCGCCCAGAGCAAAGATCCAAACGTTCCAATGAGGGCAAAGTTGGTCTTTGAGGCAAAATACCAAAACGATTGGATGTGGTTGGGCATCAGTCGGTTGACGAAATCCATGGCCGAAATCAGGCGAGCCTTGGCGGCGCTGCGGCAGATGTGCTGCACGTACGAGTCCACCGACGATGAGTTGGACGCCAACGATCGGATGATGCGTCTGTGGAGCGTGATTTCCGTGGCAAAGTAGCCCAGGTGCAGATAGCCGACGCACGACAGCCTCGACGACATTCTGCTTGCCGAGTATGAGTCTAGCCGAATGTTGGTGGGTAGTCCTGCGTACCAATCCTTGAGCCTGAGCTGGATGGGCTTCGCGAGTGACAAGACCAGCTGCGTTCCTCCGGCGCCAGCGTTGGCGACTGTCTGCATGGCCTGCAGGGTGTAGAACGTGTCGAGAATCACGGAGAGGATTTCGGAAAGCTGCACAAACCGTGTAAAGACGAGACGGCCCTTTTCAATGTCTTGACGCTCCTCCTGATCGTTCTCGTCCCATTCGACATCGGGAAAGTCGTTGGCACGCAATGGTCGGACAGCCCAGTTGGAAGGGAAGATGTGAGACGGCCTTCCATGGACGAGAGCACCCCATTTGTCCTGCATGTATAGAGCCCACGCTAAGCGCCTTCGCAGCCCCTTTTCCCACGGTGGAATCTTCCATCCCGAGCAGTCCAGATGCAGCCCGAGCTCTTGAGCAATGGCAACCAACTGGGCCGTCGGAGCCCACTGGTCGCCTTCGGGTCGCTGAGACAGCAGCAGTCCGGCCTGGATAGTCGACAGCTTGGGTCGGTACATGGCGTCCTCGAGAGTGCTGCGGACGAGCTTCTCCAGCGCCCGCACGTCGGGGCGAGGGAGCTTGGACAGCTCGTCGTGGTGATCCCACCAGTTGATGGCGAGGATGTAGACGGCGGCGAGGATGGGTGGTGAAAACTCGCGATAGGACCGCTCATACTTTTCCATGAAGACGGTCTTCTGGATGATGGGCATGCCCGGGTGGACAACGCGGAAATACAGGTCGACGAGCTTGCGGCCGTTCGGGGCGACAATGGCCTCGATGGCGTCGAGATCCTCCACTACATGGTCGTATCCGGGCGTGTTCTGGTCCGGGAGCATGAGGAAGGTGTCCGAGTCACTGACCTTGCGGAGGGTGCCGCGCGCCAACAGGCTCTCGTCATGCGTGTCAAAGGGCGAGAGATTGATCAGAGAGGGCTCGAAGTCCGTCGTGGGGCCGATATATTGGCTATACCGATCTTCCTGGAGACCCAGTGTCCGCTTGAGCATGGTGGGGCCGCCGACATTGGCCATGTCTTCCAGGAACGAGCTGCTGGCGGCGGTGCTGGAGAGGCTCGAGTTGTTGTTTCTGCGGCTGGCAATACCGGGGGAGCTAGAAAACCAATCATGTGTCAGACGGCTCTCTGCAGCGTGGGACGCGCGTTTGGCTGCGAGGGACAGGATAAAGGCTGGATCATGTGGTGGAACAAGACGAGGCGAGACGGTCCGGCAGCAGGGGCGGGGAGGGCTGAAGGGGAAAGCAGAACAAGACGAAAACGGGGCAAGGCGAGGCAAAAGGCGAGGCAAGGCGAGGCAAAAGGCGAGGCAAGGCGAGGCCAGAGGAGAGAAGGCAGAGGACTTGAGCAAAGCAAGATAAAGGCAAGGCAAGGCAAGGAGATGGCTCGGCAGAAGGGGAAAAAAACACAGCAAATTAAACATCATACTGACCCTCTCTTGACACTCTCGTCGGCAGAATCCCCGTTAAGCTTCCTCTTACGGGTCTGAGGGCTCGGCGCCACTAGCGAGCACTCGGTGCCGTTGAGCTGACAGGGCATGCAGCCATCGTCATCCTCGGCCACGGTACACCTGGTGCCAGAGAAGCGACAGGCATGGCACGGGGGCGCGGCCGCCCCAGAGAAGGAGCCGGAGTCGACGGACCCCCTGCCATGCAGGCTCGCGGGGCCTATCTCGAACCTGTGGGAGCTGTTCTGGCGGCGTGGGAGTGGGAGTGGCTCCGGCCGAGGAGGCTTGGGAGCAATGGCGATTGGTGCCGTGCGCTGGATAGTAGGAGCGTCATGGGCCATGGCTGGGCCAGTCAAGACGAGCACCAGCTCGTGCGTATGCGTGTCCAGTGACGGGGTTGGTCCGCGGCCAAGGTAGTAGGTAACCAGTAGAATCCAGCTAATGCTCTCTGCGATATGTATGTATTATGTGCTGCGTACAGGTAAGTTGAATTGTTGCAGATAAGTAACGGCTGGAGATACGAGACCACTCCGGGAGAGATAGAGATTTGGAGGTGTTCTGCTTTGCTGCTAGTCCCCCGTGGTGCTCTCAGAGATAGCAACCTAACAGAAGTAGTATGAAGTAAGCAACAACCGTAACGGCGTTTTGTCACAAGCAGCCCCGGGTGTGGTCTGGTGAGAACGGGCGGGGGGGGGCGCACAAGAGCAAGGCTTGCGGGAAGGCTGCTTGACAACGCCGGTCCCCCAGAGTCTGGGAGTGATGCTATTCGCTGCCCCGGGCTGGAACGAGGCTCCCCACGCCTGGCAAGGACTCGGGTATGACGCAACCAGTGCGCAGATTCAAACGGGGGGGCTCGAGTTGCGGAACGAGGAACGAAGCACACGAGCGTCCCGTCAGTCGCCCCGATAACGGAAACGGCGGAGAGATAAGAAACCGACCAGGCAAAGAGCAGCGGTTGCAGCACTGGTTGGCCAGGACAAGACTGGAGTCTCGAGATCGGCCCTGGTTGCTTTTTTTGTGGGTGTCCGTGATAAGGTTGCTGGAAAAGGGCGTGGCGCTACTGTTTAGTCCGAAGCAGATAAGGAGCACGAGCAGGACTGGTCGACGACCCGGTCGCTGGTCTCCGCCAAGGACGGCCGATGTCGAGCAGCAGCAGCAGGTTGGGGAGTTTTGGGGGGGGGGGGGAGGGGGATACGATGAACGGCTGGGCGTGGTGAGACTGCGCGCTTCTTGTTCCGGGGGAGAGGATCTTCAGGTGATGATGGTGGCCAGGATGAGATAGGCTTTGGTTATCGGCGTCATTTGAACCGGGGGCGAGGGGCCGCCTGTCGAGTATAAAAGCCGGGCGAGATCACCACTGGTTGTTTGCGTTGCCGTGTTGGGTCGCCTTCATCAACTTGAGACTGCTAGGAGCTTCTTCTGGCGGAAGGGCATCGGACGAGGCTTGGGGGACGGCACGGATACGCAAGGACGCGGCGGTATCAGCAGATGCCGTAGCTACTTATGTATGTGCGGAGGGATATGACAGATGATGGATGAACGGCCTGGAGCAGCAAGCTGAACGGGCCAGGCCGGGGGAGGAGGCGAGGTGGAAGAGGCTGAATAGCCACGGGTCAGCCTCTTTCGTCTTTTCCTTCTTTGCTCGTTTCGTCACACTCTCTGTCGCGTTCCAGGCTTCCGGAAATGGCCGGTGATGATTAGCTGCAGACAGCAATCGGGGAAGGGGGGTGTTTGGAAGAAGTCAAAACGTTGCAAAATGTGAGAGAATAGAGGGAGAGAGAGAAGGACAAGGACAAAGGCGTGTCGAGATGAGTTTCCGGACTGGACTGGACAAATGCCAATGACATGTGCTTCCCCAGACCAGGGCTACCCTTTTTACCGGAACGGACCCAGTGTGCATGGATTGTCACACAAGCGATGGCACGCCTTTGGGCCGGTCCCTCGCCGATGCTAGTGACGAGTCCGGCGTGAGCCAACCCAGCCGCGGCGGTTTGTAAAAAATGGCGTTTGCTTGGCGATCTCAGGCAGCCTCGAGAACGATTCTGCGGGCGAAAGAAGGGGTCCTGTCTGGCTTATCCTAGGTATGATTCTGCAGGCATTCTATTCGTTGACGCAACGATGCCGCAGAAGCCAGAGCTGGGCAGGCGGCAATATCAGAATGGCCGTGGTGATGATGATGATGATGATGATGATGCTGGCGATGATGATGGTGATGATGATGCTTTAGTTGGGAGAGGATCGAGTCGAGGTGAGTTGGTCGAACCATGCCAGGCCTGCGGTCAAGCCTCAGGTAGAGTACCTACATGTACCTATCAGCTGCGCCAATCGGGCACAGTCAGACAGACAGCTGTTCAGACTGGAAGCAGGAGACCTGAATCATCGGCTTCTGCTCGGTGCCCCATCAAGTACAAGGTACGCGGCATATCGCCCGCAAATCGCGCCGTTGGGCGGGTCACCATTACTCAACGTGCTACGACGGGGGACATGTACATTAGGTACCCTCTCCATCTGAGATCCGTCCGGATAGGATAAGGTACATAGGATTGGACGACGCAGATGGATCCCGTCCCTCTGCGTGTGGGATACGGATACAGACAGACTCAGACGTTGTTGGCATGATGACAAGGTACGACGTTGAGTATTTTGTACGTACTGGAAATGCTCGGCGGGAAATCCCAGTGGCACAGCTGCATCCGCAGTGCTTGCTAGGCGAGCTTGGCAGGTGAGGACAAGGCGATGGCTCAACATGAAGTCTCACGCATCCATCCTCACAGAGCGACTCTACTCGTTCTTATTTTGTTTTCCGGAGCAAAACACCACGGAGATAACAGTATTATCAACTCCGCTAGAACAAGGCAAGTGAAGAGACGAAGACAGTATTATGCATATGGCAGTAGTATGTAATAATAGTCTCATGAGTCAAGCACGGCAAATGTCTCGGTGGCTTTTCGTGCGTGTTTCCGAACACCTGGTTTCAGGTCTGGTCTCTTTCTCGCGCTTCTCCCCGAGAGCTACCTACCTACCTAGTGCCTGCGACGGAGTAATAGTGGCATTGATCCCCTATGCTACCTATTAGTTGCTGGCAGAGTATCATCACCGCGAGCATAATAGCAGAGAAGCAGCATGCAATCCTAGTACAGTAGTACTACGAGGATACTAATACTACCAGGAAGTCAATGGGGAACGCTGATGGAGGCAATGGGCCCATTCATGCATGCTCGATGAGAGAAAAAGGCAACCAAAAGCACGCAGGTAGCCGCGATACCTCTAGCACAGCGCAGCCGAGGAGCCACTTGTGCTGCAACTCGTCCGTCCTCCCTGTACGAGAACAGCATGTGTGCGCGTGAGAAGATGAGATGTGACGCGGCGCGGACAAGATACAATGCAGCTGCTTTGATTGATGGCCGCCAAGGTGAATAACTGGTACAGGCAGTTATCTTGTCATCGAACGCAACGTACTGCACGAGTATGTATTTCGTGCGAATCATCTCACACATCAACCAGTCCTCGGCAGGCAATGCCTAAACTCCCCCTACCAATGAGAGACTCCCGCAACAGTCAAATCAGGGTCCCTGCATTTGATTTGACTTGATTGATCCCATTCTCCGTCAGGCTGCAGGTGGTGGGGGGGGGGAGGGAAGCGTTCAATTCTCATCAGCAAATAGCGGTGCCGACGCCGTTGTCTGCTAGTTTGAATCGGGCCTGCAACCTTGGTCTTATCGGTGACGGATCGAAATTATCAACCGCAAGAGATAACCCGGCACCACATCTTTTGCGCGCTTGGCGTGTACATACTGTGATACCTTGCAGGTGCCGTTAATACTAGTGAGCACGACGACGACAGACGACGGAGTCAGGCAAAAGCGGGAGAGTCGCGCTAGGAGGATGCATGTACGTCACCGTCTTTGGGGCTGACTCTCCACCCAGCTGGAGATTAGATTCGGCGGCATCGAGTCAAATTGCCTTGAATTCTTCAATTGTGCCTGAATCTGGTGCTTGAGCTTGGCCGTTAGTTGAGACGTCACAAGAGAGGGAACTTCCAAACCGTAACCTTCTTAGCTACCTTAGGTATTAACAGGCTGCCTCATAAGGTAACGGACAAGGCAACTCCTTACTATCAAACGCCAATAGTATACCTATGGCACCTCGTTCACTTCAAGCACTCGACACGCAACTGTTCAAGATCCATCCATCCCTACAGAACCCAGTCAGCAAAAACAATAGTAAGCAGCATCAACAACAACATCCCTTGATTGGCTCCAACAAGAGTCCATCCAACTCCCGTCCCCCTTCAAACTAGTCCCCTCCTATTACCAAATCGAAAACCATTCTACTGCAGGCCCTCCGAATACCTCTCACGTAATGGCCATCGTTTTCCCAAGCTGGCATGTCACCACTTCTCAAAAAACCCTCCCCTTTCCCATGTTATTATTCAACTTCGGCAATCCCTTGTTTCCCCCTCTCCCCTTGTCATGCACGAGTGTCTGCGCGCATCTTTGATTCAGCCTCATTGGGTGCTTTCAGGCAACTTCTCTCGTGCCGTGTTCCTCAAATCCTGTAATAATACAATGGCACAACTCTCTTCTCTTTAATAAGACGCCAAGGGGCACGCAACCGAGCCTGCCACAACGCGGACGTAGTAATTCTTCTGTCCCAATAGCTTTTAGGAAGCCGGCGATGCCCCCCCAATCTTTTACAATTCTCGTCGTAACAACATCATGCAGAGCAAGATGGAAAACGGCGACCAGACGAAAATAGTTCGGATCATCGCCCCAAGACCAACCCCCCCTTGACCGCGGAACACACACGTGCCCCCCACACACATCGCAACATGTAGTAAAAGTGCACTCACGTTAATCATGTATTATTTGTTCCAACATTCGACCGATATTTGAGGCCTTTTTCTGCCTATGGGGATATTCCACGAAAGAGCGCGCCATCCGTCAAACATGCATGCAACACGTAAAATAAACGCCTATTGCACCTACCTAGTAGTAGTAGTCGTGAAAATTGTCCAAACAGCCCCTGTGTTGGAATGATAACTGAGCCGCGCGCCGCGCCGACGCCGAGTGATTACCTCTACAATGCTTCATCGGCTCCATCAAACAGACCCCCCCGATCTTCGCTCTCAAAGAAAAACACTCACTATTACAAACACAGAAAGTATCAGGCCAAACGTAGCAACGAACTGCCTTGCCTTGTTTCTGCAGGGACGGTTCGTTCGCTCCCCAGACCAACCCGATCCAATCAACAGCACCTTAAAGTTCCTCCAGATATAACAGACTCGGATCGTCCCTCGCAGGGCGCCGTCAGCCGCTCAAGTCAACTTGATGGACGTCATAAATACGGTAACGACAACGGACGGTAACGACAACGGTAAGAAGAGGGGGGGGGGCATCGCTTCGGCCCTGTGCTCAATCAAGACAAAAGACACGAAAAATGCTCCAATCCACATTCAGATACCGCCGTTAGTCTAGTATGTATACAATATCCTCCGTTGGGCGATCTAGGAAACGGCCCGTTCACTTCGTGATGGAGATGACACCATGTACGTAATAACAAGAGTTCCATTCATGCAAGCAAGAAAGAGACAACTAAAATCCCGCCGCAGTGTTGAGAGCGAACACGCGAATCGATCCTTTTCCGCTCCCTCTCAGGGTCAATACCAGAAATCCTCTTTGCAGCCATGATACAACCTATCTGAACAAATCTGGGCAATCTCAGTTGTCGTTGATGACAACTTCTACCCCGTGGAGAAAGATTGATAACAGGATGATAGTACTCGTATACTAACATCTCAATAGGCTATATATGCCACGTGCATGTGGGGAAATCCATCATGATGCAAAACTTCGAGATGCCATCCATCCTCAACCTCAGCTCATCCGCTCTGCTATGTAAACCCCTTCATCATAAAACGTCAACATGGCATGCTGTCCATCCATCATTGTCCAAAATCTCATGCAACCAAACACACCTCTACAATCAAGAAAAAAAAAGCTCTCTACACGCTCTCCTCCTAAATTCCTCCCCGTTCCTCAACCCTACCCTATCACAATCCCCCTCCCCGGCACCCAAACCATACACCTCTCCTCATAAACCTCCGTAGGCTCATCCGCCCCCCTCCTCGGCAACACCATCGACAACTCATCCCGCACCTCAAACCCCATCTTCTCGTAAAACCCAACAGCGTTCATCGTCGCCTCCAGCACGATAGGTAGCCCCTCCGCCGCAGCGAGCTCCTGGACTCTTCTGATAAGTAGCGTTGCGGCTCCGCGTCCGGCCCAGCTTGGATCCGTGCAGAGATATGTCGGGTCTTAGGAACATGAGGTATACCAGATGTCAGCATCTGCGGTCAATAACAAATAGCTAACCATGCCACACCCAACCCCCCCTAAATCACCCCCCTTCTCTTCACCCCAACGCAAAAGCGAGCAAACATCATCAAACAAAGGCTCATGAAATAAAACTCACGATAATAAGCAGTCCCCCTCCCTAAAACTCCCTCCCTCACCCTCCCCGTCAACTCCGCATAAGGATCCAAATACTCTTTCCTCGCAACATCCGGCCACTCCTCCTCATCCTCCTTCTTCTCCTTCTTCTTCTTCATATCCCCCTCATCATCACGCCCAGGCCGATGAACGAGCCACTTCACAAAACTCACAACCCTCCCCGTCCCCGTCCCCTCCTCCCCCTCCTCTCTCACCACCAAAACCCCCTTATCACCATCCCCATCTCTCAAATGCTCAACCGTGTCCCTCGCCAACCACCCGTGAAAGAACCGCAACCCCTCTGGACTCGGAAACTGCGCGTGCGTGAGGAGGTTCTCGTCCATGGCCCGGAGGTGCACGTCTGATATCGCGGGGGCGTCTGCCTCGGACGGCGTGCAGACGATGAGTGCCATTGTTCTCTTCGGATCCCAAAACGTATGGTATATTCAAGACACACTCAGACTCATTAATTTTTAGGACATCCAACGTTGAGAATCGACCAATCTTCTCTTGTAACTTGACATGTACCTGCCAACATGTACTCACGATCCACCCATTCATTGGTCAAACTGCACGTGCTTCTTCCCCTCCATAATTCGAAGCCATCTCCACCTCTCGACTTCCCCACCATCCAAGTACTACAGTACATACTAACCCCCACGCTTGGATTTCAAGCCCTTCTTCAGGCACACACACACACACAAAGTCGCCTAGCCTGTATAATGGCAAATATCAAGCCGGCTTCTCAACAATCGGATTGCGACCTTAGCTCAGCTGGGAGAGCGTCAGACTGAAGTTCCAACTTCAATCACCTGATATCTGAAGGTCGTGTGTTCGATCCACACAGGTCGCATCTTTTTGCCTTTTTGACACCCTCGACCATGCGGTATCCGAGATAAGAGGAAGCGGATGGATATACATGTTATGTCATCTACCTGCTACTGACGTAGCCTTCATTCACTCACCCGGACTGTATAAGAGTACATGCAATCAATGAATGCTCTTTATTTTTCGCTGTAACTCTGATGCTCCATGTCTTGGCCGTAAACCTGCAACGCTTATTTTGCAGAAATGCCCAGTTCCTCGTAAAACGCCTCCGTGCTGGGCTCTCTGCCCAGGAATTCCTTCAAAAACTCCATCTCCTCAATGCTGCCGCCACGCTCCAGCACCGTGTGGCGGTATCGGCGGCCTTCCTTGCCGTCCATGGGGTTCTTCTTGAAGAAGGAGTGGAACATGTCAAGGGAGAAGACCTCGGAGTAGAGGTAGCCATAGTAGCCGGCGTCATAGCCGCCAAGGAAGTGGCCAATGTTGGCATATCGGTTGCCCCATTCACTGCCTCGCGTTAGCATACAGTCAACGAACAAGATGGGGTAAAGGAAAGGGCGTCGTCATACATGGTTTCGCCGGCATCTTCCGGACCCTTGATGCCCGAAATATCGTGGCGGAGCTGGTTCCAAAGCTTGCCATAGTTGGTCGTCTCGGCCTCCTCGTGCGTCTTGGGCGAATGGACAGTCATGTCAAACGTGCCGATGACGAGCTGAGCCAGCGCGCCAATGGCCGAGTTGAGATGCTTGGTCTTCACCAGCTTGTCCACAAGCTCGTCGGGAATCTGCTCACCCGTCTCCCAGTGCTTCGACAGCGACTTGAGAACACTCGGCGTCCAGCACCAGTTTTCGAGCATCTGAGAGGGAGCCTCGACGAAGTCAGCCACCGTCGCAGTGCCATGGGTATAGCTGTAGCGAGTTCGGCCGGCAAGGTCATGGATACCATGCCCAAGCTCGTGGAAGAAAGTGACGACCTCGTGGTGCTTGAGCAGAGACGGCTTGGTCGCGGTCGGCTTGCTAAAGTTGCACACCAACGAAGTCGATGGGTAGCTCCTCTTTCCGTCCACGGTGAGGAAGCCCGGCTCGATGCCAAAGTTTGCGTAGTGACCATACTTGTTATCTCTGGGGAAGAGATCGAGGTAGAGGTAGCCGCAGAACTCTCCACCCTTGGCTGGTTCATCCCAGACACTGTAAATGATGACATCTTCGTGCCAGGAGATATCTTCGGCCTTGCCGGTTGGGCTCAGCCGTGCTCGATCCTCCGGGCCGAGCTCAACGAAGACGAAGCCAAAGATTTCTTCAAAAATCTTGAGCATGCCAGCAAACGTTGGCTCTGCCGGGAAATACTGCGAGATGGCAACCTCATCCACGTTGTACTCCTTCTCTTTCATGATTCGCGAGTAGTAAGAAGTGTCCCACATGTAAAAGTTGCCGTCAAAGGGGATGCCGCGCTCTTCGTAGTCTCGCTTCTTGTACTCCGTGAGAGCCTTGACTTCCTTCTCACCGCCAGGGGCCAAACGAGTTCTCAGGTCGCTCAAGAACTCGTTCACACGCGCGGGGGACTTGGCCATCTTCTCCTCAATCCGAACGCTGGCGTGGTTCTCATAACCCAAAAGTCGAGCAGCTTCATCTCGAAGTACCATGATCTCCTTGAAGATCTCAACATTGTTGTTTGACTGGATGTGCCGTGTCAGTATGCGATGTAATCACAATGGCAGGATGGATGGGGGATATGTATATATATATATATATATATTGAGAGGTGAGGTTTACCTTGTTGGCATCCGCAATGATATACCTACGTCTCGTCTCTTCGTGGATAGCATACTTGACCAGAGGGGTGAAGTGGTTGTACTTAAAGGTCACTTTGACCTTTCCTTCGTTCTCGCCGGTTCCCTTCTCGAGCGTGTCAACGTCAATGTCGTCCTTGGGCACTCCCTCGAGCTCCTGGGGAGTAAACCAGACACCGCCCTTTTCCTCGTTGAGGTTCTTCTTGCCCTGAATGCAGAGCTGGCTGAGGCGTTTCTGAATCTCCTTGAAGCGGTCTCTCTTTTCGCCTGGGGGAAGAAGCAAGCCGTTGCGGATGTACTTTTGGCGTTCCTTCTCCAGGATGTGGAGCGACTCCTTGTCCAGGTTCTGGGACTCCCGCGTCTCATACGCCGCGTTGACCAGCTTGAAGACATCCTCCCGCATCTTCGCCTCGATGTAGAAGTCGTTCAGAAGCTCTTCGGCCTTGGTGGAAGCTTCGCGGAGCGAGTCGTTGGTCGACACATGCTGATAAAAGGTCAGGATGTTCTGGGGGCCCGAGGATTCGTTGCCGTCGATGAGGATGGGCTTGAGCGTGTTTTCGAAAGTGGCCGTCTCGGGAGCGACGCTGGCAACGACATTGTCCAGCACCTTCTTGCTCTGCTCGGCGCTCTTCTTGGCATCGGCGAGGATGGACTCGGCCGTGGCGGTAAAGACCGGCGGCCTCTGCGGCGGGGTGCGAAACTGCTCGGGAGCCATGCTGCTGGTGGTCAAGAGGCGACGGTATGGCGAAAGGCGGGCGGTTGCTTGCAGCCGTACGTGACTGGCAAGAGAGTTGAGGCGCAGGAGAGCTCGTTGGGAAGCCAGCGTTGCGGCGAGAAGGAGCACGAGGAGGGAGAGGAGGAGGAGAAGGAGGGGCCGGAGGCGAGGCAGCTCCAGCTCGACGGCGGATCGGCGGGCAGTCAGTCTTGTCACGTACGAGCACGGGATCTGTGCCAAGTTGGCCCGCTTAGGATGCAGGACGTACGACAGCGTGGTGTTGCTTCGGCCTACCAGAGGAGAGGAAATTGAGTGCTGGTGAGGGGTAATAGTAATAATAGGTCGAGTGATGCCCAGAGATGATGGAGTCGACGCGGCAGAACACGGCTCACGGGAGCAGCTTGGACGCTTATTAAGAGACTCCGCTGAGAGCCAGGCAAACCACCACAGCGTCAATCTTGACGATACGTACCTACTACATGTGTGTCCAGTCTGGGGGCAATTTGGGAGGCCAATTCGCTATACTTGGCATTTTGGACCTGATATTCATTATCCGTGGGCAGCAACATTTGTTAATGATAAGGGACCTACATAGCTAAGCTCCGATGTCATCGTGGCGGCCCCATCCGGCAGATGGTAAGCTGCTGCTAAAGCCAACGACACCGCGGGGTTGTTCCGCCATGTGAATCGAAGAGCAGAGCAACCAAGACCGAGCCGCAGTGCAGCCATGCCATGCAGAGAATCGGAACATGCACATGATGTGTGCTTTAGGGCATAAGTAGGTACTACCAGTAATTCAAGTCTCGACTGCTGCTTCATCTCAGCACGTGCCTCGTAGCATCAGAAATGATACCTCGCACGCCTTCTGAGCGCCACAACTGCGTCAGAATACCAGTCAAGTCAACGCCCATTCAACATGCGTAAACCAGGTTCTACCTAGTAGTATCAAGAAGTTCGCTTGGCCAGCTCGCAGTGCGCTCGCACCAATACTATTCTCATATACCTAAGCCATGGCAGCATAATATGTCCACAGTCGTCCAATAACAAAATTCAGAGTATCGTCAATCCCAGAGCGTGCCCAATTCACAGCCATAAACAAAAACAAAACACATCGCAACGCCATCATCCCATTCGCAGACGCAAGAAGATGCCGTCGGGGTCGACCCTTTGCCCGAATCACCCCTTAGTTGGCGAGAATCGTTCGGACAAGATCTAAGGATTCGACAAGCGCACGGTCAGTAAGCGGATCATAATCAGAGAGAGAGAGAAGCGGGGAGGCGTTGTGCAGCAAGCAGAAAAGCGCAGGGTGGCATACCTGTGTAGTTGATCTGGCCAGAGCTAGTGTCCACAGCCTTGAGCAGCTCGTCGACCTCCTCCTCCGTCATCTTCTCGCCCAGGTTGGTCAGGATGTACTTGAGCTGGCCAACGCCGATGAAGCCTGTCATGTCTTTATCAAACACCTGAAAGCCACGGCAATATTCCTCGGGCTCGCCAGGGTCGCGGAATCCGCCCGGTCGGTTCAGGATGCGCTGGAACGTCTCGAAGTCGACTGTGGTGGCCGAATGTCAGCATCGCTGCGCATCACATCCTCCGGGCCATCTCTCGCACAAGGGGCCGCCGTAAAAGCACCTACATTCGCTTCCAAGGCCCTTTTCCAGCTCCTGGATCTCGGCCAGCGTGGGGTTTTGGCCGCAGGCTCGCAGCAGATCGCCGAGCGAGTCGATGGCGCAGCGGCCGTTGCCGCGCTTGTCGAACAGGGCAAATGCCTCCTTGTAGTTGGTCGAGGCCTGGGAGTCGTGATTAGAAGCCATTTTCCCCCCCTTTATGTTCTCTGTTCTTCTGTCGGAGTGCAAGTGTTCGTCTGGAGCGCAGCTTTCTGTTGGCAGCGATCGGATGGCGTAGTTCTTTTGTCGCAAGAGGAGGCGGAAATCGAACCAGAAAAAATCAAAGGCAGTTCAGGTTCCCTTTTGTCTCTCGCAGTTGCGCGCCAAACGGGAAGCAACAGCTGCTGGGCGAATCATGTGCGGCGCCACGCTCCATCTCGCACTGTTTCTGTTTACATCGGAGCAAGTGCTGGGGCAAACTCACCATTGTGATTGGTGTCTTTTGTCGGTAGTAATGCTTTGTCAGAGACGAACGTGAGATTCTGTCGCAAAGGCGAGTTCAAGGTCGCAGAATGTCTGCAGCGGCTGTCTCTCAGGAACACAGATGATGCAAGGTCGAAATTGACAACAAGAGAGTCTGCGTCTCCCTTTATGATCGCCCCACTGACTGCCCCCTGTCGGGGCAACGAGTCAATCCATGTCAACACTCGGCGTCTGTCGCAGCCAATCGACCTGTCGCTTGTTGGGAGGCGGTCTGTATAACTCGCACACTAAGGCGGCATAATAAGGGATCAGTAGGTATAGGTAGTAGTGCATGAGCTTCATCAGCACGACACGCTCGTCTGGTGGCCTCGGGCTGGACTTGACCACAACAGCAGAACCTCAAACGTCTCCTTTTACAGTCCCGGCGCTTACGGCTCGGTATTGGCAGTCATCTGAAGCATGAGCACATCCCCTATCCATTCGACAACTGGCACTGACGCTTGCGAGCTGCGCCTAATGTCCTTTCCTTAACCAAGCAGCCAACATGATCACATTAAGAGCATCATTCTCACTACTATAGTTTCTCTCTTTGCTGGGTCTCTATCACATGTGAAACAACACGGTGAACACCTCAGCCCAACTGTTGATCAATCGGCTGTCTTGTGGTAGGGAAGAACAGACTGTAAGCTGTCTCTGCTGCCTACCCTACATTCTGCGATATATGCCTCGAATGTCGCAACGAGGGAATCCAAGCCAGTAGCACCCTCGGATCGTCCCCTCATATTGACAGGATATTTCTAAACTCGTTCACTGGTCGTTTATGTACCATCCACCGGTTGATACGACCATACGCCATCTTCAACAAAAGTCGTGATGGTCGTTTTCCGACAATCTACCGATGAGAGCTTCTCAGTGATAATCACGTCAGTTTGGGCGACTTCTCAGGTAGCACTAATACCTTAACCGCTCAGAAAACGTTGTCTCCATTGCAAAGAGAGTCTTCTCGATACACTTGGAAAATACCTCGTACTTTTTGCAATACCAGGGAAAACAACAGAAGCTATGGCTGCAGCCACAGAGGCCACCGCCAAGCGGTTCTTCTCGTCTCCCCTCTTCGCGGTTGTGGGAGCCAGCTCCAACCCCGCCAAGTTTGGCCATAAAGGTTCAACTCTCACAGAGACCCGATACAGGTATCAAGATGATCCTCTGACCTGAGCATGTACAGTCCACGCCTGGTATCTGAACCACAAGCTACCCGTTACCCCCATCAATCCATCATCGCCGACAGTCAATGTCAACGGGGAGGATCACCCCACGTTGCCGGACGTCAAGTCGCTGCCGCGGCCAACGGAGACGTCCGTGTCCATCATCACTCACCCCGCCATCACCCTCAACGTCCTCAAGGAGGCCAAGAGCGTCGGCATCCCCGCAGTCTGGCTGCAGCCGGGCACTTTTGACGACGACGTCCTCAAGTTTGCGCTGGCAGACGGCACTTTTGAAGCCGTCGTCTACGGAGAAGGGGGCAGGGGCTCTGAGGGCTGGTGCGTTCTTGTCGATGGCGCCAAAGCGTTGAAGGATGCTGGAAAGTTGTAGTTATAGCCGCAAATGAACATGTCATATCACTTTCATTCGATTGATTGTCGACTCAAGATGAAACACAGATACCAGTGTCTCCAAAGATTGGCGAACAATCTGCACAAGATCAAGATGGCTTGAATATGCAAACGAATGATGATGACCACGTACGTAGTTGGCTCTCTACTGCCGTGATCAATATATGCCTGAGATGGCTGATCAACAAGTTGTTTGACGAAGTGAACTTGTATCTCTGAGGCGATGAATGATGAAAAATTAGCGCCTAGAATGACATAGACGAATAACAAACTCGTCGATATCAGGCCTCTAGTCTTTCTGGATATTGTGAATTGGACACAAGGTGCTGATTCTCACCAAGGGGGTTGGCCTTTGTCTTTCTGCCCTTGACTGTACCGGCAAGTATCTGAGGCACGGCGTCGAAATGACTGCCCTTTTGCTGCCTGTTTTGTGAGACGCGGCACAACAGATTGAAGGTTGTCTCAACCCACTGCTATTCAGACCAATCCAATGATTTGGACTGACTTGTTGATCAATCATTAGAGTTGACGTTGGGCCATCCATACCTATCCGAGAGTCCGACCCCAACTGTGGCGCTTTCAGGGGCCTCAATAGGGAGTCGAGCGCTGTAAGTTCAGTTCAGCTCATGCCCCACCCGTAAACGAAAGTAAACAAACGCGCTCGACCCACGTCACGATAAGCCTCGATCTGTCAGACAAACAACCAACTGTTTGGATATTCAGCCGCCGGCTATTGATGCTGCTTCTGACGCTCTCACGGCATCAGTCTCGACTCTCCACTTGACGAAACCCCAGCCTTTGATCTACGGCAGCCGTCCTCGATAATAGTAACCGACTACATACAAACACTTCCCGACCGAGCTCTGCGCAACCCGCCGATCTTCCCCAGTTGATGCTTCCCCAGGTGCTGCGATTGCGTCTCTGATCCATCAGTTGGACAAGAGCCTTCCCTCGTGCCTGCAGCGCCTCTTGTCTCCCGCCATATTTGCACCGAAACAACACAGGCATCGAGCACCGACTGCAATCTGCCAGCCTCTCGAGGCGACCCTCAACATGGCCTCGGAATTTGCCCAGTATTTTACCTACGAAGCCCGCCTGGCCTCCTTCCAAAAGACCACAAAGAAGCGCGGGTCAACAACCGGCGGCCGAGCAGCCAAGGCTCTCAATTGGCCGCATAAGCAAATCTCCATCACAAGCGTACGAGCCCTGTTCTCTCCGGACCGCCCCTTTGTATGGTATGGGAGAGGGACAGATACTGACGCATCGTGCAGCTTGCCAGAGCCGGATTCGTATTCAGGCCGAGTCCCGAAAGCCCCGACAACACCGTTTGCTTCCTATGCGAAAAGGGACTGGACGGGTGGGAGGCGGGCGATGACCCGGTCTACGAACACGTCAAACATGCGCCCCATTGCGGCTGGGCGATTGTTGCTGCCATCGAGGCAGACATTGGAGACTACGGCCGAGAGGATCCCAACGACCCCGATATGGTGGATGCTCGTAGGGCAACCTTTGCGGACCGATGGCCTCACGAAAACAAGAAGGGCTGGAAGTGCAAGACGAAGCAGGTTTGTTCCCGTCCCAGGAGGGGGCCATGTCGCAAGCCCCGTGCTGACGTTCCCATAGCTGGTAGAAGCTGGCTGGAAGTACACACCGACCGAGGAGTCGGACGACATGGCTACGTGTGCATACTGCCACTTGGCACTCGATGGGTGGGAACAGGGCGACAAACCTCTGTGAGAACTTGCAAGTCGTTCCTGAACTATGAACCTTGTCTAACCGTCATCCAGAGATGAGCATTACAACCGGTCTCCCGACTGTCCGTTTTTCGCTCTGGTCAGCCAGTATAGAGCACTAGGAAAGGGATCTGGCCGTGCAAGATCAGCGCGCAACTCTGCCTCGTCCATTCAGTCATACGGCACAGCCGCTGCCGACGTTTCGAATGCCAGCGATGTGAGCGCGAGTCTGGACGATAGCGTTGTAACAACTGCATCGTCGGCCTCGCAGCTCGGGACGAAAAAGCCTAGAGGAAGGAAGGGAGCGGTGGCGAAGGCGGGTAGAAAGAAGAACAAGAAAGACGAGCAGTCTGAAGCGCTCGAGCAGGACAGCCAAGTGGAGGAACCACGGCCTACAAAGGTCAGACGAGGCAAGAAGAGGCCGAGCGACGCGGTGGAGGAATTGGCGACAAGCTCGGGAGACGGGCCCATTTCGAAGAAGCGATCATCGCAAGCTCTTGGTCACGATACGATTGACGATCTTGCTGCCCACGATGAGGATTCTGAGATGACGGACGTGTCCCGAGCATCCTACAGTACGGACACCGCGCCATCACGCCCAAAGGCGGGCCGCAAACTTGTCTCAAAATTGAAATCGCAAGCCTCCATGGCATCTTTACGGGCTCCTGGGGGATTTCCAGACGATGATGAGATTGAACGCCAGTTGGAGGTGGACCTGGAACACCAGCTCACTGACGATGAGATTGCCCACCATTCCGACTCTGGGCAAACAAAGGCAAAAGCTGGAACAGACACGGAGAGTGAAGCCATTCGCCCGACAAAGCCAAGGTCTCCCGAATATGCAATGTTTGACCCAGTGGTGCCCGAGCCCAGCGAAGAAGAGATCGACGATGATCTCAAAGCCTTGAAGGCTGAGATGCAGGTGGAGGAGCCAATTCAGGTACCGAAGAAAGGTCGCAAAGCTGGAGTCAGAAAGGGAACAAAGCAGGCAAAAGCTCGGACTGCCAAGCCGGAATCACTTGCTCGAGACGGGGAGACTGAATCTGATATCCCAGAGTCACAGCAAGAAGATGTGCTGGCATCCGCTGATGTCAGTGAAAACAGTACGGGAAGCGTGGTGAGGAAACCAGGGGCCGCTGCACCTGGTAAACGGGGCCGTGGTCGTCCAAAGGCCTCCCTCGCATTGCAAGACGAGTCTGTCGATACGGAAGCTACCGAGTCATCACAGCAGTCGCTGAAGCGAGGCCCCGGCCGACCTGCGAGGGTGTCGTTGGCATCCCTACTATCCGCCGAGGTTGATGACGCCAATCCGTCTGAGCCCCCAGCCAAGAGAGGCCGCGGTCGTCCTTCGAATGCCTCGTCGGTCACACTGGACTCTACCGGAGCGGACGAAGATGTTGAAGCTGCGCCTCCTCCAGCTGCAAAGCGCAGGGGACGGCCGTCCAAAACTACTGCTCCGCCGCTACTTCCTCGCCAAGACGGTGCTGCAGCTGGGAAACGCGGACGCGGACGACCGGCTAAGAAGCCAGTCGAGATGCCGCCCGCAGAGCCAGTTGAGACGGAAGCCGAGGATGACTTGGCCGACGTCCGCCAACTCCCGGAGGTGCCTGTTCGATTACCCAAGCAATCGCCCGTTCGAGCCATATTCTCACCAAAGGGAAAAGGGCCCCTCGCGCCAGTGCCAGGTACTTCGTCCAAGCTGTCTCCCGTCACCTCAGCTAGACAGCCTGTATTGTCGCCTTCACAATCCCCACAGTCATCGGACGCAGAGAATCAACCGCCCGCCTCTCGCGCCCTCAGGGGTAGTGCCGCGAAACGACTGGTGCTGGCCTCTGTGGCATCCACTCCACCCCCGGGATCACCCTCGAAGCGCAACGTTATGGCCGGGCTTCGAAGCACGACGCCGTGGGCTTCGGCGAGCCTCGAGGCTATTTTCGAGTCACCTTTGGGCAGCCCGGGCAAGGAGAATGACGTCGATCGCTTCCTGACGCGAGGCAACGAGTTGACTAGTCCAGAGAGGCAGATGACTGTGGAGGAATGGATCTACTTTAACGCAGCGGAGGCGGAGAAGAAGCTCAAGTTTGAATGCGAGTCTCTTGTGAACCGGTTCGAGATGGAGGGCACGAGAGCCATCAAAGTTTTGGAGGGCTTGGAGGTGGAATCAGCGAGCTAGCAGAGGGGCAGTCAATGTGTGATGCGTTGTTCATGATGGCGTACGGCAGTATAAATTCTTTTGGAAGGAGTTTTGTTTGATTTGACAAGTGGACACAGGGTGGAAACAAGGCATCGTATGGCGACTGAGTGTTGATTTTGCTTTTGGCTGGGAATTGGGCGTCGAAAAGGGTACTATTGGCATCGAATCGGTGATGAGGTAGCTACAATGAGAGGGCACTTGAAGCTGACAGTAGTCTGCCTGTACTGACACGACTCTTCTTACGAAATCTGCCATCTCACGATGGCTGCGTGAATGAATATCCGAGAGTTATTCCTTCTACACCGGGACTGAGAGGGGGGGTGGTCTGGGAACGGACCGGGTTCTCTTTGATGGTATAATATGCTATGTCCATGTGTAGTTTCACGGGCAATTTCTCTTCACGTCAAGGGAGGAAGGGGGGGGGGGGGGGGGGGGGCAGGGGTTGGAATGTCGTGGGTGTTGAGAATGGAATGTGGCACGGGTTGTAGTGGTAGTAGTAGTAGTAGTAGTAGTACATAATCTTGTTTTTGGTGAGCCTCCAGTTGTTGCCCGAGGTCAATGCTTGAGACATGCTCAATTTGTGATGTTGTGATGCAAAGGGAGGGAGGGAGGGAGGGAGAAAGGGAGGGAAGACCATCTTGCGCTCCCACTGAATACTAGGTAGATATACAAAAACCATGCCGTAACTGTACCGGTGGCTATCAACAGCAACACCATCAACACATCGCCATCAAAAAACCTCATCACACCACCAAACACCAAACAAACCACTCCCTCCAAAACACCACCAAGCAACAAAGTCCAACCAAAACCAGCACAAGAATCATACCAAATAAAACAAAAAAAAACAAGAACAACAAGAATGATGGGCCTCGCCTACACAGCCTTCGTAGTGCCCACCCCAACCGCCGACGACCACAACGACATCATCGCGGCCCTGACATTCGCCCAGGATCTTTTACGACGAGGCTGTGCCTTGACGCCCTCGCCCTCGTCGTACCTGAAGGGACGACTGTCTGTTGTGTCGAGCAGTCGCTTCTCGTTTGGGTCGTTTACATCAGGCTTCTCCATCGACAACGACGACGACAACGATGACGATGATTTGCCGTCTACCTGCAACTATAACAGTCACCTTGACGTGGAGGTTAACACGGATAGGAATGAAACTGCAAGTGGGAATGGGAACGGCATGGTCATACGGAGGAGGAGTAAACGCGAGAGAGTAGTGAGGAGGTTGCGGGTGTTGGTCGATGAGAGGGTGAGGCTGCGGAGGACGACGGGGTACGCGCTTATTGGGGATGAGAATGATGCGATTGAGATGTGGTGAGATTATTGCGAATTGGCTGAGGCATTTGATGCTTGGATTGCTTGGTTTCGGTACGTGATGTTGGCGTCCGAGGGCTCTTTGTGGGAAGGGAGGGGGGGGGCGAGAAACTCATCAATTGTAGGAGGATGCAATGTGGCGACTGGGACTGTTTGGACTCTTTGAAAGATACACGACACTACAAAGACACATCAACCCCGTGAGATGGAGGTGGCCACGACGATGCGAATAGTGGAGGCAGCTGCTCAAACCCATCGAGCCGAGCTGCATCATGTATAGGTAACCCCTTTCCTACCTTATGTTTTCCCTCGTTACAAGACCCTTACATACACCAAAAATGCATACAGTACATGAGCAAATACAACCCTTTTTTTTGAGCCCTCTGCGCAATGATGTTTTTGTTTTGTTTTGTGTAAACCTTCCATGCGTCCCTTTGTCCCTTGCTCCGTAGTCCTGCGGCAGACATAACCCTCATGCCGCCATGCCGAGTTTTTCCTCATAACCGTATGCGATAGAAGTAAGATGCTTCAGTAAGATCATGTCGATCTGTGCGCGTATACACGCGCAAAACACACAGCAGCATATCGTAGAAACAAAAAGAATGTGGCTTAAATCTCCAGCTTCTCCAGGGCCTCTCCAGCCGCGTCGACCTTGGCGGGAACACCATTGGCATCGCCCACTGGCTTCTTGGTCCGCTTCTTGCGTTTCACCATGCCCGTGACAACAGGAGCCTCTTGCACCCAGCGCGCAATTGCGTTGGCGCGCTCTGTCATGAGCGGATAGTCTTTCCCATCGTCGGCGGACCATCGACGCGACAAGGGCTCAGCCTCGGCGTCCCCCGTAGGCGGGCGCGGGTGTTTTGCCTTGTTGTTGTTCAAAATTCCATTCAGGGCGTCTGGCCCGGCCGTGCTCGTGCTCGTTCCTGGACCTGGTTTGGGTGTGGCGCTGGCACCGTTTGAGGGCTTGTCAGAGTACATGGCATCGTCCCGCTGAGCCCGCTTCTCATGGGCCTTGATGGCCGCGCGGAATGATGCCTCGTCAGTCACCCGCTCGTCATCCAGGGCATCCAGTATGGCCTGTTCGCGAATCAGCTCCTTTCGGCGCCGTTCTTCCTCGGCCGCGGCATCAGACGAGGTGCCGGCGAGGAGGGCTGCGGCGGCAGAGGCGGCCACGCTGGCAGACACAGCGGGTTTTTCCACGTGATAGTTGTAGGTGTGGACACACGGGTGATGGCTGCACGACTCGTCATCATATAGCGGTAGTGGTGCGGGCGTGCACAAGGTGTCCCACGAGGAGCTCAGACCGACCCAGTTGTCGGTACGATGGATGACTTCGGCCCAATCGGCTCGGGCAGGGGATTTATTCACTTGAAATATGGGATACCCGTCGGAAAGCCTGACAACGCGAGCAACCATGTACGCGTGCCGCTGGATCTCTTTGGTGGACGTCTGGGCGAGGCAGTGAGCCAGGAGCAGAGAGTGCAAGGCGTCGGTGAGGAGCGGATGATACGTCACCCACTCGCACGTAGTCTCGTCCGGCTCCGGTTCCAGCTTGATCAACACATCCTGAGAGGGATACGGCGGGAGATCCGTGGGAGGGACAGAGCGGAATAGATCGGACAGGGGGTAAACGGTGTGCGAGTTGGTCCAGCTGCTCGAATCAATGGCCCTGGAACTGCGTACGCCGTGTGCAACCATATTGACACGGTCGTTGAACTCCTTGGCGACCTTGAGGGGGAGATTGGGCGAATAGTGGTAGTTGGCCAAGAAGGACAAGTAGTCCTTGATGGCACGCTTGGCATACGTCTTGACCAGTTTCCGTGCCTCGGCCTGGTCTCGCGCGCTCTCCTTGTCTGGGTCAGGCGAGCTTTTGCCATTCGCCTCTGCGGCTGCGTCTCCATCGTCTGCTTCATTAGCTGCTGGCTGCCCGTTCGACTGGCTGAATGAGGGCGTCGGGATACTATCCAGGATGCGCTCAGAAGCCATGGTCAGATACACCGACGCTCTCTGAAAGTAGAGCTGAGCCTCAAGGCTGCTCGGCTGATCCTTTTCCGCCAGGATGATGTCGTGAGCCCGTCTCCGGGTTGTGCGTTGAGCGTCTCCAACCTGTGCATCTTCCTGGCCGGAGCCGTGCGACCTGCGAAGGAACTGAGAAATGGAAAGCGCGTGTGTGAGATCGAAAACGGCACCGTCATAATCCTCCTTGAATATCTTGACGGTTGCGCGGGTCCGCAACACCTCTGGCTCTGCCGGGCGGTCCTCGATGATGTCCGTCAGAGGCTGCAGGCTCGTACACTCTGCCATCTTTCGCGATGGTATCTTTTCGTGGAAAAAGTGCACATACTTGGCGTCGGGATCCTTGGGACTGCGCTGCAGCACCAGGCTGCCCACGTCTTCCAGCGGCGACGCGCCCTGCATCGTCGCGACGCTGCAGGCGATTTCGTCTAAGCGATACGCTCGTCCCAGCTTCTGGCTTGCTTGCTCTCGCATGCGAAATTTGCGCTCCCTGCTCAGCTTCCCGCCATGGCCCGGCGCGCCCATCCCATGAGGGCCCATGGCGGACGATATGCTGGGAAAGCCGCCATTGACGTTGGTCAGCGTCGGTGAGGCGATGTCACTAGCAGCCCTCACGGCGAGGTTGGTGGCCTCGTCGACGAGCCGCCGCACCTTGACGATGTCAAAGAAGGAGGCGGCGTCGAGGGGCCGCGGTAGCGGCGTGTTGTAGTTGATGTTGGCCAGCATCTCCAGGATCTCGTAGGGCATCTGCAGCCACGGGCCGTGATAGGCAGAGATGTGACGCCAGTGTCTGGTGGTTCAGACATGGGTCAGCACAATGAGCGAGCCAGTCAAAGAGCAATGCAAGGCAAGAAATATCAGTAAAGTAAAAAAACGGTGGTCATACACATACTTATTGCGACAGATGACGAGCGAAGGTGGGATCCCTGTCGACGACGCCGCTTGCGATGTTCTAGATCTCTGCTTAGGAGCTGAACTTGACGATGCCGGAGACGCTTGCGCCGTCATCGCGGGCGCAGACGCTTGATTTGCTTTGCCATTGTCCAGCGAGGCCTCCTCACCCGATGTCTGTCTCACCTTCTTCTTCGCCATGGTGATGCCGTGATCAGTGCTGGAGGGGGAGGGGAATCCGGGTGCTTCACACGCTTGGCATGGTCGAGAGCCTCGTGTAATGCCTCAATGAATATAATAGAGGGATTCCGTCAGGATGAATGAGCTTGTGTGGAGTGGATGAGCAGAGAGATGAACCGCGCGTGAAGAGTGATGTCGGAGAAGAGAATACTGGTGGTGACTGCGACTAAGGATGTTTCGTAGAGGGAGAAGAAAGAATGAGGTAAGAAACGAAATGTGCTGCAAGGACAATGCTGATTGCTACGCAGAGGGCCCACTGCTGGAGCCCCTGTGGCCTCTGAGGATAATCGGAGGAAGAGAGTGTAACAATAGGCAGGTAGACGGAGAAAAAGGTGAGGATGGAAGTTGTGAAGCTGGAAAGAAAAAGAGGTGCTGCGATATCAAGGCGAAATGCATGTGCCGTTTGTTGGCTGCTGTTTTGTTGTGCTTGGCAGAAGGTGGTGGGAGTGCCAATCACGTGCAGCAGCTGTTGCTCAGGTACCTTATAGACAGCAAGTACCTGGAACCTATGGAAGTCTGTATCTTGCAGCCAAAATGCGACGAGTTAGGAACTTCCAGTTGATTCACCTAGTCTGCACCGCCTTTTTCTGCTTTCTTACCATTTATATACGGCCAAAACGTGCGCATTCACTTGCTCGAGCCCATTCTGCCCAGCCCGGAACAGAAGAGGCGCCCGATCGACTGTGTTTTATGAGCTGTCACTGCATGCGCGCCTGAGAAGCAAGGAGACGGCCTCGAAACCAAACTATTGGACGGCCGGTTATCGTTTGCTTGCATGGGGGCCGCCGCAACGCCAGCCAGCCTCATTTCGCGGCGCTGCCCTGCCTTTGACGCGCCAATGAGGCCAGCGGATGGAAATTAAACAAGAGTGTGACCATGTTATTTATTACCTGAAGTGACTTCATTGCTTTCTTTTTTTGTTGTTTGCTGCTGCTGCTGCTCAGCCGTGTCCCACTGTCCGCACCCTCATGTCCAGCCCATGATGATTCCCAGCACCGACCCTGAACCATGCCCTGGAAAACGTAACCCCTGTTCTAGCTCAAGAGCCGACCACAAATCAAAACATTGTCTATCATTAAGTTTGTATGAGAAGAGAGAAAAATAACAATGGAAAGTGAAGGGCCAAGGACTGAGGCCAACCGCGCCGATTGGGCAATCAAGCCTCTCCCTTCCAGTGTCTCACAGGGAGAAGAAGATGGCGGCTACAACACCGCTCAGCAGGGAAAGGGACACTCTGTTTCCCGATGCTGCACCCGGAAAGGGAACAACAGATGACGTGGCGCTGGCACCACCACTCCCAGCGTCGTCGGTGGTGGTGAGGCTCGACGAGGTGGTAGGACTGCCAGGGACCGTGACGACGCTGGTGAGGGTGTAGACGTCTGAGGGGGAGGCAGCGCCTGTGGTGCGATGGGGGCTCGTGAAGTTGTGGTGGCCTGTGGTGTTGTGAGAGCCGGTGAGGTTATGTTGAGCGCCACCGGTAGCCAGGGGCCCATGAATGGCAGTGTGATGAGCACCGGTGGTGCTGGGGACCGTCGTTGCGGCGGGCACCGGCAGCTTGGCAAAGTTGGCGCACGTCAGCCGCGTCTTGTTTGCGTAATGGATCACGATTGATCGGTTGCCGAAGAAGGCTGGGCTGCCGGGCTGGAGAGACGTGTAGAGGTCAAAGTACTCGGCCACGAAGGGATCCGACGTGATTTTGCCGTACTTTCCGCTCAGATCACCGACCTGGCACGTCTGGGGCTCGGAAGCATTGCAGGCAGGTGTCTCGCCGCGATGGTACGGGTCCAGATGGGCCAGTGTTGAGGTACAGTTGCCATTGACGGCCGGCTCCTCGTGGATGTGGTACACTGCATACGGGCATTGGTTAGCTACTTTGAGGGCGCACACACATAGCCATTGACCGGAAAGATGAAGTGAGACCGGAGACAAGAGATGAAACACAGAAAGTAGTCGAGAGCAAGAAGAGGACTCACAAAAAGGACCGCCCGTCTTGGGCAAGTTTTCAAACTGGACTCTGAACCGGACGCCCTTGCCAGCAGGACCAGCCGTAGCAGAGACCGATCCCTTGACATTGCCCACCAGCGCAGCGCCGGCGAAAAAGGGCTTCTTGGGCAGACTGGCCTTGAACTCGACGCCTTGAGGATTGTCAATGACAACAGGAGCGTCTTTCGCGGCGGCATAGCCAACGAGGGCGGTGGAAAGGACCGCCAGGAACCCAGACGGCCGCATAATGGGGAATGAGAAGAAGAACAAGGCAAAAGAAAAAAAAAAGCGCTGTTCTTTGGATGGCCAACGAACGATATCGAGCAAGAGTCGAAACAGTCGGTAATACTGGAAGCCGTGTAAGTATGATACGAGATAAAAGAAAGCAGGCTGAGAAGCAGCTGAGAAAAGACGGGAGAAGTCAAGCAGTTATAAGTTGCAACAATGACAAGGAACAGTCACACCAAGGCAAGGCCAGGCAAGGCAAGGCAAAGGGCAGACGACTCAAACGACCCGTGGCTCTCAAGACATCCAGGGCATCCCGCCCTCTCCTCTCCTCTGCAGCTCCATACACGTACCTACTACCGTAGAAACTCGTGAAATTCGACCGAAGCTAGGTTTGGTGGAGCCGCCACGTGCACGTGCACGCCAGGCAATAACAGGAAAAGCCGCATCAAGTACAGTACAGTAAGCCCAATACCTCACTCTACCATAAAGTTCTATGCAAGCGTATGTACTGTCATTTGCCAGTTAGTTGCTACAACCTCAACGCTGCGGTTAATTAAGCGTGTTTTACATGATAAGATGCCCTGATATATACAGAATGCGATACTGATTTTTTTTTTCTGCTTGCGACCGTAGAGATGCACTGCATTATATAATTGACTGAGGTACTGGCAGCTTGAGGTACCTTAATTGACCTTCCCTACTGTAGTAAGGCGTGCTGCTAAAAAAAGATGACGTGGCGGCTCCACCAAACCTAGCTTCGGTCGAATTTCACGAGTTTCTACGGTAACGTACTGAGTAGCCCTCAATGCTCGACAACAAAGAGAAGTCCACAGAAGCACCCACCCTTGACAAGGATCAAAGCCTGCAAGCTCGCAGCTCCTGTCCTCCGCTTTTCTGCCCGACCGCTCGGTAGCAAATAGTTGCAAGTGGCAAGGTTACTTGGCGGCGGGAGCTGTAGCGAAGTGAGACAGCAACAAGATGGCCTCGTTTCTCGCTTTGTGCTTCGATCAACAACCCTGTTTGCGCGGTCGTAGAGTAACTCCCAAGGAAAATCGTCCGACGCTGTGACTCGATGGATGATACTCTCGTGGAAGAAGGAAAAAACGAGTCGGTTCGAAGCTGTTTGTTTGCTTGTTCGAGGTCTGTCGGTAGCCGGCTCCCAACAGACACGCAACGCACATCAGCTGAATAAAAAAAAAAAGGGCCCTTGCAGTAGCTGAAGTATCAGATGAGAAGAAAAGGGCCGCTGCATCTCGTCCGTCATCCTTTTATATCCCCCCTAGTCTCATGAGGCTTTCCCCCCCATATTGTCTCTGTCATATGTGCTCAGCGGGCAGATGCCGGTCTGCCGACCTGTCATCTTTCACAGCCCTCTTGCTCTGCCTCGTTCCTCGAGCTTGGCCATGTCCAGCGCAGCCCGCTATAAACAGCATCATCATCCCCCAAGAGCCCGCCAGGCCACGACGGCTCGTTGGGCAGGCGAGGGCTGCCGACGCGACTCGAGGCTTGCGCAAGGGAGGACCCTTGACTGGTTGATAGGCGGCCAGCCGAGCCGTGATGCGACATTGGGTGGGCCGGCGCAGCCTAAGAGGCCTTCCTGGGACAGGGATGGACTTGCGTGGTGGTGGTACTATTACTCGAAGGGCCAAGAGCTGCGCATGTAACATAAGGAAAGGCGGCTGTGTGGCATTGTCCGCTGCTTGTGTCGTCGCCGTTGCTCAACGGCAATAGCAACCACTCGCCCCGTCCTGAGAATCGTCAACGGCCGATGGTTTGGCCTCTGCCGGGCTGGAGATGCCGTGAACACTTGTCTAACCGTCGCCATTGTGCTCTTGTGAAACGGCAGATGCTGCTCCGCCACGAGTCGGCTTCACACCAGCCTCTTTTCCCCAACGGTTCATACTGTGGTGTATTACAACGAGGCTGGACTCACGACAGGGCATGGAAACCATGTCTACCCAGGCTCGTCATTGGCGATTCGTCCATGAAGCAAAAAAAGAGATGGAAATCGAAAATGTACACTCACAGCCCCAGGATGCGTGTAAACCAATGGAACGCTAAAACCCCAGCTCCCCAAGAAACGAAACAGAGCACTAGTAACACTTTCCAGCGGTACATACCTAGGTACCTCGTCTGTTAAGCGCCAGCGCCCCTCCCTCTCTTGCCGCGACGTCCGCGCGCCTAGCCTAAAGCCGCAATGACATAAGCACGGAGTCCAGTAAATCAGCCCGAGATTCATCCGCGCCTGAAATCCAAGGCCCCCAAGAAGCTCTAGCGGAGAGCATCGTCGCCCGGCGTATCCTCGGATGCCCTCTTTCGCCCTAGCTCCAATTGACCCCAATGAACCTCCGTGCCGGTTGATGTCGAAGCTAAGATGCGATACGCAACTTGCTGCATAACCTCCGACCAACGAATCACTGCGCATCCGTCCTGTCATCTCGTTGTCGCTCTCTTCAACAAACACTCCAGACTCTCAAGACTGACTTATCCAAACTCCGCCTCACCCAGCCGCGTGCCTCCCACGCCCTCAAGCCGCCCATCATGAAGCCCGTCGTCAGTGCCATGAAGGCATGGTCATGGTCCGTCAAACCCACCCAAACTCCCGTCTCGCGCGACACACACCCCCCAAAGGCGCAAAGAAGAGGAAAACAACAACACCAACACCAGCAACCCCACCCTTCTCGCCTTTCCATTCTTCGCGATGCCCATTCGTTCATCTTACGAGAAAAATAAACAAGCTGACTGTTTGCTTTTTTTCCGCCTTGTGGCCCAATAGCACCGTCATGTCCGTCTTCGCAATCATCATCCTCACCGTCCTCGGCGTGCTCTTCCGTTCCGGCCACGAGGAGCTCGTCGGCGGCATCGACGATCCCGCCGATGGCAAGGCCGTCTCTAAAACCGTCTTTTCTGCCGTCTTCGTCTACATTGTGCGTTCTTTCCCTCCAGTTTTCCGTCCCCCCGAGCGAGACCGACCACCCGACTCCTCTGTTGCGCGACTCCGATCCCTGTCTTTGTCTATATACCTTGGAGGATGTTTTCCTGATGGGGCTCATCAGCTAATGATGCCACGTGTCTAGGCTTTCTTCGTCTTCTGCGGTCTACAAGGCCTCCTCCATATCCGAGAAAACCGACGGGGCGCGATTTCCTTGTGAAGAGGTAGTCGACAAGTTTCAGCGAATTGAGCTTTTATACAACAACCGAGCAACAAATGGGGCGTTTTGACTTTGGGGACTATTTTTTCTTCTTTCTATTGCTTTGTTTCTATTCTCCTTCTTCGTCGGCTCGGGTCACTCAATGTTTGTTTCTTTTGCCCGGGCTCAATGACCTCTGCAGGATGAAGATGACATCATACGAATGTTGTACGGATACGAGGATTAGGATGTATCAGCTTGCCGGCGTGTCACTTCAATAAGGAAGCATTTGGGGCGTTGTCAGTCAGCTTATAGAAACCGAAATCCGATCCATCTGAGAGATATTGCGCCTGTTTATGAGAAGGGCCATTTCAGAACTTGCAGCTCTGGTGTTGCAGTTACAAATTGCACTCTGCATCATAAAATAGCCATCGAGGCCGTGAGGAAGAGGCAAGGAGTCCAGGGGGATCTATATCGACCCGAGCACATTGTGAAGGACAGCACACAAACACGCAGCGCACCAGCAACATAAACAGTAGCTTACTCAAAGCATCACAAGCCCCAAGCAGGCAAATATCCAAATCATACCCTCGTTCGCGAACACTGGCCTCGAGACAAAAGGGGCAACGGCCAGCATTCCAGGCGTGAGGAAGGACACTAAGCCAGCCGAGCAAGATATAAGAGAGAAAAAAGATTCTAAGTTTTTATTTTCATGGCTCGCTGAGCGTAAGAGTACACACAGGGCAGTTCCCCCCCTTTATCGCCGCCAAATGGAGCTCGAGGGGCAAAAGAAGGAAAAGCTGCTGTAGTTTGTCGTTTTTTTTTTCTTGGTTGTTTCGGTACCGACCCGGAAAGAGATGGAATCGGCATCGTCGAGTAATGAACATGTTGTAATACACCCTTCTCAACAGCTCTACCCACAATGCAAACCATCATCTTGATATCTTCCCCTCCATCTGGGCATTGCTTCGTCGAGACGTCTTAGTTCATTTCGTTCGGGGGCCAATTGTCGTGGGGAGCTTCTGCTTATTTCAGCTTGGACCACAGCTTCGGGGCGGCGCATGCGGTGGCGCAGTGAGCGAGGTGGAAGACTAAATAGCAACGGAAAAAAACCATGGTCAGCAAGGACAATACAAGAATCGACAGCCGGCATGAAGCTTTTCCCCCTCCCTTGAGCATCGTGGTGATGGCAAGAGAAAGGCGAAGTCGAATGGATGGGATAGGAGGGGAAAAACGTACACTCCTCGACGCAGTCCTCCTTGGCCTCGCCCTCGCTCTCCTGCTGGTGAACCCGCTCGACACACTCGTCAAAGTGGTGCTTGGCAGGCGAGCACTGGGGAGAGTTCTTGCACTCTAATCAGACGAATCTCAAAGTCAGCATACTCATAAAGACAACTCTCCTCGTAACAGAAGCTCCATTCAAACGGTTGCCATTTGCGCGCGGAAAGCAGAAATGCCTCGCGCAAGTCGCAGCGGGAACGTACAGTTCCATGCGCAAGCAAAGAGACGGGGGGGATGACAACAAAAAGGCGAAATGACGAACCTTCCTCGAGCTCCTCCTTGGGGTCCTTGATCTCGTCCTCATCTTCCTCCTCCTCTTCTTCCTCCTCCTCTTCAGGCTCCTCTTCCGCAGCGGGCTCCTCCTCCTTGGACTCCTCCTCCTTCTTCTCCTCTACCTTGGCCTCGGGAGCTTCCTAGAAAGACGAATCAAACATTAGCTCCAAGTCTTCCATATCTCACCCATCATCAAGCAACCGACAGCGCAGCAGCAGCAACAACAACAACAGCAGCAGCAGCATAATCGCTCCACCTATGCAACTCAACCCAAACCCGCAACAAAGCCTCCAACAAAACCACAATGCCAGGAAAACAAGAAAAGAAACAACCCAAATTTCACCGCCTCATCCCCCCCCAACAAACACTTCTGCACCGCTGCCCAAAGCTGATCTCCCCCCCCTTCCCCTTCCCCTCCCCTCCTCCCTCGAAAACCACAAGTCACCACCATCAGCAAAAAAAAAAAGATATCCCACCGACTCACCTGCGGTTCCTCAGCAGCAGCCGGAGCCTCGGCCTCCACAACACCCCATGGCGTCACCGCCTCGACAATCTCGGAGAAAGCGTCCCAGATACCCATTGTGTCGGCAATCGAAGAAGAAGAATCTGCTCGTCGTCGTTGGCGGTTTTGGCGGTTTTTGAACTTCGTATATAACGGGAGAGGAGGAGTTGGATGAGCAGATTCGGAATCGGGTAGTGGGCAGCTTTTCGGCCAAAATCGCCGGGAAAAGAGAGAAACTGACGCCTTGCCCGGGCAATTGAGGCATTTTGATTGGCCCGGCGCATCCAATCGCTGCCAGGCCAAAAAAACGCACAACACAAGAGCAGGTCACGGGATCTGTCACATTACAGGTACCTACCTTACCTAAGGTGCCTTCCTACCTACCTAACTAGGTACCTAAGTACTGGTACCTCCCGCGGCTTTGTCAGCAGCCAGCGTCGGGTTCCTTTCGCCAGTGACGATTACATTCGATAAGCTAGATAAAGAATTAGGCACTCGGTACTAGTAGCGGCGGCGGCGGCAGGCTATTGGCAGCAGCTGGGGTTGCCCGTTTTGGCGGATTCTCACTCGCGGACTGGGGGGCGCTTTTAAAGATCTCCGATTCAGCGGGAGGGGCGCTGTATCACCCCCTTACAGCACCTACCTACCTACTATGGTAATACCTCCAGAACAACACATCACATGCCATCCATCCCATCTCGATCGATGACGCTGTGCGCAGAGCGAAAACGTGGACATGCGGCGGAATCGCGCACAAGAGCACAGCACAACAACAGTGGCACAACCGAGCGCCTTGCCCAACATAAGAAGTGAATCCCATAAAACACAAAGCTGGCATTGATCAAACCAGGGCCCTCCCAAAGCTATATCAATATAGCAGGGCCTGGCGGGCTCTAACTTTCTCATTATAAGATGCCAACCCCCCTAATCCATGTGTGTAGAAAATCCCAATGGTTCGTGTATGCATACTAGTAATAGTCCTGGTTCTTCCGGCGCCATCCAAATCCACGCAATAGCAACACATTACGGCGGCTGGAGCCGAAGCAGCTGTCAAAAAAAGTTCTGGCCCCTGTTCATAGAGAAGCAAGCGCAAAATCACACCAGAGATTGTTTCGTAGTCTCATGAATCGTTTCGCTGGAGGCGTCGCCACGGAGCATTCATTATGGCGCCTACTAGTCGTCTGCGGCGCCTCGGTCGACCTCGTTCCGGATGTGGTCCTCCAGGCGGTTGCTAAGCTGCTGCGCTTGCGCCTCGTCGTAGTTCGGCGGCGGCTCGTTGGGGGCGCGGCGGCTGGAGGAGCTGTCGGAGCGGTTCGGCCCCGGCACGGCCAGCTGGCTCGACGCCGGCTGCTCCTGTCGGTCTCCCTGTGCCTCGTACGCAGGTAGGGGCTCGTCGGGGACTTCGGTGCTGGCGCCCATCTCCCTGCGCATCTCCTGATATTGGAACAGGCGCTCGCGCAGGCCAATGTACGTCTCATTGAACTCGTTCATGCCGCCGTCCGAGAAGGTGAGCTTGACCTCGACGCGGGGTATTTCCGGCGGGATGCCGCCGCCCGACACGGGGATGCAGTCCGATTTCCAGATCCATCCCCACCACATGGACGACGAGGTGGTTGAGTCCTGGAACTTCAGAATGGGCGCGCTGAAGGATTCGAACTTTGGCTCCTGGGTCGGCTTTGCGGGGAGGTAGATGATCTGCCGGGTTACGTCAGTCTCACAAGGATCCGGGCCATACGGGGGGGCTATTTCTGAAAGGCTCAACCAACCCGCTTGTTGGTCAGGAAGAGAGCTCCCTTGTCACTCTTGCGATGGAACGGGACGCAGCGAGCTTTTAGCTCCGGGGGGACGGACAGTTCGCAGGATATGCGCCCATCGAGCTTCCACAGGATTCGCTCGTTGCTAAGCTTCACGAATCCGCCCTGGTTGAGCATTACCCAACTATCGGCATTGTCAGGATCGATCGGCCGCCGGGGAGGCGCGCTCGGGGCGCTTGAGATGAGGTAGTCATGAGGATTGTTCATCGTGGGTCTGGGCCCAAGCACATGGTTCCATGAACCTCGGGGCTGGGTAGCGGGGCAGAAGCCGTGGCCAGAACAACTCTTCTGGGCAAGGCGAGCAAGGCAAGACGATGCCGGGGTAGACGAGGCGGGGGAGGGAGCAGAAAGGGTTATATCAGGTAGTAGGTAGGCAAGGTAGGGTAGATGCTCAGCGGGAAGAGCCGAGACGGCGGAAGACGAGGCTGGTGGGCTCCTTGGTATAGAGAGGGGAACAGATGAGGTCAAAGGAGGGGGGAAGAAGGAGGATAAGAGGAAAGGAGGAGGAGGAGGATGGGGAGGGAGGAGAGTGAAGGAGGAGTTAAATAGTTTTGCAGGAGAGAGAGAGGAAGAGAGAGAGAAGAAGAAGAAGAAGAAGAAGAAGCAAGGCGACGTTGAAGCCGCGCGCGTCCAGCTGCAGTGATTGGGAGGCCCTGACAAGACGACAAGGAAGGGGGACAGTGAACGAGCGATGCGGCAGGATGGGGAAGCCAGGGACAGGAAGGAGAGAAAAGAGACGGGACGACGGTGACTCGCGAAGGAGGCTTACTTTATTGACATTGTATTATTATTATTTTTTCCCTCCCGGCTGTGACTCTCTCGTTCTCGCGGCCTCTGACAAGGGTTCTCGAGCAAACCCTAGCTCCTCTTCCGGATCGCTGGGCTAGGAGCAGCAGCAGGCCTCGACGGACGGTCCACGTTACAGGCACGGCGTGCAGCAGCGGTGCAGCCGGTGTGATTCCTGAGTCTGGTCGCTGGCTGGCCGTCTTGTTTGTCGCGCGGGCTAGCAGGAGATCTCGCAAGCGTCGTCGCCAGACCCTGCAAAGCCTTTCTGCCCCGGGCCTTGTCGCTTGTTGCGAGGGCGAGGGTGAGGGTGAGGGTGAGGGTGGTGGGGCCGGCGCAGGACGCTTCAAGGTTGGGCGGCCCAAACGAGGCCGACAGGTCCAAAAAGAGGAGACAAAGGCGTGCAGGAAACACAATCAGAACAAGAAAAACAACGGTGATGGATAAAAAAAAAAAAAGAGTGGCTGGGGGGGCGTGTGTGGGCGTTGCAGACGCAGATTGTGACAATAAAACCGGCAGAGGCAGAGGCAGAGAGAGACGCGGCAGACTCAGCCAAAGTAGGAGTGAGGAGAAAAGAGGGCACAGAGGGGTGTGGGGGAGGCGAGGCGCTGCACTGTGCAAAGTACTCGTACCTGCGCTGCAGTTGACAGTTGGAGAGGCTGCACGAGTACATGCATTGATGTAACGCAGCGCCGCAATAAGGTGAGGTGAGGTGATCTGTCAGGCGGCAGGCCGGACGACGGGCGTATGTAATCCGCAGCGACGTGCTGAGTCGGGGGCTGTTGCGTAACCAGCAGTCAAGCCCGAATCCATGTCGTCAGGATACCTCCATTATTACCACCTGGATTGCAGTGCTACATACCTTGCATACTTACTGTAATACTACATACTGCACATACAACGACAACTATGGAAGCAGGCGAGGAGGTGCTGCTACTACTAGTACTACTAGCAGCTTCTACGGCTCTTGAGCCGCCTGGGCCGATGAGGGTTGGAGGCAGGTCGGCGCATGTCGATGGATGCTGAGATGGAGACCAGGCTCCGGCCTCTCCACCGACTGACGATGCGGCACGGCCAGCACCTGGGCGGCTTTGCTCAAGCACTAAGACCAAAGGGTCGTCAGCAGCAGTGCTAGTGCCGTCGTTGTGTTTGCTGTTGTCGTCCGGTTCCTCGGAGGCGCGAGTCGGGTGTCTCGACGTTACCTTGCCTTAACAAGGAGCATCACCAATACACCCAGGCTGGCCAGGATCTACAAGTATACCGGGCAAAGTGCTGTCCTCTGTCCCGTCAAGTGCTGAGATGGGGGCCAAGACGTTTCGAGACCGCAGGTATTCAGCTCTCGAAGGAATACAAGAATCTCCCCGAGGTTCCTTGGCTGAATGGGGCCCCCTTGACTCGACTCATGACCGCTGAGCGCCAGAGGGCCATTCAGCAGCTGGCAGATGCCACGCTCTGCTGCTGCAGGTCGCCTGTCGCAAACAACGGGCAACTCAAGTGGTGCCGCCAATACTAACGCAGGCGCAGGTACAGGTACGGGCACAGGTACGGGCACGAGCACAGGCACGGAGAGCCCATACCGCCTCCACTTGGCAGCATCGGGTTCCATGGAGTCTCCAATACATAACTTGGACCTGGGACTAACGACGGCTGAGAAAGGGTGCGAGCCGGCCGTGAGCCGTGGTGCCCTGGCGACGCCTGTCCGTGGGCACGGATCCGCCTGCTTCCATGTGGACAACGACAGTCCTCGTACCTGGATGTAGTATGTGCATGTCCCGACCTTTGTATGTCCATTTGCTTCCATCGCATGGTCAAGCCACTGTTTGTCAGTGATGCGCCATGTGGGCAGAGCAATCCAATCATCACCGAAGGCTTCCATCCAATGAGAGGATCATGCAATATCTGCTGCCGTCGCGAGCGTAAACGGTTGTCGTGGCCCAGGCACATTCAATCTGGCGATAAGATGATGCGACGGCAGATTGAGTGGCGTGTGAATAACGACAGGTACCAGGTAGGCACGAGCACCGGAGCAACTCCAATCATATCTGGTGCCCATGGCTGCATATGCCCTGCTTGCAACTCGGCCAGTCGCGGCCCATTCTTTCCTTGGAAACAACGCCTCAATACTCAAGTCGTACAGACAGCAATGGGGCGTGAGTGACAAGGCAGGCAGGTTCAATGGAACAAGGATGGCCGTCTCTCGCCTTTCAGGGTTGCTGGCAACGGGCAGTACTGCACATACGGTGCCTCACCTCACCTTGCCTGGTCTGATCCCACGCCGGCGAGGCCAGTCAAGAACGAGACCTACCGCCCAGGACACCGCGTCTGATCGAAGCCAATCCGGAGAAATCAGAAGCACGATACACGCAACTGTCAACGCTAATCAGAAGCACGTAGCCATATGCGGAATGATACTTACTGAAAGAGAGGCATGCTGGGGATGCTAGTTATGCTCAAGCTTCTGTAACAAGCATAGCACTGACAGCTCAGAGTTGGAAATGTGCGAGCAACTGCATTTGGTCAGCTCCAAGCTCCATTCTCGGCTTCCAGCCCCAGCACCCGAGCCCAGATTGCAGCACGCCCTGGCTGCTCCTTGCTAGTCACCTCAACTGCGAATAGACCTCGTACTGTACTCGTACCTTGGAGACAACTAGCGCCTGCAGGACAGCCACGCTTTTGCTCCCGGCTTCGATAGGCCAGGGCTGGCCCCATAACAAGTGACCTGGGGGCGGCTGATCAGTCGATATGCTTGTCTAACCTTAATCACCACCTCACTCCTTCCATCCATCAGGATGCGTCAAGAACCCGGTTGTCGGGCGTCTCTCTTCACCGGTTACGCCATTTCAGCCGCTTTGGACCTCCCGAGCAGGATCCTCTCCAGCCCCCTTGGCTCTGTTCCCTGTCTCGACTCGCCTCAGGCACGCAATCTCGTTCATGGGACGGCGCCTTGCACGTCAGAATGGCATGAGGTCCGGCGCCTCCACGAGGCAGAGCCTGCATCATCTGGCTTGATGCGCGCCAACTAAGCCTGGAGAACTGCGCGGAAGCTAATCGCGAACACGCACCTTGTGCAGCCCTCGATACAAGGGATTCCGGTACATACTGTCAGTGACGATTGGCTGACCTGCTGGATGTGTGAGGAGCCATTGCGTGGCCAATGGCGAGTGGTCCTGGCGCTCCAACCCCATGCCTCTCGGAGTTGTGTCCAGCTTACCCCGTAATATGTGCTCCTTGCATAGTCTAGAGCCTTTCGTTGTATCTTGTCTCTGGAATTTTCGAATCGGGGATTTACCTGGGACAATGGCAATTACTCCGAACGGTTAGTCGATTGGCTCAGGGGAGAGGAGGAAAAGAGGAGAGAAGAAGGGGGTGTGGTTGCAATAGTCTGGGGCCATTGCCACAAAGGGCCAGATTTTACGGAGCAGAGCCGCTTGACAGGTCTGGTGTCCCGTTTCTTCATGATTGGCTCCAGCCTCAACGCGAGAGTGCTCGTATGCATGCTCCCAAGTCAGACTGAAATATATGCCTAGATCGAGAGCACGAAGCGACAGTGGCAGTCACTGGGCCCTACACAGACTTGCAAGTAAGTGCATAGCAAAGGCGAGGCATGAAGCATGTGTGGAGGTCTCCTCGTCATATCCCGTCTGCATCCCTCGCCTTGCTTCTGATGTGTGGATGCGATCCCGGCGTGGACCTCCGCGAAGAGTGAACTGCATAAGGGCGAAATTGCCAAGTGAGCAGCAGCTGCGGGCGTCATGGAGTTCGTCCTATGTAATAGCCTGGCATCGAGATAAGAATAGCCACAACGGAAACACTGGGTGGACGCGAGATGCGAACTCATCCAATGTACTAAGTACGGAGTCCTTCAGTCGGTCGGAAGCCAGAAATCCTGATTTGGACTGCACCTTGATACCCTCGTTGCCCTGACTAGCTGGCGAAGGGGGTAGGACAGCTCCATGCAATTCCGCAGAAGTGCTACGAGATGCTGTGCATGGCCTGGCCCGCGTCACAACCACCTGGCACTGGCTGTGTTGCCCCGCGCGCAACAGGCGAGGCGTGCATGAGGACCGGCCATTGCACGACCTGGATCCTGGTAAGAGGTGGGTGACGTACTATAAAAAGTCGCAGTCAAGATTGGAAGGCTTTCAATCGCGGCCGACGAAATGTATCCGGCGTAGCAAACGCCGATATACCGTGGCTTGTTTTCGCGATACGCCTTTGCATCGTCGACTCGGATGCGTTGGCTCTAGGCACGAAGTAGAAAAGAGGGAAAGGGGGGCCGGGGTCAGGAGACGACAACGACTCGATGGCACACACCACCAAATCGGTCATCGATCTAGCCACGCAGCCTTGGGGGGTGGTGGGGAAGACAGAAGCCGTAGTGGTGTTGTGAGAACTGCTGAGCATTGACGAACAGCAGCAGCAGCAGCACTTCGCTTTGCCCTATCCGACTGGGCAGCTGAGAAGAAGCTTCGGCACTCTTCTCGTTGGGGGCGATTTGACCTGGCCACATACCCAGACGCTTGTTGCATCTCAGCCGACTGATCCTTCCTACGCAGAGCGTCTTAACCTTGGAGAGTTGCCGGTGCAAGATGATGCCACGACGTTGCCCTGAGTTGGCTGGATCTGCGGTTACATCGAAGTTCCCGGGGTGGTAGCGGCTGCATGGGTACGAGCATGTAGGTAGTACTCCGTACATGTCCATTGAATAAGCGAGGGGCCTCTAGTAGCCTGCCATTCGGTGACGCTGGCTTTCATTTGCTGTTCCATGTTTTCCTGCCTTTCTCGGCTCCTTCTCTGCCATTGTGGCAAGCTGTGATTCGCATTGGGCCCGCCCTGGTCGCATCTGACAAGTCCAGCACAATATCCCCTTGTCTCTTTTGTACAGTCGTGCTTTCATCCCTCTGGCGCAGGACGGAGGCGCTCCGACTGGCCCACGACCGGACCGGACCAAACGGCAGGCGACACACTCATACTCGTACATGAAGGACGCGACGCTCGCCCTCGTATAATACATGGTTGCAACATTCGATCGAGATGCCAGAGAGTCGATAGTTTGACTTGACACCTCACACATGTGCAGTGTGTCGCACTCGCGATTGTCCAACCGAGTGCCGGCTTGTCGCGGTATCAGCATCACCACCACGACGCACAATGTGCGAGTCGACCGCCCGCACGACGGGTTTCACAAGATCCAGCCCTCAGCCCGCCACCACCTCCGCGTACATGCTGCTAGCTCACCGGTCACAATAGGGCGCCCTCTCCCCGTCACAAGCAGTGTCTGCCTGCCGTTCTGGCTTCAGCCGACCCTCCTTTACCCCATGTCCAGGCTTCGTTTGCTGGACGCTGTCTGGACG